TTAGGTCAGCACCAAATTCAATTAGGAAATTCAAAAAAAAATGTCCCAATTAAACGATGAAGAAATACTCAACTTGAAACAATACAACCACATGGTCTGAATGACCCCCCCTGCGGAAACAGGGGGGGTTAACAACTGTCAAAATTAATTTTGGCAATACTAGTTCAAATATGTGAATTTTGAAGGTTCAGACTGAACATGCTGGCTTCATTAAGGATGTCATTAATAAATTTTTTATTACATAACACTTATTGACAATTGTTCGTTCAGCATTGTTTCATAATTGTTGAGCCAATCTACTCAGTATTTATTGGAATGTGCAAGCTGTCGATATTCGTGAAGATCAATAAAGAACTGCTTTCGTTGGAAGTTGGATTGTTGTTCCGGCCGCAACTGGAAGCAAAGCGAAGATCAACTCCAGCAAACAATGGAAAATCGTATGAATAAAATGAATCGAAATCCTCTCTCTTTGAATGAATTTACATACGATTTTTCGGGCTTCGAGCGAACTGTCCACGAAGGCGTGCCTTTGATCAATATAACAAAATTAGCAAAAACCAACAAAACCTCCAAAACAAAGACCCACAATGCATACCAACCGACAAAATATGCTCCTGTAGAGCATACTAACCCATCTCACTCAGCAAAATATGTTGATTATTTGTGGGCTGTGAAATTCTTGAGCTCTCGTGATAATGTTCAGCAGGAAGAGTTTTTGCAATGGGTGGCTGTTTGTTTGTTTCAACAATTAGAGTATGGGAGTTGTCAACCTATCACAATTAGTGAAAACAACTCTTCGACCAGTACTATTGATGATTCTAACAACATTGATGTGCATTCTAGTTTTGGATTGTCTTGTTCAAACTGTGGACATTCGCATATAACAGGGAAATCAATCTCTAAGAAGAGAATATGGTCTCTCACTGAAAATATTCACGCTGGTCATATTCTTGGAGTGGAACGAGCGACAGCAGCAGGAGGAAGGGCAAAAGAAGATAACAAGAAGACTCCTAGGAACAAGTGGTATTCCAAGAGTTCCGAAGAATATATTTAACAGCCCAAAGAGACATTCCTTGGCAATCGAAGTTAAATGATACAGTTTACGTTACAAGTTGGAAATCGGTTTCCAATGAATATGAAATTTTACAGAGATTGGAGCTGGCTCAAGGTGATGCGTGGAAATCTGTGTTGCGCTTGATGATAGGTGTTACTGATGAAAACAACGTACAATCAACAGAAAGGTGGTCACAGCAATCTTGTAATTTTTTTGAAAACGAGTTTTAATAAAATTTAATGTTTCAATGAATTTTATTTGACGATTTCTTGATGATCATGCTGTGTCTTCCCATCTATCTGTGATTGGACAATATGCTTGTGTAACTTGTGAGAAATGTATATGCACTCTGTTGTCATGATTTACAATGAACACTGTTTCATGATAAAACGAACGAATTTCTCGGTTATGAAACATTTCTGTGATGGGATGATCTTTCAAACCCCAATCAAAACCAGCCAATAGATCAGGCATAGACTGCTTGAAATAATAGTAGGTGCGAGTATATTTCTCCCAAACACCATTTTGCTTCACTCTGTATTGAGCTTGCCATGTCAAACAATCTTGCCTAGTGAAGAGGTGAGCCAATAATTCCTTGGGACATGTTCCGAGGAACAACCAATGGCCAAATTTGCTGTAATTAGGTTCCAATCGTCTGTTCAAGATTTGTGCAGATTCGGAGCCAAATTCTCGTAATCTTCTTTGTTGGTAATATCTGTCGAGGATGGCAGGATCAATATCCTTCAATGCCTCTCTCCAATTTATACTGGTATCAACCTCTGTTGGTGTTGGTTTGATTGCTCTTTTAGGAACTCGAACGAGACCCGTATCGTCATGGTTGGTGGTATTGACAACTTTCTTCTTTCTAGCCGCTTTTGATTTCTTGCCAAAAATCTTATCACCAAGTTCTACGGAAAGAGGTTTAGCATTGCTTGTGAAACAATCAGAGTTGTACATGGTTATCTTCAAGACCTTTCTTGGTTTGGGAGTGGGTTGTGTATGGTGGACTCGGGTCATGACGTATCGTTTGATTGCTTTTGTATTGTTGTTATGCTTTTGTTATTGCTGCTTTTGTGCTTTTGTATTGTTGTTATGCTTTTGTTATTGTTGTTATGCTTTTGTTATTGCTGTTTTGCTTTTGTCGTATCACTTGTTGTGATGATTGTGTTGGCGTGTTGCCAATTTATTTTAACTGGTAGGGTACAGGTGTGTGATCATTTTTTTTCGTTATAAAGACTGTAGGAGGTCATTTTCTTGAGAAATTTAAGTGAAGTGGTTGTATTGTATCATTGCTCTGGACATCCACTCATCCAAGATAAACTTACCAATGTAGGTCGTGTTTTTCAATGGTTGGACATTCAAAATTCAACAATATTCATGAATGAATAACAACACTACTACACTCTAGCTCCGAGATAAACAAACCAAACCTTCCGAGTTTAGGAAACTGGTTTCGGACTTGTGTGTATTGCTATGTTTTGAAGCTACAACCAAGTTGAATATGAAACCTATTGAAATTGAAACTCCTATTTGTAAGACAGTACAAAACATAGTTGCAGATAGAATTTGTCTTGTACCAGTGTTGCGAGCTGGCTTGGGAATGTTGGAAGGTATGCACAGCATCGTTCCTAAGGCAAGAGTCATCCATATTGGATTGTTTAGAAACGAGGAAACGTTACAACCAGTAGAATATTACAAGAAACTGTAAGTTTAACTACACCATCATGTTCATATAATTTTTGACACCTATTTTTGAATGGTACTACATTTATTTGTTGAAGTCCTCCTGAATGTGATGCTGATATTGCAATAGTTTTAGATCCAATGTTGGCCACTGGAGGCTCTGCTGTTGCTACTATTGACAGGATTAAGGATTGGGGTGTCAAGAAAGTAATATTCATGTGCATTTTGGCCGCGCATGTCGGCATTAGCAACGTGAATAAGGCTCATCCAGATGTCGAAATTTACTGTTGTGGTGTTGACAAAGAATTGAATTCCAATGGATACATTGTTCCTGGATTAGGCGATGCAGGAGATCGTCAATATCAAGGTGACTACAGTTGCGAGTAACAAAATGCACTTCTGATAACGAATTTGTTCCCAATACTTCTCTCAATCTCAAGGGTCAGCATGATGAAAGTCCTCGAGATGATATTAACACCAAACACATAATAAAGAACAATCACCTCTGTGCAACACTAGCATGCAATATTTATTGAGCTAGGAAAAGATGGATGATGGTTGTGAAATTGATGCTTTTACTTTTTTTTCTTTGATTTTGTTGAATTGAAATGATTTACAAATTGAATGGTGACAGGCTCAGAATTAGATGTGCTCGGTTTGGCGACATTGCCGTATTGTGCTCCATGTGATGGTGGCCTGGTTGATTCTGGCGGTATCGATTGAGAAAAACCCCGTGTATTGTTTGGGTTGTAAGGATTACTTCTATTGCCCTGGGTGTCAATATCACTTCTCTCAGGATAATTGGAATTTCTTATTTTCCTTAAATGTCCAAGTAGTGCAATACCTGTTTCGCTTTTTTCAAACATTTCTTGCTGTTGTTGAGGCGTTGCAGAAAGAAATGTATGTCTAGTCTTCTGGTCCGAAGAAAAGTTGACATTCATTGTGTAGCTTAAGCTTGGCCTTTCTGGCATGACCAATGACGAGGTTGTAGAAACACTTTGTGAAGGTTGTAACAAATCGTCATTTGTATAATGGGAAGAGGAATCGTTGTTTGGCAAGGAGTTTGTTGAATTGTTTGATTTGGAATTGGCCGAGTGATCGTTTGACTTGGCATTTTGTGAGGAATTACCTTTCTTTGTTTTCTTGTTATTCTTTTTTGTCCCTTCTGAGAGTTGTTTGGTTGGCTTTGTGTGATGATTCTTATTGTTGCTACCGTTTGTTTTATCTAACGAGTTGTCATGCCATTCATGTGTGGTTGATAAGATACTTACCTTCATGAGATCGAGCTGATTTTCCTTCTTTATGCTTGAGATTGGAACTCGTCGTGTGTAAATCATTATCTTCATCACTCGATCTAGAATGAATTCGATCGAGAAGAAGATGATGAAGTTGTATTAATATTCATGGAACCATTACTACTCTCACCACTCGTGCTGCTATTCACTGACGACGAAACTTTGTTTGGTTTCGTGTGATTGGCACTGTTGTTTTGAGTTTGAAACTGATCCACATGAATAAACTTGAAATTGGGAGGAGTGGGTCGCAACCTCTTATTATTATTCCACATATTGGATTGATGAAGGCGAGTCTTTTCGTGATGCCTCCACGATTTTACCTCTACATGAAGAAGATTATATTTGTTCAATAGAATTGTTCGTACAGTGCAGCAAAGGATCAAATCACAAAAATAGTGATATTAGAAGTAATCGTTCATGATCACACCAATAATCTCGATAAATCTCCTCGTTTCAGCTTACCTTTGTTACAAAAATCACACCAAGCATTGATTTGAGAGTTGGCATCGACCATTGAATCAATTTCCGTGAGTGATGGTTTGGTCTTTCGCGAAGAATGAAAGGATGGTTGTTCTTGCTCCTTGCTGATAGCAGTTTCATTATTGTTGTTGTTGTTATTTGAAGAAACGAATTGTTGCCTTTCCAATGATTTTGATGAAGAAGAGGCACTGTATTCATCCTTTTCCAACTGTTCTTCTTCTTCTTTATCAGCACTGGATATGCTTGATGACGATGAGGAATTTGTGGTTTCGTTCGTTGGTGTGTTGGAAGAAGCCTCATCAGCACTAGATAGCGAAGAAGAGGAAGCAGAATGATGGTTTCCTCCTCTTCCGTTATTGTTACCGTTTTTGTGTTGATGTCTTTGCTTTAAACTGCTGCGTTTAGAAGTGGACGGTGCATCTAATGAAATTTCGACTGTTGAGTTTTCATCGTTGCGACTCTTTAATTTCTTGTTTCCGTCATGATGATGGTCTGCACCATTCACATGAGAAGCACAATGGTCAGTAACAACGCTAGTTGATGGGTAGTCATTGTTTTCTTCTTGTTCTGAAAGGGAAGTGGCAGAACGTGGTTGCATTTCTTTTGGCGAATCTCAAAACCGAGAAATGATCGAGATTAAATCTCGAGGAAGGAAAAGATTTTGGTTCGGAAACAACGTCCCATCACTAAATATTTCTGTAATCGGATTAAGTAGTACTCCATAAAGGTAGGTCCTTTCTCATTTCCGAAACCTTGAATTAAGAAATTCAATAGATTTCATCATCGTTGAAGCAAAAATTCGAGCTGCAAAGAACACGTGTTGAGTTCCTATTGACTATTAATAAAAAATGAGTGAAAGCCAATCCACAGCCAAAACATCATCATCTACAAGTCTTCTCAACCACCGTCCAGTTCTATTCAGATGGACCACCACTCACGACAACAAAACTCACAACGAAAAAATACCTATTTTACTTTCAGATACAGTATTAATAGTAAAGGAAAAATTAAAAAGACAAGGAATCATTGATGATGTTTCCCAATCGAAATTGATCTTCTCGGGAAAGATTTTGGAAAATAATCAGAAATTTTCTCAAGTGTTGGACTTTCATTGTGATCAATCTGTGGATGTACCGACTGTACACCTCTTTGGAGGACTTGCCAAAAATCCCAAGACATCATCCGACAAGAAGAATGAAGAAACCATTGAAGTGGTTGAGCCAAAAACTCCAACAACGCCTTTCACTCCTGGTACACCAAATTCAGCTACAGCTATTCTTTTACAAAAACAACTATTATTACAACAGCAAATGTTAATGACACAAATGATGATGAATCAATTAATTTTAGCAAATTCTCCCACTATGCACTCAGCACCTGCGTTGGGATCGTCATTCAACCCATTTCCTTCTACACCTACTCCTGTAACCCTCTTACTGCAAGCATTTTTCAACAAAATATGTTTCCAAGCAACCCAACTGTGCAACAACAAACATCAGCATCTCGGGTTGCAGAAGCAGTCACAACGCCACAGCCTCAAGAAAATATTCAACGACAACCAGAAAATATTCAACAGCCAGCGGAAAATGTTCAACAACCACAAGAAGATCAGCACCAACAACCTGCTGCAGCTGCTCAAGAACAACCTCAAAGACTCGTCGATGACAATGCACCTCCAGCAGGAGCTCAAGATGAAGGATATAATTTATTTTATACATTTTTAAAAGTACTTTTAATTTCTACTGTAATTTTTTCAAAAGAGGGATGGGTGACATGGTTATCTTGCACAATTGGATTTTATCTTGGAATAATTCTTTTAAAGTATATAAATAATGTAATCAATAGACGTGTCGCGAGAGATCAAGAAAGAAGGGAGAGAGAAGAACAGGCTAGAAGAGAGCAAGAAAGGCTCGAAAATGAAGGTTCTGAGATGCCACAAAATATTGAGCTCAACCAAGCAGCTATGCCTCCAAATAGGGGAGTGTTTGGAACTCTGTTCCACATAGTTTATCTATTTTTCATCTCATTAGCTCCTTCTTATCAGCCTAGAAGACCTCTTGTAGTACATGACGATGAGAGACATGAAGATTAATTGTTTAATCATCAAAGCACACTTTTGAGGATTATGAATGGACCAGACTCTACTTGTTTGCCAAAACGCTATAAACCGTAATTTGGCCATTTCCATGTCCCACAAACAACTCCTGCCTATTTTCACAAAACATGAGCGCTGTGATGTCACTAAGTTGGCATTCAATCTTCTTCAACAGCTTGCCAGTTTTGATTTCTGATATATTGATTGTACAATGGTCTTTGTCCATTGGGTTGACTAAGCAGCTAGAAATTATCACATCTTGCTCTTCACTCAAATAGAACGTGCAATATTTTCCTTCACCATCAGCCAATATGTTGTCCTCAAATCTTACATTAATGAGTGAAACCGTTACCCCTCATTTAGAAAGCACTTACTCCACGTCAACAGTTCCTTGCAGATTCCAAACAGCAATTTTGTTGCCTCTAAACCCAATGTATTTGCAATGTTTGTACATGTATATGAACGAGTAGGGCTTCTTAAAGTTATTTACAACAGACAACACCTTTTCTTTGAAAGGTTCGATGATTGTGAGATCTCTCCTCTCTTGGAAAAAGAATAAGCGATCTAGAAACAGCTCCAAAAATAATACCTTTCCTCTGTTTTGTGTTTTAAGATAGAGACTTTTGATAACCTGTCCAGATGCGTAGTCAATCAATTTAATTGGCTGAACTCCATTCTTTTCCCTTAAGATCACAAGAATATTTCCAGGACTAGCAAGGATATGTAAAAGAGCATTTCACTCACGAATGACTACATACCTCAGTCGTACTTCAAAGACATCCTTTCCACTCATTTCGAATTTGAGCTCATAGTTTTTCAAATCCCAAATTTTGTAGGAGCTGGCTCGTAGTTTCTTTCGAACATGTGATTCACAAAATACTTACAATTTTGACGCACAAAAAGATAATAGAACCTTATTGACATGGTCAAACTCAACAAAGCTTGGATGCTCAAAATGCTCTGATTGCAAGATTTCAATGCCTTTGTCGAACTGGTTTTTGGAGATGAGGCTGAAGATCCATTGAGCTTGCATTCATGTAACAATCTAAACAAAATAGTACACACCTTAAATGAACGCTTCTGCAAAATATTCTCTGATAGCAATCGTTATCTTTGCAATATACCACAATTAAGCTTGAATTTTCCTTGTTAAAGAACAAGCTCTGAACAAATTCCTTATCACCATTAATCGTTCCTGACATACATTTCGAGTCTTTTGAAAGACCATGCATCATGGCCGTGCTAGTATCAACACAGAACAAATCCTACCTACTTCTGTTGTACACAAATGCATGACCGCCAAAGTCAAGAACAAACAAAAAATCGGGAGTGCAGATGATTTCCTTAACTTGACTTCCTTTGTTGATTGTGAAAGACTCCTTCAAATAGTAGTTTTCATTATTATATTAAGGATAGTAACATTTTTGCTTCCTCACTTACATGAAATGCTATATCAGTAAATATCAATTTATAACCATTTCTCTTAATGATTTCACTAGCTTCCCAATCACGCTTGCTTCTCGCAATCAGTGAGTTCAAGCTCTCTTCCTTAAATAAATCATATTCTGTAGGTATGGTGGTAGTGTTTTTTCTTCGCTTCTCCGATCTGCTTTCATGGCTGTGAGGTGTAAGGCGTTTCATGAGAGAAGAGGTTTGAATACTTATTTTTTGAAGCACCACTTCCAAAAGTTGCTTCCTCTGAAACTCTTGAGATAATGAAATTTAAGTTGTGAATCAAAAGGATGGTTTTAATCATACAATAAAACACGACAACATATTGCTGGCTCAGTGAACACCAATGATCCTCCTGACCAGCAATATCTACAGAAACAAAAAATGTCAGCAACACTCGTAAACGGAGAGTATCAAGTACCAGAAAGCACTTTCGAGACAAAGCAAGTATGTATGGAGTGGATGGACAACATCACCTCATATTTCACGAACAATTGTTAATGTTTCATCATTTCATCATCATAGTATTTGTGCACCTGCGGATTGTCTGCAAAGAAACCAGTACGTTTCAATCTATTTTCCAATTTAAATCAACAAATTTAACATTGTCATCATAGTTCTGCGATGGAGAACACAACAGACAAAACACTCCTTTCAAGCCTCTTCAAATTACTATCAAGGACGGAAATGTTTCATTCCTTGCCATCCGAGAAAAGGTTTTAGAACAAGAAGCAGCCAATAAGAAGGCAGTCGAAGCAAAGAGTTATTGTGGTGTTTTCACCTTTGCGCTTCTCACTGTTTCTATTATGGCAATCAAGCAAGCTTTCAGCAAGTAATAACATGTATTTACTCTAGGGTAGTCTCATGAACGGAATTATTCTCTTCAACAACAATATAATTTGTTGGATCTAATAAACGAGAATTGCAATTTCCGTCATCATTAACCTGAAAATTCAAACATCCAAGCCTAGTATTGTAGCACACAATTCGGAAGACGATGAGAAAACTACAACTAGGTGCCCACTACTTCAATTTAATTCCACTAGGCTGACTGGCGTCCTTCCACTCCAACCAACCAACGCGTTTCAACAAAAACATTGCCATTACATCATCCACCCGAACACTCGACACTCATACACGCTCTTGAGAATGATTGCTTTACCTCCATGCTGCGATAACATCTTGTACACGGAAGAACAAATCAAGAAGAGAGTCATCGAGTTGGCTCAAGAAATTACGGCCTACTATTCTCAAGTTTTGCAAGAAGGAGAGTACTTGATTCTTGTTCCGGTTCTCAAAGGCTCCTATATGTTTGCTGCTGACCTCTCAAGACACATTGAAGTTCCAAACACTGTTGATTTCATTGCATTGAGCTCTTATCAAGACTCTCTCACATCAAGTGGTGAGGTGAAAATTATTATGGACACTAGAAAATCAATGTGCCAAAAGCACGTTCTCATCATTGAGGATATTATTGATACAGGTTATACTCTCTCTTTCCTTACCAATTTATTCATGACCCGAAGCCCCAAGTCCATTAAAACTTGTGTTTTACTCACTGCCCCAAAGAAGAAGAGAATGGTTGAAAACTTCCATGCTGATTTTGTTGGGTATGATATCGGAGAGAGATTTGTGGTTGGTTACGGACTCGATTTTGGTGAATTATATAGAAATTTGCCATATATTGCAGAATTGAAGCAGGAAATCATTGATGAGCTAAAGAAGAAGAAATAATCTAAATAATGTATGACAGAAATATTTCAATATAATTTGTATTAGTATCATTTACATTTTCAATTGATTGATGCTCATATTCGCTTGAAATTCAGCAAATGATCATGTACGAGAATGTGATACATGGTGCATTTCTTGCTTGTTCGTCTCCGTGGATGGATTCATTTAATTCCTGTTGAACACCCGTACGAAATGCAATTCTATTTCACTGGTGAATGATGAATTAAGGATTTTGTGTTCAATATTTGCGGTGGTGCTTGGCCCACGTTTGTAGACATAGGTAACGCAGTAGCTGGCTGTTTTCTTTCCTTTCTGACTTTCTCAAACGTCTTCATCATGTATTGAAACATTTTTCCCATCAAGGAATTGGTCAAAATATGAACTACCATATTGGTCGAATTTACTGGGGAGGAGAGTGGTGTCACATGAACCAACCATGAGGGATTGGAAATGACAGGATCCCTTAATATCATTAATTGATTATTATCAGGTCTCGAGTGTGGTACAATACTAGTTGAAGTATGTTGTGGTGTTGTGACAATATTTTGTGACGATTCATCCCTGATAGCAAGTAATTCTTCTTCTTTTTTAATCCTATAAATTATTTCCATTGGATCTCTATTCGAAAACTAGTTGAATGATGCATTGGTCAAACACATAAAATTATTTCAAATATTAATATTTTCACACATACATATTTAAATCGGGATGTATGAGAATTCACCGGAGTGATGAATAGAGCCACTAATCCACATAATGAAATTGCTAAAACTGATAGGGAAAGCATGAACACATAGACTGCATGGATGCATGAAATAATTCTACTTACCTACATCAAGCATTTTTTCTTTTTTCAAACACCAAGAAAACTTGAAAAATCAAGAAGAAAAGGTGAATTCGTATCACTCGTTGGTCATTAACACCAGACAGTGCTGTTATTTTGTGTTCAGTGTCTCAACTAGCATGATGGTTTTCTTGGTTGGAACAAACAAAAAAAATGTATCAGCACGACTCATTGATGCAAGACGTTCAATATCTTGCCGAGAAGAGACGAATGGAATGGGTACGTGTTGGGAAATTCGAGTGGTGGTATATGACTAGTTGCATAATTGGAATCTTTTGAAATCTAATTCCGAACATGTAAAATATAATATCAATTTTTAAAAAACTCATTCCAAAGCGATCGAGACTTATTCTAGTAATTTGTCTAATTGTTATATTCTGTATTGTTCTCGGATTTATTTTATCTGTGACCATTCCCATTGCTATTGCCAATCAAGGACAAACTAATGCTTCGGAAGCTATGAAAGATACCTTAAAAATCGTTGTACCTTTGGAGTGGCCATAATAGGAGCAGGAGGAGGAATTGTTGAATCTGATTTAACAAGTGTTTTATTGAGAACAAACACAAGTGAAGGAAATTTTATCAGTTTAGATGCTGGAACAATGATGAGTGGATTGATAAAGTTTACAATGAACGAAAAGTATAATTTAACATTTTTTAAAGCCTTATTTCCTGGATTGCCAGGATGGTTGGCAGACGTGGATTTATCACAAATATCAAAAAATCCAGAAGAAAAGCAACAATATTACATGAGTTTGTCTGGATATATTATGAAACAATATATATTGGGATATTTTATTGGACACTCTCATTTGGATCATGGTAGGGTTTTGCATTGATATATCACACAATTGTATTTTAATTTTATTACTCAAAACATGTTTACATAATAAGTTGCTGGATTAGTAATTTCATCTCCAGAGGGTCATATTTTAATGCCAATAATTCCTTACTACCTAACAGTAAGAGCATTGTAGCGTCTCAAGAAGTAGCAACTGCCTTAAATTCAAGCATGTTCAATAACATCATGTGGCCAAACATTCCTAAATTTACAAATTGGTATCAATATCAAACCATTACATTTGGAAACTTATATTATGTCAGCGATTTACTGTACATGTCAAGCAATAAGTTTGACAAAAACTCAAATGGAGTTCGCCAACTACCATCCACAAGCAATTACTATTTTTCAGATACAACGGTAAAAGTATTTCCTCTTTGCCATGATGTAGCAACATCATCAGCATTCTTATTTGAGAAATCCGATGTGCAACTAGTTTATTTTTCTCATACAGGCCCAAACACTGGAATAAGCTGTGATTGGCGTTCCAAAGTGACAGCGGTTTGGAATAGTGTCGACATTGCAAAGCTTTCAGCAATATTCATTGAGGTCAGCTTTTCAAATGACGTATCTGATAACTCGTTATTCGGACATTTAAGACCAAAGGATTTAATTCAACTATTGTTGGAGCTTAAAAGCTTAAAAGGTTCACCTTCTCTCTCAAAACTGAACGTTATCATTACTCACATCAAACCAACATTTACAACCTTATTTTCCGAAAGCAATAGAGCAATTATTACTCGCCAACTTAATCAAGAGGCCAAACAAGTGCAATTGGATTGCAACTTTGTATATCCAAAACAAGGAGATTTTATGTGTCTTGAGAAATGATCAAGTAGTAGCAACGGTAGGCCTTTCACATGGTTTCATGCAAAAGGCCTACATTCATGTGAAATGGAGAAATTTAATATCCTAACAATCCTCCTCGTGGCTGTTGCTTCTTCTTTGATTGATCTCTCAACATTTGGAAAGCTAACACAAAATCAATGAATAGTTGGAATGAGCCACACAAGACAAATTGAAAGGGTTGGTTTTTGAGATAGAAATAAACAGTCTTGTAAGAATCTCCCAAAAAGAAAGTGCCTACCAAAATCCAACTCAAACCATCTGCTGATCCAGTTTGCCAATTTCTAATCACTTGAGGCACAGCCAAAATAGCCTCAGTAAATAAAGCAACAGTTCCAATCATTTCAGTGTAGAGATCTTGTAGTATTGGATGGAAAATGAAAGAAATCACAGAAGTACACACAGTGAATATTACAAGGAAAATGAAATAGCTCAAGAAATCACTCCAGTTCCAGAAACTTTTGATGGGATGTGTGAAAATTGATCCTGTCTCCGACGATGGATATTTTATACACACAAAAATTAATACTAATTGACAACCAATCATGAGGATGGATTGATAGAGTAATACATTGTCAAACTCCTTGTAATATCTAAAGAAACAACGACTATTCAATGAAATTCAAAAGGATCACCCAATATTAAATCATTCATATAAAATTGATATCATTCCGAATCATCATTTCCATACTTTATACCAAACAACACCTACAGAATATTTGCAACCAGTAAAATCAAACTAATAAATTTACTAAATCCTCCACTTGATCTTTTGTTGCGAATGGTTCGGATTTGATCCATATAACCCACACAGGGTCCAACAATCATGGCCAAGTCAGCCACCAACCCCAAGTAAGACATTTTTTCAACGTGTTTTTTGTTGTTTAAAAACGCCGAATATTTGGTGAAGTTATGATACCATTCAACAACTCTCTTTACATGGTGTTTTAACAACAATTGTTGATGGTGTAGAATCATTGAACCTTATGTCCATGCTTTCTTCAACCACGCGCAACAAGCGCTTTCGAAAAAACAAGTTCAAAAAAAATGAGCAAAAGAAAGCAATTGGCTCTCGATGATGATGACCAGAGTGAAAACGAACTCAACCACACACATGAAGAGGAAAATGAAGAGAAGCATCATCAATCCGAAGAAGAGGAACAGTCTGCAAAGTTAAAGAAGAAAATACAGTCTTCAAAAGATAACAAGGAAAAAACAAAGAAGAAAAAGAAGAAGGCTTCCGAGGACAAAGTAGAGCCAAAGAAGAAAAAGAAGAAGGTCCAAAAAGAGGAATCGGAAGATGAGAAAGAAAACAAGTCGGAAAGCGAGGACGAGCAAGTTGTTGAAGAAGATACTCGCATGCCAGAAGATGAACACCAAACCTCTGCTTCTCCTAATGCTGAAGAAGAATTGATGAGAGATGAGGATTTTACTTTTGCTCTTCCAACAGATTTGACTCATGTCGAACAAGAACCAATTATTTCATTCGAGGATGTTGCTGATAGTAAATTGTATGTTATTGAAATACCACAAGGATTTACTATCGAGGAAGTTAAAAAGAAATTGCAAAATATTTCTGGTTTTGGAGAGAAGAAACAACTAGTACTAGATTCTGAGTTAGGAATTACTGTGAATAGAGAGGATAGTTCCAAGTCATCAATTGTCCCACTGTTTACGTCAAATAATTCGGACGATCATCGATTAAGAAATGGTCAAATTGAGGGATTTTATAGAATTGAGCAAGGTATTGAAATGCCAATATTTGATGCTTTGAAAGAGAAAGAAAAGCAAAGCAAACTATACAAAGTTAGTGTGGAAAAGCGAGCAGAATTTTCAGCTCACGTTTCACAAAATATTTTCAAGCCTGATGGATATTCAGACGAAATTTTGCCTCAAAAGACGAAAAAGAGTAAGAAGGAGGGCGTGACAGAAAAGAAGAAGGAAGAAAAACACAAATCTAGCGAAAAGAAGCAAGATAAAAAGGAGGAAAAAAGACAATCTACAGAAAAGAAGGACGATAAGAAGCATGAAAAGACGCAAAAGAAAGATGACTTACAAAAGAAAGAGGAAAAGACAGATAAGTCACATAAAAAGGATGACAAGAAATCCTCAAAAGAAGGTAAACATTCCGATAAAAAAGATAACAAGGAAGAGAAGAGGCACGAACAAAAGAAAGCCGACGTACAACAAAAGCAAGACAAGTCAGAATCATTATCAAAGAAAGATAAAACAGTCGACTCTAAAAACAAGACAGAGGAGAAGCACAGCTCTGAAAAAAGTAAGACTGCTGAAAAGAAATCAGAAAAGAATGATGTATCTGCGAAGAAGGTAGAAAATAACTCAACACAGCAAGATAACCGAAAAACCAAAGGCAACAAGACAGAAAGTTCCAAGAAAGTAAAGCAGTAAGAATTAAATTATCAAAAGCATGTGTAATAACTTAACATGGTCTCGGTTCCATGCGTCTAATCACTGACAGTGCTCAATTTGGCATCACGCGACTCAAAGTTCTTTCAAAAAAGAAATGTTTCAGCTGAAATCTAATTTATACAGCGTCACTCTTCCGTAAAAGTCTGTGCTATCTTCAAACACGATTTTAAGCTTGTCCAATGTTGCTCCCAATTCAAATACCTGTTTCCATTTTGCATAAATTACAAATGTCAAATAAAAATTATTATTAAATCATAACAAATACCTGCTCCACACTTGAGTCGTCGGGATAAAAAGAATTGTGATTGACCAACTCCTCGCTCCCATTGGCTATTAAAAAGTGACAATCCTTTCCGACAAATCCACCTTGGAAAGTCATATAAACTTTTGCTATTTGTACAGGCTGTTTAAATTCGATATAAATATATTGTGGTTTTCCTTGATGGCTATTCCAACATGTTTCATCGTTTCCATCGAACAAGTGTTGTTTTCCGAACTCTTTGCTGTTTTTATTGAGCACAGAGCTCACCTTGTAATTTGCAATCAAATCTTTGATTGAAGTCATTTTTTTCGATCGGAAATCAAACAACATCTTCTCACGAACAGTTGAATTATTTCTGGTCTTCCCTTTGTTTATGTAATGTTGCTTCCTCATCGAGAGGCTCTAACTTTCCAATATGTTCTGAAATTTTCTCTAATTGGCCCAAGAAGTGTTGTTCGTTTTGAACAAATTGTTGCATCATCTTTGTTTGTTCTGGATCTGTGACATTGTTTACTTCTTGTACTGTCTCTCTAGATCTCACCTCTTGTGGTTCTGGTTGTTTTTTGTCGACTGTACTATACCTGTTCAATCGCTCAACAATGTAAAAGCTTTGAAGAGGTAAGAGAAAGACTGCTGATACCGCTCCAAAAAGTAACCCATAAGCTAATGACGATGTAGATATAGAAATTGCCGATGACATTGTTCCAATGCCCATTAATAAATTAGGAACTGAGGCTAACAATCCGAAAACGCCTCCGGCTAATGCTCCTGCCAATGGCTTGTGTAACAAATTCAGCTGATTTAGTCTTTGCTTGATAATCTCAGACTTTTCAATAGACTCTTTCTGTTCATCTGTTAATGTTATGTTGTAAAATTTCTCTGAATAATCATGAATAATTTCCAAAATTCCGTGTGGAGAGGTTTTTGATTTTTCATCATCGTTCACATATCTCACTGGGTTAAATATGTTGAAATTTCTCAAAGTCAAATCTGCCAAAGAAAATGTAAAAGCAAAAACTCCAGCATTTGTTGCATTTCTTATCAATTGATGAAATATAAATCCTAAAATAATATGTTTTCTATCCACACGAGCAGTCTTTGGGTCATATTGTTTTTCCGATTTTTGGTTCTTGTTAGGATTGAATTCATTTTCCTTTTCTGCACGTGTAAATTCTTGATGTTGTTGCAGTCGATAAAACATATTCGTTCTCATCTTTTCCAGTGTAGAGGTAGGAATGTGAGCTTTTCTAATTTGTAAAAATCCTCTTATTCCTCCAAATAAACCTCCAACCAGTGAAGCATAAACAGCCATTTCAGCCAATTCCCGAATATTTAAAAGAGTATTCGTAGACAGTGATGGTGTAAAAGAAGAATTTGAAGCTTCTGTGCTAAGTGGATGATCCCTTTGCTTTGAGTTGCTCATATTTTTTGGGTGTTCGAATCAAAATGAATTATACGAAGAGAATTGTGAATGATGACGCCCTAGAATTCATTTGATCTTTGTTGATTCTGAAAAAAGCATGAATAACGAATTGTTAAACAAAAAGCTAAGCCGCAGTGTGGCCGGTCCCCTTTTTTAAGGTGTTTTTTGTTGGCCGACCTTTTTCTTCTTTTTTAAGAGTTTTGAAATTTTTACACTACGACTTAGCCAATAGACAGGTTGGAGGTTGGGTAGGTTGATAGAGTTTGTAGCGATTCAACTTGCAAGTTATGGTTTGAGTATTATGAATGATCATGGAGATTGTAAGACCATTTTTAGAACGTGATTGATGTATTTGTGATGGGAAGATACTCAGAGTAGAGGACGCCAAGAATACAACCACATAAATATTTATTGTTAAATTGATTTTGTGTGCGTCTCTAGAGATGCTTAATAATTTCGTTGGTGTATTCAGAACATTTGGCTTTACCACCCAAATCACCAGTCAAAACCTTTCCTTCAGCAAGTACCTTCATGACACTCTTTTCAACACGATCAGCAACATCAAACATTTGCAAATGTCTCAACATCATTAAAGCGCTCAACAACAGAGCAGTTGGATTAGCCTTATCTTGTCCAGCAATATCAGGAGCAGTTCCGTGAACAGCTTCAAAAACGCTAGCGTGCTCACCAAAGTTGCCGCTGGGTGTCAGGCCAAGTCCACCAATCAAACCAGCACACAGGTCAGATAAAATGTCACCATACAAGTTTGGTGTCACACAAACATCGAATTCTTGAGGATAACGAACCAACTTCATGCAACAAGCATCAACAATAACTTCCTCATACTTAATGTTTGGATACTTCTTGGCCACTTCTCTGCAGCATTCCAAGAAAAGACCGTCACTCATCTTCATGCTGTTGTTGTTCAAAAATCACAATTTAGTTTCACAAGAATCAGCCGAAAAGTAAAATAAACTTACATGTTAGCCTTGTGAACACTAGTAACCTTATGTCGCTTATTCTCAGAAGCATATCTGAAAGCATATTCAGCAATACGCATTGATGACTTTTGAGTGATAACCTTCAAAGATTCAACAACTCCTGGAACTACTTCATGCTCTAAACCAGAATACTCTCCTTCGGTATTTTCTCTTACAACAACAACGTCAACATGTGGGTATCCTGTCTTAATAGCAGGAATGCTTACAGCTGGTCTTACGTTGGCATAAAGCTCCAAAGCTTGTCTCAATGTAATGTTCAATGATCTGTATCCTTTACCAATTGGTGTAGCCAAAGGTCCCTTCAATCCAACTTTATTCTTTCTAACACTTGCAAGAGCCTCAGGAGAAATCAAATCAATACTTCCAGGTTGTGGAATACCAATGTCGTATGTTTCCCATTCAATATTAGCTCCAGCAGCATCAAGAATCTTGACGACAGCTTGAGAAATTTCAGGACCTATGTTGATCATGGCGTCATCATGATTGTTCGATCATTATCGGTTTTTGAGAAAGAAGTATTAATTTGTTGTATTCATAATCCATCAACATGTTGATAATAAAAATTAATAGTCATTCATGGCCATTAAACAACAAGAATTTCATTGAAATTACAACAATCCATAAAAACATCGAGTGATTGGACATCAACCCGGGGAATGTACACAAATATTCTCATATCATATACAAATCAACATACCAATACCATGACCAGGGAACAATGTAGCGGTAGTCTTGTGGCAGACTTGGTTTGATGAGAAGAATCTGCTGCTGTTCTTTGGTTGAACAATGGATGATGAATGACGCAATACGGAAGAAGACAAGGCTTTTTTGAACATTTTTTTTAAATTGCAATTTAATATTATTTATTTTGACTTATGCCGTACCAACAATCAAGAAGATGATGAATTCGTTTAACAACCTCTAAAGTTCGGCTTTTGAAGTGATTCAGTCTTGTTGTTGTTACATTCTAAATTATTTCAAAAAAATGTCTTCTAATAATAACAATGATGACGATTTGGAAGAACACCATCACCCATTAGAGGACATTGGAGGTGCAACAACACTTTTGAATCATGATTCACTATCGCAACAACATACCAATGACGATTCAGAAGAACAAGTGAGTGATTCTCATCCCATCCTCATGAATAATAACAACACGACGTCGACGAACACTTCCGAAACAACTCTACAACAACCACTTCAAGATTCTTCGATCAACAGCCGCACTGGCATTAATAATGGAGGGGACATTGCATCTCTTCAGTTGGATGGAAGAAATATTCTCGAGTTATTGAATCGATTCAGAAATAACTCTCAGTTAACAATTGGAAGGTTGAACACACCAAATAATTCAACAACACCAACCACCAATAACGATCCCAACCATAATACACCTCAACAACAAAACAATGCCAATGCTAACCAACGAGCTATACGGATTAATTTGCATGATCTATCCTTGTTTATATTTAGAGTTCTACCAATAATTGTTTTACCGTTTATGGTGCTCATGTATTGGCATTTTATAGGTGTGTTACTATTTATTTGGCTAACGACAACAAGTATTAACAGCGATATTAGAATTAAGGAACAAGTGGCACTCAAACAAGCTCGAAAGATAATTGTTTTGATATTTCAGGGAATTCTATTGCTACTTTCTATTGGAGTTATCTTCTTGTTCTTTTTTAAGGACAAATTTTGGCATTTATTTTATTTCACAATTCCAGAGCTCTCTGACCAGAGATCAGTGATTGACACTTTTTGGGACTGTTTATTCTATGTATTTTTGGTAGATAGCATTATCAAACTTGCTGGTATGATTGTTAAGACGATAATCGTTTTGACACTCCCACCCATGTTAAAACAAATTCATATTGGAAGGATTTTGGCTACGTTTGAAGTTCTTTTTCAATTATACAGAATTGCATTACCGCCCAACGTTTGGATTAGATATTTATTGAACAGCTACCATCAAGTATTTGCAATTATTGCAATTGTTATTTATGCTGGATTCAAACTTGGTTCGTTGCTGACTCTGCTTTTCGAATTATTTATCTCATTCAAGAGTTTATTTTCACCAACATGTCCCTATGGAAAAAGATTATCTTCAAGCGAAGTTTTAGAACTTGGTGAGCATCATGAGTGCAGTATTTGCCTTCAAAACTACGAGAGACCAGTAAGACTACAATGTCAACATGTTTATTGTGAGCAGGTATGTTGTTTTAATTGTTATGGGAAGTATAGGGTTGAATAATCAATTGTTAAAAAGTGCATTACAGAGTGGGTTCAAACAGGAAATCAAACATGTCCTGTGTGTAGGGCTCCGGTTTCACAGGGAGGTTTGCCCATTTCATCTAGATATGAAAAAGGTGGTACGGCCTTATTTTGTTTTATTTAAGAGGAACATTGCCATTATTTTGTCTTGAGGTACAATTGAATAAAATTGGTGATTGTCTCGCCTGTTGACAGTGTGATAAATCGATCCGTTTGAGGCTCTTCATGTTCGGTACCGCTATGAATCAAAGATTCTGAAATATTCATTTCATTCTCGTCTTCACCTGGTGGCTCATCGAAAGATAACAATGCGACATTGGCATCCAATGATTCGATATTATTTACAAGAGCACCTTTTTCATTGATCCATTTCATTTGATACTGTGCTGCTCCTCTCTTGCATTTCTTAATAGACCCAGATGTAAATATCGTTCTTACAATGAAGGTTTCTTTGTTTGTGGGAACCCGAATCAGGGAGAGAGCTGTTGACATAATTGGAGCCAACTTCCAAGGGCATGCTAAAATTGCTAATCCCGTTTTTTCATTAAAGTAAATAAACTTTTGGTAAAATCTAGAAAACATCGAATGAGCCAGGCTGTACAATCCAAACCATTCTTCAATAATTTGTTGAAGCTGTTTCAGAAAAAGATCGGAAGTAATTGTACTCGGAATAAATGACTTTTCAAATTCATTATTTTGTAACTTTTTACCTAGACTCTTTGGATCATGATACGACGAAAGTGGTATAAATTCTATGAGAAAATATCGTTGCTTTTTTCGTTTTGAATAATCTACAAAAACTCGCTTCTTTCTCTTGTTTTTTGTTCTCAACATTTTTTTTTGTCAAGAACGTTTTTGTTTTATTCAATTTATTGGCAACACTGGTACTAATAACAACCTTAGAAGCAAAACTGAGCGATTTGCAAGGACGAACGGTTCATGCTAACCGTTTTCTACTACTTCCAACACTGCACACCTAATGAATTACGAACAAGATTGTCTTTGACGTCTTCGTCCTCGTTGTATAATTCACAAAGAATACTGAACCTCCATTGCCAAGGGGTAGTAATTCACGACATTCCCAAAACTATCTCAATACTTTTGAAGAGTGATTGATAACAATAGCTCAAAATAATGAAAGAGATCATTATTGATTGTTGGCAGAGGCCAATGTTACTTTTAAAGGCCTCACCCTTTCTAAAAGTATATTAAATACTCGGTCAACAATGAAGTCAGTCTTACAAACCACGACAATGTACCTACAATAAGATCTTGATTTCATTATCTTGAGACTCAACACGTACTCTCTGAAATTCAAAATCTTTCCTTCCTCATCATTCCTGCCAAATTGTATACATCTTTTTCTTTTTTTCGCGAAGACTTTCCTTTAATGGTGGAGGAGCAGATTTAAATTTCATTCATTTGAAAACCAGAAACAAACAAGCATCATCCTTCAAAAAAACTCGAGCATCTGCCTCCCTACACAAGTACTTTGCGTGATTGATTCTTTTTGAACTTGACCAAAGAGAGATAGAGAGCAAATTTGTTGTTGTTTGTGTTTTTCACCACCAACAACCTTCATCGCCACCACTTCTCTCTACAACGAATATCAAGAGAGTCCTATTCACGATTTCGTTACTACGAAACAGCATTTCAACCACTTCAACGGTTAAAGTTGTGGTGTTCAATAGGAAGGTGGTGCTAGTTTCGATTTCGCTCAAAAACTTCTATGCTAATCAAAGTGGACCACCAGTACGACAACATTGCTTTTCAAACACACCATCAAAAGGATCATCTTCTCTGACATTCCATCATCCTCCAATTGTTGTTGTTGTCAACCACACCACACACGGCCATCATCATCAATATCCATAAAACCAAATAGACCAAATTTGTCCAGACACCCTCTCTGAAGAGATTAGACGTGGATATTTCCAAAACATTGAGAAACAACCACAAACAAATGTCTCCTTCTTCCTCGGCAACATCAACAACACCAACACCTCAAACAACATCTTCTCAGCCTACCATGTTGCGGAATGGAATCATGATGGTTGGCCAACCGCCCATATCCGCACAACATCATCATCCAACGAATGGAATGATATCACCAGGAGTGAATTTAAGTGGTAATGGCATGCTTTTGGAGAATCAAAAGTCTTTAAACCCTACTACCACCACGCCCATGAATCATGCCATTGATATGCAAACGATTCTTGCATCCATGGTGAATAAGAACATGTCTGCTGCTGCTGCTGGAAGTATGATGAATGCCAACAACAACAATAATTCTCTCACTTTGCAATATTCCACAACGACCAATCTGACCACCAACAACAATCATCAAGTCAAGACATCACCACACGCTCAACAACCGTACATGAACTTGGACAATCGATCGTTACAATTGCTAATATCTCAAATCATGTCGTCGAATGGCAATCCCACTAACAACATGCAAATCAAACAACAACTACAACAATTACAGCAATTACAATTAAATCATCAAAACAACAGCAACAACCAAACTCACAACATGGGCACAATGCCAACTACTACTACTTCCAACAACATGACCGATTTTTCAACCACCAATCATTCCCAACCAATGGTGACGAATGGCAACAACAACAATCATCATACACAAACTCGATTCACACCTCCAACACCAACAACCACTTCCTCCTCTCCTCAAAACAACAACAACCAAAATCACAACAACAACTTACCTTCACAGTTTCAAGTTAGCAGCGTCAAGAATCATACAATGAATGGCTCTTCTTTAAGACCTTCCTCATCGCCTCCTCTCCAAAATCAGAACAACACAATGATGATGAACGCTTCAGCGACCACTCCTACCATGAATCAACAACAACACCACAATGTTTCATCAAACATGACCTCGTCATCCACTCCTGGTACGCCTACGACCAACATGCAAGGTCCGAACAACCATGGTACCATCTTTAAAACCATGAATGGTAATGTTCACGGACATGTCAATGGAGTGAATGCAACCTCATTGAAAACCTTTTATATTTTCAAAGAAGAGTCCATGGAGGAATTATTACAAGAAGGAATATCCAATACACGCTCAGCATTCGTGCTAAAGAATCAAGGTGTTGTTTCTTCAGGCATGAATTCAGGAATGATGAATGGAATACCTCCTTCTCCAATTTCATCTTCAACAACACCAAACACTCCACAACAGCAACAGCTCAATAACAATTCGAGTGCAGCTCTGTATGCTGAATTAGAAAATGAACTGAAACGATACAATATTTCACATAATCTTTCACAACTAGGAAATGTGAAAAATCTAAACACGTCTTCAACGACATTGACTGCAACCAACCAACATGCTTTAACAACAGATTCAAGTACTAACATGTCTCCTCCAAACAGTACATCTACAACGAAAAGGAAATCGAGTCCAGAAATTTCTGAAAATAATAATGATCGAACACAAAAGAAAAAGAGATAATCTAAATGCTTTAATAGGATGACCAAACAGACTGTCGTGTACATCAAGTATTGAACTCGTGTATTTTCCTCACGCACACAATCTCGATTCTGAGAAGGACCATTTTTTGTTGATGATTGCACATGATAGAGAAAGAACCACCTAATGGACTGTCAATCATTTTGAGACAATCACCACCCAAAAAAATGTTGCATCACACCTTTCATCATCCACCAGTGAAATCTCTTTTCCGAATGATATTCCTCCGAAATAAACAATATCCCATCTATGATATGTTACGATTAGAAGAAAGTATTATGAGGTGTGATAGTAATAAGGAAAATATTTACATTCTCACTAATGAAGGAACTCCCGAAAAAAGTATTATTATGGGAAGTAGTGGAAATGTTGAAAAGTTGGTTTTCACAGAGAATACTATAAAAGATAAAATTCCAATTGTAAAAAGATTTTCTGGAGGTGGGACAGTTCTTGTTGATGAGCAGACGGTATTCGTTTCAATTATTGGCTCACATCAATTTTTGAAATATTCAAGTTTTGATCCAAATTTAACGAGAAAAATTATGGAAAGAGAACAAGACCATGAAATTCAATACAAGGCATATCCAGAAGAAATTATGTCATGGACACATGGGTTTTATAATCCAATTTTTCCTTCAAGTTTAGATTTTAAATTGCGAGAAAATGATTATATTTTCTATGGAGGTAAAAAGTTTGGTGGGAATGCTCAATATGTAACTGGAGGAAAATCTCAACGATGGGTGCATCATACGTCATTTCTATGGGACATGAATAACGAATTGATGGAACGATATTTGAAAATGCCAGAAAAGAAGCCTGAATATAGACATTCCAGATCTCATACTGATTTTCTAGTCACATTAAAGAATAGCTTGTGCAAGGAAGATGAGTCTATTAGAAACCAATCTGATTTTGTGAATTTAATTCGAAAACGAGTTCATGATTTGAGCCATAATGATTGGAAGGATCACGTGAAGGAGTTTGTGGAACTGCATTCATTCGATGATTTTCAACATTTCATAAAAGAAAATACGCTCGTAAGGACAACATTTGTTTGAAGAGATTACAAGTCGTTTCATATCAACGTAGAAATGTTCAACAGAGTTTTATCAAAGTAAATCATATCGTTTTCTAATGGTTTCACCTGTGTCATTGTTGATTAATTGTTCACACAAAAAATGTCAAGTCAAGCGGCCAAGCAAATCAAGGAACATGCTCGCATCATCAAAGACTACATTGCGAAGCAAGATTACAAGGAAGCGCTCAGCGAGTTAAAGAAGGCTATTAAACTTGACCCAACAAACTTCAACATGTTTCTTTATGTTGGCTATTGTTTAGGAAAGCTCTACGCTTCGGAGCATTTGGATGAACAATTCGTGCAGGCTGAACAAGCATATGAGAAGGCGACAACTTTGCAAAAAGACAGTGAACAACCCTTGATGGGATTATCTGAATTATATGAACAAAAACAACAATATCAGAGAGAACAAGATCAAGCCTTGAAAAAGAAGCATTTAAATGTTTATGAAAAATTAAATCAAATATTGAAGAGCAAGGATGATGAGAAGTGGTACAATAATTTATTGAAATATTATAAATTATTTGGCCAGTACGTGAGAAGTACATCGGAAAATGATTTAAGTCAATGTATCGCAAAGTTTGAAGGGTTAGTTCATACCATGATCGGCTTGCTCGGAAAGAAAGATTCTTCATCTGATCGATTTTCGAACTATAGTTACATGCTTGACTTACTATTTATTGATCAATACAATGAAAAGAAGCAAATTGACATTTTGCTAGACAAGCGTATTCAAGAACAAATAGACGAACTGAAAGACAAACAAAAGAAGAAGCTTTTGAAAGAAAAGAAGAAGCTGAGCGAAAAGGAGCTCGAAAAATTATTACCTTCTGATCTCGAGCTGTTACCCCTCAATAAGAGAGAAGAGCTCAGATCCAGCTGGAGAGATGAATCAACTCAACAATATTTGGCTCAAAATATGGAAACCGATGTTGACAAGATGTTGCAAGAAATTTTAACTTTTTGCAAAGAGAAAGATATTTATTGTGACTTTCATGTGTTTGACATGATCATCAATAGATCGCATCAGAGATTGAAACTCATTGAGGACACGACAATAGCAAAGAAGGTAAGAAATTTAGGAACTTGCAGTTTTCAAGTAACACTACTACTAGATCAAGCAATCGCTTGTATCAGTTTGCAAAGAGGCATTGAAAATGCACAAGAACTATTTCAAAGCAATGGAGCAGCTGTTCTTGATAAATGAAGAAGATGACTATCAAATATTTGACGAAAACTATGCGGAAAAGCCTCTAACTAAACGAATGTTGCACCTGTTTCCGTATGAAGGATTGTCCTACATCAAGCTCTATAATTTGTTGGTCAACGAGAACATCAAGATCGACAAAATTGAGGATGAATTAATGGTATTGTTGCAGCGAGGACTTGCCTTGATTCCTTACTTTATTCAAGGTTGGATCTTTCAAACAGAACTCTATTTACAGTTGGAGAAGTACAAAAACGCATCCGAAATTGCCAGGAAAGGATTAGCTATTATTCAAGAGAGAGAATTGACAACTAGAGCATCACTTAAGAAGTAAGTTACACTATTCTAGACTCAACTGTTGACAGCCTGTATTTGATGTATTTACAACAGACTCACGATCAAGCTTAAAGTACTACAGGCCATCTCTTTGCAAAAACTTGGATCTCTCAATGATGCAGAACAAATTTTCAATGAAATTCTTGGTGTAGATCCTAACCATTTGGAGACTATTAAAGGTATTGCCGATATTGAATATCAAAGAGGCAATCTAGCAAAATCTAGAGAATACTATGTCAAAGCTATTCAAATCAACCCTAAAGATGATTTAACACTTTGTCAAACTGGATGGTTCTGCTACTTGGACAAGGATTTCGAGGCAGCTATTCAATATATCAAATCCGCCATTGAAGTTAATCCAAATAATTATTTGTATTACTTTAGATTAGGAAAGGTTTATTGGGATTGGAATGAGAAATATAGAGCCGACAAGCAACATTGCTATTCTTACTTTTTACAATCTGCAAAACTCAATCCCAATTTCTCAACTAACTATACTTATTTAGGATTTATTATCAACATATCGAAAAAGATGAGGATAGATGTATCAAGTGTTACAAGAAGGCCGTGTCTCTTAATCCATTGGAAGAAGAGGCAGGAGCAAACCTTGGCGATATTTATATTGGAAAAGGTCTTCTCACCCTTGCTGCAAGTTTGTTCAAAGACGCAACCTCAAGAAACAATAGAGCTGGATGGGCATGGAGCAAGCTTGGCTTTTATCAACAGTCACAAAATCTTTTAGATCAATCGATCCACTCTTTCCAGCATGCATTGAGAGTATCTCCACAAGATGCTCTTTGTTGGGAGGGACTTGGAGAAAGTTATAAGAGAGAAGGCAAATATTTAGCTGCTCTAAAGGCTTTTTCTAGAGCCATTGAGATCAATCCTACTTTAGTATTTTCATTAGTACAATCTGCATATATCAAGTTTCAGTTAAGCGAGTTTGATAATAGCAGAGAGATTTATGAAAACGTGATTTCCATAGATGAGAAGTATTCTGTTGCATATCAAGGAATTTCAGATGTACTTTTCAAAGTTTCAAAAACATTGTATGCGGATGGTCTATTCACACAATGTGCTCATCAGTTAATCAAAGCACAATGCATTCTTCTTTATGGTATCAGCAAGGGATTTGGCTCCATCATGAGAAGTATATGGAAGTCTCTTGGTGATATTCAAACATTTATGAACTTGTTGCCAGAGAAGAACATCATAGAAGCTATTTTGTCCTATAAAGACACTTTCAAAGGAGAAGACAAGATTTATACTAAGAATTTTAATAGCAATTTGTCTACCAAATTAGATTATTTACAAGAGGCCTCCAAATCCTATGAAAAGTATCTTTCCTTTGACCAGAGCGATAGTGATCCATGGTATGACCTAGCAGTCTCTAAACTTAATCAAATATTTAATATTATTTCCTCTGGTAAAGTACAAAGTATTGACGACTTGACATCTCAAGCTCTCGAACACGTTAAGAAGGCAATATCTCTTAATTCAACCAACAGCAGCTATTGGAACTTGTTGGGAATTTTATCTGACAATCATGTCGTAAGACAGCACTGCTTTATTAGAGCTGTTCAAATTGATACCAAGAACTATGATGCCTGGAACAACTTGGGAGCTCTGTATCTGACCAATTCCAATCTTAAACTTGCACGAAAAGCCTTTTTAAAGGCGCAAGCCATTTATCCAGAGAGTACGGTTGCGTGGGTGGGATTAGCACTAATCAATGAAAATGTTCCAAATAGAGAAGGTATTTTCAGAGCGAAAGAAGATTTTAAACATGCAACTACCTTAGAGAATATTGCTCCTTCCTATATTGGTCTTGCATACACCTCACTTTTGACCAATGATCCTATTGAAGCCGTTCAAGCAATCATGAAGCACTTCCAATTCAGTTCAAGCGATTATGCAGCATGGAATGTGTTAGGTGTTGCTTTGGAAATGCAACAGCATTTTGAGAAATCTCTGGAGGCGTACAACAAGTGTGAAGGATTACTTCTCGATCATCAGATTAAGTCTAAAAACAATGCCCAAGATTTACAACAAAAAGGTTATCTGCAAAATACCAAATCGGTGGCTTTCGATGAGGCAAATCTTTATTCAATTGAAAATATGTTATATCTTACAAGAATTAACAAAGCAAGAATACTATGCAAACTTCAAAGGTTCAACGAAGCTAGCTCTGTGTTTGAGCTATGTAGGAAGTACAGCTCCGAGGACATGGGTATTGTAATGGGATCAGCGGTCACCAGTTGCTTTGCATCTGATTTTTCATTTTCTATCAAGAGTATTAGCTCAGCCATTGAGAATATTATCAAAAAGATCAAAAGCGGCGAGCCACTAGAAAAACGACTTATTGAAATGTACAATTTGCTTGGCCGTGTTTATTACCAACAAAAAGATCACAAAAAAGCAAAAGAGATTTTCGAAAAATGGTATGTATATTTAAGTATTCAAACCACCAGTTTAATTTTCTTTATAGTATGAAAGAGTTTCCAGACCACTTTGAGGCCTATCATAGTTTAGCCTCCCTGTGTGTGGTAATGGAGTCCAAAAATCCTGAACCTGCGCTCAATGTGATAAGACAATTGAAATCAAGACAAGTAGGCGTGAATTTAGAAACAGTCAAGTTAGAAAGCATTATTTATGCAAGCTATGGAGAATATGAAAAGGCCAGAAACGCCATCTGTAGAGTTATTTATTTACATCCATACGAACCAAAATTATGGGATTTGTTGTCTCAAACGACTCTCGAATATCAATTTGTTTCATCCTCATTGGATCAAAAGAAAAAGACAAAGAAGAGCAAATCGAAATTTGAAGTTAGCGAAATTCCGACCTCATCAACAAATTCAGGTGCTATTTCACAACTTACTACCCAACTTATGGAGAGCTCTATTTCACGATTAGCTACAGAAATATTTCCTGAGGATAAGCTTGCTGTTATTGATCGATTGATTAATATTGCATCCATGTACTATGCAATGGGGTCTGCTCCATACTATCACAATGCTTTAGTAACGCTCAAACATGCTTTATCTATGACTCAAAAAGCAATGATGCTAGATCCAAGCAATCCAAAAATATTAAGATTGCTTGCCTCGTGCACACATACCATGTCCATTCTCAAGAAAGAAAAATCAATTAATAAGGTAGCAAGCTCGCTTTTACGGGGTTATTTATCGATTTATGAAAATACAAGCAGCGATTCTGAAATTGCCATACATGTGGCATCTTTAGAGCAACTGATTCATCAAGGAGAATACACAAAGTGTATGAGTGAGGTGAAAAAGTTAATGGAACGATTTAAAGACGTCTCCAAGGTTGAAGCGACATTATTTTCGCTACTTGGAAAGTGTATTCTTGCGAAGGGGGAGAGTATGGATAAGGTCATGAAATTATTCTCCAATGCAATCAAAAAGATCCATCCAATTTATATGGATGGTTTACTCTTTCTGAGCTTTTTATTAATCAACGCAAGTACAATATGGCCAAGTATTGCCTTGATTGTTGTTTAGTGATTTCAAAACAGACCAATGATTTGAACAGTCAATTTGTTGCCAATGCTAAATTGTGTTATATTTGCTTGATGATGTGCGTTTCAGACACAAAGACAGACAGCACTTCAATTGCAAAAAGTGGAATTGAATATGCAAAGAATGCGTTCACAATTAACAATGAGTCAGCCTCTCTCTATCTCATGTATGGCAAGTTGCAATATATTCTAGGGAATTTGGACGAAGCAGGAAACGCATTCCAACAAGCAATGAAGCTGGATCCCGACCAACCTTTATCACGTTTAAACATGTACTGGGTGTATTATGCCAAAGAGGATTGGGGACCAGCTGAAGAAGTATTATTTGCTGAAAAACCATTCATGTCGACCGAGTCTGAACTCTTTTTCACTTTATCCTCATTTGCGTTTGAGAGTGGTATTCCTGACGCAGCATTGAAAATGATTCAAAAAGCCATTCGTTTAGATCCATCTAACACAAAATATTGGGATTATTTGCATCAAATTCAAGAAAGTCTCAAACCAAAAGAACCTGTCAAGCCATCTGGTTCAAGCAAAAAGAAGTAAAAGATCTTGTGTGCAAAATGACCAAATACAAAGGAAGTTTGATGAAAAAAGCAGCAATTCAGCTGAGTCTCAAACGAAGGAAGTAAGATCACTTACAAACACAGTTTCTTGTGTAGATCATCCACAATATTTCTAATCTTTTGTTGAATTCTTCCTGCTCTCTTGTACTTGTATCTTTTGCAATATGGTTGAGACCACTTCGATTGTAACTTGTCATACGCGCAACACAATCTACCAATTCTTTCGGCACCTCCTGAGCCCCATTTGGTTGAATAACCATTCAAATCAAAGGTGGCTGAAATGCTTTACACCTGATTCAATGGTTCAACCGAATGCTGAGGGGTGGTTCTACCCTAATATCCAGTACTTGTGGAATACATAAATAATATTCGTTCAACTTGTTCTTAATAATGGTGGATCGTACTGAAGCTCACTGTTTGCAATGGAGAATGAAATGATCTTTTCTGTCTTTCTTTCTCTTGAATTATGAACTTGTCAATAATTCATATTCCTTTCTTTTTCTTGACGTCTTTGAAGTTGTTTGAGAATTCTAAACTCTTGTTGTAGATCCAACGAGCAGTTCCCATCCACTGATTCAATATTGTCCTTTCTTGTTCATTGGGGTAGAGTCGAATTTTCATAGATTTGTCGGCTTGAAATTTTTGGGCACTGATGGAAAAGTTGAACTCTATCAATTTGAATAACTTGATTCTCTTCGTCCGAACTGATCATGGAAAAGTGAACGCCTTTACAATTCCTTTTCCACCCCAAAACAAAACTTTTGATGCAAAGAATGAATAAATGGTTCGTCAGGAACTGACTGTAGATGAATATAATGACTTTAGTTTGTAATAAATTGTGGCTTTTGTTCTTTTATTTTAGTGCTGAGCCATTTAAAACCGTTAATATAACAAAACCTCCAAAACAAACAAGGTTATTAATAAAGCGTCATCAGGACGGTGTTTTATTACATAGTGATGGTTTTTGAAAGAATTTGCTGTAAATGTTCTTTTGGCTTCAACGGTTTGTGCAAGCCTTGTGAAAAACTACCGCCAAAAAAAATGAGTGAAAACTATTCGTTGACTTCGCAAAATAGCGACAAGTCTTCCACGTCGAAAATGGTGGATGATGATGAAAGCATCATTGAGAAAATTGATTACTATGCAAACAAGGTTAACGTATTTTTCGCCATGCAACCAGCTATTGAAACATTGAGTAAACTAGTTACCGAAAGGAAGAATGTCATTAAAATGATTCAAGAAGGTATGTAACAATCTCTAATATATAGAACAAAAAAGATACATGGATTCATCATCGGGATTGTATCAACAACCCAACACTGACTGGTGCTGATGATTGAACAATATTTTGAATTTTTGACCAAATAATTAATTCATCATTTCATTGCAAAGCGGAAACAAAAAGAAAAGAACAACAAGCAATTGAACAATCTATTCAACAACAGCTACAAGTAACAAAACCTTCTTTGGAAATTGCTTCGGATCCGATGGATACCTTTGACATTGGTGGATGGGATGATGTATTCGAATGCACCACTTCTCAAAATAAGGATTTCAATCATCACAAGCCGTCAGTTGTTGAGGTTGATCACGACACCACGATGATGACAAATCATTCAACAACAACTTCAATAACCAATCCAAATAACACAACGAAGAAACCAACGGTGACGATCAAGAAGAAAACTAATACAAATCATTCTGCTAAAACAAATACATCCTCATCTTCTACATCGTCGCCAGTGCAACCACCATCACCATCAATGTCTGCATCATCATCATCAGATAGTGATCATATGTCTTCAGTTAAGCAAGGAAAGCGTAAAAAACTGCGTACCACCAAATCTAAGTCTGCCTCAGAACACTCTAAGGAAGGTTCGAAAAACGTAGATCCACTTTTTGAAAACATGCCTTCTTCAGACGACGACGAAGAAGTACCTACTCAAAATGCTAGTATGGAGCTAGATGCCATACCCGAACAGAGCACAAATGCAATATTAGAAAGTGCATTTAAACACGTCAGAGGAAAGTTTGTAAAGCCACCCCATTATTTTTATTATCCATCCGAAGATAAGAATGAACAGAGAAAACAAATTTTGTACCCATCCACACTTGTTAAAAATTCTTCCATTCAAAATGTTGAAACAGCCTACAGACAAACAGATAACTTGTGTTACCAAGGTATTCCCTTTTTACCTGCACAGAGTCTATATTGTCCAAAGAAGGCGTCACCTGATAATTCCACTTCCTCTTCAAATATACTTTTAGATAGCGATAGTGAATTGTGTGTACTTCAAATTGCACGAATAGATGCCACAATTCCTGAATTTAGAATTCAAAGATATCTTAGATACGTGGTTAAAGATGACATTGAAGAATTTGAAAATGAATATCAATTTCATTTGACTTTACGTCGAAATAATGAAGGAGAAGACATTCCCTTCTCATCATACTACAAGCCATACCTTAAACGAAAGAAATGTGATAAATTATTAGAAATGAGTAGCAAAGAGCTAAAGGATTTGGGGTTACTTCATGGTGATTTGATTCATTGTCCTTTCACTCCAGCAGAAGTGAAGGTGATCAAGTACTTGAAGACCAAGAAGTGGTCAAGCAAAAAAATTTCCATACTTTTGGAAAATAGGTGTACCAATGACGTGAAAAATTATCTCGAAGATATGGAATCCAATGAAGGCCAGCATGGAGAAGCCCTCACGTATTACGAAAATCCAATGCCAATTGTTGCTGAAAAGACCATATCTGAATTAATGGCTTCAAGAGGCAAACAAGTTGGTAATATATCGTTGAATAATCTTGAGAAATTATCCAAAATGGATCGAACCTTTCCAAGTCATACTCTATTTACTTTGAATTTTCATTATCGCCAAGCATGGTTAAACGCTGAGGTCACTAGGAGCCATTCTCCTCCATTTTCTGGCCCCATAGTAGAAATTGCTTTTAGCAAAACAGGAGAGAAGGTTGCTGCTGTATCCACTAATGGAGAGCCAAATGCTTATATGTTTGATCTCAAACATGGAAAAAGGTATCCACTCTCAGGACATTTGGATACAGTCACAGATGTCAAGTTCACCTCAGATAACTCAATTGTGACATCTTCTTTCGATAAGGCCATTCGAGTGTTTAATGCATCTGACGGAAGGCTCGAAAGGATCATTAAAAAGACAGAGACCACAGATGGCCACGAAGACGAAGTGAGTTTACTAGCTATTCATCCTGAAGAGGAACATCTTGTAGCATCATGCTCTGAAAAAGAGAAATCATTACGGATATGGGATATTCGTAATGGAAACATGGTTGCTGATTTGATGAGTAGAGAAAAAGAAAGGAATGAAATTTCTGGAATTGAATTCTCAAAGGATAATACATTATATGCCATGAGTATACATTCGTTGAATGATAAGAAATGTGGAGACTTGCTCACCTATGACTTGGTTACTTTCCAAAATATTACAAAATTAGTACAAGGAACAATGGAAATGAAACATTTGCACTTTCTCATTGCGGTGATAAGGTATCTATTGGTGGTGAGAATGGTGTGATTCATATTTATAGCACTAAGGATCGAAAAGTGATTGGAAATTTACATAATCAAAGCTTCACAATCGGTTTCATTTGTGAATTGGTCTGAAGATGATTTGTATATTGCAAGTTGTGGTTATGATGGATTAGTTAGAGTCATTGATACTCGAATGGAATCTATTGTTTATACATTTAGACATAATTTAGAGTTTATTCACAAACAAGGTGCTACAAGATGTGCATGGTCTCATCAGCGTGGTACATGGCTTCTTGCAACGTGTGGAGATAATTATGCTACTCATTTGTATTCAATTTCAAGTGGAGACCCTCTCTTAAGATCTTTTGAAGAAAAGAAGAATCCCCTTGCTGTGGTAGCCATGTCACCTGACGATCAAACCATTTGTTCGGGTGACGATGGTGGAATTGTTTACATGTTCTCAACGAATCAGTATGATATTTCTCGACAGTAATTTGTGCCAAATTATTTGATCAATTTCAACCAATCATGATTTTGTATAAATCAGACCAAGGCAGACACTTTTCAAATACAACCTTCAACAAAGTGAGCGAAAGAACCAATCAATTCGCAAGAGAAAGGTCTTTTACGATCACATGCTTCTCTATCTTACACAAACTTGTTTGTTTTGGAAACAATGCACTGTCGTTTGCATTTACAAATATTTCTTTTTTGAGCGAAAGTTCTAATTTGATGAGAGATTACCCTTTCATAGAATGATGCAGGATTGGAAAGGTAGTAGTTTGTGAAAAAATAGCACGGAGTTTGAGCACAAAAACGAAACTGAATCCTTCACAATTGTTAAAGGAAAGCTAAAAACACTTTTTTGGCCTGTTAGTTTACTAATTGATTTCTGTCCTTTTATGCGTCAATGCTTTTGGTACTCTCATGATAGATCAAATTATTATCTCAAACAAGATGACATTATTGCTTGATTCCAACAAGAAAAAAACAACCATGATTCAAGCACAACCAAAAGCTGATTTTCCCACACCAGTTCCAAAGATTTCAAAGAAACGAAGAAGCAACAAGAAGAGCACCACCAACCACGATCGCAATTCATGCTTGTTTCATTTCCCAACCGCTACAAAATCATCGATTCCTACAAACTGTCATCTCAACACTCCATGCCTGTTTCAAACCATGTACCTCCAAGATAAATCCATGATTGCTGTTTCTAAACGAGCCAAACAAGACAAATGTCAACCTTATGAACAAGTTTTGGATATTGTAGTGAACGACCCTGCGAGTGTGGTTCGGTTTGATGGCAGGAAAACGAGTCCCTCACCAACTTCTTCATCGACAACGAGCGAATTCTTTATTAAAAGTGGGTTTTTGTTTGTAAAACCTCCTGTCGCACCTGGCACAACAAAATATTACGAAAAGTCAAGAGTCTTGCAGCATTTGAATGATGAAACAGGAAAATCTACGCCTCAAAGTAGCACCATCATACGAAAGGGAAGAACATCAATGTTGTCAATATACGAGTTGCTCAATTAAAAACAAGTATTCGTGATTACCTTTGTCAAAGAGTATTTCAAAATTCAATCCCTACTGTTGAAGGTTAAATGGCAAAATTGGAGCTCCAGATTCCTCAACATTTTGAGTTTGGGTCACTCCTCCACCAAAAGGATCATAACCAATACTTGTGGAATTGTCCAAAGACTGAGTTGTCTCAATGAATGGCAGTGCTGGCTGTGATTGAACCAGAGTTGAGGGCTTCTGATCTTGAGATTTTCCTTTTTCTTTTCGGTATTTATCAATAATTGACGATATTCTTCACTAAGAGGAACTTGATGAGAATATTCACACAACTCTCCTTTTTTACAATTATTGTAGAGATGGAAAAATTTACATGGGAATAACTTCTTGTCGTGCAGAAAAGGGCACGAATCTCCCTTATAACAATGACCAGTTAAAAAGAATTTACATAAATCTCTCACAACTGGCTTCTCAGGTTCCTTCTCCAATTTCTTTTTCTTGTGCTCCTCCTTACTCTTAGAAGTTGCTTGTTTCTTTCTTTTTTGAGGATCGTTCTTTTTATTTCGTGGTGGTAGAACGTTTTCTTTGATGAGATTGTCGCTACTACTACTACTAGGTACATGTTGATTGGTTGTACTACTGATTGATGGTTTTGGATTTTGGGGTTTTTTCACTTTTGTAATTTTCTTAATTTTAGGTTTGTTTTGTTTTGTTTTTTGTGAGGTGTCTTTTGAAATTTTGAATCCGTATGTTGTATTGCATTACCAGTTTCTGGAATATTATCCAATTGTTGTGTTTGAATTTCCGAATGAATATTTTGCAATTCCGACTGTGTATCCAATAGTTTCTTATTCAGATCAATTTTAGGAGGAATTTTAATAAATTCTTCAAAAACTGTCTTCAATTCGGGTCGATCCCGAAACCATTCTTGTTTCAAAGCTTGGTTCATCAATTGTTCTTGTTCTTGCATTTTTTCGTATTTAAATTTTAAAAGAAGCTTAAAAAAATGAATGAAACAACTGCACCTTCAATTTGTTGGTTACCAGTGGAAGTCTTTCATCACATTTTTGATTTTCTTGATTATATGAAAGACATTTGCAGAGATCCATATTTGAGTTGGTGGATCGCTCCGAGTGAGGAGATGGATCATTTACTGCAATGTCCCACTATTGAAACTTTTGAATCGGAATGTCGAACACTGGCATCGGTAGATTTCTCTCTCCTTCTTACTTGCTCTGTTTTTAAAGAATCCATTGAATCTTACAAGCCAAAGAATTTATTAATGAGATTATATCACTCACCTCATACAACAACTTTCAAACACTGGTATTATTTAGAAGAAGTTCAATACCGTACTTTAAAAACAAGAAAACTCTATCGTTTTCTTGAAGACAATTATCATCACAATTATTTAATTTTGGATTCAAACAAGTATATCAAGTATCTGTATAAATTCGTTAAGAGGCGGAACAAGATCAATCGTTATGCTTTCTTCAATGTAGAGCATGTTGGAATGTTTTTTGATTTGGGTAAAAATTACACCTGTGAAACATTTCCATCCACTTCATTAGATTTGTCATTGATCGTTCAATTGTTTCCTGGATTGAAATTCATGACCTGCTATGTATATGGAATGTCATATTATTTTTCATCGCCACTACCAAAGGGAATGAAAGCCAATTTTGTCAAATATGACGGTTCTCGGTTTTTGTATCAGTATTTTGGAATGATCAAACAAGTTCACACTTCGTGTTGGATTGTAACGATAAGTATGATGGCGATGACATTGTGCAACACATTATGAGCATTGCAGATGACATACCACGTCATTATCATCATGTGGAAATATTAATTTTCATTCTTCTCATGCACGGAAAATATTCAGAAGCAATTCAATTCATTGAAAAATATAATACATTGAACCAAGATTATTTTTCGTACTTGTGGAATATCATTATGCATCACGAAGTTTTTCACAGAACTCACACGAATATTGCAGAGCTCATTCACTTTGTGTTACAACTCAAGAAAAGGTTTAAGCGCATTTCAATTACGAAATTTGAGATTAATACCATTTCTGATTTTGAAATTGTTGAGAAGTTAAATTTTACCGAACATATTCATGTGATGAAGTGTTTGACTTATCAATTTTTGAAAGAAGTGAGCAACAACAACAATAAGAGTCTACTTACATCAATGATTGACAGATATGGAGTTCCTTACGGCTACTTTGGATTGTCTCTATTGCACTGTAACTCGCAATGGATGATTGAATTTATTCAAAATCAAATTCCTGATTATGATTTTAACAGTACAGCTCGTTGTGAGCTTGGTGTCCCCTTTACCATGCAAATAGTGCCATTGTTGAAAATATGTGTCAATTATGAAACCATTGCATTAGATCCCTTTCAACTAGACATTGACGGAAACAATTTGTTACACTATCTTTGTTTGTGTTATACTCACGGTATTCGATCTCTCATACCTACAGTGAGTGATCAAAATTTCACCGAACTCATGAAGCAAAAAAACAAATTTGGCTTAACACCATCTGTTGTCTCTGCTCTCTGTCATGGTGTAACCAATCGAGATCCAGCCGAATTGTCGTGTGAAATTACAATGGAAGTTGTTAAGCGAGGTTGGAAAATTCCTAAAAATTATATTGGACTGAAACTAACACCTTCACAGATAGCAAACTTGCAATGCAGAAACGGTAGTTATGGTGTTGTTCATGATGAGCACTATACAGACATTGACTATAGAGATGAAAATGGAAAACATCCATGCCATTACATTACAAAATACTACCATTATTGCCTGAAAATAGGATACCATCGAGCATGTACCTACCAATAATAATGTGTAAGGACAAGAATGGTCAAATTCCTCTTCAAAATTTAGACGCTAATTTCTCTACACTCATACGTTTTTTGAAGAGCAAGAATTGTTTAGTAGAAGATTTTGTTTCACACTTTGACAATTTTGGGTGGAATAGATTCATGCACTATTATGTATTTGGAGAACAAAAGAATCAAAATATGATGCGAGAAAATATTCTACAAGAATGTTTGGCCATCGCTTTTGATTATTCATGTATTGAAATCCAAAGCTTGTTTCACTGCAAACCATTTATCGACCAGAACAAAAAGAGCTTGAATTTAGAATGAACCAAGTGCCATTTCCCAAAATGTATGGCAGAGTTGGTGTACCTTTTGTTGAGGGTGATGATATTTCTCATCTTGTAATTCGAGTACTGATCGAGAGAATGTCTAGTAGTAGCAACAATAATCATCACTGCATGTACGATGTGTGCATTGTTAGTCATTTGATTCGTAGAGGGTTACGATTAGACAGAAAAAACAGTGAAGGAAAAACAGCCTTTGACCTATTTCAAGAGTTTGCTCAAAGCATCCATTCAGTTGTTGACGCCAGTTTAGTCAAGTTGTTGAGAAAGGGATGCTCTAAGAGTAAGGCCAAGTTGAAATATCGAATTGAATTGACATCATCCCGTCACGTACAAATATGTGAACAATCAGACAAGATATTTCGAATGACCATTGAATGATGCGTAATTATTTACTTGTTACATATTGCTTGTTTTGATTGATGAATGGAATAAAGACAAATGGCATCGTCCGCAATATTGTCTATTTTCATGAGAAGCCATTAAGACACCAGGACCACATTTTGGACAGGTCCTTCTGTTGCAAATAATGAACCCATCTTTTGCTCGAATTTCATAAATGTTTGTCGTAATTGGTAAAAGAACAATGTTTTTGTGGCGATGAATTTTGGGACGAGGAACTACACAGATCCTTTTTTTTCGTTTCTTTTTTTTACCTCCCTTCAAACTCAACAACAAGTGTATAGTACTTTCTTGTTGAATATCGTAATCCAACACAGTTTTCAGATCTTGCAATGGTTTACCACCAAAGAGCAGTCGTTGCTGACATGTGGGAATGTTTTCCTTTTCCGAAATTTGCGATTTGATCTTCTCAATGTGATCATTCCTTTCTATGATTGTCGTAAAGGTCATCATCACGTTGAGTTCGACATCTCTACTTACCGATTTGCAGGGTAAGTGTTTTACCTGTCACAGATTTGACGAATATTTGCATTGTTTTTTTTATTGAAACAAATTCCAAATTGACCTTCCGTTTAGGAAGACATCTACGTTGCCTCTAGAAACCCATCTCTGTAGCATGGTACTGCAAAATGTGGGTAAAGAGATGTTGGAGTGTCTGTATCTTGGAAGACTCTTGAATCCAATTGCTAATCTTAAATTTAACAACATTGGATGAAAGTAAAACGAAAATTCCATTCTTAATTAAATGATCTAAAATTTTCTTCTTGTTGCTTGCCAATAATTTAGAGATGAATTGCTGTCCATCGTGATGATGATGTTTCGTTGTTGTCGAGCGATCATCATTATTGTCTTCAAATCCAACAAGTTCATTAATCGCTGAAAATGTTGAAATAAATTCAAAAACAATATGTGCTTTAAATTCATCCCAGCTCACCAATTTAGAAATGCAATGATACACAGCACCAATAGCCTCAGCACATTGTGTACATGAAGAGAGTGAAAGAATTTGATTATCTTTGCTTTCTAATAATGAATCAAATACAACAACTCTCACAAACATCATGTTCATGATACAATTCAATAAAGTTTGAACACAACTAATTTTTGAGACATTTAAAATGTTGTGTTTGACAAGAGTTTCCAAAATCTCTGAGAGTATAATGACAATATTTGGATCTAATTTCATGACATTCAAATCAGAATAGGAAAGTTTAGCAAGTTCCAAAATATTCTTTCCTCTACTTGCAACATCAATTGAGGAATATGTGAAAATACTTGATGAAACTGCAACGTCTGAAACGAGTGAAATGAGTACATCAATCGATGACTTGGGAATTTCAATTTGACTTGTTCTCATCTCATTAGTAATAAATGAAACAAGTTTCAATAGCTTCACAACCATGGATTGAATCGATGCATTGATTTGCCAATATTCCTTATTCAATGAAGAATGATTGGAAACTGGAACCGAATTGAATAGATAAGATCTCGTGCTAAATTTAAGAGATTCAATAATATTGCACAAATAGAAGAGTAGCTCTTTCTTGTGAATGGACTCTAAACAAATGTGAAGAGATGAAATAATATTCTCTAATTTTGCCACATTGGTCTGAACTTGTTTTTGGTGATGAGATGCGTTTTGTACTGTTATGGTTGGCATTGAATAATGTTGATTGAATTCATTCAATTGATCTAAATGTAGACGGATAAGGAAATCTATTTGTGGCTGTGATAGAGAGGATACCATCATTGAGAGTATTCTTTCTCCTTCGCTCTTGGTTCCAATCTTTTTGTTATGAAGTGATGATACAGTATCATCAAGTGGTTTGTGAAGTGTTGATGCAATATGATCTTGAATGAATTTGACAATTTTCACAAACAAGGAACTAGGTGGAATTGGACACTGAGTGGTGGAACATGAATCTTCGCCAAGACTTGGACCATACAGTGTAACTAGTTCGATCAATTCTGTTAATGATGAAGTGTGCATTAGTGTTGTAGCAACTTGACTTGAATCAAGGAAGCAACTCATACACTCATAGAGATTTCTCATCAATTCTTGAGTGTTCAATAAATTGGAAGAGGGCAAACCTTTTGAACTATGTGAAGTAACCAATAAAATCTTTGCGAATAGAATCACATTCTCAAACATCTCCATAGAGATGTTTCTCTTATTCTGTGTTGAATATTCTACTAGTTCATGTTCAAATTCGTAAATGTTCAATGTTTTTCCCAGTAATGAATTTTGGAACAACAATGCATAACATGTTTCATTCATCTCATCTTCATGATCAAAAGATTCATCACTGCGTGGTTCTATGACTCGTAATTGAGAGAACAATGCACTCAATAACGTGTTCGTAAATCGTACATGCAGCATCTTTGTCGTCAAATCATGATTCTTCAATACATCAACATGTAAGAGTGTTGAAAGAATTGAGTGTGAAAGATCGTGTTCATGCATTGTTGAATTTCCTTTGAGAAGACTCTTAAATAATATTCTTAACACCTCTGCAGTATAAGAATTCAACAATTCAGAGTAGTCATTGGCAATGGTTTTGGATGTAGCGGAACATGTTCGAATGTAATATCTCAATAACAATGGAGAACCTATTTGAATCATCTCTCTAACGTTCTCTTCAGGTAATGTTTTCAAGAGTAATAATTGAACATGTCTAAGAGATGCAATAAATTTGATTCGATTGGATCCAAATAATGGAAAAGTACAATCTGTAAAGTTCTTGCTGGTATTCGAACTAGCAATATCACAATTAATGATTACATCATAGCATAATAACATGCAGAACATGGACATGGCAAATCTCGATGAAAAGTATTTGAATGGGAATAATGGTATCAAGTTGATAAATGGGCAAAGATATTCATTCCAATTTTGAATGGTTTGAGAATAGGTGAACTGTGTTTGGAATGAAGAAAATAAATTCATATCGAGGGAATCTTCTGAAGAGGATTGGAATATTTTGGAATCCACATACTTCATCAAGGAATGAATTTTCTTTTCCACTTTTCTGCAATCGGATAGATCAATTTCCAAAGTTGCTTTTTTGATAATGGACTTGACCTTTTTAGCCCATTTCAACTCGCCAAACAACATGGTTGAAGCATACTTGATAGACTTTTTCACTTCATTGTACAAGAACTCTTCAAAAGAGTCTTGAACATCTCGTTGCTCAAACAACATGTCATCTTTCCATAAATCGAGAGTCACCCTTTCAAGAGAATAGGGTAATAATTTAAAAGAGTTTCCTTTGATCCTAATGGCATTAATGAGTTGAGTTAACATAAATTGACTCAAATTTCTCATATAACTGTCATTACAATATGGAATGATATATAAAAATTGCTACTGATTAAATACCACAACATGGAGAGATATTTCTTCTCATTGTCGATAGATTCAATAAACCCGCCCCAATCATAGCTTGAAATTTCTTCGTGGGAGAAATCTTCATCTTTAAATTTGTGTAAATGCATATATGAATTCAATTCGTTTTGAATAAAATCAAAATAGATTTGGAAATTTTGTGTCAATAATTCTTGTTCTGTCTTGCTTTCTTGAGTTTCATAGGAATATAATTCTTGATTTGAGGTGATCAAGTTATGTTTTCTGATATTCACTTGCTGATTGATGGACATCATTCGTCTAAAGATGATATAGCAATAAATTCCCTTGTTCTTGAAGCTCAGCGTTTGAAAAACGTCCTTAAATGGTTTACCATTGATGAAAGAATTCATAGTGAGTCCAGTTCCATCATAATAGTTGATGACATAGTCTTCTCCGTTGTGATTGTTAATATCTTTCATTGAAAATACATCGGATGAGAATTCCTCTGATCTATAAATGATATTACTCATAGAATAATAGAGCTGAATGACTGCGGCTTGATTTTGCTCACTCATTCCGAGATTCATTAACCTCTTGACGATCTTTGTGCAACATTGTTTTGCTAGCTTTTGCAACTTTTTGTAATTCGATTCGTTGAGAGTAACATAAAACCCAAAAGATGTTAAGGGAAAGAGTAATACCACCAAAAGTCTTTTCGCTTCCTGTTCTCCATATTCATCTAATCTCTGGTTCACTAGATCAATCAAATAGTTGAAATAGATCACAATATCTGTTGGTGCAATATTTTGAACCAGACTCTTAATACTATTTCTAAACGACTCTAATTGAATAATTGGAAAATCAAGATTGTCCGATTTGGACGATGGATCATATCGATGGCAGAGAATAAATCATCAAAGGCTTGTTTTCCTTTTGCAAAGTGCACAAATATGCTCAACATATCCCCCATGAACTCGCTTAAATGGAACGCTTCAATATCTCTTTGTTGAATTTTCAAAACCATTTTCCAGATATAGGAATAATAGCCTTCAATGATTCTGTAGTCCGTAATGATGACTCTTCTCAAGCAAGTCATTATTTGCTTCACTTGGGAGGTTGTTAACGAATCTAATTCAAATATTAAAATATTTCTAAATACCCGATTTACCAGGCCTTCTAAAAACTTGTATGGAACTGAATTTTCTGATGCTGTTTTGTAGATATCAAAATCATGAAGAATTCTCAACAAGGTTTCCAGCAATGAGAAGAAATCTTCTTGTTGAATATTTCCCTTGTTGTACTCGAGAAATATCAACCAAATAATACTAAACATGAAAGCTTGTTTAGTTTTGATGTATAGATTTGTTGATTCTGTTAGAAATGTATTGTGATTCACTTCATGTTCAAATGCTTTGTAAATGAGATTCATAGAATGGATCAATGAAGAAGGATTTTCTCTAGAAATAGAAACTAGTGTTTTAAACAAATAGGAAACATTGTCTCCAATGTTTGCTTTCAGAAATTGGCATTTAAATGACAGAGTATTAGACACGATTAACCCGTAATTATTCATATCTGTATCAATCAACGACTTGGAAATTCCACCATTGGTGTTTTTGAGATACTGATAAATGATATCATCCATGTGTACAAGTTGTTCGTCCATTCTTTGTTTGAACAATAGGAAATGTGGTGTTTGTGATAATTTTAAAAAGTTTTCTTTCAAATAAATCATTTTCTTGACAAACATAGCGGTAAACACAATACTCATGGAGGATTGACGTAAAATTATAGATGTAAGATTAAGGACACGCGAAGAAATGTTGAGATACGTTCGAAAAGCCCAATCAAATTTGTGTGCATGATGACTGGAGAGTATATGAGCCGAGATTCTATTCAAGGATTCAATCATTTCTAAAATTGAGGATTCGCTTAGATTGGCTGTAAAAACGGCAGAGAAAATTTCATTGAGTGATAAGGCCACAGAAATAATTTTTCTTAAATCTGTTTCTTGCTGTGAGGTCTCTAAGCCTTCGTTGTTTTTAGAATTCAATTTATGGGCAATGAATTCTTGCGAGATTTGTTCAAGTAGAGATGACGCATCTTTATCTTTTTCCCAGCCATAGGTATTGGATGAATAGACATCTCTAAGGACTGTTTCATAAATAAATAAAAACTTTAAAAAATTAACATTTTTCAAACTATCAGAATTTGAGGACAGTAGTGAGTCAAGAACTTTTTTGTGTTTCGAAGTCAGAATATCTACTAATTTCAAAAGTATGACAAATACTTGTTTGTTGGCATGTTTAAAATTCAGACATGTAGAAACAAGCCCAAATACTGAATATTCCATAGTATTCAAAGTTAAATTAGAAAGAAGACGCTCATCAAAATGAGTAAATAATTTATGAAGAGAAGGATAGTCCAAAGTATCGGAATGGTTTTTGTCAAACAATGTCGCTCCGATTGATTTAGCATCGAACTCTTGAATCCATGACCTGGATTCTTGCTCTAAATTATAATATTCCAATTCCTGTTCTTTAGACTTGTTGGAGGTCTCCGTAATTTTGTTCTGTTGTTGAGGATGGTGAGAAAGCAACATTTTTTTTGTGTTCAACAATTACTATGAAGCCAAGCAGACAACATCATTCAGCCCTCTTTCATAGCAATAAAGTACAATATTACTCCTGGAATTGTTTCCCTCCGACTCTCCACAATGACATCATGATGACGCAATTTAGGGCCGACAAAACAGAACAAGAATAATATAACGAAAAAATGATTTCAAACAAGCCACCAACCATGACGCCCGCTTCCTCCATATCTTCGATTAACCACACAATCGGTGATCAGGAACAAATAATACAATTCATTTTGAGAATGTTCAAATGGAGGCAATTAGATTTCAAAGGAGCACTCACACAGATGGCTCAAATTATCATTTCACCGGATACAGTGTACAAGAACGCTAGAAATCGAAAATGTAGGTCATCGGAATTGATATTATACATTTATATATCTAATATATGGTAATTGTCTGTAGATATCAAGGATAGATATTCGAGAGATGATCCAGCTTTTGTAATATTATTGGCTATTTTCATGTTGATAATCGGATTAATCTATTCAATTACATTCCACAAATTATCATTATTTAATTACGTTTCCCTAATGTCCTACTTGTTCCTGTTTGACTTTTTATTCATTGGTATTTTCATATCGACGATATGTTGGTATGTGTTTTTTTCATTATTTAGGAACATACATTCGAATTTATTATTATTTTAGGCTTATTTGTAACAAGTTCCTTATTGATGCAGAGAGTGGTGGAAACAACAATCAAGAAAATGTGGAGTGGCTGTACAGTTTTGATGTTCATACCAACTCATTCATTCCAGTTTTCATTCTGCTCTATGTGGTTCAATATACCATGCTTCCGATACTTACAATGGACAATATTATTGGAACAAGTCTTTCTGCCTTGCTCTTCATGTTTGCATTTTCATACTATAACTATTTAACATTTAAAGGATATTTAAATTTGACTTTTATCAAAAACTCGGAGATATTCCTTTATCCTATTGCAGTTATCTTAGTGTTTACAGTTGTCTGCATTTTCACAGGTATGTACACTATTTAATGTTCATGAAATGACATGACTTGTGGCGCATATACTTTCAGGCTTTAATTGCACAAAGGCTGTGCTCTCAGTGTACATTGACCCCAAGAACAATTAATAAAGAACAAAAATGGCGAAAGAAAAAATGCGATCATCACTCTCTCTTTTTCTCTGCAACACTCTTTTCAAGACTTCTCAAAAGCAAGGCTTGATATCTTTATTAGCAATCCCACGAGGCTTGAAAGCATGTGCAAACATTGTTCATAGTGGTAGAGAGAAAAACAACACAAAGTTTTTGATAAGAAATTTCGCTTCGGAGCAATGTCGATCATTTTCCTCTTCGAGAACAGAGTATGAACAACAAAGAACAACAAATCCTTTCGAACAAAATCTTTTGGAAGGAATTACTAGTTTCTTAAAAGATACTCAAGAGTGCTTTGTTTCTGGAGATGCCATCCAAACACAAAAGAGATATGAACAGTAAGTGGGTCTAGATATTCCGATGTCATGTCAACTCAACATTGACTAAAATTACAGAATGTACAACACGTTAAACAAATCTAACTTGATGTCTTCACAAGATACAAAAAACATTATAGATGATTTGATAAAAACATCAGTTGAACATATTACACAAATTGAAAAAGTCTTTCAGAAAGAAAAGGAAAATATTATTTTCCCACTCTATAAAGTGTATTGGAAAGCAGCAACTGCTCTACAAGCAATCGGAGAGATCGAAAAAGCTCTCAAGCTCATAAGTAATTCCTTAGATATTGTCCCAAAAGACAATTCCGAAGAACTCCCTCAAATCAAAATCATCAAGGCTAGTATTCTCAACAGCATGGGTCTTCATGACCAAGCATTTGAACTGCACACAAAAGCAATTGCTGACATTGGACCAAAAGTCACATGGAAAAATGGCAGCGAAGCAGCCATTGCTTTTCATGAATTGGGAGAGTATTATTTAGGAGTTAAGGGTGAAACCGGAAAGGCTATTCAAAGCTTCGAAAAAGCTCTTTCTATTTGTGAAGGTTTTTATGGATGGACAACTCCTCAAACAACAAAAACAGCAATAATTCTCAGTAGATTATATTTGGAAACAAACAAAGTTGATTTTAGTATTATACTTGGTGAAAAGGCATTAGTAGGAATAGAATTGTTCCTTGACAGCTATGAGGCTCCATTCATCACAATTACTGGAGCCTACTTAGCAAGAGCGTATGAAAGAAAGGGCTTTTTACCATTCCAACAGTCTACTATTACAAAAGTTTACAACATACTAAGAAGGAAAAAAGCAGAAACTGATGCTCAAACTTACATGGAGTGCGTTTTCAAGCTAGAAAATATGATGGGTTCATGCAGATTCCTTCAGGGACATTTGAAACTTGCTGATCAAACCTTTTCCAAGTTGGATCAACTTGCTGAATCCGTTATGCCTGAATGGCTCAAGAAAGACCCTGAAGAAGCAAAATTTGAATTGGCGTACATGAAATATTTCAAAGGAGTGTGCAAGATTGGATTGAAGGAGACAAGTGCTGGTGTTAAAGAGTTGGAACAAGCAAAGGCAATCTTTTTGGGTATTGAACGTGAAGATTGGGCCAATAACTGTGATCATTACATAAACACTTCCAAGTGAATGTATTCGACTTAATGATTTCGTACGACAGGCTTTTGTCATTACGCAAAGAACCATCGCCAACAAACAATTGTTGATGTGGTTGAACGTTCCAATGATTTGTTTAGTGAAGGTATTTACAAAATTGATACTCACAACCACTTGTTTTCTCGGTTATCCTCTTGCATCTAGCAGCTATACAATTACAGACAAATTTTGGCGCCAAAGTTCACTCAAATTTGAGAGTTTACCAACTTGCAGCAGCTTTAAAAACAAATATCCTAACATCAAAAACTCATGCTAAAATTTGTCTGAGCTTATAAATTCAAATCAAATCTGAAAGTTGGGAACTGAGTTTAGTAAATTTAAGGTAGAATTAGACTGCCAGCGCTAACAACAACAATCACGAATTTTCATTTTGAAAACTCGATCATTATAATAATAATACACAATTTGTAATTTCGCGAAATGCCTTATTGTAGAGGAGGTGGAGGTGGAATGTTTCCAGTACTATCATCACCAATTCCAGTCAGTAAAGGAGGAGGTCCATTGAATGGCATTGGAAGTCCCATCAATGGCACAAGTGGTATCTCCATAGATCTCACAAACGAGACACAATGTCCTTCCCTGGCGTGCCTTTCCAATTCTTCTACTGTATGAACACGAAACACAGTTTTTGAACAAGTTGGACAAAATTTGTCAAAATATGACTTGAGTTTGGAATATCACTGAGTTCTGTCGCTTGTAACGGACACTTGTAGATCCATTCACAATTTTCAATAGAATCCATTTCGAAAGGATTCACACCTTCAACATCTATTTCATTGAAACTTGAATAGAGTGGAGATGTGTTTCGAAGAACAAGTGGTAGTGGTGGTGGAGGTGGAATTGTTCCTTCTTTTTGATCTGAAATTATTGTTAAATGTTTTGCTGGTCTCAATAATTGATTTCTAAATAAAGTCGTTTTTCGAATCTTGTCTAAATGTAGAGAAAGTGGCAATAATTGTGGATGATATAAATTTAAATGAGCGATACGTCTACGCAATACATGCATCCAATTGTGAATTTTCATGTTGGCATATTCAAAACGAGGAAAATATCGACAGACATGAAATTTCCAAATTAATTGTTGAACCATGACGAAGGATTCATCTTGATGTTCCATTAATTCATCTTTTTTATATTCAGATGCTAATTCTTTGGTCTTCAAGAGATGATTACGTGTGTATTCATCTTCCTTTCCAAAGAATGGAAGTTTTGGGAAAAATTTATATTCCCACCAAACAAGGAAAGAAATTGAACTCGTTTTAGATTTTGATTAAAGAATAATTTGAGAAGAATTTGATGAGTTTGAGAAAAGTGGAATAAATCTGGAATGGCAAGAAAGGTACCGATGTGAATATGAATTTCCGTTGGAAGTTGTGACAACAATGGAGATGATGATGATGGAGAGTGATCTATAGATGATGACCATGAGGAATCTAATTGAAATTGTTGAATTTTTTCTTTGATAGGTCTATTTTTGAGAGTTAGTCTAGAAACATGGTTCGCAAGTTCATGTTTGACAATTGACCTTGAAGACAGAATAAAAGCTTCTTCCACCGAAACTTGTCAATTAATGGTCAAAGGTTTATCAATCTCTCCTTCCGTCATTTGAAGTCTTCTGGTTGGATGATTAAATTGTAGTTATGAAGCTTGCAATGCTTTAGTCAGCTCCCCGTTCACCAGTCAACCACAAAAACTCTCCTCAACCTGTTTTTGTTCCAACATTTTGTGTTTGGCCGGATTACAAATCCTCCGCTTCAACCGAAAGCTGGAGTGACTTCTGAGTTGTTATCCTGCCTTGGTCCAACATAAAACTTTGTAACGGCTTTACAACGACGACCTAAAGTTTTAAAAAAAAAATACCAAAACAACAACTTTCTGCGATCATCATCACCAACAACAAAAATGTCTGATAACGAAGGATCCGACTATGAAGATCACGAATTGAAGAAGAGGAAGAGGAGGAAGAAGAAGAAAGCTACGAACCATCACAAAAGAAACCCAAATCAGCAGCCAGCATGTTCATCGATGATACTGCGCAAGAAGATGATGAAGAAGAAGAGGAAATGGGAGAAGAAGACTTTGAGCACGAAGCTGCTGCATATCGTAAACCAACCGCTGTTTCGGAGCTTCCTCAGCCAACCGCACCAAGACGAAAAGACGTTATTGCTAATCTTGAAAGAAAATATATCGGAGGAGGTGATGAGTACGAAGATGAAGAAGATGAAGTATACAACACCGCAGTAAGAGCCACCCAAAAACAATCAAACCTACCAACACCCGAAGATCCAAAGCTATTTTTGGTGAAGTGTAAACAAGGAAAAGAGAAGGAAGCAGTTTTCACTCTGCTACAAAAACATTTTAACTTGAAGAATTCTCCTGTGAAGAAGGATCGTCTTCAAATTACATCAGCATTGTATATAGAGGGTTACAAAGGAAAAATTTATATTGAAGCTCTTAAAGAACTGCACGTAAAGCAAGCTATTCAGGGGCTGAGTCATCTTATTTTTGAAAATGGTATCAAGTTAGTACCTTTGAAGGAGATGCCTGATGTTTTGAATATCAACCAATTGTCAACAAAGTTAAAGGATCTCAAAATTGGTGACTGGGTAAGAGTAAAAAGAGGTACATACAAAGGAGATCTGGGTAAAGTTGTTGGCTTGGATGAAGCCAGAGGTTTATGTCAAGTAACTCTCGTTCCAAGAATTGATTACACAGGACAAAACGTAAAGCGCCCACCACAAAAGTTATTTGATAGAGAACTTCTTCCTCAGTCTGAACAAGACAAAGTAGAAGATTTAAGAGATAATGGAGTTGTTTATCAAGGTAACAGATTCCAAAACGGATATTTATACAAACAAATTCACCTCAAATCATTGGACACAAAGAACATTGAACCAACAATTGAAGAAATCCAAACTTATTATCAACATGAAAATCCAAGCAAAGCAATTTCTCTTGCAAGAAAAACGTACTTTAAGAGAGGCGATCACGTTAAAGTTGTTAAAGGCGATTTGCGAGGAATGTATGGTGTAGTTACCAACGTAGACGAAGATTCTCAACATGTAACATTTATTCCAAAGAATCAAGACATTCAGACTCCTCTCGTTTTTCCAAGCAATCAACTTCAAAAACACTTTACTGTTGGACAATTTTGTAAAGTTATTGGCTCAGGAAGCAAGTGGGAAGGAGAGGCTGGATACATTGTTAGTGTCAACGAAGACGATGACACTGTTGTTCTTTATAACGAGGTTAAGAGATGTGAAATGACAACATTTATCAACGAAATTCAAGAGACAACAACTGTTGCTACCGAGGGCAAAGTTGGTAACTATTCATTGTTTGACATGGTTCGTCTTGATACTCAAACAATGGGTGTCATTGTGAAATTTGATTCCAATAAGAATGCTGCAGACACCTTGGTACATATTGTTGACAACAATGATGCGGTTCGATCTTTGAAATTACAAGAATTGGGAAGAAAACAAAATACCAAAGCGGGTTACAAAGCTCCTGATAAGAACAAACACTTAGTTGGTATTAGCGATACCATTAGAGTTGTTGATCCAACGTCTGTACATTTTGGAAGAGAAGGAGTTGTTAAACAAGTGTTTCGAAAGTTCCTATTCTGTTGCTCGATTGACCTGATTCAAAATGCAGGTATTTTTGCTGTGCCATCCTACCACTGTGAATTGAGAGGAGCAAGAAATAGACAAATTCTTAACTCTCAAACTTCTGGTGCTGCAGGTAACACTACAAATAAGAGAGGATTTGTCTTTTCCAAGAGAAGAAGAAGTCATCCATGGACCAACAAGACAGCCATTATCACAAAGGGACCATACAAGGGATATTTAGGTATTGTCAAAGATGCAACAGACACAACCGCTCGTATTGAATTACACTCACAAAACAAGATTATCAATGTGGACATTTCCTATGTTGATATCAAAGTGGATGGCGCTAAACCAAAGGAACGCTTTTCAAGTGTGGCAACTCCTTATCACAGTTCAGGGGCAACCACACCTTTCCACTCAACCAGTGCTGGTATACCATCCACGCCTTGGGACAGAGACTCTTCAAAGACACCTCTTCACACCTCTATGGGTCATGAGACACCACTTCGTCCTGAAACACCATCTCTTCGTCATGGCGGTGGCGATGCTTGGAATCCTCGTAAACCAAATACTCCAATGCATGACTGGCAAGATAGTGCTCCAACCCCTGGTGCTTCAACTCCACATGAATCTTACACGACTCCAGGTGTTCACATGAGCAATCCAACACCTGGTGGCGCTACTGCCATTACACCTGGTGTTGAAGGTTATGGATATCATCATACTCCAATTACACCAGGTCTTGGTGCCTCAACTCCTCATGACTCATATACCACTCCAGGTGGTCAAGCAATGGGTGGAGATTACTCTGGTTATGGATCTGTATTGACACCTTCTGTTTCTACACCTTATGGAATGAACCCAACAACACCAGGCATGCATCATCCAATGACTCCTGGAATGAATATTTATGGTGCTGCAGGAATGATGCATCATCCGATCACTCCAGGTGTTGTGACTCCAGGAATGAACCCTGTGACTCCAGGAATGAATCCAATCACCCCTGGAATGATGCATCCTATCACTCCTGGTGCCAATCCAATCACTCCTGGCCATCATGATTATGAATAATTCGTAACTTGCAGTAATAATATTCTTGTACATTTTGATTCCAAAAGATGAAATAATTTAATTTACTAAGATAAACTAGAGTTCGTTGCACTCAACTGATTACCATTCATCCAAATCACAACATCAAGAGAATCAAGCTCAACAAGCACCACGTCGTCATCGATATGTGAATTGCTCATTGCACGTTCAGCAATTTCCTTATTTCTCAACATTGCTTTTTTTTGAAAGGCTGACGTTGCCATAAAATCATTCTCCAGATCGAGCTTTGGAAATAGCACAGTTCCGTTGTTAAAAGGGTTATGTGCGTCTTGCGAGACTTTAGCGCTTGAAAGAAGATCATTTCCGATGACGGCGTCTTCTTTGTCATTTATTTCGTCGATATTGAAGTGTTGCGAAAATAAATTTCTTCTTGTAGTTCCTGTAAGATCCATTTTCCAACAATACGTTGTGTTTGGTGAATTATTTTGAATTTCTGTATTGTTGATGATTACATGTTTGAATGAAGCAGACATCAATCGAAATTTTTTTTAGTAGATGTAATTTTAATTTAGTTCAACAGCTCTCCCAGAGACAACATTCTCGTCCTAACAACATGAGTTTTATCGCTTGTTGCTTCTGTTGTTGTGTTAACATGATGAATAGGTGGAGAGAAGTGCTTTGAATCTTTGTTCCTTTAGAAGAACTCTTATAGAAAGGGAATAATCTCGTGGTAGACTTTCAAGCTTGAATGGGACGAATTCCAAAGAAGGCGAGAGTTTATGTACCTTATTTTGTAATTTTGACGCATGTGGGTGGGAGGGTTGTTGAGTGAGTGGATTTATGGATGTCTTATTACACAAGAGATGTGTTAGAGTGTTAGAGGTGTTGCTATTCGTAACGAGTTGTGGTGCAGAGGAGAGTACAACCAAAGAAGGAGACGAACAAGTCGAGTTGTTCAACGTCATTGGTTGAACACTTGGAATGAGTGTATCATGGCACATTGCAGAGATGTTCTTTTGCGAACACCTTAGGGTGGATGGTTGGGGATTTGAATGGAGTGGTTGTTGTACATGCCATACCAATGCGTTCACTCTTTGAGTGGTACTAGTCATTTGATAGTTTTTACAGCTCTTCCAATGAAAGAAACATTTGGAATCACATGACTTGCTTGTCTTGGCAATTTTACATGGTACTTTGGCAATATAATCATGCTGGAGAGGATTTGTCGAGTTGTGTTCATTTGGGGCAAGGTCACCTTTGTCGTTTAAAGTATGAGAAGGCATATGGTACAAAATGTTTTTTTTTGAAATTGGTAATTGAATGGCATCTCCACATGTGATCGACAAGTGATTTTAAATGTTGTCAAGCTCAAATAATGAATGAACGTTTAAGTAAAATGTTCTACTAGAAATACCATTCATGCCAATAGAGATACATTTATGAGCTTGAGTAGAATATAAGAGGAATGGTTGGAAGCTATTAAAGTTCTTGGCGTTATTGCGAGATACGTGACAGACAAATTCATGCAGCTCATTTGTGGTCAACTCACATTTTAATCATGTGGCAAAAAATTACTCATAAAGGCAATTTCGAAACACGAGTGAAAATGAAGGAATAATGTCTATATATGTGACGCAGAGTAGGTCTTTGTTTGAAAGGAGTTATTGTTTGTATGAAATTTTCTTTTGAATTATTCATGAATATTGTGATAGGTATTAAATAAGTAACTTTAATAAATTTACTCGGAAAAGAACAGTAATCGCATTGCCATGAAGATGCAAATTAGAGAAATCCAAGGGCTTAATCGTTCACCCACTCGGGCACATTTCCAAAATATTCCAACAAATCTGATTTACAAAATTTGATATCAATTTCATGAATTATTATTATGGTCATCACAGAAATTTGCAAGTAGAAGATTTAAAAGAATATTATTATCATAATAATTAATATTTTAACAAATTATTATTCATCATCCATACCCTTGTTTCCGATCATCAAGCCAACTGGCCTTGTACGCATGAATATAAGCACTCGTACAAATGAGTAATACCACACTCAGTATCAGACTTTCAAAATTAAACAATGCACTCTATTCCGAATCCATTCAGCACAATAATGAGATCAGTGTGATCCGATGAAGACCAATTGATCAACACATACCATGATTATTCAGAATAATGTATTTTTTATAGAGTTGTTTTGCAACAAAATCGTGTCAGAATCATTGAACGATCGTTGCATGATGCTGTTACTAATTATTAATATACTTTTGTTAACTCACGTGGTTTGAATGTTTTCAACATTAATGAAAATAACACCACAGGTAACGAAGAAAAAATCTCAGAAAGACCAGCCAATGCAGGAGGTATGGTCACACCCAATACAGGAAACAAAGCTCCAGCTGCCAATGGAATTCCAATCAAGTTATAAAAGAAGGCCCATGCAAAATTCATCTTAATTCTCTGAAAGGTTGTTTTTGATAAATCCAAAGCGACAAGAACATCTTTCAAATTACTCTTCACTAACACCACATCTGCTGTTTCTAAGGCAATATCACTTCCTGCACCAATGGCCATACCCACATGTGCTGCTGCGAGAGAGGGTGAATCATTAATTCCATCACCAACCATACATACGGTTCGTTGTTGTTTTTGATGATGACTCGTTGTCGTATTCGAACAATATTGAAGTTCTTTCACTTTTTGTGCTTTTTCTGCAGGTAACACTCCTCCCATGAAATGATCAATTCCAATTTGAGAAGCAATATATTGAGTGGTACGAGGATTATCTCCTGAAATCATCCATACTTCAATTCCACGTTGTTTTAATTCATGGACCACAAGAGAGGCTTCTTCTTTTGGAGTATCTGCTAATGCAATCATTCCAATGAGTGTTGAGTTGATGGCTACACATACCACTGTTTTTCCTTCATTCTCTAATTGATGAATTCGTTCTTGGAATGATGATGGAGGAGGACATGTCTTGGAATGTTCTAAAATAAAATCGAAATGACCAGCAGCGACCGAGTAGGAATGTTCTTCTTCTTTGTAGGAATGTTCTTCTTCTTTGTGGATGTGAGAATCGGTTGCAAATGTATGGATCAATGAAACTGAACAAGTGAGACCTTTTCCAGGTTCAGCCACATAATCTGTTGGATTCGATAATGAAATTTCCTTTTTCAGTGAATGAACATGTTCAACAATTGCTTTTCCAATAATGTGTTCACTACCCATTTCAGCACTTCCAATGACTTGTAAGAATTTTTCTTCACTCCATTCCAAAGCATGTTCTTCTAAAATTTCAATGTCTGTCACAACAGGTTTTCCATGAGTGACCGTTCCAGTCTTGTCAAAAATAATGCAATTCACTTTGTGACACATTTCCATGACTTGCCCACTTTTAACCAAGACTCCAAATTTAGCAGCCATTCCAATACCAACCATTACAGCAGTTGGAGCTGCCAAGCTAATTGCGCATGGACATGAAATCACCAAAATGGCCAATGCAAACTGTAAAGCAAATGTAAAGGGATGCATATGTTCTGGAATTTGTAACACTTGAGAATAGGCAAGAGAAATCCACAATGCAAATGCCAACGCAGACAAGATCATGATAATTGGGACAAAATACGCACTCACAGTATCAGCAATTCTTTGAATAGGTACTTTTGAAGATTGTGATTCACGAATGAGCTTGTCAATGGCTGCTAGTGTATTTTCTGAGGCGATTTTTGTGACCTTCATAAAAATTGTTCCATTTTGATTGATGGTACTTCCGAATACGGAATCATGGACTCTCTTTGGCACAGGCATCGATTCACCACTAATCATGGACTCATCCACACTTGTTGTTCCATGAATGACAATACCATCGGTGGGTATTCTTGATCCAGGTAACACTTTGAGAATGTCGCCTCTTTGAACTAAATGGATATCAATTTCTTCTTCAATGAGTGGTTCTTGAGGATGATGGTTGTGTGCTGTTGTTGTTGTTTGAAAATGGTCTGAATGTTCGAGTAATTGAGAAACACTATTACTGAGTGACTTGGTATGAATCCATAAGGCTCGATTCACTTTCAATTCCATCATTTTCGATAACATGTTCGAGGTTTGTCCTTTTGCAACCATCTCTAAAAATCTTCCCAAAATGATAAAGGTCAATAACATGGCACTCGTTTCAAAGAATACTTCAGCATGATAACTCTTCAAGAAAAATGCAACCACCACATTGACCACGGAATAGAGATAGGCTGTTGTCGTAGAAAGCATTACCAGAGTGTCCATATTCGGTTTTCTTGCATATCGTAAGGCTCTATAGGCTGATAAATATAAAGGCTTTCCGAAATAGAATTGAATGGGAGTGGCCAATAACCAACACAGTAACACGCTTCGATTTAAGCCTTGTATAATCTCTTGTTCCAAATAGGCATCCAATTCATGCATCATGGGTACAACAAAAACAAGTAACATGACTGGACAACATAATCCAAAACAAATCCATAAATTCCTCTTCCAAACCTCAATTCGGATTGAATTGCTGTTGAAGCCTGAGAATTCTCATTGGTATCATTGAATAAGGAGACTGAGAGGCCATACTGACGTGAAATGAAATCTTTCAAAGAACGAGCACCTGTTTGATCAGGATCATAATGAATGGTGAGTATTCTCTTTTGAGAGTCGTAAAAAGAGCCTGAGAGAGCTTTTGGAAATTGGTCTTTCATACCTTGTTGAAGAAGAGTGATTTGTTGAGGTGCGACCTCCTGAAGGAAATAATAAGAGACAATTGAAGTGTTTGTCATGGAACTGCTATCACCATCATTGGAACCAGCAAGAGGATTAACTGCTTTCGAGTAGGATATCCTAACCTTTCAATATGTTCAATAATTTCATCCTCTCCAATGAGTGAGGAATCATAGACAATTCGTGCAGAGTTAGTAATGTCCATGACTCGAGCTTGAGAAATTCCCTTTCGCTTGAGTAAGGTCTCTTCTACCATCGTGGCACAATCAGAGCAATGTAGTTGTTGGACTGTGAGATGAAGAATGGTCAACTTTGAATCTTTGATATGAACTGCTATGGATGATTCATCACAGTCTTGGATTTGAGAAAGGTGTTGCATAGTGGTGGACTTTTTTGAACATTTCCCACTGGTGCAACATGAGGATGTTTCTTGCAGTGGTTTTGAGCAGGTTGTTGTTACTTCTGAAAGATTCATGGAGGCCTTTTTACAACAAGATTTGATACATCCGCTACTCATGCTTGAGGTGCTCGTAGTAGTGGCGGTGAGGTCTATCTGGTTTGTTTTTGTGCAACCTGACTTGGTGCAACAGTTGCTAGAGGATGGGACAGTAGCTCCATTCGAGCAACAGGTCTCCTCTGAAGCCTCCTCAGTAATAACGGCTTCATTCTTCACAAGTTCTTCTTTCTTCTCTCTCTTACTTGTTGTCTTGTTTAAAACAGAGAGAGTGATAGTCTTGGTATTGAGATTACGTTTTTTGAAAATGTTTGGTTTTTAGCAGCTGTTGTTGACACCGATCGAGTTGTTTCAGAATCGCAATTGGTTGAAATTGTTTGTTGAGAATTATTTTGATTGTTGTTCTGACAGCATCTTGGTCCTTCCTCCTTTCCGTCATATCCATGGCAAGTTGTTTGAGTTGTTTGCTGTTGTTGTTTGGATAATTCCTTTTCATTGTCACTAACTCTACAACAATTATTTGAGCAATTTGGTCTTGATGGGATAATCTTCAGTTCGTCCTCTTTTATCTTTCGACAACATGATTTTGTACATTTAATTTCGGTGTCTTCAAATGTTGAATCATCTCTAGTGGTAGTTCTTGATGCAATATTTGGTCTTTCGGCACAGAGATCGTTTATCGCTTCTTTACTCCGTTCATAAGAACAAGAGGCTTCTTGGTTGCTCGAAAATTTTTCATCTTCGGTAATTGGTTGCGTTTGTTCATCTTCAGTATTCTGAAGGTCCAAAGTTGCGGTCAATAATAACGGACGTAATAATGGGTCCTTCATGGTGTGTTGTTGTTTTCTTTCTCATGAAATATTTACCGAACCGACACTAACTTCAGATTTGAACACAAATTTGAGACAAAATTTCACCATTATTTCACTGCTGCATACAAGACGAATAAAGACAAACATGTGACACCAACCACATCAACAATGAATATGGACCAAACAAAATCGACATTGCGGACCACTCTCCCATGTAATTCCAGAGTGAAATGAAGGGACAAATAAAAATGAAAAGAGTCTCTCAAGATGATACCGTGCAGATAAATTCGGAAACTCCCTCATCTCAAACAACATTCAATTCTCATACAGAAAATTCTCAATCATCGGAATGTGTTAATTCAAAAAAACAAAAATTAGAGGAATTCGAATCGTCTTATCTCTATGATGCATATCATCAAATCATTCCCCATAATCCACAATATAGATATTTCCTTGAGCATGATATTTTCAGAATTGTTTCAAAATATTTTCCAAATTTAAGACAATTGAAACAGGACACTCCTGTTCCCATTCCTAACTCCGACCAAGATTTAGAAATGATGGAACATGTTAACAATTCTGACAACAATAATTCACAACTGATGAACGAAAAAGTGAAAAATATGGAAAAACAACGCTATACTGTGCAGAGACGAATTGCATTCTTATTAATCGATCAAGTGTTTAAGCAGCCCAACCATTGCTGCCCGTTCTGTTGGCTACCCATTAATTATTGTGTTTGTAAAACCTTTATATATGCATGGCGAGAAAATTCTCATTTGAGATTTAATGATCCAACATTGAATTTAGAATATAGCAAGCATAATAAGCCTACTGACTCTCAAATTCGAGAAATGTTGGAAATTGTAAAGCATTCTGAACAACCTCGCCTCTTCAACATTCAGAGCCATATTTGAAATTTATATTGTTGATGCATACGAAGGAGTTTTTTAGGAAATCCAATACTGGTAAAGTATTAATGGATACACTACCAGACGGATTTGTTGAAATTTATTTAGTAGACGTGGAAGAACATGAAAGAAAATTTTGTGAAAAGTATCATCTCAAACCAGGTGACACTTTTGATGACAATTTAACATTTTTACTATTCCCATCAGATGATGCCTATGATTTGGATGAAAATTTTATAAAATCTATTAAGGAAAAGCAAGAGAGGTTGTCCTCATCGCTTAAGGCTCACTCAGCGGACACTTCTCAAAAACAACCTAGAAAGCCCATCAATTTAATTTTAATAGACAGTACTTGGTATGTTGGGAAATATCAAAATTGTTTGTGAACTCACCTAAAAACGATTTATTTAGGCAACAAGCGAAACATGTACTAAAACGATTATGCCAGAAAGAAGCTTTGCAACGTGCAAAATTTGATCAAAGTAAGGTTGTGCATCTCTATGAGCAAAAAGAACCAATTTTTAACTCTCTAAGGAAACAAACAGAGAAAGACAGAACCTCAACCCTGGAATGTGCCTTGCTATGCATGTTTTTATTTGATTTATACAGCAATGAGTTCAGCAAACCATTAATTCATAACTTGAAAACATTGGTAGTATTAATGCACAAGATGTGTCATAAGGCATTGGATCTACCCAAGCATTAATTCATGTACCTTCTTTCGTATTGTATGATTCGATCGCTCCTGGCTTGAGTCCTTGCAAAATTGTCAATGTTTTACACTTGTTGTTGATTTGAATATTCAAAGAGCAAATTAAACATTTTCTGTTGCCAATTCTGAAGAGTTCTCAATAAACACCTTAACAAACACTCCATCTTCGTTCTGATGAGTTGGAAATACATGGACAAATGTGTTGACTGCTACAGGTCTTAATCTCACTCTCTCATCGTCATCAAAAAAGGGCTCGTAAATAATCGATCAAAGAATGAAGGAGAGCTGTTTTCCTTTGCCGAAGAAAAATTCATGGAATTTGTATCATCTCTGTTGGCTCTTTTAGAAAATAATTTTTCTATTAAATATCTAATGGGTGAAAATCTAGATCCGAAAATAATATAGCTGCCAAACAAACTCACACAAATGTACCAAAATATTTTCCATAAAGATTTAGATTCGGGATTGGTGGTTCTATTATTATTTGAATATTGAGAGTTGTCATTGGTATCAGCAGTCGTGTAAATTTCGTTCTCATCCTCTGAGGATACAATTTGTTCCAATTCATCCTGTTGGCTTGAATGAAATTGTTGAGATGAACGAGGATGATTTCTCCGCTGAGAATTGGATGAATGCATTTTTTTGAATGTGTTTGCATGAACACACTACAATGACATGTCAAATTAATTGTTAATCAATAATTTTTAATAATATTCATCATCAGAGTCACGATTTGGATCATATTTACGAACATATTCTTCTTCTTCTTCCTCATCATCATATGGTTCTTCTTCAGCTGGTTGCTCCTCTTCATCCTCATCCTCTACTTCATCTTCTTGTTCATTGTGTTGAACAGCAGCATTGGATGCATTTTCAGATTGGGTAGTATTGGTTGCACTACTTTCTTGTAATTTGCTTCGTTGTTCCAATTTTTCTTGTTTCACTTTTTCAATGATGGAAATTTTTTCTTGTTTGGCTTCTTCTGAGAGAACTTCTTCTGGGAATTTAGTTTTAAATTCCTCAATCATTCTATTGACTTCTTCTTGATCGACATGAGGTGGCTGTATTTAAATTGTATGGAACACCCAGAACAGTATTAATTTCTTTTTAAAAACAAAGTATTCCACTTACGTTTGGTCCTCCCTTATATCCTGCTTGTTGCAATTCAGTTAAAAGTCTTTCCTCTTCAATCCATTCTTCAACGTCATCAAAGGTCTATTTGAACAAATGTTATGAATGGATCATTGAGAGTTTACAAATATTCAGAAAAGTGTTCAATAGTATTCAAAAAGTATTCAAATTAATTTCATCATCATTGTCAATTTTAAAACATACTCCAACAAATTTAGTGTCCACAAATACTTGTGGTAAATCGTGAATACCTCCATTAAATTTCAACATTTCATGAATCTTTTCTGGAACAATTCCCAAATCAATAACAGTGTATTTCACTTGATTGCTATCAAGAATTTGTAATAAAGTTTTACATTTTGATGAACGAGATCTAATGGCCTATACAATTGTGTAATGATGATGTGATGATGAAAATGTTTAAATGATTCATTGAATAATGTTTCATGAAAAAAAATTATTTGTGTGATGAAAGCGAGAGAGTACAAATGATGTGTGATATATCCGGATGATGTGATGATCATTGAGTAATAATATATGAGAGTATATTTAATGAGGAACATGGTGAGTTGATTGATCCGATGAAAGAGGATGAAAATATTTCCATATAATTGCAAATGATGATGTGGTCAACTCGAGAGTTATCTTGTTTCACAACTGATAAAACATACTGAAATGTAACTAATATACACAAAGAGTTCTCCTCTCTTCACAGTGGTTTGGGTGTTTGCAGACATTTTTTTGATGAGTGTTATTGACAAGTGACAACCCAATAACAATTTTAAAAATATTAAGGATTGAACAATAAATTTCCAAATAACTGTCACAATAAATTATTTATTCTTCTTTTGTGGTGGTTCTTCCTGAGCAATTTGTTCTTGTTGTGAAATTTCTTCACCTACAATATTTTCACTTTTAGAGGTTGTAGAAAATGACGATCGTTCTTCGCTGGGTGCTGTAGTTGCCTCAGAGGTTTCATCCCATTCACTATCCCTCTTTCTTTTCAGTACCGATGAATCATTGGATGATTCTGAATTTAATTCTGCTTGTTGATCAAGTTCTTGCGTATTTAAATCTTCTTTAATTTCTTGTAATTCTTCTCTTGTTGTGGTGATTATGGGAGGTCCTTCCTTAAAGCACCAATCTGCTCTCACTATTTTGTTTCCGAATTTATGTTTTTCATTGAGTGCATGAATAGCTTGTTGAGCCTCTTCTCGGGTTTCATATTTTACCAGAGCATATCCAATGGGATATCCTGTTCGACGGGATAATTCATAATGAAGTGAAATAACTCTTCCGTAATCGGAAAGTACATCTTTTAGAGTATCTTCTTCGGTGTTGATATCAATATTGGAAAGAAATATAACAAATCCTTGAACACTTTCTATGGGTTGAGTTGCTGATGAAGAGGCTTGATCATGATGGGAGGAAGAACTTGCCAATTTATGATCATGTCGATGATGATGGTGGTGATGTGAGGTTTGATGAAGCATTTTTTTCTTGTTTGTTTCATACAAGATCTTTGCAACAGCAACCATGCCCATGAGGATTTGTCGTTCCTACTAATCCTTCTTTTTCGAAAATTCGTTACATGGTCAAGTCCATAGAAAGGGAGATGACCTACCATGAATCTGTGTCCTATTAAAATTTTAATGGCTTGGAGTTCTCTGGCAAGTTGGAACCAACATGAATTGGTAAACTTCAAATTTCTATGTGAAATAATATGTTGTTGATCCTGAAAAAAAAGAGTGGAAGGAGATTTTTCAAAAATCAATTTGGAGAATCTCTTGTTATCTTCATAAACGCCATCTTACAAGTCGTCACTTGTTACAAGATATTATCATCATCACGTTTTCAACAACGAACAGCAACACAACCGTTCGGATTCATCAGCTTCGGATTGCAAGCCATCATCAAGCTTTTAATTTCAATATTTTTGAGGTTGTTGTGCTGGCTTTTGCCTCTTTCATTTCGGGCGACTTTCGATTGAGAAAACGTTAATTGTTCTAAACAATTCACTACATTGACACACACTACTCTACGTGCAACAATTTTCATTTTGCAGTAGTGTGTTTTATCCATACCATGTCTTCATCATTATTCAATAATAACAATCAAAACGCCAAATCAGGCGAAAATCAGCAAGGCTCTTCTTCCGAAGAAAAATTGATGAACCATCATCATTCTGAAGATGATACCTCTTATCATTTGGAAATTACCATCACCAGTAGTAACACGGGTACCATGGTTCAGAATGTTTTTACTTCCTCCTCTTCATCAAGAATATTAATGCACCAAGATGAACCAACAACGACATCTTCCGCTGAGTTGTTGCCGAATACAGTGTTGGACCCATCCAACACACTCTCTTCTTCCGATGATAATAACATGCCTCCACCTCCTCCACGAACGAGCTTCTTCAGTGGTAATTTTCCTTCTCTATTGATGAACCACTCTTCATCCACCCTTGTTCCTCAACAAACTCCATCTCATGTTTTTTATTTTCAAAGCGGCAATAACGGAGCCTTGTTTCGCTTCATTCCGCTATTTGAAATGATTCAAGAATTGGTCGATGGTGAGGAATGGAGAAGTGTCAAGTTGAGTAGTGAGAGACCTACAAAGACCACACCAAACTTGAATAACAGAACATCAAGTCGAGAGGAAAACCAAATTATGGAACATGTCAATTTCGTTGAGGGAATGGAAACATCCTCTCCTCTAAAAAGAAAAAGATGTGATGACTCTTCTGAAACCATGGTTGCATCTTCTTGCGAAATGACGAGTAGTGAGTCATCCGAAATGACAAGTAGTGAGCATACACTAGCTACCAATCACTCGAACAACAACACCTCCCTTTCATTGTCCTCTCCTTCCAACACAATTACTGACTCTACTTGCGTGAAAAAAACAAAATTTTCATGCATGAACTTTGATGACCTACCCATTCATATTCGACGACATATTCTAGGTTACATCTACGTTCCATTTCAAGAATGCTTCTTTTCATATCCAATTTTGCACTTGAATATTCAAAGAATGTTTGGAAGATTTAAAAATGATCCTTCCCGCAAAATTTATTTAATTTATTCAAGTTTAGGAATGAAATTGAAGGATCAAATTGGTCAATCGACACCCATGTACAGAAGTGCAAAAGATGTCAAGTTACTCATTGATCCAAAAGTTAGCAATTTGAATTTCCTTTCTGGATTTACAAGTTTAGAGAAATTAAGTCTCTATTTAACGGATTGCAATTTCTTAACCTTATTAGAAAAACACTCTAAAATATTACCAAAGATTACCTTTTTAAGCTTAATTTTATACAAGGACTTCTCTGAGTATCATTATAGAGAAACGTTTTGCCAATTAACCAATTTGAAAACTCTCGAACTATTCTCTGACCTTGAACGGTTTTCCATAAAAGGAACTAAATTTAACTTGCCTCCCAATCTGACCACCCTAAGATTGCTAAATTATGAATTTATTGATTTTGCATGCATTTGCCATAACGCTCAGATAACCTCTCTAACCGTGGTAGATTCATGCAATTTAGCAAATATTGACCAAATTTCTAATTTAAGAAATTTAAAGAGACTTAAAATTAACGAAGAACAAACCTTTGATGGACAAAATATTGATTTGAGTGCAATTTTCCAGTTAGACACTCTCGAACGATTATCTCTTCCTCTTGTTTCATTTAAATATCGATTAACAGGATTGAGAAGTTTACAAACTTTAAGAATTTACATTGAAGACGCCACTTTACCACAAATTGAGAATTATGCCAATTACATTTTAGAATGTACCACATTGAAAAATTTGAAATTTGAATTTGCAGATGATTTACCTCACAATGTTCAAAATAGATTTATTGACATTATTTCTCAACATCCTGCCATTGAGAGTTTACAATTAATTTGTGAGAACATTACCGATGATCAATTGGTGAATTATTTTTTCAATAAGAATGAACGTAATGTTCGATTTCCATCACTCACTGCTTTGGATATTTCCCTGTGTGATGATTTGAGTTTAATGCCATTCCGATATCTACTCGAGAGAAATGATTTAATATTAGATCATTTCAAGACCATTAAATTACCTGCTCATTTGGTATCTTCGGGTGTCGATGAATGCCTCAATGTATTAATTCCTTCCATTTCATTTGTTGGAGGCGATTCCGCATTGAGTAGTAGTTATGATTTTGATTTGGCTGATTTTGATGATGATGATGACTCGACCACGAATGAGGATGGAGAGGATGATGATGACGACTCGGAACTGCTGTCTGAAATTTTATCCACTACGGCAGCGGCGGCAGATTTTTTACCAGATTCGTCCGATGATGAGATTTTGGAGCGTTTTGTCATGTAAAGGCTGGAATGAGTGTTCAACTCTCATTTACTCTCTGAATACTTCATTGAGACATTCCTTAATAAACTTGAGCAATTCACTGGTAATAATTATTATTTGTTTGGATTTTGCAAACTCACTGTCGTTGAACTAAAAAATGTCTGCAAACAAAGACGATAGTAAAAAGAGAAAATTAAATTCCGAAATGAAAACTCAAACAGCAGTTGAATCCAATGTTGAAGATGAATGGATGTCTGATGATGAAAATCAAGATAACACGAATTGTTTCGACTCGTCGGAAGTACCAATAGAAAGTAATGTTATAAAACCATTTCCGATTCAATGTGAGTTTCAGAGTTAAATATCTAAATAATCATGTTAATAATTGTCGGCATTCACAAAATGATCACTTTTAATTTTGAAATTTAATTTTATTAGATAAATTGAAAAAGAGGGCACCAACAAAAGGCAACTCGATAAAACGTAATGATATTTATGTCTCAAGAAAATCCAAATTTCATGCTCTCTTCTCGAGAGGGAAAACGTTATTGGAACAAGGATCATCTTTTCATGCAACTAATAGTATACAAATTCATGGACTAGGTGCAGCAATTACAACAGCCATTGATTTGGCACTAGCTTTACAACAATATTTTGGAGGTCCATCCCAACTCGATTTTAACATTACAACTGAAACAGTGCCCTTAGTGGATGATTTTTACACAAGAGATATGGATGAATATTATCGAGGAAGTCAAGTACGATTTAATTCTGCCATCCATATTGTGTGTACTCGAGTGCCGAGAAAGAAGTAGTTATGTGTCTTGGAGAATTTTGATTTTCAAATAAATGACAATTCTTCCTTTCTCTAGATTCCAGTATTATGCTAACTTTTTTGGATCCACACGAGTGTATTTATTTAAATATGGTTGTGAAGCAATTCAAAACTGAACCGAGTTTAATCCACATAATTATTGGTGTTTGGTATGACAGCACCCAAGATTTGTCCAATAGCTAGACCCGTGAAGGATCCCAACACAATTCCAAATAATAAAAAGAATGTCATGAGCGTACCAGCAACTTCCTTTTCATGATCATCAACCAAAGAAGGACCATACATCATGCACAACGATGACAAGTATCCATTGGTCAATGCAACCAAAGCAGTAGCCAACAATGGTACTGCATCATTAAAAGCTTCCAATCCAACAATACTTGGTTTGTACATGAAAACAAATAATGGAAGAATTAAAATACGAAGCAATACTGGAATTGGAACAAATTTTCGATTGAACATAATAATCCAACGTGGAGCAGTTCTTCCAATAAAATCAAAAATGTTAAAAGTCGTTCCAATTAAAATTGGTAACCAATCTTTCATCTCTGTACCCTTGTACCATGTTGGAACAGAAACAGACAAACCAGGGAACACACCAATGGTAACCACAAACACAGTCATGACCATCAAGGCTTGCACCCAAATCTTTTTAAAGACTGAAAAAACAGAAGGCTTCTTTGCTTGTGTGGGTTGAACCAATGTAGAAATTTCATCATAATTCTCAGAATTTACACTTGTAGTATTCTTTGAACTATTCGCCTTATTCAAATAATATTGAGTGAATGGCATTCTCATGACAATGAAAAAGGTCACAATACATGCTAAAATGACCAATGCACAAACAAAGAAATAAACAGCAGCACTTGTAGTCATGATTAAAATTGGAACATGTTTTCGATTCTGTTCAATTGTTAATTTAGTAACAATTCTCAAGAATGAACATGCTACTCCAGCCACACCATTTCCAGACATGACTGCAGTAATATAACTGGAAGGTAACATTCCAGACATACCAAATATATTTCCTTGTAACACTGCAGTACATAATGCACTCAATACAATCAATAGAATGGTCACAACAAATCCAGGCGTGCCATTCACACCACTATATCCTAAAATAGGTACAGCAATGAGTACCAGTAGAGTCACTACAAAACTTGGATACATTTTCCATGCCATTGGTATTTTAGGAGATAATTTAACCATTGCCAATACACCTAACAAGTTTGGAATGGAATACGCAACACTAAAATAAAGCATTGTGTTATCTCCATAGAGAGCTGAAAAGTAATCAGGTGCTGAAATGAATGCATTCCATGGAAAGAGAACACCCACTCCTTGAAGGAGGAAAATGAAAAAGACGATATGGAATTTATCTTTGGGTGGTGCTGAAAGATCGGAAGCACTTAGTGGAAGTTCTGCTAGGATGGCTTTTTGTTCACTCATGGTCGTTGTGTCCTCCTCCTCCATGTTGTAGAATTTATTTGTTGCTATATTGTAGAAATATATGATATATTGTTGTGGTTGTTGTTGTTGGATAGGTTCAAAATGATGGAATTGAACCAATTATAATGATGATGAGATGATGAGAGTGAGGATAAATGAAAATCAATACGATTGTTCAATTTTTTTCATCAAGTGGTCCGAGACTGTTTGTGCCCGAGAGAGAGATTCACAATTTTTTTGAAAACAATAAATGCATCCGTGAACTCCGGACAAAAATCCACCTGTGTTCGGAGTACCCTCGTGCATGCACAGACATAGAGAATGCATTCTTCTCACCGTTATTTATTTGTCGACTTGTTTCTCTTCATGGTTGGTGAGTCCTGATGAGAGAGTTGTTGTTGTTGTTGAGAATAGGTCATACCATGTTGTCCAACACTCGTGTTGTTGTTGTTGCTACTGCTACTCGTTCCACCTCCAAAAAAGGATGAAAAGGCTCCAAATCCAAGACCACTCGTAGCACCACTCGTCGTAGTTGTTGTAGTTGTATTATAATCATCTCCTCCACTTCCTCTCGATGAATCAATATTATGTTTGATTGAAATTTCAACTAATTTATCACTCAATAATTGAATTTGATGTTCATAATTCAATTTAGCACTTGCATAATCTTCTTGAGCATTTTCTAATTGTAAATTGAGATGAGAGAGTTTAGATTTCAATCGTTCTTCATATTCTTGAGCTTTTTCTAAATCCATAATTGCTTGTTGATATTGAATTCGGTATTGAAGAGTCTTTAAATCACAAACTTCAATTTGTCTCAACAAGTATTCAATTTGTTTTGAATATTTTCGTTCTAATTCTCGTTCTCTTGATAATTCTGAATGAGTAAAGAAGAGTGTGTTACTGATATTACTGTTATTACTACTGTTATTGCTATTACTACTATTACTGTTATTATTACTACTAGTGCTATTAGAAATTATATTCGAATCATTGGGTGGTGGTTGTTGAGGTAAAATGATCCAATTTGGTTGTTGAGAGGATGATAGTGTCGTCATTTCTATAGTCGTGTTCATGATCGATGAATCATTAGGAGGGAGAAGGGTGGTAGTGGTTGATATGGGTGGTGGTGGTGGTGTTATTATTGATGGATGTTCATTCAAGTCTTCAACATGATACTCATTGGAAGAAGAATTCTTCACCAGTGATTCAACACTATGGTGTTGTTGGTCGTCATGATCATTACAATGACCAATAGTAGTAGTAGTAACAATAGTAGAAGGATGAGAAGGAGGTTCATCATCATGACACTCTTCATTCTCTCTTCTTTCATCATGATGACTTGTTTCAATTCTCTTGATTTCATTTCTAAAAGAGTCTTCATGGAATCAATTTGACTTCTCAAATCATGAATGGTCTGACTTGAGAAGATTCTAAAAGTTTCAATAATATTCTCTTCTTGGGATGGAGATGGTAATAACATGTTAGAATGATCATTCTTGACAATCATTTGATTCCAATCCTTTCTAAATTTCTCTTCCATTTCTTTCATTGTTCTATGAGAGTGTTCAATTTGTTGAATCAAATCACGTTTTTCAATTTCATACTGTTCTTTTTCATTTTCAATTGTTGAATTTGAGATTGTAATTCGAGTAATTTGGATTTGATATATTTGATATCTTTGAGAGTATATTCATGGTTTCTGTCGTCGTCATGATCATCATTGTTCATGGCAATAGTATTATTGTTACTGCTGTTACTGCTGTTGCTACTGAATATATTGGTATTACTACTACTACCAATGTGAAACGAGTTCATATATCGTTGAGATTCTCGATTCAAATACTGTTGACTTTCTTCATCGTATAGTAATAACAAGAAGAATAGTAGTATGGAGTATCCAAGATATTATAGGCATCATTATCCATGGTTGGCAATGGATGGTCATGATGAATCATACTATAACGACCATCACTACCATCACGACCATCACGACCATCACGACCATCATGACTCTGAATCATACGATACGGACCACTTTGACCAGAATAATTCACAATATTTCTCACATGTGTGACCTTATTGGTTAAAATACTTTCATAATCGACCAATGCACCTCTTGAATACAATTGATCATATTGTCTTTCACAATCCATTAATCCTCGATGAATAATAGTCATACTCTCATATAATAATACAATGGATTTCAAAGATTTGATTAATTTCTCATTAATATTTTTGATGGAAGGTGAAATGAAATTCTTAATATTTTCTTTCAATAATAAATTAGAAACAATTTCAGTGTAATCTTTCAATGCATCTCCAATGTGTTTGACAAGTAATTTGAATTCTTCACGAATTGAAAAGTTATTGAAACAAGTACTATTGACATGATGATTCGATGATGATTTCAATAACTTGTGAATAAATTGTTCACCATGAGAATAATGATCGACAGAGAGAGAAGACAAGTGTTGTTCATTGTTGGAAACTGTTGCGAATGGTGGTTGTGTTCATGTGATGGAACTTGTAACAAGGATGTTGTACTATTCGTATTATTGGAATCATTCAATGATGCATTAAGAGTCATTTCCATACTACTACTAGTACTACTACCAGTTGTATGGCGAATAGAAGAAGCACTAGTACTATTACTACTCGTAGCAGTAATTGGACCACTTGTACTACTACTACTGACATGACCACTACTAGTACCACCCACCACTAGTACTATTACTACTACTACTAGAATGATGATCCTCATCATGACTCGTCATTAAAAATACACGACGTATCTTTTTCTCATCTCTTCTCAAACTCGTCTGTATGGGTACATAATTTTCAATTTCCAAAACTCTCACATAGAATGTATCAATAAATAGAATAAATTTGTCATACAAGTATAAGAGATATTTCAATGAACGAGTAGCCATGGTATTTCTCATAAATATACCATCTTCAAATTCTGAATATTCATCATCATCATTGTCATTACCATCAGTCATGTCTAGAGAGGTAGTAGTAGTACCTTTGAATGTATGGTTCAATGAAGAATCCATAGTAGTACTACTACTCGAATGATAAACTTCTCTCAATTCACATTCCTCTTCTTGTGAAGTGACTGTCAAGTACAATAAACATTTTCGATTATATTTCAATAAATCTTTCACAGTAGAAAAGAGAGTATGTAACAGAGAGGTAGTGTGGTGTGTGGTTATGATAGTATTGGAATCAATTTGTACATTTCCACTACTCTCATCCATCCTGATGCTACTATTATGATTACTTATATTATTATTATTACTACTACTACTAGTATTATTATTATTACTGTTACTATTACTAGAACTATTATTACTAATACCACTATTAGTACTAATACCACTATTCATACTACTATTACTTGTACCACTACTCTCATGAGTACCTTGATCTTTGATACTTTTTGAATACCATTCACATTGTTTGATAATTTTAGAAAATAAATTAGGAAATGTGGACATGTCGATTTGAGTATTCATTTTAGAATTAATAAATCTCAACAGTGGGGATTGACTAGTCGTGAGTTTGTTCAAATGTTGAATCTTTTGTGGAATGTATAAATAAGTACTTGAAATATTCTTGGATAGATTATTTAAAATAGATGTTAAATTATCTAATAATTCAATTTCTAGAGGATTTCTTTTACAATTTGGAATATTCAATAAATTGAGAGAATCTATTTTAGTATCATCGAATAATATCTTTCGATCAATATAATTTTCATAATAAATTAATTTAGAATGTTGTTTCACTGTAAAATTACGAATCGTATTTTCTGAATCTTTTCTATTTCTAATTTCTTGTTTTAAATTTCTCATCTTGTCTTTCATGGCTTCCTTGTCATTGTAAATTTTTTAGAATTCTCATCAATGGCTGATTTCAAAGAATGAATGGTCGAATCTTTTCCATAAATGGAATGCTGTAAATCGCTAATGGTATGTTTAAATTTAGCCATAGTCTTTTCATGTTCTTGTTTCAATTCAAATAAATGAATATGAATACCTTCATTTTCTTTGATTTTAGACTCTAATTCTTCTTTTAAAACTTGTAATTCATTGTACATGGATGAATTATTCGAAGAGGTACCAAAAAAGGAAAAAGTGGAAGCATTGCCACCATGGATGGAAGGTTGATCATTTCCAGCACCACCACCAGAACCAGCACCACCAGCACTACTACTACTTGTTCCAAATAATCCTGAAAAGAATGAAGTACTTTTTCGATTCTTATTCACTTGTTCTTCAAGATCAAACATGAGTTGAGCCATTCTCTTTTCCAATCTTTGATTATTGAAAGTGAGAATATCATTTTCTTCAATTTTGTTTCGAAGTTCAGATTCTTTCTTTTCTAAATCGATTTGAGTTTGTTTCCATTTGGATTCTTCCTGTTTAAAGTGAGAGTGGAGAGAGTGGGACAAAAGTAGAATGGAATCGAGTGTGTGTTTAGATATGTATGTGTATATATATGTGTGTGGAATAAATTTCAGTAGTAGTTGTTGTTGAAGACACAAGTCATTTTAACAATAAATAAATATAAACAAATACATTTCCTTTTTGAATATATATTTAATCATGGTGAAACATACCTGATTGACAATCTTTTTCCACTTGTTATACTTTTGTTTATATTTTTGAAATTCTTTAATTAATTTTTCATATTTATCTTTAGAGAGTGCAACAATTTGCATGTTGGTATCGTCGTCACTTGTCGTTGTTGGATGACTCAATGGATCATGTTGATGACTAGTACTAGTCATGGAAAGTAATGGTGTTTGTTGTGGTGGTTGGGAATAATGTTCCGATGATTTGGAATGTTGTTGTTGTTTCAATGATGATGTTGTCATCGATGGTTTCATGTTGATTATAATTTCAAGATGAAATATATAATAATCGAAAACTTGTTCAATACTTGAGAATCAACCGTGTAATCAAATCATCAACACTCAACACACACGAGTGATCACCGACTGCAGTCGTTTTTCTGTGAATGACACCAGATTTATATTTATATTTTTTTAAAGGATTTTTTGAGTGCTCTTTTTTTTTGGTGAGTTGTCTGGAAACAAGAGTTTTTGATCCATCTCTGCTGACAATGTTATTTCTTAAACATCACACTGATATTTCATATGGATCTGTTGATGAATTCTTTAAAACATTCATTGTCAATTTCATAGACACCCAGATTCAAATAAGTCAAATTCTTCAAGGATTCACTCGTGGCAATAAATTTGATACCTTCATTACCAGTTCTATTGTCAAACAGAACAAGTCAAGTTCTTCAAGCACTCACTATTAGCTAAAAGTTTGATTGATTCACGATTTGGTATAAAGTGATTTCGTTCGAATGATAGTGAGAGAGGAATTTGAAATGATACTTGTCTCCATTGTTTTGAACTTTTTTAAAACTGTTACACGAAAGCCAGTTCCCACAATTAATGACGAAATGTTCGGAACTTTCGCAACCACTGTACGCAATCTTTGACTGTCATCTTTGAAAGGGGAATTCAAATGTTAGACTCTGATCGAATAATATGAAAATGGAATCGATGTGATTTTAACAATACCATTTTTTTATTATTAAATGTCCTTAATAATAATAATAACTTGGTTCACAATGTCATTTTCAATCTTTATAAGGAACTTGTACTAACATTTCATCATCACCTCTCCACTTTTTGAATAATTTTGAAAAGAACCCATTCTGGTTCGTTCCAAGTGGATGTTGTTGCAGCTGACTTGTACTATTCGTTGGCAATGACATGTCTGTAGTAGTTGTTGAACAAGGTGTTGATTGAACACTTGTAACACTCTTTCGTTTGATTTGTGATTCATCTATAAGGTCGTGTTGTGGTTGTTGTTGTTGAGAAAATAATTCTGGTCTTGAAAATAATAAAGGAATTGATGATGATTGGTGGTACTCACTGCATGATGATGATCATTACTGCCATACAACATGGTTGTTCCATGTGGTAGTGCATGTACCACCATGGAATGTTGTTGTTGTTGTTGTTGCATGAATGGATGATGGATTGGTAATTCATCATCTTCAGTTTCTTCTCCATTTCTCAATGAGGTTGCATCATCCGTTAATATTTGTTGTGAATTTAAAACATCTCCTGTTAGTACATTATAGGATGATTCTGTCATGGTTGTAAAATCATAATGACCAAAACCTGCACCAGCACCTCCACTCATATAATGATCCTTAACAATATCTTTTACAATTTCATTTGATTTGTGGAAAATATAACACATGAGAAATGGTGTAAAATCTGAAAGTGAATTAATAAATCCAATGACAATGATATATGAATTGTAGAGAATGAGAACACCAGAACCATACGTTTGATCATTGGAATGACATGCAATAAATATCTCTGTAAATATTAATTGTGAAGTAGATTGTAATAAATAGACTAGAATACACACAATCATGGATCGATAGAGCCATTTCTTTGTCTTTTCAATTCTATGAATTAAATGTGGTCCATTAGTATTGTTATTATTATTATTATTATGATTGGTTGTGAGATCATGTCCAAGATAGGTTGAAGAGTTTTGAGAGTGTAAAAATTGGGGTGGAGTTTCTTCAATGTTGTTATTGTTCGTGTTGTTCGTGTTGTTCGTGTTGTTATTATTATTGTTATTGTGAGGAGAATGAGCATGAGGAGGAGTAGTAGTAGTAGTATTGGTACTGGTCATCATTGAAATGTTTTTGGAGTATTGTAAATTCCAGTATGAGGTCTATTCTCCATCCAAGTTGTTGTTGTTGTATATGATATGATTCGATTTGGATACTAATAAATGACTCGTTTCATCCATGACATGAGGATGTTTTGTATCATCATCATCTTGACCAATAGTACCACCACCATGGGCACCACCACCACTACTCGTATCATTCTGCAAATGATTCATCATTCGTTTGGTCTTTTGTGTCAAACTCTTTCTTTTCAAATATTTCAAACCTTCATCAAAATTTAAATTCCACATGGATTTCTTTTTATAGGTTGAATAAATAATGAACCATATCAGTATGATATACTCAATATAGCATTGAGAACATGTTCAATTCTAACAATCCATGTGAACCATACTGTATTTGAAGATGGAGAATATAAATTTGGATAACATTTCACAAAGACTAGAATAGCCATTGCAATTTCAGCTCCAAACCAAATTAAACTACATGTAATGAAAATGAGAAGAGGTTTAATTTGACGAGTAGGAATACCTCTTTTAACACTTTCTAATTCACTCCAAAAGAATGCCTAGTTGAATATCCATAATGATAGATGCATGATAGATTTATATTTAATAATATTATAGATACATGATAGATTTATATTTAAAAATTTTATATGTCCATAATGATAGATTTATATTTAAAAAATTGTATATAATGATAAATGATCGATTCATATTTAGAAATGTGTCAATGAATCAGAGTCTCTCTCTACACACTTACAATTAAAAAATAAGAATTATGTAATAAAATTCCACTCAATGAAAATGCTACTAGAAATATCTGAGAATGAGCCCAATTATTTTCAATATCAAAATAATCCTTTGGTATCAATTCAAATCCAATTAAAAAATAAATTAAAAATCTAATAAGGAAATAAGGTACAATTTGAATATAAAATAAATATTGTAATGAGTGATTCGATTGATTATTAGGATATAAATAATTATTAGAAATGGTATGATTTGCAATAGTTGTGTGATGTTGCTGTTCAGAAGATAAAGTGACCATATCCATTCTACCACTCTGATTGCTATGCGATCGATTTCGAATAGTTGAGTAATATTCATTAGAATTTGATTGTTGTTTCCTTTTCGTTCGATAATTTCTATACCATTTTCCAAATTTAGATCCAAGTAAATGAATAGCATAACAAAAGACAAGAGAAAATCCAAAGAAATAAAACACAAAAAAACAAATAAATATTGGATGTACATAATCATCCTTGTCATCTCCGGGAAGTGATACGGGATGAGAAGAATTATGAAAGGAAGAAGATCTCAATGGATGATATTGTGAATTTGGAAATTCATGTGATGAGAATATGGAAGGATGGGATAATCTTCCAGTATGAGCTTCAACATTGGATGAATATATTGGATATAATAATGCTGTCAAGAATAATGAAATGGTTGCTGCTGACAGGATGGGTCTTGTTTTCAACTTCTCGGAACTCATTTTCGAGAGCATGATATATGTTACGATATCAAGTAATGTGGTATCAATACAATCGTGAATGTTGTATGTATATGGTAGAATTATTTCAAAAGAATTAGTTTCAATTCCGAAGTTCAAGTGCAAAGATATTTTTTATGAATAATTCAGTTTGCAAAAGTGAGAAATTCTCATCATGCTCGGCAGCAAAAGACCTTATGAGTGCTCTTACACTTGGTCAAAATTAAAGTCACACAACAACTTCATAATTTTCAATTTTACTATTTGGCAAATATTTACTGCTACAGCACTCCATGATCACTATTGTTTGAAGAAAGAAGAATGGTAGAATGATGATCATCCTGTTCACCAATACCACTCTCATGATCATGTTCGTCGTCATGTACATCATTACTACTCACAATGATATCAAACATGGAACCTGACATGTCCAAATTCCATTCCATAAAATCAGAAAAGGGTGAAAATGGTGAAGTATTGGAATAATGATTGTGAATCACAGTGGATGGTGAGGCACTGCGATTGAATGGCAATGAACTATTCTTGGAAATGTTCAATTCAGGTTTAGGATGAATATGTCTCACCAATGAGTGATGATAATTGTCAATGATAAAATCATTATTATTGTGAGGAGCCATCATCACTGAAGGAGGAGTAGTATCCAAGGAAGGTGGTAAATGAGTTGGACTATTCGGGGTCATTGGAGTGGTAGGAGTAGTGGCTGGAGGTGCATTGGGTACAAGATAGAGAAATTGAGTCTTCTTTTTTAAGGGAGGAGGGTGGTGAGGATGGAATGATTCAAATGTGTGCTGCTGACCGTCGTAGTGGGAGTGATCAATGGTGATTGTTGCGACATTAAATCTGGTGAGGATAGCAATGTACGAGTTGAACCACTCGTTGTGGTTTCTGAATCTGGTAATGCATTTGAATTTCCAAACTGTTGAAAGCGAGTCATGCCATGATGACTTGGAAATTCATGAGGAGAGCAAGATCTATGGTGTTGTGGACGGTGGTTCATGTTACGATGTCTTCTCGAAAAAGAATGAACACTTCTCTTTGGAACTTCTTCGAAATTGGAAAGAGTGGTTGTGTTGGAAGCATTCAATGGTCCAAAAGATGATGGAGTGAAACACAAAGCCTTTGGTCTTCTTCGTTTTGTCACTCCATTGAAGAAGACTCTTCGATGATGGTTCTGATGATGATTGGTATTCATCAAATGTGAATGATGGAGTGTGGTGGTATTAGTGGTGGGATTAGTTGGATGGTGATATTTCGTTAATTGTTGTTGTCGATGGTGGTGGTGATATCTTAAACTTCTAGTTGGTGAATGGGCATTATCACGACAAATTCCGTTATGAAAATTATTGTATTCATCATCATTGTTCATTAATGGTGTTTGAACATCATCATGACAACAAGATGAATAATTACCTGTGAATCGAGAAATAAATGAACGTTCAAAGGGATTGAGAGGATGAGCAGTGTTGGTGCAGGTGAATGGAGAACGATAAGAGCTCTTGATCATTATTTTTTGAAGTTGTTGTTGCAAAGTGTGTTGGAGAGGAGTGCTCGCGGTTCGATGAAAAGGGTCAGACAACACAGAGAGAGCAAAACGAATACGCTCGGACTGGATGCGTGCCCTAGAGGAAGTAATGTGGTTTTCAAACTTGAAGAATGTATCTAATGAACTCTTGTTTTGATTGCAGCCGAGAGAGAGAGATTCAATGTGTGATGATGGCTTGAGTTGTACAAGAACCTTTGCTCGTCGAGTTGTTTTTTTTACCGCCATGTAATCACTCAAGCTACAAATGTGGTCGAGTCAAGGTGCAATTCAAAAGCGGGTGTGTGAGTTTTTAGTGGACGATATTTGAGTGTTGTATCACAATAAACAGACATTCAATGAAATTGGTTTTTGCACGTAAAAGAATTATTGGTAAGAAATTTTGGAGAATGGTCATACCTATCAAACTCTTGAACTTTTCAAGCCTTTTCCTTAATTTTGACGTCCACTCAAATCAAGTGCTTTACAACTGCACGAGAACATGATGAATACACTCATTCGTGAGAGATCCTCCTTGCTTCATCACAACATGTTCTGGTGTCCTAAAAGGCATTACAAAAAAAATGTCAAGATTACAGCACTCTCCGGCGATCCATGTTCATCCTCACGACAATACAGATTTGACCAATGATGAAGAACATTCAAATTCCGTCGTAACACACCATCACCACCATCATTCATCAACATCCATGAATGAATTTAATTTTCAAATTTCTTCCATTCTCTCTCAAATTTATTCACTTCTTTCATTTAAAACAATTTCAATAATACTACTCGTGTATTTGACATGTCTCATCATTGGATCTATTTTCTTCTTTTTTATTGTCTCTACTGATGTCTCTCAATCTCAATACAATATTGATCAAATGAATATCTTTGAATATATTTATTATTCATTTGTAGTATCGAGAAGAATATTACATTGGAAGAGATTATTGATACTAGTAGTCATTCAATTATTGAGCTTTTTAGCACATTTTGTTTTCTTTTTATTATATTTTCAATATTGTAAACAAAAGTATGTGAAAGGACCATTGATGAGAATGGAACATTTACGAGTGATTTATAGACAGAGAGAATTTATAATCGTGAGTATATTGTGTGTATTGAGTTTAGTGGTGTGGTTCTTTTTTGCACCACAAGTCGTGAGTGGAGTATTTGGAGTGTAGTAATCACAGGTGCCAGATGAGCTATATTTAAGCTAAAAAAGGCTACAGCACTGCAGGTTCCCAAGTTGTCTCCAACCTCAGTACTGATGCAGCTCGACGATGCTTAACTTCTCAAATCGGACGGGATGAGGTGCATTCATCGTGATATGGCCGTAGCCATTCAATTTCTTTCATCCGTAATACGTAATAAATAGACGACTTTCGTTCCCTTAAAAGTTCTCTCCATATAGGGAGTAATATCTATAAGTTCAGAAATAACCTCACCCCAACATGCAGGTAAAGAACCTAAAATTCTCGATTTGAGTCACAAGAAAGTGATGAAATCTGACCATACTGGAAATATAGTGAATATCTTGTTCATTCGACATGGTGTTGGCTCACATGCAATTCAATTCTTGAAACACTTGGATGATTGTGACTTGATTGGAGAAAAGGTGGACTCGAGGAGTGACAATGCCGTCTATGCTAGGGGTCCTAAAAAATGTTGTTTTGAAAAGCAATTTTTGAACACATTCTCACACTTTGTGTACATCATAAATAAATAATATTTATAATTGAAACAATGTTTCCCCTTACTTTGAATGTGCTCAGTTGATGCAACGACCTGTTCCATCAGCACTTGATTAAAAAAATGTCATTAAAACCAACAAATCTATTTCAACGAATTTCTCAAACCAAAGGACCAATTGATCCCAAAAAATTGAAAAAACTCTTGATTATACGTGGACAAGAGCCAGATCACTTTTTTTCATGTATTTGCGAGAAATTTAATGGTTTTGTCAAAAACCCGGAATTATTCAAATGGATGGAATTTAAAAGGGTGCATGATGAATATGAGCCCTATCAACCTGATGATTCATTTGCATTTTTAAGCTGTGTGGATATTGTAAATCAAGATTCATTGCAACAAGAACACATTGAACTATTTCGATATCATTTTGATTATGATTTTGTGGTATTTCCATTATATGCAGGTTGTAGTATTTCTGAAAGAGTTGAACCAATATTTCGCGAAATTATGAATATTATCAAAGAGTTGATTTCATCAAAACGAATTGCCGTTCTATTTTTAAGAGGAAGTAGTGGGTACAGTGTTCCAAGTAGACTTGGTTACGTTTGTAATAGCATGCAAAAGGGGTTTGTTGATTATACATACCAAATGATTGATATAGATGTTGAAGCATTGAACCAAGTATGCATGAACAGTATCATGTTACTCGAATTTAAAACCAAGCATTCATATTTATTTATGGAAAATGAGAAACACAAAATTGTAGATCTTTCACGAGCATATCTCTGTGGGGTGCAGGTTAAAAGCTGTATTGACGTTTCTCAATGGCACATTCTTGCAAAATCTGAAGATGGACACAAACTCAGCATGCTTATTCACAAAACTGAAAGAGTCATGTTCACACCTTGGTATGGGTATTGTCATGGTAATCAACTTTCGCATGACCTTGTTAGATACTTGTGCAAATATTTAGTATTGGAATATTTGAACAAGGATGATTTGAATTTTAAGGCAAAACTTTATGTCAAATATCAAAATTGCCAATTATGTGATGTCACTGTGATGGTATTTGAAGAAACATGCTGATTCGAAATCAATAAAAAGGCTACAGTACTGCAGGTTCCCAAGTTGTCTCCAACCTCAGTACTGATGCATCTCGACGATGCTTAACTTCTCAAATCGGACGGGATGAGGTGCATTATGGCAGTAGCCATTCAATTTATAATATTCGTTGATTTCATTCTTATTCTGTTCCATGGAGCATGAACACCCTGGCTATTTACATTAAGCCTTACTGTAGAGCGAACACAGCAAAAAACACACAAATTTAAAACACATTTTAATTTTCTGTCCCTTGTAAAGGACTCACAGCTTGGAATTTTTTCGTTCCATTCATGTATGCAGAATGTGCAGCTGAGCTGTGTCGCTCTCTCTTCACACCTCCCACTCGATCATTTTCAATCACAATATGATAATAAGATTCAACAAAACTTAATACCCGATCTAAAATTTCAATCAATTTGTCATTGGTCATTGTTAATAAATAGAGTAATCTTGGTGATACAATCTTTTCAATTAAATAAATACAAAATAATAAAATATTAAAATAAATAGAAGTAACAGTCCAGAATATTTGATTAATAAATGATTTTGGAATGTGCATCCAATTTCTCATTCTCAAATAGATGGAAAGTATCATGTAAAAATTTCTTGGATTATTATTTCTAATTTTAGCAAGTAATCGAGCAATAGTAAGTTTAGCATTGGTTCCAATTCTAAAATATAATTTAAAATTATAAATTAATTTTCCTAATAATTTCTCTAATTTACTAAATTCAATAACAATGATTGGTTTTAAATACTTGTCAAATCTCTTATGAATATAACTCACTGTGACAAGAGTGATTAGTGAGAGTGATTTAATAACAGAAAAAATACTTTCAATAAAGAATATAATGACATTCGAAGTTGGAGAGTGATTATGGATAGAATTCATTGGTGAGAGAGTATGGTTAGAATTATGTGGTGTTGAGAGGGTTGATGGAAATGAAGATTCATCAATGTGTAATTTGGAAAGTGAGGATGACAATGGATCATGTAGCATGGTGTTTTCACTCATTGAGGTATTTTTGTTGTAATTTGTAGTAATTATAGTATTATTATGAATATTAGTGTTCTTATTATTATTATTATTCTTATTATTCTTATTATTACTGTTACGATTATTATTATCATTATTTTTGGTATCATTAGACACAAATAATCGAAATAGAAATTTGTCAATATTGGAATAAAATGGTGGTGGTTCAGTATTATTCAATTGTTTCATTTCTTGTTCATTCATGATGGGTGCATGAGTTTCATCATTTTCATCAAATTCAAATCCAATTGGTGATTTTTTAATAATTTTTAATGGTATTTCCTTTTCATTATTTGTAATAAGTGGTTGAGATTTTGAATGAAATAAATTTGAGGATGGAGTAATAGATCTCATTTCATCATCTTCATCAACCATTTCTAATACATAATATGTGTTTCTAATAAATTGAAATAATTTTGACAAGGATTGAATGGGATGAATAAATACATGATCGTCATTCATTGATTGATGATCTCTTAGTATTGCAGAAGCTCCATGATGAGTATTATTAGAAGAATGGACAATGGATGAATCGTGAGAAAATAAATGATGAAAGAGTGGAGAGGAGTGTTGATGAAGAAAATTCAGTGAAGAAGAATTATCATCCATACCATTGGAGGATGGATGTTGTTGTTCGACAGTAGTGTTATTTGTATTGTTGTTGTTGTATGGGTTGGAATCCAATGTTGCTAATAACATGGAATGATGATGATGATCTGATGATGATGGATCTGAATAATGTTCATATGTTGAGGAAGGTCGGAGATGACTCACCACACGTAATAATCGATTTCTGAATGATGAGGGTTTAGTGTTCATTAACGATGCATTGTTGCTTTGATGATCGCGAATCAATCCATTGCCTTTTATCTTTCTGATCACTCGGGAAGCGTAACTAGTAGGAGCTGCAGTGTTGCTTTTTCGTTCCAGCCAATTTCGCTGTGGTGCCGATTTGGACATTTTTATTATTGTTTGATAATTCGCAATGTGGACACATAGCACGAGTATATATATATACCATGCCTTAAGGCTTCTAACAACATTTAATGTCTCTTTGATCTCGGGGTTTCAATGATGTATTTTAAAAGAGTTGCTTGGATGTAAGACCATGTCATCTCCTTTAAAGCTGATTGAAATAATTTCATAACTACTACAACACAACCTCTTTGCAAAGAAATTCTTCCTGTTGCTCTCGCACTCTTCGCTCCTCTCTTCTAATTTCCTTACATTTCTTACACCAATCTTTTAATTCTTGAATTAAATTCTTTTTATCTTTGAATCGACCTCTACGATTCACCAATTCTGTACCACTTTTATAATGAAGAGGAAATCTTTGATTTGAGGCTGGAGGCTTTCTAATGATCACATACGAAGATGATTCCAATGAGGATGAAGAGGATACTGTTGGCAGAGTGTTTGAGCTGGGTTTCTTTTCAAAATTGGACAAATACCATCCTCTCATCATGGAATAGAGTGGTGCTTGCTGTGGTTGTTTGTTGTTATTACTACTCGTATTGGAAAGTAACTCGGAAACATCAAGTTTCCTTCCAAACACAAGAAACGTTGCAGAATTTGTAGAGTTGGATGATGTAGTGTATGGTACATTGGTTTGGAGAATTGGAGAGAGTGGGAGAGATGGTATGGTTGTTATTGCAATATTACCATTGTTATGAAAGGCTGTTGATGTTGAAAGAGGAGAAGCAGGAGTTGGAATGTTCGTTGGTTGAATCCCGAGATTGAAAGGAAATGGTGATTTACCAAGTGGTTGTTGTTGTTGAGAATAACCAAGAAAAGAGGAAGGAGGTGGAGGTGGTTGACTTGATGTATTTTGGTTGATGATGGTGTTGTTTTGTATGGGGGAAGTTGAATGGTTAACGGTTGAGCCTTATTGTGGGGATTCATTTTTTTATTTTTTTAAATTTAAAAAATAACGGTTTGGCAGAGAGGGTTGGTGCACTGTAGAATACTCAACGACGGTTAATGCTGAGAGGATGATGACAATCGTCCTTCACTTTCGTTCTTTAAAAAAATGTCATCCATGATAACACCACTCAAGTCACCCAAATCCAGCAGCAACCTCTCACAGGAACTCTCTTCCTCGATTGCTCTTGTGATACAACCCCATCCTACCAATACATATTATACGAATGATAATTATACTTTATCCCGTTCTACATCATCATCTTTACCAACAATATACTACTACTATTATCAGTCACCACCACCACCAACAACAACAACATCATCATCATCATTGTACTGACCAAGTAGTATCACCTCTCACAAATCCACCATCACTCCTTCAAGAATGTTTCCGATATTTTCAATCTCTTCCTCCTCTCAATACTTTTTTCCATCCATGACTTCAACACCATGTTCAAAACATTCTGAAATGAACCTTTCTCAGATGAAACAAGGATATCCTCAAAGGAAGATTCATCACTTGAATCATCGTCATATCTTTAATATTCAATTATTTCCATTTGGTTCAACCTTACGAGATTTATCTAAACTTCCATATTTCAATTATGATTTATATTTTCATTATGATTATCCTAAATTTAGTATCATGAGAAAGATCATGTCTTTGAGTTTAATTGTTGGATTAGGAACATTTGCTAAATTCTTTCTTAATGTATTGAATCATTCTAAATTTTATGGAAAAGATTTATTTAGAAAAACCATTGAAGAACATTATGAAAGAGTTCAGAGAGAACGTTCTCTTGCAATGACGACGACGACGACCATTATAACTGAACCAACAAGTCTTTCGACTGAAATTACAACAACTGAACCAATGACAACAACTGAACCAACTGAACCAACAGCAATGATTACAACAACACCAACTGAACCAACAACACCAACTGAACCAACAACAACAAGCCTTTCAAGATCCACTTGTAAACCATTCATCATGCACTCCTCCTCTTCGTCTCAAAAAAAAATTCGTGGTCTCTTAACAGTCGTGAATCATAATAGCATGTTGGATGAACCCATTCTCATGTCAGGATTATGTCCATTGAGTTGGTTTTTACGTTCTGATATCATTCGATATGCTGTCTGTGCTAGTGATATGTGTTTTGGACATTTTCTATTAGGTGAATTTTTTAAAACTGTCAAAGTATTACCCATCAAGAGACAAGGAGGTTTAGAACAACATGCAATGAAATTAATTGTTGATAAATTATCGAGTGGAGGTTGGATTAATGTATTTCCAGAAGGTAGAATTTATGTGGATGGTGAAATACATACATGTCGAAGAGGAATTGGTAAATTAATTTATGATTGTGATCCTACACCTCATATCTATCCAATTTATCATCATGGATTATCAGATGTGTTACCCTATGATGGAATTATACCTAGAATTGGAAAGAAAATTACCATCATGTTTCAAGGTGATGAAATTGACGTACAAGATTTGGTGCAGAAGGGTAGACAAGGTGAAATGACACCAGACCAAGTGTATGTGGCAATTTCAAAGCGAGTCGAAGAGGGAATGAAACAATTAAAAGAAAATGCGAAGAAGTGGAGAGAACGTCGAGTAAATATTTCAAAAAATTATTATTCAATTTTACTAACTGCTTGCTCTTTGAAAGAATTGAGTGTGTTGAAGAACTCCTTAATACTATCAACCTCAGACCAAAAGGCAAGAAAATCAACAGCTGTAAGATCATTGAGACATGAAATCAATTGTGTGAAGAAATGTTACAGCCAATATTAAACAGTATAGATGTTGTTCTGTTTGCTATAGATTCTGAACATAATTGAGGTTTTCGGTGAGATAGTTTTAACCACAGCCCATATTGAATAAATTTGCCATCTCATTACTTATTAACACCATTGTTGACGTTTTTGGCCTAGCTAGAAGTTTTTCGGCATGTTCTGAAAAGAACGGAAGTGTTTTGTAACGAAAACAATAAGGTTGACTGAAAGTCTGGCACCACAACAACACCCTCCCTTCCCATAACATAGCTTTTGCCTTATTTATCATTGATTTGCTCAGTGATTTTCTTTGACACTTTTGTGTCTGCGACTTGGCTTTGGCCTTATCATCGATGGGTTTTTCCCACTATCTGTTAAAAATTTTATCAGTCGTTTATTCGCTCAACGATGTTTTCGTAGCGTTATTAATAACGCTACATTTGTTTTTCAAGGAACATTGTTTATATCAATTTCTTATTTTATTGAGCTAACCTTTTTCGACATTTGCGAATAGCATGAATACTTGTCAAATACATTTTTATGATCGAAGATGCAACAATGTATTGTATATCTTATCGTCCAAGTTATCATCGTCAACAGAAAGCACTACATGTATATCTATATGTTGAGACAAACATGATATATAGTTACGAAAGAGTAGCACGAATTCAGCACATAAACATTACGAGATGTTATACATATTACAGTATATAACATTGGTTTATATTTATTTCTACCCAACGTTAGTATATAGAAACACATACTCTTATGAGAGAAGGTAACCGCTCTATTCGACAAAATTATTTGCTATCCTACATCTTCCATATATTATTACCATGTAGACACTATATCTTGATTAAATCGGATGTTTTCCAAGTATTTAGAACGATATATTGGTATATCTTTTCTCTATTTTTATTTTGAACAACGATGATATATAGTAATCAGAATATGTTTGTTACAGTATTTGTGGTATTTGCAACGTATTTTGTAGCATTGAATACCGAATTTTCGATTAACTATAATACATACATCGATATTGATTTAAGTACACTCTATGATTGATACTAATAATTTGCAATTCCTTATATCTTCAAACACTAATGGATTAATTGGAGTTTGAAAACTCAATATTACTGTGAACGGCTGTTCATCCCAGAACCACTTGAAACGTAACGATTTAAAAATTCTTTTTATTGCCTGATTATGGGACCTAGGTACAACACCAACATCTTTTCGACGAAATGAAGATTAACTTCACCATTAAAATACCTTAAATTGATTAAAATATTATAAAAAATTTAAAACAGAAGCTGTTGTACGTGAAGATATGAACGTTCAACGTTACACTAACCATTGAAAATCAAGGCTAGGAGTCATTCAGAAACAATTTTGACATGTTAACCCAAGCTCAATTTATTATGTCGAGCATTGCGTAAAAAATGGATCGATTTTTGTGTCACGTTTGTGAATTTCAAAATGAGCACACACCCCAAGAATTTCAATCTCTCATGATTGAAAATATATCACAACGTGTTCAGAAAGGAATTGATTTATTACTAGTCAATATTGTTAAATTAATGAAATCATCCAAATTATCATTCTCCGACAAATCAAGAGGATCTTTGAATTCTCATCATCATCACACAAATTATTTTCTAAATTATTGGATTCATGAAAATACCTTTCAATCCAGAGACTTGTTAATCTCAAAAATATGTTCCTATATTTCAAATTCACTCATTGAAAACAATGATGAATCATTTCAATACATGATCATCAAAACGGACGATCAACACTCATCCAGTGAATTATTAAAAGAATTTTGTGAATTGAATTCAACAAGTGATCCCATGAATCATCATCACAATGAATATTTTCAATTATTGAACAAATTATTTGAACATGCCATTGACAATCATGCACCCAATTGGATGGATCAACAACCATTAGCCACCACTAGTGCTAGAAGTGCTAGTACTACTGCCACAACAACAACCACACACCACACAACACCCTCATTCTATCTCAACACACCACCAACATTCTATCTCAACACACCACCAACACCACCCTCATTCCATTCTCTTTTCCATTTATCAAAAATTTATTTGCATTCGAAATGATGAACAATTCATCTCTTCAAAATTACATGATTTGAAATTGAGAAATAATCCTGACACTATTCGAGCGATATGTTTATTTAAGAAATTTGTGAACATATCCATATTGAATGGATTATTAGTATTATTGAATAGTATCAATATTTCAAATATTATTGGTGATGATTAGAAATTTCCACACAAAATGGTAGTGGTAGTGGTACTATATATTCATTGTTCAACAATAATTCTTCTGTTCAACAATAATTCTTCTGTTCAACAATAATTCTTCTGTTCAACAATAATTCTTCTGTTCAATCACATCATCATTCTATGCTTCATCTAATAATAATAATCCCATTTCACTATCTTTCACATGTATCATCTTGTAACATCCAATAGCATCTGCCAATATCACTGCTAACAAGTGTTTACAATATTTAGATTCTTTCCTTGCAATCACTCCAAATGCAAAGGATTGACATGTACAATAACTATGAGAAATACACTTGTAAGATTTGAATGTGGTTGTTGAAGATACGAGTGTTGTTTGTTGTCATCTTGTTGTTGTTGAGAGGAGTTGATGGTTTGTGACAATGGTGGTGACTCAATGATGCACCACCACCACCACCACCACTCGATCGATGCGAGGGTTCCACTGCAAATAATTCTCTCTGTGAGGGTTGTGCAATATATTTAATAATCTTTTCTTTATCTAATAATTCGAGAGCATGAACGAGTGTGGTGGATGGAAAGAGATGAGCCAACTCTTTTAAGACTTCATCCGATACTGTTCATCATCATCATCGGAGTGTAGTATATATTGTATATATTGTATATTTTAAAATGTATATATTCAAAGGTTGATCATGAATGTAGAGCCATATATTGAGATTTTAATAAAAGCAAAATTTTCAAGTGTTGTTTCATTGTTGTCATGAATCATACTAATAATAATTTAATACTAACACGTTTGTGAGGTTCTTATGGTTTCAAGTAATGGTTCAAGCATGTAAGGAGGTGAGGTTGGTTGAATCATCATCCCTGCCACGTGGACTGCTGTGGATGGAGGAGGAGGTACAGACATCTCGGAGTGAAGTGGAGTAGTGTCCCTGATAGGATTGTTGGTTGACATTTTTTTTTATTCTACCATTCTCTGGAAGGCTAACCAATGTCTTGTGCAAGTTTGTTGGGAAAAAGAGTGAACCCCCAAAACCACTCACACCCTAACACACCCTAACCACAACTCACACAGCCATATCCATCTTAATCACTCCATGAGGTTCATAATCTTTCAAAATAAAATCTTCAAATTTAAAATCATCCATTTCCTTCACATTTGGATTCAAATACAATTTTGGAAAATGTTTTGGATTTCTCTCTAATTGTACCTTCAATGGTTCAATATGATTGGAATAGACATGACAATCTCCACAACTATGAACAAAATCACCTGGTTTCAAACCACATACTTGAGCCATCATACAAGTCAACAAAGCATACGAAGCAATATTAAAAGGAACTCCTAAACCCATATCACATGAACGTTGATACATTTGACAACTCAATTCTTGTGTACTTGTATCCACCCAGAATTGACACAATAAATGACAAGGTGGTAGAGCCATTTGACTCAAATCTGAAACATTCCATGCTGATAATATAATACGACGATTCGTAGGATTCTCTCGTATGGTATCCACACATTTCCTTAATTGATCAATTCCTTTTTGAGAATAATCGGAATGCATGGTTTCATAGTGTGCACCCCAGTGTCTCCATTGAAATCCATAGACTGGTCCCAAATCCATTTCTTCACGATGAGTCAATCCAATCGAGTCTAAATATTTACGACTTCCATTTCCATCCCAAATATGTACATCTTGTAAAGACAGAGTATTGGCATTTGTATTTCCAGAAATGAACCAAAGTAATTCTTTAGCAACACCTTTCCAAAACACTCTCTTTGTGGTCAGTAATGGAAATGAATGATTTCTCAATGAAAATCTCATTTGATAACCAAATTTAGATATAGTACCTACTCCGGTACGTTCCGATCGAATACCAACTCCAGAATACAAGATTAAATCTCTCAAAATATCTAAATATTGAAATTCTTCATGTCTACGTTCAAATGTTATGAATTCATAGTATTGAATACGATCGGTACGACGAGTGGGTTTGAGAGGAGGCATTTGGGTTTGAACTCGAATGAAATTTCCATCTTGTGCAGAGAGTGGAATACTTGTATAACCATTGAGTGAAGGTAATAAACGAATGGGAAAGTAGGTATCTACTGGAATGTGAGTTGTTGTAGTTGTAGTTGAGGTTGTGGTATTTGTAGTGGTGGTATTACTATCACTCGTTGCATTTATGGTATTACTATTATTATTACTATTATTACTATTATTATTATTACTATTCATTGCACTGGTTGTGGTTGGGTATAATTCATAGTACCATCCATCTGTTCAACAATATTTGTATAATAAATTCTATGAGTGTAAGGTAATAATAATTTATAAATGGTACTACCACCTGCAACAAAGACTCGATGAAATTCATTCGTAGATAGTAATGCAAATAATTCATCTAAATTCTTGACAAATCGAGTGTGTGAAGAATTGGATTCCATCGATGCACGAGAGGTCAAGACAATACTCACTCGATTTGAGAGTGGTTTGAATTTAGATGGAATAGATTCCCATGTTTTTCTACCCATGATCACTGCATTTAATTTGTGTGAGTCATTGTTGTTGTAGTTGAAAGAAACAAGTATCACTACTAGTACTACTATTGGTGATGGCACTTGATGGTGAATGACTATTACTAGTGATGGTACTCGAGGATGGTAATAATGATGATTTGAACATGGTTGGACTTTGAAATACAAGAGGTTCCTGAGAACAAGTAATGGATTGAAAATGTTTCAAATCTTCAGAAAGACCATCTTCTCTCCATGGAAGATCACCCTTGTAACCAATACCATTGGATTGAAGGAGAACAGCAACAACAGCTTCTAGAGGAGGAATGTTTGGTGGGTGTTGTTGTGTGAATGGTGTTGATGTGAGTGATAAGTGATGATGAAGATGAAGATGATTCGACAACTTGTGGAGTGGTCATTTTCGTTTTTTGAAATTTTTTTTGATGAGGGAGCGGCAACGAGAATCAAGTTTTTTAACGGATGGAAATTTGGTTGGACTTGGTTTGAGCGCCAAAAAAAATCTCATTGAATTCACTGAAACGAGAAAGGCTTATCGTGGTTGCGGTAGTAGCATTTGAATTTACTTGTAGTGCACTCATACTCTTTATCTCATATCGGAACCAGAGTATCAACAATGAATATTCCTTCAAAGACATGTACGGACTCACTCTTCCTTAATCAAGTTATTCAAGATAATGACGACTGTACAAAATGTTCTCTATTTAAATATTTAGAGAATCATGAAGAAAGCCTCAACAAGAATCATTTACTCTCATCATCAATGGAACACAAATATATAGCACCTTCTTTGGTTGTACTGAGTTTTCAATTATTAATGATTCAATTAAGAAATTATATAGTTCTCAAAAAGATTTCTCAATCACTCATTTACATTTAGAGAAAAATGATATTTCATTGATTGAAGATGGTATTCGAAAATTACCTAATAATTGTCCTTTACTTTCTTTACAATATTTAAATATGAATCATAACAAATTGAAATCATTGAATATATTTAATTTGATTCGACTCTTTCCTAATTTAGAATTCATCATGATGAGAAATAATTTAATATCTCAATTGAATTCTCATTCAATACCAATATATGGAAATGTTAAGGTGTTGGATTTGAGTGAAAACAAAATTAAAAAATTGGATGGACTTTCTTCTCTCAAATACAGTTTACAAATATTAAATATTCAAAAGAATGAAATTGAAACATTGAATGACATGTCTCAAGTGTTAGAATTGGAACAATTAACAAATATTGATTTTCGAGGCAATCCCATTCAATCCTTGGAAGAAGAAAATTTAATATTTGAAGAAATTTTAGAAAAATGTAATAATGTTTGGTTTATTAATGGTGCGACGACTTTGGCATCTCCATTAGTGGAAGAGGATGAAAACCACCATTTTGAAAAGAATGAATACTCCATCATGATGGAATTCGAAGAAAATTCAAACTCTTTCAAGAATCAATCATGTTGTGGTCATGTCTCATCTCTCACTCCCATGCATGTTCATGATTTTGAAGAAAATAGAGAACTTCAATCCATTTCTTCTTCATCTATACCACCACCACCACGAAAATCGCAACAACATCAACAACAACATACACCGATCTTTCCACCACATCTTCTCACAATAATTTGGAATTCTACAATGATGAAAAGAAGAGAATGGCAGCAGAAGAACTTTTAAAACGACATAGCTATATTTCTGAGCAATTAAATGGAGTGGGTGGTGTTGTTTCTTCAAAATCTCGATCTAGAGCTTCCTCCATTACACCTCTCTTAAACGATTCAGTGATTATGAAGAATTTATCAAATTTTGCAAAAGTGAGAAACAAAAGAAGTGATAGTTGTCCTTCCATTCCTTCGCCTCCTCTTCAGAAAGTGAGAGGAATACCAAAAGAGAATATGAACCACAACAGTGTATCAGATCGTGTGAGTATCACCACCACCACGACCACCACCTCATCGAGTGATGAAAATGATCAAGGTATGAATACGATACAATCAACGAACCTCAATATTGAAAGTAGTAATCTGTTACAAACAAGTATCAACAACGCAGCGTCAGGACCATTTGCCAGGACAACAAACACCAGAAACCTCATCTCCATCCATTCTTACTCATTCTCCCTTTGAACAAGTGCTGAAGCAAGAAAGTACAACTACACACACCATTGAAGGTGGTACACTCGCAGCCACACACTCAAATAGAAAGGATGAGCCACACTCAAAAGAAGGCAAAACAATTGTTGAGCCCAACACATGTCAAGAAAAATCGAACAACCACAGACCTCTGTCCATCAAAGAGAGAGCCAAACAAAATATGCTGAAACGACTGAATATGTAACATTTAATCCTCATTTTCAAGATTGTACTCTTCGTAAATGCTTGTTACTGTTCTATTCTCAATGAGTGCTAACTTTTCGATTAAAAATTGACAAATATCTTTGATTTTGTTGTACTTGTGAAGGAGATCAATCTTGTGTTTTGAACGTTCCTTGAGCGTTCTGTACATTGTGAATGAAATGAGTGTTTCAAAAAAAAAGGATTCCAAACCTACCTTTCCTGTTGTTTAAGTTCTTGGATTTGCTGATCCATCTCCTTTAATCGTTCTCTCCTTAAAAACAATTCTTCTACTTCTTGTTCATTCAACACAGCTTGTGACAATTTTGAATGTTCGATAAGAGAATTTTCATGTTCACTATACACACCATTCATCTCTCCTTCTGTTTCAACCATGGATAATTTTGAATCAGCATCATCCTTCTCCAACATTAAGAGCTGTGTGTCATAAAATTCCTCATTTCTACGGTAAATATCATGTCTCATTAAAGACAAGGCTCCGCTCAAGGTGGTGCGAGTTTGATTTGGAGTTGAGTCACTGGACAAGGAGGGTTCATCTTTGGGTGTAGCCGCTGTTTCTGTTGTCTTTTTGTACATTAAGGTTGGATTGTGCTTGCATTCCTTGTTGTTTGGGAACACTGTCATTATTTCCTTGTTCACTGCATGGACTAAACTTTGATGATTTTTTGATTGTGACTTTTTGTTTGTTTTAAATTGAGGTTCTCGATCATGTATTGCTTTCGACTTGACCTTCATCATTTCACTATGGTCATCTTTCTGTTCATTTCCAACATTCATAACAGTTTCAGAAGAATCTACTAAAGAGCGATGTTCTCCTGACAGAATTAAACAAGTCATGTTAACAGAAGCTAAAGTGTTCTCAGTTCTGAAACGAGCTTGTACTGTGGTGATCATTCTTTTCATGCATGACATTTCATTCCTTTTCAAACCACCTCTCATCAAGGCTTGTAGGATCACAACACTTGTTTCAAATCGTTCACTCTTCTTTTAACTGTCCAACCGTGAATCAGTGATTGAATCATTTTAACGGCTGAATAACAGTTCATTGCTTCTTTTTTTACCTCTCTCGATTGTGCTCGTGTTTGAATCCATCTTAATACCCAAACAGCCTTAGCATAATATTTCGTTTCAAGATATCTCTCAATGACCGCCTGGAGATATGTTAATTGATCCATCTCCCTCAAAAACTGCTTCTTTGTGGAATGGGACTTTGCAACTGCTTGAATTAAGGGAGTGTTCTTCTCAATGGATTGGAGTTTCGTTACCCTGTTTTGATGATTCATTGTGCATTCGGGAACAATGGTTTCTTCCGATGATGAATATAACTCTCTTCCTTGTTCAATTATATGGTTATTTTCTGTCATTGTAGAGGAAATGTCGTCTGTATGTTCTCTTCTTTCCTCCTCAGTCAGATCTTCCTCCAACACGCAGTTGAAAAGATGATTCTTGTTGGAGATTGAATCACAGTTTGGGATTTCTTCATCATCACCACTCATATACAGATCAATAGTTAAGTCTACCTTGGGCGCAATTGACTCTTCTTTGTGTGCTGAAAGATTTTCCTTAAAGGAATGAAAATGATTGCCAAACTCTTTGCAAGCCTTGCATTGGCAGGTCAAAAAACTTTTCATTGTCTCATCAAGATCGTCTTCCATCATGAGGGTTGTTGTCGTTACTGTAGAGATTAGATCATCCTCTTCATGTTTGTGTTCCTGATGGTAGTGATGATGGAATCTGTTCTGTTGTTGATGATCATGACCTTTCGCCATAAAATTGGAATCATGAATATCCTAAGTTCATGAATTGAGCTGAATGAAATTAGTGATAAATTGGTTGGACTGGAATCCATTTCTTCTTGCTCAAAGTCTTCATGATGATCGTGCAGATGAAAAGAAGGATGGTCGTTTGTGGACATTTTTATTTGAAGAACGAGCATGGTCTGTGCAAGGCTTTTGTAGATTTTCGAGAACCAGTGAGTTACAAAAAGATCAAAAAAAATGAACCCTCATCAGCAGCCACCTCCACCTTTCTCCATGTATGCTTCTCTTCTTCCACAACAGAGCAACAACCCTCCATCATCGGTACCTTCATCATCATCATCACTCAATATGCCTCCCATGTTATCCACCATGATGTATTCTCCTCATCAACAATCATCCTTTCCTCCACCTCCTCCACCTAGAGGATCACCATCAACCACTGTATTACCTCCTCCTACTTTCAATCCAGCATCTCTGAATGGTGGTGGTGGTGGTGGTACTACTCCCACTGTCCGTTCATCATCGAATATTGCAACCATGGCCAACAATAGTGCTACTGTATCATCAATACCTCCCCCAACATTCATGCCTGCTTTCGGAATGATGATGCCTGGATTTCAACCAACATCAGCAATGGGTGGTGTTCCTATGAACGCTTTTCCTTCTTCAAAGAAGAGATCCAAAGAAAGTAGTGATGAAGAAGAAGAGGACGAAGAAGAGGAAGAAGATCAACAACCAATCGTTCACAAAAATAGCAGTACACCAACAAAACCACATTCATCTCCTTCAATGAACAATACTGTACATCAATTCATGCCACAACAATATTCAAATCAACCAACCTTGTCGTCTACAAAAGTCCAAAAAAACAAAAACAACCCACAAAAGAATCAAACAAACAACCTCCAAAGGGTAGTAATACACAATCATCATCGAGTACACAAATGGAATCTTTGAATTCTACTAATTCGAGTGCTAGCAATACTCCAACTGCAGTTTCATCATCCACTCAACCTCATACACAACCCAGTACAAGTGGAATTCCACAAAAATCAATCTATCATCCTTTTATCAGCAGTGCAAATGCATTATTTGGAAATGAATTTATTTGCGATGAATCCATTAGAAAATTAGGAGAATTTATAAATCAAATCTCTGAAGATGGGCTTGAAATTGAAGGAAAAATTGGCTTAATTGTTCAAAAAGGAACACAAGAGAGAATATCTCCAAGATTAGAAAGTGGATGTGAAATTGTATCCGAGTCTATTATTCAACGATCAGATTGTGAATTCATGTCAAGAATTTCTCAACATACATTCAAACATGTCAACAAGTTATTGAATGACAGATTTTCAGCAATGAGAGAAGCTCATAAAAGAGGAGAGTACCATGGACCATTAATTGAATACAAAAGAGCTCAAGAGACTGACAAATTCTTTGCATATTATTTACCTGCATCCGATGACGATGAAAGAGATGAATATGGACAACTTTCTCACAAAGATATTAGAGTAACCTTTGATACAAAAACTGACAAACCCATTCGAGCAATGATTAAGACCCGATTAGAAAGAGGAGATATTGATTTCTCATGTCCTCATCGTTCTTATGATTTTAGAGTTTCATTCAGGAAAGAATTAAGTATTGATAAATTTCCAAATCTTGATGTAGATCGACCAAAGAAAGTTCGTAAAAAGGATAGAGTTTCCTACATCTTTGGATTTTGTAGAATTGATTTGACAAGCGTAGATTCTTTTAATTGTAAAAGAAATGGTGAAATTAATGAGGATTCCAAACATTCATGTCATGAAATTGAAGTGGAATGTGATGTGAAGAAGCTGTTCCAAGTCAAGTCTAATTTAGGAGAATTTGTGAGGCATTTGAAAGAGTTTTTAGATACCATGCGAATGTTGTGCTTGGTTTGTGATTTGTCACCACCACCACCACCACAAATACCACTACAAATACCACCTCAACAACACTACAGTCATCACCAATCAGCCAATTATTATCATTACCAACCGACTCAACAGTATCAACCACCACCACAACATCCACCATCCTTAAGAAGAAAATAATATTTCTGAGTCATAGTTATATTTTTCAATAACAGTTGTTCATTTGCCTCATTCCAGTTCTCCAACCGTATTTTTTTGGCGCCATAAAAAATTTACAAAAAAAATAGTGTCTCGACTTCTGTATCTTCCTCTAGGCTTACACCATGGCGACCCAACAATTATCTCAAACGAACCAAGTTTCTCCGGAATATATTGAAATAATGAATCGGATAGAAAAAGAATTGGATGAAGTATATGAAATGGAAGATGGAGAACAATTTTGTTTTCAATTATCTAATGAAATTGTTAGGATCGGATTAAATATTATTGAAGAACGGCATTTTGAACGAGAAAGTGTTTATTATACTGTCGATGATTGTATGGAAAAGATGTTTACGATATTGGATGTAAGTTCTCTCAATAATATTGAAAAAAAACATTTGGGAGTCAATCATCATATGATTCAGTATACTTTCATTCAAAAGGATGAAGGAGATGGAGAGATGGCTTTGCATCATTTGGAGGAAGGCTCTCCTCTTGAACCAAGCATTGAGCCTCAAAGAATTCCAAATGATTCGTGTGCCCGAGGAAGTGTACCAATGAGAAGAAAACCACAACCTCCACCAATGTCAAGAGCAAATAGTGGACGATTATCAAAAACATCAATTCGTTCTTTTGGTCAAGGACCAAGAGCTTCAGTAGCAGTGAACAATACTAAAGATGCCATTAACACAAGTACAAGCACAGCCAAGTCCACAACAATTAGAAGTAGCATGGCATCCAGTATTTTGTCTACAGTGACCAACAAGCAGAATGCAAATAGACCAATGAATGGGGCAACAAGTGTGGTTCGATAGTTCAAAATGATCAAGAATGAATATGGTCATTCCAATAGTCTCTAAGAATTTCCTAAGGAACACATGAGCTTTGCCTATCTTGAAACATAATAGATGTATTTGAAGGTCAAAATCTCCATCATTTCTATTTTTCAAATTTCGGTGATTCCAAGAAATGTACTCTAGAGTCTGATGATTTTTTAGAAGAGCTTGAACGAATACTTGATCGATTACTTTTCATACTAGTTCTTTTTCCTGAATTTTCCAAACCATGGAATGGTAAAGGTTCAGATCTCATCGAATTTCTATTATTTTTAGGACTTGTCACATAGATATTTCTGGATGGAATGTAATGAGTCGTCAAGATGGGTTGTGATGGTGGTGTTGAGAATGAATGACTACTGCTGCTATTGGTATTACTATTAGGGCTCATCATGATATGAACATCACCAGAAGCACTCGACACGTTATGAGTTGCAATGGAAGTAATGGTATTTGTAGGTCTTTTGAAATATTCATCTAATTCTGTCATGACATTTGTCATATTTCTTGCTGTGCTAGCTCCACTAGTTGAAATATTTGTTGAAGAATCATTCACGGTCATGTTATGAGAACTCGAGTTGGTCGAGCTTGCTGCAAGTAATTTGGATGTAGTACTTCTCATACTTGTATTGAGAACAATATTACATGATAGTTGTTGATCTTCATATGTCCTGTACGATCGAATGTATTCCTTATTTCCACAACAGCAAATACAATAAAATCTGAACAATACATTGGCATTGACTCCAAAGAATAATATTATTTCTAACAATGGAATTGCTAAAACATTACTATATCGAATTCCAAGTGGAATGTCTTCAATGGATGTTTGATGAAAACCATATAAAAAGGATATCACATTGAATTGTGTCACATCCATCATGTACACAATTGAAGTGATGAGATAGATATAAAACTCTGCTCGTCTATATAGAATATTTGGAAATTCATGAAGTTTCCATGCACAACACAAACATTGTTTGAAATAGACACTACAGTTCAATATCCATAACAGTACAATTCCACCTATAATTAAATATTGTGAAACTACCAAAGCAATAGTATTTGGATCGTATTGTGCAATGGAAGGATCACTAATAGTGGATATAGAATTTAATCGATTACACACAATAGGTGTGTTTATCATACTATTGAATGAAGAATATTCATCAACAGTGGTACTAGTACTTGTAGTAGTATTAGTACTTGTAGTATTAGTAGTATTAAATTTCATAAATACTGAATGTACCACTCCAATGCATACACTCACACTAAAAGTCAATAGAATGATCAAGAGTGAAATGTATTGTTTTTTCGAATACATCTTGATTCGAGAGTTCAAATCAAATCTCACATTATACATGAATAATGAGAATAATCGAGCCAATAATATCAATCCCCATAAATTGGATCCCCAAATATAATGAAACCAAATATAAGTGAAAATACAATACAATCTTCGAGTGGAGAAGGATCCTACTTGTTCAGGCTCTTCAGGACCATACCAATGCATTCTTATTAAATTATAATATAATATTGTACCAATATACCAAAACAATATAGAAAGTGAAGATAATACAAAGAGAATGGGTTGTGAAGTTTCAAAGAATTTGACACTTCCATTATAAGGAATTAAACTTTCATAATACGATCGAGAAGCATTTCCTTGTTTTTTTAATTTTCTCATTTTGGATCGTTCTCGAAGTGTTTCCATCGCACAATGACACAAATAATGCGTTGAGAAAATCCATGAAAATAATACCATACAGAGACATGCAAAGAGTCCGACACATGAAATGGTTAAATCTGCAATGGAATTTGAAGAGAGAATGTATTGAGTGGTATTTACAAGAATGATCATGTCGGAAGAGGAAGGAGTTTGGGTGGAGTTCATTTGTAATAATGATGATGTGGGTGTGATGTGTTGAATAATTGTCAAAGTGTTGTTGTTGTTGTACGAGTTTGTAAGAGAGAATGAAAGTATGGGTGTGTCAGTATATCGGTCTGCACACACGCACACTTTGGCAATGAGCTGTTGATGTTGTTGATTCGGTTGTTGTGGTTTTTTATTGTTGTTGGTTTTTTGAGATCAAAAATGAAAGTTGACAGGAAATCCTTTTGGAAAGAGTTTTTCATCAGTGAACTCGACACCTTTCAAACTCTAAAAGAACTGTAGAAGCTGTTATTCAGAGGTCTAGAGCAATAAATTACAAAATTTTGTCAACAAGGAAGAAACACAGAAGGAACCAATGCAACGGATTCTGAGACTTGCAAAAAAAAAATGAATGAATTTCATTCCTCATCATCATCGCCATATGACATTCTTCAACTACCCTCTCATGCCACTCTAAATGAAATTAAGCAACAATATAAAATTCTTGCAAAATTATATCATCCTGATGCAGCCAGTAATAACTCCAGTTCAACGAGTCATCATGAAAAATTTATTGAATTACAACAAGCCTATGAATTGTTACGGGATTCTAAAAAAAGAAGAAACTACGATAAACAATTTCATTTAAACAAGTATCATTTAGAAAAACAATATATTGGTAATATTAGTGATTATGTATTGTTATCGGAAATGAGATTTAATGAAATGAATGATTGTTGTGAAATGGATTGTCGATGTGGTGGATTATATATCATTTCTATGAATGATATTGCAAATAATAGTAATAATGAAACACTTGGATACTTTAAATCCTATAATATTAATTGTAATAATTGTTCATTAATTATTCAAGTTGAAAATGATATGGATGAAGATGATGAAGTAGAGTCTCATCATGAGAATCAATGAATTGACAGTTACCTCCTCCATTTCTCTTCTCTCTCCTTATGAAAGAGCAAATTAGTCTGTTTCGACTCGCTATTCACATGGAGAGAACAATATTGAATCAACAACACATTGAACTCACAAGAATTATATTATTTGCTACTACTTTCTTTGTACACAATGAAAGCCATGCTCATGGATAGTGTTGATATTCGCTAAGAGGACAAGAAATTTCACCAGTCCAAGAAAGTACCACAATAAGTTGATGCCGACACAAACAGTTGAGTCAATCATCAAGTGGCTGATATCATTTCAAATGCTTTGGGAAAGTGAACTTGGGGTAAAAGTGTTTTCAACATTAATGAACACACGAATGCCTTTCAAAAAGTGGTTCAATAATTTACTATCTACATGTAATGAGGAAATGCATTCTTTGAGGACATTTCAATCTCTTGACGAAGCTCTTCTGGTAATAATGCAAGATCTTTTTTCGATAAGACACCTTTGGGTAAATATTTAAGTATTTTGGCTGCATGCTCCTTGATAAGTCTTGCTTTTTCTTGTTCGATAATCTTTTGCTTTTCTGCAGCTCGCTGCATTTCCTTGTTTTGTTCCAAAATAATTTGTTGTCGTTCCAGTTCCTTCATTTCTCTTCTCTGAGATAAATAGTCTTCCACATCTCTTCTGAATTCTGCCATCTTCAATCTCTTCTTTTGAGCACTTAATTGGGCAATTCTTTCGTCGTCTTCGAATTTTTGTATAAGCATTTGTCGGAATGCTTCTTCTTGTAATTTTTCTTCTTGCTGTCTGTTTTGTTTCATCATCAATTGCTCATGGTTCACTCGTAACATTTCCATCTTTTGTTGTTGCTTTCGTTCTCGGTCTTCAATTTCCTTAAGTCTTTCCTTCTCTCTCTTCTCTTCTTCATACAATTCATTGAGAAGCTCTTCTGTTTCTTCCATAAGTCTTCTTTGCTTTTCAAGCTCTTTGGATTGCATTTCAAGAAGTTTGTCTCTTCTTTCTTGTACAGTAGCCTTCTTGAGTCTTTCTTCTTCTTCTCGCATTTGTAAATATTTTTGGTATTGAATAATACTTTGTTCTTCCAATTCCTTTTGTCTTTTTTCTCTTTCTTTGGATGCTTCTCTTGCTTTTTTGAATTCTTCGATAAATGATTGCACTTGCTTTTTCTTTTCTTGTCTCTCTTGCATCTCACGTTCTTCCTCTTCCATAACTCTTTTCGTGATGGCATCGACCATTTCCTTGTCTCTGAGATATTCTAGGTATGCCATTTCTTTTTCTCTTTCTTTTTCTTCCATTTGTTGTTGAAGCTTTTGTTTAGCCAAAATGTTTTGTGCTTTCTTTTGCTCTTCAATCTCGTTAATTTGTTGCACAATCTTGAGTCTCTCCTTCTCCATTTCTTCCTCCAATTTCTTCTCGTATTCTCGTTCTTGTTGTTGTACTTGTTCCTTAGCTCTGAGTTGACGATCTCTCTCGACATTTACGTATGCAGTTCGCAATTTTAATTCCAATTCTCGAATCTCATCGCTCTCAGCTCGGATTTGTTGTATGGTTTTTTCGGCCTTCATCGTTTCTCGCTTTCGCTTTTCAATGGCTTGGTTGATCATTTCGTCTTGCCTTCTTAGCTTCTCCTTCAACATTCGCTCCTTCTCTTCCATCTCTTTCATTCTCTCTTCCTGCACTGCCTTTTGATAGGCCACCAACTTGTTTCGTTGTCTGATTCGCTGAATTTGTTCATCGTTCATTTTTTTTTGTTATTCTTTGGCGCGCAGTGTGTTTGTCTGAAAAGACGTACGTTGAAAGGCGGGAAGAATGTTCTTCAGAGTTGCTTCTTGGATCTTCTCGACGTTGGGAATTGTTTCTCTTCGTGAACATGTATAGAGCATGCATACAACACACTATTCATAGTCTCATTCCATCATGATTCTACTGATACGGCAAATAGAGCAACCCAACACATGTTCTTCTCCATTCTCTGGATGATTTCCGCCTGATGGACATTTGGGAGGACCCAAACATTTTGGTAGCTGACTCTTGGGTGTTTTGGTGAGTTGTTGATTTCCACTTGTTTACGATGGCACTTGTCACAAAAGTGAGTCGTACCCCAACAAAACCATGTGGCAATGTTACTGTTAAAGACAAAGGTATAGTAACAAAGACAAAGGTAAGAACACACAAAGGTAGCGGTGTATTAACACACAAAGGTAGCGGTGTAGTAACAAAGACAAAGGTAAGAACATTTCAATATTGTACATGTCAATGTAAAACACAATTCCCAACCCTCAAACAAACACTTACCAACAAAATTTACACTTGTACTCGACAAATTCCGTTCCATGTAAATCACACACCAAGTTGTTTCTCACATTTTTCATACAACACGAACCACATTTTAAATCTTGCTCATTAAATTCTTCATTCTCGTCATCATTCTCACCACACTGAATTCTACCTCCATAATAAGGATTCTTACATTCATAACAAAGATAATATGCAAATGTGTTCAAGGCATACTCTAATGGTTTCTTGTAGTATTTGCTATTTTCATTGGTCACTTCTTCACATTTCAAAAGACCTTCGTTATCGAGTCTCATTAAGGCTTTTCTCTCAACCATTGATCTTAGTGTACGAATGGGTATAGTTAAATCTTTGAGAGAGTAGTGTTCGACCACTTGATTACACAATGGACATTTTTCAAAGTTGAATGTCATTCGTGCTCCTGACCACTTCTTTTCAAGTCTCTTTCTGATACACTCGTAATGGAAAATATGACCACATTTCAATTCAATGCATGGAGCTTGTTTTAACGATGAAGTGTAACAAATGTTGCAAAAATCATCTCCTTCTTGAAGTTCCAACTCATCACTGCATTCAAGACATCTCAAATGGAGAAACTCATCCTTGATTCCGCAACACAAGTGTCCACACTTGTGAACATGAGAACATGCATGCTTTAATTTCTCTTGACATTCTTCACTGGTGCACACATCCTCAGTGTTGGTTTTCTCAATAATAATTTCACAAAATCGACACTTCTTGGAATTGAGAAAGGCATGAAAAGATACACACGTGTGATGCTCATGGTAAGGAATGGAGTTACAATTGGAACAGAATTCAGTGGAACATTCTCGACATCGAAATCTGTACTGTTCTTTGTGGACTTCAGTCTCACTTGGAGCTCTCTTTTGACGAATAATTTCTTGAACGATTTCTTCTCTACTGCGTAACACTCGCTCCACAATGGTTCCACATGATTTGTTTGGACACTTTACAAAAGTGTTACTACTCGTGGTAAATGCCTTTCTCAATCCCAAGTCTGAGAGTCGTTCCTTCTCTTTTTCTGTCAAGACTGATGAAATTACGTTTTGAGGAATAAATTCAAAACAACATTGAGCTGGACAAGGAATACACGATAAATCACAACAATTATTGTCGGATTCTTCCAGATCATCCATAAATTGCAAGATACACTTCCTCAGACAATCTGCACAAAATGAATGAACACAATGGTCAAGGAAAATTGCCGAGTCGATTTGTAGACACTTTTCGCATCGATCACACTTGATACACTCTTCTTCATCTTGTTGTTGCTTCAACTCCTTCAAATCTGTCAAATGAATTTGTCGTGCAATTTGTTCATCTTTTCGTTGTTGATCAGGAGAAGTTGAGCTTAATAAGTAAGCATCTCCATAATACGAAGTGAAATCTTGTTGTAATGAATTGAAAGGAGAGAATTTTCCAACGGGTTTCGATTTTCTTTGGGGAGTAACGCATGACACACCAGTAGTCTTTAACATGTTTCTCAAATTAAGGCATTCCTCAATATGATCTTCAACATTTCCATAGTCTATACTTTGACAACACACAGGACAAATGACTTTGCCATTCGTGTCTTTTTCAACGCCGTGATCTTGAAGATAGGCTCGCCCTCTCTTTTTACAATCCTCACATCCTGGTGTTGTTGGAGGTGATGAAGGAGAGGTGAGCATCCGACTCGTTCCATTACTATTACTAGGGTCATATGTTGTTGATGTGGTTGAATGATGATGATGTTCCATCATGACTGTTGGTTGATGGAGAGATTCGACCCATGTCGGAGAGGTTTCCTTTCCCATTTTGTTAATCATTAAGGAAGACTCTAATTCCTGCAGCAACCAATATATAGTAGTAGTAGAAGTAGTGAGAAGCAATGGTAACAACAACAACAACCACAATTCGTTTGAAATGAAATGCGTGTGGATGCGTTTTTTTAGATAATGGCGCCAATCTTAAACAGCATGTCATGAAAATTGGACGTACTGTTTTACTAGTGCTGTCGAATCTTTTCGTTCAATTTTCCGAGCAATACAGAGTCGACCTTTTGTTGCAAGAATGCATTGAATTCAGTAACTCCTAATGTTTGAGCCATCTCTGACAATTTTGAGCCAAGATATGTATAGAAATCCATGTGCAAGAGAGAATCATTTCGTGCCGATTGTCGTTTTCGATCATATTCATTCTTCATGACACCAGGTGGTAATTGAGGTGATTGAGGTGAGAGTGCTGATGAAACTGCATCTTCTCCGGTTAATCTCTTAGCCAATTCGTTTGTTCATCAATATCATATAACACTTGATACTAATTGCCAATATGGTGGAAAATCGATTCAAAATTTCTGGGTCTGTACTTGGATAGAAGGACAATAAGGCTAAAGTGCTGTATTTTCTATGGAAAGGTGAAACGATGGAATCGGACATGTCGGTCCAAGCATCAATCAATCGAAGTAAAATTTCATGCTGTGTTTGAGGAGGTGGTTGTGTGGTGGTAGTGGTAGTGGTGGCAACACTATTGTCATCGCTTCCTACTGCCATGATTGTATTATTATTGCCATTGGCAACAATCTCTTTCAATGTTCCTTCCTTGAGCATGGCATCCATAATTTCATAGAGTACATTCTTATTGAAAAATACCAATCTAGAAAATACACACAAAAAACCAGTCAAAACAGAGCTCTTCTCTTCATGATTGAGGAATATCTCCATCATTTTCTTGACAGGACTTGCAAAATTAATTGAAGCCTCCACTGGAAATTCAGTGAATATGGTTTCAATGACTGTGCTGCATAAATAAATTGCTTTTGGTTTTGTGTTGCAAAGAACGTTCAGAAATATGGAATTCAGTTGAGGGCCATAGGTACTTAAAAATTGTGATTTTCCAAGAAGAACATAGCTCTCAATCAATCTCAAGTTTGGCATTACATATTCAACTGTATGGTCAAAAATTTTCACAATATTTGGAAAGAGAGACATTAATCCTTGTGTTGGCTCTGGAGCATATTGCATGGTAATGTGCCACAAGTCAAGACCTTCTTCAATAAAGTACAAGTGTTCCTCCTGATCAATATCTGTACTGTACTGAATGAGTGGTAAAAGGAAGTCGTACAAAATAACTGAATTATGCTCTAGTAATTTCACAATTTTAGAAATTGCAGCAATCACTTGTGTTTTCACTAACGTTGAATCTCCAACAGCATTCCAGAAAATGGGTAAAATTTTCACCAATGTTTCGCAGTAGGGTAAAATATTATTTTCCATCTTTTCAACCACTGTACATATTAACGACAACAGAGATAACTTTGTATCTTCCTGTTCTACCTTATCCAATAACTGAACAAGAGAGCTCATAAATGGTTGTAAAAACTCAGCAAAATCTTCAGCTCTTAATTCAGTGTCTTCGCTTAGGACAATCTTTAAAGTGATCAGAGATGTTAACTTCATCACGAGATCGTCACTTCTAATAAGAATAGTAACCAATGTACTCAAAATATCCTTTCTAACAAGATTATCAAACTTCTCTACCCATCGTCCAAGTAACCACATGCATTTTCTTCTTATAATGTTGTACCTTTTATCTTGTGCAAAGGCTTCAGTGGGTAACAACTCTTTTCGAAGCATGTGAATATACCATTGAGAGAATTGAATTTCATTATAGAGATTATACGAAGCCCAACCAATAGCGCTGTAACATGAATCCCGCAGTAAAAGTTTATCCTGTTCCAAAGAGCCATATGTTTCTAAAGGAGAAAATGAGTAGAATTCAATCAGAATGTACTTACCATGCAGTACTTTCTCAGTGAATTGAATCACAAATTTTGCAATTCTATTTTCAAACGTTCCCATGATGGCCAAATAGAAATATTCACTCGCTGCCTTTGTAGTGTCCGACCAATCCAGTTCTTGTTCTTTCACAAATTCTTCTGGATCTTCATCCCATTTCTCTAAATCGTTGGGAGAATTTGTTAAATATTTGTAATCAAACACGAAATAAAGTTTTGCAATACTTGGTCTGTATAAAATTGGTGGTGAATAATATCAAATGCCTCTTTTGCCTCCTGAGAACCAGATTCATCATAATGTTGACAATCCGTAATCTGTTTCAAAAATGTTAAAACTCTGAACAAAATTTTATAATCTGTCGTAGGTGCCTTTGGATCACATTCAAACATAATTTGAGAAAAGAGCATTGAATATGAGAGTAAATGTTTTCTGAATCCAATGCTATGCTTGGCCTGAATTCGCAATGGTACCTTAATGAATGAAGAAATTAAAGTTGTAATCTTGTGAAACAATTCTGAATTTGTGTTTTGAGATAAAATCATGTTTTGTCTAACAGCGTAAAATTTTGAAATGAAATCCAAAACTGATGTTAAAAAGTCCATAAGAGTTGTGTTCTTGTCTACCGCTGATAATCCCATCACTGCCACTCTCCATATTATCCGAGTGCAAATCAAACAGTTCTTGTATTCCAAATCGTCAATGTTTGAACCAGATTGATAAATCTTGTTTGCATAATAGAACCATAACTGACAAATAAATGGGGTAATATCACTTGAAAACTGAAAATCATATATAAGAGCGTTTGTAAATATGAAAGGCTCAAACCTACCTGTCTAAATGCTTTTTTTCCATCGTCCATATATGTTCTTGTTGCCTGCTCTTTTACAAAATGTTTTAATACTACTAAACATCTATTCCGAATATTTTCATTGGTTGATGCAACAATACAATTTCCAATAGATGATATTAAATTCGTCCATTGAGATGGATAATCAATTCTGGAAATCTTAGAAGTGGCCAATGCTAGTTGAGTGACAAATTGAGAATTAAATAGTACCGCATCTGTATTGGTGAGCAGTATATTCAACAAGCCTTGTTTGAGATATTCTTTTTCTTCTTGTGATATGGAACTGCACCATGAAGAATGAATGGTTGTTTAGACTACTACTAGAAGTAGTACAAAAATGTACTTACAAATCCATGTTTGTTCTCCAATATTTATCAACAGTGTTTTTGAAACAAATACTGGCCAAATATCTGACATCCATATCAACGTTGGTATTGACAATTATTTGCTAGGATTGATTTAAGAGTTTTTCCGTCGACGGGATTGTATATATAGAACGCAACACAGTTGAAATAATAATTGTAATAATTGCATCAATGAACACATGATGAATATTGATGGCAATCATCATAAAATTGAAGACTTACCATCAGCAACGACAAGTATCCATTCCGCTTCTCAATTTCCAGTAATGTCTTTTCTGCTGTTTTTTGTTCTTCCTTTACTGAAGACATGGACCTTCTCAATACTTCAGACAATTCATGTTCATCACTGGGGGATAGAGAAGGCAAATCATTCCGAGAAAGCCTTTGAGTCATTTTTAAGAATTTCAATACGAAATTTAAATCGTTTATAATGAGGAATTGTGTTACACACTCATTCTTCTTCAAAGAGTGTGGAAAGAGCAGGAAATGGATTTTGTTTGGCCACCACGAGTATTTGCTTATCATGAGAAATGTATCCTCTCACAAAACCAGAAAAAATCAAATTCGAGAGAATGCACTCGGCTTCATCCAAATCCATAGGATCATCTTCAACAAATTTCAAAGCGGCTAAAAATGTTGGAATTGGTATTCTGGCACTTTTTTCTTTGTAACAATAAACTCTCCTCAATAAATTTCGATAGACTACCACCTTAATTTTCTCTAGAATCAAATAAGTACCATCATTGATAAAGAAGTTCATATTTTCTGCAAGACACCTCCTATACGTTCTTAAATCCCCAGTCCTACATGCTTTTGAAAGTTCCATGAATTCCATCAAGTCATACTTTTCACAGAGTGTTTGTGTTGGATATTTTCCTAACATTAAATTTACGCTTGCCAAGTATCGAATGATCATCTTCTTATTTTTCGTGTAATCTTCATGGCAGTAAGTTAAAGCATATTCTAAATCTTCTTTTGCTTTAACAAATTTTGATTGTAAGATAGCAACTCGTGCAGAAAAGAATCTAAAAGTCACCAATTCTGAGAGTGGATAATTTAAATCATTTAACACTGCGCTTCGAATATATTTTGAACACAAATCTAAATTGTTCAACTTGAAATAAAATCTAATGAGAGTATTTGTAATGTGCAAAGAAGCCCATTTCTTTGATTCTTCAATATTTGTTCGATCTCTATTGGAAGCAGCCAACGCTGTTTGTAGTGTCATTGCTGCAGCAGAGAGTGGACCTAATTGATGAGAATCTTCAGAGTCTCCTGTTCCTCCTTCTTGAGCATCTGCAGCTTTTACGGCAGCGCGATACAAAGCACTGCTTAAAAATTTCATTAGTTTTACGCTCCAATAATTCTCTTTATCAAATACTTGATTAATAAATTTTTCTACACTCTTTTTCATAAATTCAAAGGCATTCTTATAATCTTCCATTTCAAATAAATAAATCATTGATTTGAAATATTCGTATAGAAATGGGCGATAAGAGACTTTGGAGATGGTTGAATCCACTAGTTTTTCAATTGAATTGATATTCGGAATTTTGCCAGTAGGCTGATCGCCATAGAATGTTTCGTAAAAGAAGTCTTCGTTCAGAATATCTGCTGCAGTATAGGCGTCTTGGTCCATCAGAGCCTTTTCTACATCTTGAGAAGTGCTTGCATTTTTTTAGGGTGAACATGTTCGATCACATGAAACTGTGTTGCTTTGCTGGTCTCTAAGTGATGTGGTTGGTTAAGCGTATCGTTAAATATTTATTGTGTACAATTCAACTCCTGTATCGATGATGAAAATGTAAATAAATTTATCTTGTCTAAATTTTTGATCCATCTGAACCTTCTTGATGATCATCAAGTGTAAAATTGCAAAACCAAAATTTTAAAATTGAAGCCGTAGTGAGTGAAATTCTTCATTCCAATGACATTTGAAAATTCCGCACAAGCAATCTCTATTAGTAAAAGAACGTGATATTTGTACAATGTTCACTTTGTAATACCTCCAGCTTGTTGTGTCCGTTTCTCAAAAACCATTCAATTCTCATTGTTTCATGTTTAGGAATGACTCGATACGTATCAAATTCTTTCCGAATAAATTTTCGAAGAACAGTAGGGTTCTCCTTTTTACTTGCTGCTCTCCAAAATTGTCTGTACAAGGAAAGTACTTGTTTCTGCAGTCCACTGTACTTGGGACTTTTTGCTTTTCCTAAAATACTCATCAAGTTGGTTTAATATTTTTTGATCGTCAAAGAGTTGTGCAAAGGTCAATCCGAATGAACCACCATGGTGAACGGAGGTGTATTTTTGTTCAACAAATCAAAAGAACGGACTCCTGTGATCCAACCCCCGCACAAAGAAGTTGCACAAGGTGTATTGCCATGATTGAATTCATGCATCAATTCAATAAAAATGTCTCAACTCATCAACCCAAATCCTGATGTTTTTGCTGCGCAACTCATTACCCGTGATGCGAGCACGGAAAATGAAAAGGATGAAGATTTTACTGATGAATTTGATGCTCTCGAAGTCTATGATTTGATCCGAAATATTAATGATCCAGAGCATCCTCTTTCATTGGAACAATTAAAAGTCACTCAACACGATCTCATCCATGTTGACAACAAGAATTCTACAATTTTAATTTATTTTACACCAACGATCACACATTGCTCAATGGCCACTCTTATCGGACTGAGTATTAGAGTTAAATTATTACGAAGTTTACCAAAAAGATTTAAAGTCGACATCAAAATCACACCCGGAACACATCAATCGAAGATCAGGTGAACAAGCAGTTGAACGATAAGGAGAGAGTTGCAGCTGCTCTAGAAAATGAGAGATTATTGTCCGTTGTTAACAGGTGCATTGCAAATTCGTAATTTCATGTACCAATAAATTCAATTTTAAAATCAAAAATGTTTCCACTAGCCACCGCTGTTCGAGAAAACTTGATTTTTGGGTTAAAAAATGGTTCGAGGATCACTGGCCAAAAAGTTGCCGACACCAGGGATCGAACCAGGGACCTTAAGATCTTCAGTCTTACGCTCTCCCAACTGAGCTATGTCGGCTTCTTATCATATTTATTGTTTCAGTGAGGAAATTTAAATAGTTCGGAGGTGAATCGGACAGAATGAGGTCATAAGATATTGTTGGTTAGATTACCTCAGTCAAGCCGACTTATACCACCATGACTTGTGGCCATGCCTCTATACACGCGGAATGAACTTTGAGAAAAAATAATGTGTCACGGACCGTACGCACCACCTCTTCTTGTTTGGCCGCTTTATGTCGTGGGTTCCGCATTAAACTTTGCGTCATCTGTTGATGGCTTCATTCGTTCGAACAATCAAAAACTCGTTGAATTTTTCAAAGCAAAATCCAAAGAGTATCACCATCAAACTCCCAATGCTCTGGATTCAAAAACTTCCATTAGCATCGAGGAGATTAGAACCACCAATTTACTCCCGTTGCTGGAGCAAGAAGATCGTGAGGAATTAGCCAAATTATTGATTCAAAGAGCGATCGCTAGGATAGAGCTCTCTAAATTTGAAGAGGCCAAACAAGACATGTTGCAATGCCTTTCTCTGATGAGCTGCAATACTCCCTCGTCATCAAGCACTGAAAAACAAACAACGACCTCAAATCAGCACAAGTTCACCAAGAATTCATACTTGTCCGAGTACTTGTTAGGAATGTGTGAGGATGGTTTAGGAAATTTCCAACGTGCTGCTGAGATATTTCAGAACGCCATCCAACACCGAGAAGAGTTGGAGGCTCATTTCCAAAACTCACAACGTTGTCATGAGGATACGATGAATGAAGAGGCTCTCATTCAACTCGAGAAGGAATTTTTTCAAATGCAACTCGAGGCTAAGAAACCCACCGAGAGAACTCTCATGTCATTCTCGAAAGGGATGAATGATTGGAATCAGGCTGTTTCAAATCTCTCTGGCTCGGTGAAGAACTTTTTCAATCATGACATGGGTCTCAATGTTTCCAAACCTGTATTGAAACCAAAGCCTCGTACTCTTATTACATTGGAATTGTTGTACATTCGGGCAGGTGTGTCCTTTTATCGAGGAGCCTTCTATTCGGATGCCTTGAAATATTTCACGAGAGCCATTGCGTTGGGTGAAGAATACGAGTCATCCTTGCTGGAATCGAGTTATTTCAATAGAGGTCTTTGTTATTACTATTTACATGAATTGGATCAAGCTCTGAATGATTTTACGACAAGTATTTCTCTAATGCCCACTCTCACTTTTCAACGAGAACAACGTGATCAAGTCTATATCACGAGAGCAGCAACCTATGGAAGAAAGGGAATGACTAAGGAAAGAGATGCTGATATATTCAAAGCAAAATTAATTAATCCATTTGCAAAACCAGTTTCGCTCTTTCATTATAGACTTTTGGATGATGATACTCTTTTACATATTTTTTCATATTTGGAAACTAGAGAATTAATTGCATCTTCATCGACTGAAAAATACTGGAGATGTTTGATTCAAAAATTCATTTCAGAGAATGATATTGAAATTAGTGTCAAATCACTCACATTCAATGCGTTACAAAAATCAATGGATTCCAGAAATACCATTTCCAAACTCTTTCTACCTCACAATCGAATGGAAATGCATGCATTTGTCAATAAGGCATTAGAAAATTCAATTCTTACCAAGTATGCCAAACGTTTAATTGTGTACGATTCAAGATATTATGAACAACATTATTCCTCTGGAGTTTCTTTATTAGAAGCCACTCTGGAACGACTTGAAAATTTAGAGAGATTGACTTTTATCATGCCAGAAAGCGATAACAGGTACAAAATACCTCATCTGTTAGCGTCCAACTGTCCAAATTTGAAATATTTGCATTATATAAGTGGAAAAGATTCATACATGTCAGAAGAAGGTTTCTTTGTTCATTGTATTTCAAAACTTTTATACTTGGAACATGTAATCATTGAAGGACCTGTCCAGTTTCACCCTAGAAGCAATCCTTTCAGCAACAATACTCATCTCAAGCTGGTCGAATATGAGTGTTCATTTTGTGGAGAGGACTGGAGCAAATTGGCTGAACGAAATCCAAACGTTCAGTTTGTTTTCAGACCAATGATGAGCAAGAAAGGTTACCTTCGACTTGTAGAGAATGATAGCTATTGAAGAGAAGTTTTTTTCACAAGTGTTCATTGTAAATAAATTGTAATGAAAAGCCGAATTAATCTGAAAAATGCCAACACGACAACTCAAATCTCAAGCTGATCTTGATTTCTCGCTCTCTGGTTAGTATGTTCGGAGGTGATCATAAATTTAAACTCAATATCGGAATTCAACCAAAAAACTTGGAATATTTTATAAATTGATTACGTGTTATTATGTATGAATCATGAATTTATTATTTATTATGGAATTTAAGAAAGTGGAGTCATGGGGTATACAGTACTTTATATTTACGACGACAGTTCACCAACTCATTCACAATTAAAACCTGCTTTTGAATTGATCAGTAGAGAGTGTCCGTTTTCACACTTTTTTACCATTTCATATGAGGATTGCGAAGGAGAGGGCATACTTGAGAAGTATAAAGTAAACACATTTCCATATTTTCTCGTATTTAAAGGTCAGGACTTATTTGCACAATTTGAATCAGAAACAGGTATGTTAATTTCTTGTTCAAGAATTATGAGATATATCAATGCATGGAAGCTAACAATCTGTCAAAACAATTGAGAAAGTTAAACGTTGCACCTCCCTCACAAACTGAATAAACAATAATCCAAGCACTTTACAAGTTCCAACTGACCAAAGAAGAAATCATGCTTTTTTCAATCAAACAACAAACCCCATGTTTTAAATTGTTTATTCAATCATACAATCACCTTGTTCTATGAGTATTTCTTGTTGGTCCACGTTCGATGTCAATGTTGAAAGAGGTGATGTTGGTGTGAACTCTAAGGTTGGTGTGGTATCATGATTCACAGTGTTGGAAGAAGTTGATGGTTCCTCGTTCAATAATTGAAGCAAGTCGTCATTCCCAAATATATCACTTTCAATAGATTGAACAGAAGAGTTTGTAAGGTTAGTGGTGGTGACATCAAAAGGAGGTAATAATGCAGCATATTGTTGTTCTAAGGCTTGTCGCATCAAATTTTGAACCTCAAGTTGGAATTGCGATAATAACATGTTTTGCATTTGTTTAAACATTTCACTTCCATTTTGATGAAGTAAATCTTGTAAGAGTTGTGCTAAAAGCATTGGATCTTGTTTCTTCAATTCCTCAAGAAGTTCTTGAGGATTTGGAGTGGTCACATGACTCGAATCATGTTGGCTCATTAATTCTGGTTGTTGAGAGGTTTCAATGGTATTCATTGTTGAAACAGCTTGCTGCTTTTTGGAAACTTTACACTTTTTAGTAGTGTTTCCTTGTTGCTCAGACTTCTTTCTCTTTTTTTGAGTGTGTTGTGGTGTAGCATGATCTTCAGATGGAGCATCGTTATCATCTTCAGCCAAATTCACAGCTGCACCACCACCACCTTGATCAAGTTCTTCACTTGAAGAAAGAGCGGCATGTTTGGGAGTTCCAGAGGAATGGGATGATGCATTTTCATCATCATGAAGAATAAAGTGTTCATTTGGACTCTTGAATGAGACAACCTGTGGCAAGCACTTGTTTTGTCTTCCTTTTGAAGAGGTTAAATCAATGACGAAATAATTATCCGTGAAATGATCACAACTCTTGAGCTGTTTTCGAAGTTTACATAACCGCTTATTCACATGGTGTTGCCCATTAAAATTTACAGAATTACAAGTTGCAGTCATCGATGAACAGTTGCCAGAAGAGTCTTGAGAGGTTGTATCCGAGCTGTTGTTGTTGGCATCACTTTCATCCACAAACATGAGTTTGGATGAGTTTCTCTTCTTGGATGATGATGCAGTATGATATTGTTGCTTTACACAGTCTTTATCCAGTTTGAATGAAACTGTTGAAGATCCATTCGCATTGTATTTAATCTTGGTCTTTCCTGATTTAGAAGACTTCTTTCTTGATGTTTTGGCTGATGTTGTATGAATTTTGCTTGAGGATGGAACATTGATTTCTGTATTAATAGTTGTGGACTGTGTGTTGCTGGGTGTCATGGTTGAGTTGTTGTTGATAACGAGTAGAGGATTTTGTTGTTGATCACAAGAATCTGATGAGTGTGTGTTGTTGTTTGTTGACTACGAAGAGTTTTTTTACAATCACACAACACTGGACGCGATCAAATAAGGAGGTTCTTGCGATGGAACGGTAGTGTTTGTGCAGGTATAAGATATGAAAAGTACGAAATGATGGCGAAAGCTGGAGAGAAAGCCTTTTGGATGTTGAACAAACTGTGTTGTTTGTGGATTCTCCCTACTCTAGCACGGCTACGAGATGGATCCAGGAGAAGATCAAGCTGCTTTTTTTTTCTTCTTGATGGCTGCTGTTGATTTTGGTGAATCTCTGATGTTGTCGTGAAATTACTTTAACCGCTTGTTTTCTCCAAACAAGATATTTTAAAATCCTTCTCGAGATCACTTCGAATAAATTTGGTCCTCAGAAATTACAGCGATGTTGTTGAGTTGGACGAACTTGGCGAAAATTCTCAGCTCATGAAAGGACGAGACAATTCAATTTGGAATATTTTAGAGTCGTAGACCTCAAAAATGAGCAAAATTCAGCCATAAAATTAAAAAGGAATAATATGTACTCATACTTGTAGAAAGGCGTTGACAGGTTCATGTCAGACAATCGAGCCATCATTGAGGTTGTGTTGTATGCAAAGCCTTGAGATGAAACAAAGGAGAGAAATTATTGTCATCTTCGTTTCCTAAATTCAAACTAAAAGTTGTATTCCTAAAAAGTCAAATCACCAAATGTAATGTGAAATACAGTGATGGTTCATCATTTCATTGTCATCAAATGATTTAACCGTGTTATTTACAATAGAAATATACAGTTGTATGGGACAATCACAAGAGATTATAACTGTCATTCGCAATACATTCAAACATGCATGTCAACTAGTAAATTTACTGGTTAAATTCACCAGGATGAGGACGAAGTTGACTCAATTTTGGATTCATCAATGCACTCACTTCCTTAAACTTTTCATAGTCAGCTCCTTCCATCATTTGAAATAAAGCACTTTCGCATGAAGAAATAAAAGCTCCTGATTGTCTCATTCTTTCAAAGGCAACACTTCTATCAAAGGATCTTTGTGATGATGTACCATCTGCAAGTATATGTACTTCCTTGTTGGCCTCTAATAAATCCAAAGCAGTTTGTAAAACACAAACATGGGCTTCAATGCCAAACAACACAATTTGATCTCTTTGTGGATACTTTTCCAACACTTTTTTAACATCATCTGTGAGCATTGAAAATTTCTTCTTTTCAAAGAGGTAATAATCGTCTTTTGGAGAGGTTGGTAAATTGACCTCGGGACAAGTCTTTCCGAAAGCCTTTACATATTGCTCTGTGCAAATGAAAGGAATGTTCATCATGGTGGAGGCTTGATTCATCGTAGAAGCAACATAGAGTACAGAAGGAAAATTATGAATTAAATTTCGAAAGCGATCTTGAATATCGCAACAAAAGAAGAGAGCTCTATTTCTACTGAGTTTTCCGATGGCTTTGTTCATGGTGATGATCGTCGTTGAGAATTTTTTTGTTTAGGACCAGAATCGGTTAGACAATAGTACGAACAGCACACAGAATCAGTTTTGAGTCCAATATTCCTCTCATTTAAAGTTGTTTTACTAACTAAACTTTGTTTAAATTCTCTGTTGTTGTTCTCGATAGGCTTGAGCCACAAGTTTCATAATTTCTCCTTGCTTAAGATGAGGATGACTCTCCTTAAATCTTTTGTAATGTTCTTTCACATAGTTATTATAGGCATTGTTGGAGTTTTTGGTTGACTTGCCAACTTCTTGAAGTCTACCTTTACATATTCCACAACATTGTTTTGAGACATCTACAGACTTTGAATGTCGATTGATCATTGAACCACAATCCACACATTGCCATTGATACTTGTAATCAATGGAATAAGAATGACATGTGGTAATTGGAATGTCAGGATAATATTTCCTAATTAAATCTCCATACGAATAAAATGTTTTTCCATGACCTGTAATACCATCAAATAAAAAACTTGCAGCATGACACATTTCGTGCGCTATGAAATGTTATTTGATGAAAACACATGAACCAAGTCAGAATTATGATAAAAATTCAAGATGAATTTAGACAAATCAATAACATACCTAACGTGTGAACCAATCGCTCCTCACAGTCGCATACTTTCGTTGATATTTCAATAGCCACTACTTTTTCTAACTGTGTTGTTGTTGTTTTACCATTCTTTGTCTTTTTCAACGTAAATAATTTACAGTAACCAGCAGTTTTCCTTAAATGATGATTCCATAATAAATAAGGCTTTCCTTTGAGATCTTTTGATTTTCCTTCTGATAATTTAAGTGCAGGAAGCTTGTTTTTAAAACAAACCGAGTTGAATTCATCATAATATTTTTGAAGGAGTTGTCCTCTCACTTTTTTAAACTGTTTCGAGTCCGTTATGTATTTTGAATGAATTGGAGCTTTTGGCGTGGATCGATTGAATTTCTTTTTGGGAGTCATGTCAGAAAGGTCAATAACATCTAATTTTGGAGCCTTATTGGTTTTCTTTCCAGTCATGGAGATGTGGCCATCATTCTCATCATCATCATCACTTAATAAGAAATCATTAGCGTCTTCATTGGATAAACAATCACTATCTTCTTCATCAAATTCAATACCACTATCAGCATGATCACTGCTACTATCAGCACTCTCTTCTTCATCACTATCTTCACACAAATCAATGGCTTGTTGACTTGCCAGTGATTCTTCAAATTCCTTAATACATTCCTCATCGAAAATATCACTCTTTTTGACCCAACTATTATCACAAGTTGGATATCCAACCCATTTCACATAATATTCAGGTTTTGCATTACGGATTCTTTTCTTTAAAATCTTTTCAATTTCATAAATTTCAGGATCTTCATTCTCTGATTCTTCTTCTTTGAATTCATATTCTGCTTCACCGTCATCATTATCATGAAAACAAGTAGAGGTGGTTTGATTGATAGGAGGATTTGAACTATTTTGTGTCATGGAGGATGATACCAGTGAACTATTATGATTGTTGTCTTTGGTTATTTCTTCGACATGTTCATCATCCGAAATGTAAATCACTTGAGTTGAATTCAAACATGAATCTCTACGTTTGATTCCAAGAGATTTTCTTCTCGAAGAGAGTGTGCTGCGAGAATGGTCATGACTATCATCATGATAACCACAAGCATGATCACTACTCATAGCTGTTGATGTATGATTCTGTGAATTCAAGGCTTGATGCATCGATGGTTGTTGTTGAGCTTCTTGTGTGATGGGAAGAGCAGCGGAACATGAAAGTAATCCTTTGGGTAAAACATGTTCTGGATTGCTGAAGAAATCAAACCAATTGACGCTGTGCCAACCAAACTCATTGGACATGGTGAGGAATCGTTGACGAGTGGTTTGATACTGTTGTTGAGAGTGTTGTGGTGTTGATACGAGCTGATGATAGTGGAGCATTGTTTTTTAAATTTGAAAAACGAGAGCGCGTACATGTAACGGTCAAAAAAACAAAACTGTCTCAGTCTATTCCAATGCAAGACCATCTCTTCACCTTCAATCAGCGGTAATGATACCAACAGTGCCAAAAGCAATGCTGTACCATCAACAAAACGATAATTAAATATATTAATAATATTTAAAAAATGTTTTCAACTTCTGAATCCCGTTCATCTTCTTCTTCAGCAAGAGGGAGCAACACTCGGGGCAGAGGAGGACCACACCGCGGAAGAGGCTCAAGAGGAAGCCGAACCACAACATACACTCCAAGAGACTCACCATCAACTGTACCCTCTTCTTCCAGCCGAGGAAAAGCATCATCACGGCCCACAACTTCAACAACAACCACAGCCGCCACTTCATCATCCAACCCATCACGAGCACGAGGAAGAGGACGAGGCAGGGGAGTATATCGTCCAGGTGGATTTCGAGGAGAAACCACAGAACCTTCTGCCGAATCAGCATCATCAAACCGAGGAGGTACTACACGAGGACGAGGAAGAGGAGGTTATCAAGAGTCAAGACAAACACAAGATATTACTACATCAACCAATCGAGGAAAAAGAGGTGGCTTTAAGCAGTCCAGACAAACTCAAGAGCCAGCTGTTGAAAGAAATGTACCTCCAAAAACGAGAGGCACCAAACCTTACCGAGGTAAACCAACGGCTAAGCCTGCAAGTAGCTCTTCTTATTCGCAGTTTGATCAGCAGCCACAATACTCACAACATGCAAAACCTCGTGGCACTGGAAAGTTTACATCACACAAAATTCCACCACCTCAATCTGAATATGAACCTTCTGCATTTTCATCTTTCGTTCAATCGACACCGTACGAGCTCAATGAAGAAAATTTATTTAATTTACCTGCTGGATTTTCTGGATTTGGTTCATACTTTTCTGAACCATCGCCGAAAATTGCTGAATCCCCAAAGGAGAAATTACAAAAAGAAGTAAGAACTTCTACGTACGAAAAAGAAGAAGAAGAATATTTTGACGAGCAGGAACAAGAAGAAGGTGAATATGAAGAAGGTGAATTTGAAGAAAATGAGGAAGAGGATGAAGAAGAGGCTGAAGAAGAGGGAGAATTCGAAAATTTCAATATCATTGTGGATGATAAAGGAGATAAGTCTCTGGTAACTTCTCCAGTCTCTGTTAACAAGCAAATAGTGGAGAACATTTACAAAAAATCTCCAGAAAAACAAATTGTTGAAAAACAGAAAGAACAACCTACTCAAAGATCCAAAGAGGTGGAGGTGGCATACAAAAAGTTAAAAGCAAGTTTCTTACAACGCCAACCTAATTTAGAGCAAGAAAGCCTCAATCAGTTAGATTATTCTGAAAAGATACGAGAAAAGATATGGTCCAGAAAGTATCCTGTAGATACCAAACATTTGGTAGGAACATGTTACAAAATGTGCTCCGATGAAGAGGTCAACAACAGAGAAAAAGAAAGACGATTAAGCGTATTTGAAACTGCTTCAAGAAGGCTAGTAGACGAACGAGGACATGAATATGCAAAAGCTGAACCCAGTCTTTGCGTGAAAGCGTATCAAAGAGCTGCTGCAGGTACCGTACCTGTTGCCTCTCAAGTACGACCACCTCATATTTTACGTAAATCATTGGATTATCTCATTAATGAAATATTGGACAGAGATGATGCCAGTTATCACGAAGTTTTTCTATTCATAAGAGATCGAGCAAGAGCTGTTGCTCAAGATTTGACTGTTCAGCATATTAGGGATGAAAGAAGTGTGGATTTACATGAAATAATTGCTAGATTTCATATTATGAGCCACCATTTATTGGCAGAAGAAGAAGATTTTGATGCTCATCAAAACTTAAAGCTCTTAAACAACTATTTAAAGAGCTTACAGGAGTTTTACTCGGAACTCAGAATGAGTGGAATTTCATGTCCCAACGAGAGTGAATTTACATGCTATTTTATATTGAACAGACTTTCTTCAGATCAAGAGGTTATGAGATGTCTAAAGAGTCTTCCTAATGACATTTTAAACTCACCTGAAGTTAATTTTGCGATCAAAGTGTTCGATGCTTTCTCGACTAATAATTATAGCAGATTTTTTAAACTTGTTGATGAGGCTACATACTTGAATGCATGTATCATGCATATTTATTTTCCAACTGTGAGAAAGAGTGCGTTACAGACAATGAATAGAACATTGAATGCAAAAACCAAGAACAGCTTCGAGGGAGCCATTGATGATTTTCCAAAATATCCAATTTCAAAATTGGAGCACATATTGCTCTTTGATAGTTTTGATGAATGTATTCACTACTGTAACTGTTTTGGAATTACAACACTTGATGACTCTGTATTGTTCAAATATACCACATTCACCGAGCCATCTAAAATTGCAAAGACAAAATCTTTATTTATTGAAAAGAAAGTTTATAGAATCAAACGATCGACATTGGCTCTGGTAAATTTTCGCAAGCCTCCAAAGCCCCATGAGACACCTCCTGTACCAATTCCTCCTGAACAGCAAGTACAACCAATTCCGTCATCACCACTACGACCCATACAACCCATACCTCCTTCTGTAACAATTCCTCCCCAGCCTTCTGTAATTACTCCTCCTGCAATTACTCCTCATGACAACAAGATTACAACTCCTCCCATTTCCTCTCATCTCATTCCCACTCCGCCAGAGAAAACCCTAAATATTGTTATCCCTCCAGCAGAACCTCAACCACCAAAGCAGGTAACTCCTTCTTTCCCAAAATCTCCCAAAGCTCATAAGTTTCCATCTCATCCAAAAACACCAACAATAATACCCCCTCCCATTGTACAACCTCCAATCGCTGTACAACTACCTGAAGAGGTGGTCAAGCCAAGAGAACAACCATCAATATTGTTTACTCCACCACCTCCAGCAGAACCTCAACCACCAATAGTAACACCACCAATTGTTATACCTCCTCAAAAAACTGAAGAAGAGATCAATAGAGAAAAATTGAGAAAGTATTTTGACGCATGGAAACAATATACTGAGCAAAAGAAGCTATTGCGGCAAAAAAGACAGATTCATATCGAGAAATCTCATCGATACGTGAAAAATAATTTTGATGCTATGGTACTAGACAATGTTGCCATGTTAGATTCTCATGCAGAAGAAATAAGATCCCATCTAATCGATCAACTATACAAGAGAGTTGATTTAGGATTTATTGTTTTTAATTCTAACGTTACAAACCAGTACAAAATATTTTCTGACTTCTTTTGGAAGTTGGTACTCATCGTAGATGATATCAATGATCCACTGCAAGCTTGGACTGTCCAAAAACTCTTGAGTGACAGTTCAAAAATACATGACCCTTATGAACCAATCATTACATTATCTAAATTCAAAGTCGAAGGAAATGACATTCTATCAGACGAATTGACAGAGTTGGATCCAAAAAAGAAACGATCATCTCTTCATATTTGCGTGAAACAATTTAATACCTCAGTTTCATTTGAAAAGAGTACCTTTCCCTTCAAAGGTACTTCATCAATCATTTACGCTTTACATACTGTGACTGAAAATATAAATATTGATAAGTATTGGGCAATAGAAGAAAGCAGAATGAACAAACATATTGTTTCCTTTTTTTCAAAGATGGAAAGCCCAAGAATACCCATACTTGTACTGTTTGAGAAAGAAAACTTTTTACAGCATGGAGTATCCGAAGATCAGGTACAAATACGAGTACATCAAATCCTAAATAAGCACTCTAGCTCAGTTTTCAGCCACATCATGTGTCAGTCAATGGATATATCAAACATCTCTAACAACATATCAGAAGATAATGTTAGAAAACTGAACCGCACTTTTGTGGACATGCTTAGTAAGCTTGCAAACACTTCTCCACAACCTCCCATCGTTCACAAATATTCTATTCGTGAATTATTAGAAGAATGTTCCCAAAATCATATCACAGAGCTGTTGCAAGAATTGGCTGAAGAAGATAGACACAGTATTCCTCTTGAAGATTTTATTTTAACCTATAATTATGTATGTGAAATTGTAGCTACCAAGTCCAAAACGAAGTGGAACGAACGCGCAAAATTAATTGGCCTATTCCTGAGTTCGAGAAGGAAAATTGGAATACTGACGAAAATGCAATATTGCAAAAAGAACTTCTTGGACATCTCTCCTTACCTATTATTGATACCACCACTGATTTTTATAGCGATGACAATTGTGATTTGGAGATTCTAGCCAAAAATTGCTTGAACTACATTCAAGTACTGCGAAAAAGAAGAGGATTAAGCCCTATTGATTCTTTTGACCCGATCAACGTTGCAGATATTGCAACTGATTTTGCAGATGGAAATTATTCACATGCTACTTTTAAGCTATTTGAATTATTCTTGAAGATTCATTTGGATATGCTTTTTGATGCAGATCCACTCTATGGATTCTTGTTCACAAGAACACGATTTGAAAAAATTGAAAAAGATATAATGAAAATATTGAAGCAAAGCGGAAATTCCTTCTTGGAAGGCTTAGCGTTAGCAGATGAAGGAAAAAGCTACTATTCTGCAATACCTCAAGATGAAATTCCAAAAGTGATAAGACTGGATGTGAAACCATTAGAAGAACCTAAAAAACGTGCTAAAGAACATACAGAGACAAAACAAGAAACCAAAAAGAGGAAAACGTTCACATACGTAAACATGGAGGACTCAATGAAAGATTACGACAAATTACTGCAGGCAATCGATCGTCAAAAATCTATTTATGAAAATATGGAGAATGGAATCAATGTCATGGAAGACGATCTTATCGCAACATCGTCAACAGAGGATGATTGGAACAGTTCTATTTCCACATATTCAAATTACACTTCTGAATCATCTGATTTAAAGGAATCCCTGGCCTTGCTCCAACAGCGAATCAATGCATGCTCAGAGTTAATTTCCAAATCACTTAAACCTTAGAATTAAACCTTTTGTGCAGCGTCAATTAATTTTCAAATATTTTTACCAAATTCGAGCTGGAACATTCGATATGCGTGATTGGACAATGTTGGTGTGTTTGAAGATGGGTCTGAATGCACTTGTAGCAAAATACAAAGCCAGACACTGTCAACAGCGTAGCATTTCGTCTCTCCTTCTTGCAAATTGGGCAATGTCTTGAATTGTTTGGTATCTCTAACCCACCGACAGCTCTCTCAGGTTGCTCTGGTGGTGAAGGTATGATTATGTTACCTTTTGGTACCAATGATGATTCATTATTAAAGTACCATTCGAAAAACTTAAATAAAAAGGCAATGGCTAGTAATAAATGGGTCGAGTAGTCCGAGAGAGAGTATAAGAGGTTTACAATATATCCTAACAGTGAACCAAAAATTATTCCACCACGCTTCTTGAAACTGTTGATTAAATTATTTCTTTTTGTGTACATTAATTTCATGTGTTGCAAGTGCTCGTTAGGAGAGGTTCTTTTGAGACATAGTCCAATTAAGTACATGAAAGGATTGTGATACTTGAAATTGCTCTTCAAAAGGTATAAAAACATAAAGACAAAATGTGAGCCCTCATAAACGGTACTAATATATGGCCACAATTTTACAAAATATCTTTTGATTATTTTCCAAGGGTTTGAATTTGCTACCAAGTTTGATGCAATTGTTGTCTCGTATGGTATCACTGCACTTTCATTTTCCATAGCATCGCTTGAAGACAGTATTTCATCTCTCTTTAAATCAATATAATAATTTTCCAACTTGTCTTTAGATATGGAATCAAAACAAGACATAATAAGCTTTCATTTCTTTGTTTGTTTGTTAAAAAACTGGTTTTTCCTTGTTGTTGATTCATCTCTGACACGGTAAATTGTTTCGAGTCCATCCTCTTCAATCCAAATAAATGCTCCGCAAATGATGAATCAAAATTGTACAGAAAATGTCTTTCAATCATTGTTTGCAGCAGTGCAAAGTATTCATCATAATAAGAAACAAAATGTAGATATCTAAAATTTCGTTGTGCTGCCATCACTAGCACATATCGGAGTGCAGATTTCAATCCAGATATCATTCGTTGGCAGTCATAATTTCAAAAAACGTTGGCTGAAACATTGAGAGCGATTGGTTCCTATTTGATGATGCTCCTTGATCATTCGTAGGTTGATATTGTGAGGATAGAAAGGACATTTTTTTTGTAATCGGAGTAAAATTGATAAATAAATACACTGTACTAACATACTATATTAATACAGTATTAAAATCATCAATGACATTATATAATATTATATTAATACAGTATTAAAATCATCAATGACACGATCTCATTGAGACACGAATTTTTTCAGAGTTTCTACATTACCGTCCCATGGAAAGATTGAGACAGACATTCTTGACACGACTGAGACAGCTGGTCTAAACGTTATTTCGTTTTTCTGACTCCTTGTCAATTCTGTTTCATTATCATCATCACCATCCCTCGTGTCTCTATACGAAAACGAATGGTTTCTTTCCTCACATCCATTTTTGACATAAATTTTCATTCGAACTTCATTAAGGATGGGGTGATGAAAATACTCAACACCAATCACATCCCCTTGTTTGTTAAGTTTGGCTGCATTATAACTGTTATTGAAACTGTCAGAGGCAACACAGTACCCAAAACCTTTTGAAGGATGGCGTCCAAGCCAGTAATGCATGGAAGAACTGTCTTGATCCCTAGGTTGATTTGGCAAATTATCAACTCCAACAAGTACTGCCCATGCATTATTTGCATTCTCTTCATCGTACGTGGTTAAATGCACACACCAGTAATATGTAATTCCTCGCTCGAGCTTCTTATTGGCGACACAAGTTTCCCAATCTCCACACAGCCTTGTATGCATGACTCTCATTGAATGATTTCTGTTGGTGAAGAGAATTTTCGAAATTTGAACTTCATCCAAAGAAGGCTCATATTTTTGAAAACCTTCAATACTAAATGAAAAGAGTCTGAACCAATGAAATATGAACTGATTAGGCTTATTTTTGTAATAATTCAATAATTCTTGATCGTTCAATAGAGGACAATGTTTCAGATCTGTCAATTGTAATTGTTGTACCAAATATTTTAATAGTTTTTCAGCTTGATCATCATCGGGATGACATGATGAAGAAAGAACAGTAAGTCTGCTCCAGATCACTTCTGATTTTGAAATTAATTCATGCAAGAATTTATTGGCCATAGATAAGGCCATTACAGAACCAAGATCAAGGAAGGCACATATATGAAATTCAAGTACTTCTTCTGGTAGGGTTTTGATGTGCAGCATTTTTTACTTCTGAAGTTCCGTTGCAGCATGTCAACGACAATCCCTTTAGCTCAAACACAACTTTGCCGCGTTGTTTGAACTGAAAATTTGTCACCTAGGTATTACTATTTATAGTTTGTTGTTGTCAACACTTGAAAGTGCATGTTTACTTTCGCTATCCAGTCATTTCTTCAGTACTTTCCTTAATATCTCCAACCTCAATGTCATTTAGCCGGTTTATAATCGAGATATAGCTCCACAATTCGATGCATTTATAATCACGAGTATAAAAGAAATGCTTTCACTTGTCAACACACAACAATTATTGCTTCTTCTTGATTTTCTACCCACAACAAGAAGCGAGACTTCTTTTTCTCAGAATGTTACGAACAATGTTACAACAGTAATTGGCTTTTCATACATGAGCCCCAACGAGGTGATTGTGAGCTTGTGCGAAGATGCTGTTTCCATACTACTCATGCTTCTAGTTCTCATCCCACTCGGAATTGTCTTTTTCAAACGACACTGTTATTTGATATGGAAATTTATGTTGTTAATGATGTTCGCAAGTTGTTCAACGGAAAAACGAATGCGAATTGTACAGCGATGGCGCAGTAATGAGAGAACGAAAGCGAAAGTATTCTTCTTTTTACTGCTCAACGCTGTGTGTTCTTTTGTTGTTTTTCGAATATTTGGAGAAATCTCAACTCTCATGCAGCATTACTTTGAGTGGAAACGAGAGGCGGACCCATTCATCAAAGCTGTACTTGTCAGAAGAATATTCGACTATTGCAGTATTTTCTGGTATACCTTAAACTTTTCCTTTATCATTCCTTTGTGGTTGAAAGTTTGCTTATCTTGGATCAACAAGGACAGTATACGAAAATTCATGAGGTTTACTGTTGCCTTTTTACTCATTGTTGCAGACGTGAGTGCACTCGTTGGCTCTCTCCCATAACATCTCTTGCTATGGTTGGTTTGATACGAAAGGATTGGGCTTCTGGATTGGACAAGCTCAAAAAGCCATTCACTGTTTATATTGCATTGCCGCTGGTTGGGCTGTCGACAAGTATTGTCTTCTTTATGAGCATTGCAGCGGTCGTGATCATTGTTGTCATGCTTTCCCATCAATATAGATCTAAATTGAAAACACAACCTAGCAATACGACCAGTAACAACAAGAAAATAGATCTTCAATCGGATCAGTATCAACAACAAAGGCAAGCCATCATCAAACTCACTTCAGGAATTGTAATTCTCGCAACAGGTATCTTATTGGAAGCCATAGGTGCGATACTTCATGCATTAGACGTAGCCTCTTATTACTTTTTTCCATCACAAAGGCTCTGCCCTATGCTGCCTTTGCCATTTGTGTTTCATTGATTTTTTGGCCTTATCTCTTCCGATATTAAGGAATCCATTCAGTTTTTAGTCATTGAACATTCGACCCCAGCGGTTAGCAAGCAGAAAAACAAGAGTCAAACAACCATGGACCTTGGAAAGATGGACATGGAAGGAAATCAATCTCCGAGATACATCAAAGATGCAACGGCTCGTGTCAACTATCAACAAAAGAGTTGGATGAAAAAACCTCTAATTTCGAAACCTTGACAATTCCAACACAAGTGGAGATGGACTTCTCTCCCTCACATGTCGAATCAAGAGCCTGTGAATACTATTCAACAACACCACGCGATGGAATAACCGAACCTCAAGCATTTGAGGTTTAGAACCTTTTTGATCTAAACAAACATCCGATTAGGAAAGTTTTCCGTCAACATCATGTTTTTATCACCAAGACCGAAAACAAACAAAACATTCGACGACTTGTAACAGCTCAACAAGCAAACAACAACAACCCACACGCTCAAAACACACACAAGTCAAGGACCGTCCTTTCATTAAAAATCATTGAAAACAACGAACAAATCTTTGCTACAAATGTCATCGAGTAATTTCATCACGCATAACAGCGATCCTTGTTGACCTCTCTTGGATTCGTTCCTTCAATCCAACAATTCCAATAATCAAATATCGTTTATGACCCGCAATGAAGGTATTGCAAGTTTAGTAGAAGACTCCATCACACTCATGGCAATGATCCTCGTTCTTATTCCTGTATTTGTGGTTTACTTCAAAAGACACTGTTATCTACTTCCAAACTTTCTAATTCGGGCGTGCGTGTTGATTTGTTGCGGTTGTTGTTGTGGCCGAGGAGCACGCAGCAAGCTCAATGATTTGATCCACTCATGGAATAACGATGAGAAAACCAAAAACAGAGTGTTTTTCTTCATATTGTTACATACAGTCATTGCGTTTTTGTTATTCGAATTCCAGCTGAAGGTAAGCAAAAGAATTCGAGAATTGTTTCATCAATAATTTGAACAAAATTATACCCCAAACATAAGGCTCTACAATTGCCCAGCACTACTTTGATTTACAACAAGATTATGCTAGTTTCTCAGTGGTCTTACACATACGAAGACTCTTTGATTATATCAGTATCTTTTGGTTCACTTTCAATTTCAGTTTCATCATTCCCATATGGCTTAAGGTATGCATGGTTTGGGTCAATCGAAAAAAGCATCGTAAAATAATTGCATAACCATGACGGTGCTACTTGTTGTTGGAAATATTTGCTTATTTTGTGGCTTGGCACCAGTGACATCCTTGTCGATCGCTGCACTGGCAACCCTACTATTGCCAGTGATTTGGAAAAGTTAAGGAAAACCTTCACCACAGCGATTGCCATTCCGTTGGTTGGTATTTCGACCGCTATTGTTTTCTTTTTAAGTATTGGAACGGTGGTCATTATCGTTTACATGTTGAGACAAAAAGCAAAATTAGTACCTGATAATTCAGAACAATATCAATTACAAAAACAAACCATGGTTAAATTAACCATTGGAGTGTCATTCTTGCAGCAGGAGTTTTAATTGAGGTATTGGGAGTTGGATTGTATGGATTGGATGTTGCTACTTATATCTTTTATCCGTTTGCTAAAGCAATACCCTATTGTTCGTTTACCATTTGCGTGGCATTGATTTTCTGGCCATTCCATCTTCCATTCTTAAATAATCCAATTCAATTTGTGATGCATGAAATTAAATTTCAACAAAAGCAAGACCTAGAAGAGGTACAACCGTTGCTCTGAATCAATCTGAAGAGAATAATAGAAAGCAACAAGAGGAACCTTCGAGTGGAATATCTAATTTGGATCCAATCGAACTCTCAGATGTGAATCACCCTCCTCGCCTCACCTTGATATTGAACCTGGAGAAGATTCTTCGCTCGTTGTGCAACAAACACCTCCTACTTTTCCTCAGCAACTCCAATTGTGTAATAAAAGGATAGCATGAGAAGACAAATTCTTCTTCTTGTTCAACAAAAAACAAAAATCAAAGCATCAACAACAAAAAATGGTCATTTTGGATCACGCACCATCGCCGACACAGCCTTCCCAATTGCTGTTACTGAACGGAAGCAGCATCATGAAGAAGAAATTAGTATTTTCCATGACATCCGTTCTGATTGTGATTCTACTTCTCACAAGTGTTTTCTCTTTGTATTCCGATAATTTATTTGTGTTAGCTTCTGATGATGTCAAACAAGACACCAAACATGTGGTAACTGCCATAACTATGAAATATCCCTCATCATTGATGAACACCTACTCTACCAAATCCAATGATTCAGACCTCGCTACCCTTTGCGATAAATATTTAAATGCTACCAACAACGGAACCAAACATACTAACTCAGAAGAAGAGGAAGAAGGACCATTAACTTGGTATGAGTACATTCTTTATGCTTGTGCAAGTTTGTTCTTTGTTGGAGGAGCTGGTTTGATGTCGGGTTTTACTCTCGGCCTTCTCTCTATTGATCCAATGCAACTTGATATTTTGAGAACCACAGGCACAGATTCAGAGAAGAAATATGCTGTAAGATTGGCTCCTATTTTAAGACATCACCACCTACTGTTGGTAACACTTTTATTATGGAATGCTTTGTGTTTTGAATGTCTTCCCTTGGTTTTGGACAAGATCGTTCCAGAATACGTAGCAATTATTCTTGGAGTCACATTTGTTCTATTTTTTGGAGAGGTTATTCCTCAAGCAGTAATTTCAAGATATGGACTTGCGATTGGTGGTACTCTGTTTTGGCTTGTTTGGCTTTTGATTGCTATTGTTTTTATTATTGCATGGCCAATTAGCAAAGTGTTAGACTGGATGTTGGGGTCTGGACACGGAACATTGTATCAAAGAACAGAATTGAAAGAACTTGTAAATATTCACTCTCAACATCTGATCAAAGATATCACTTAACAGAACACGAAGCCAAAATTCTTGGTGGTGCTCTTGATTTTTCCAAAACCTCGGTGAGACAAACAATGACACCTATTGAAAAGGTTTACATGTTAGACATTGATAGCAAACTTGATGTTGACACAATGACAAAAATTTGGCAAGAAGGCCACTCTCGTATTCCAATCTTTAAAGGAAATGCCAATAACATTGTAGGAATGTTGTATGTAAAGGATTTGATTTTGATCAATCCTGAAGAAGCCTTGCCTATTTCCCAAGTTCTAACTTTTTATGGTAGAGAAGTCTTGAAAGTGTTTCCTGACACCTATTGTGATGAAATACTAAAAATTTTCAAAACTGGTAGAACTCACATTGCAATAGTACATGAAGAAAATACTGGAGAACATAACTCTGAGCAACCATACACAATACTTGGTATTGTGACTCTTGAGGACGTAATTGAAGAAATCATTAAGGACGAGATTGCCGACGAAAATGATATTGACTACAGCAAAGAGAATGTCAATAGACCACACCATATTTTTAAACTTGAAATTCCATCTAAATTATCCTCAACCCAAGTCGCTACAATTGGCTCCTATTTGAGCAGAAGCTCTACTACATTCAGATTACTTCCTGACGAATATTTATTGAGATTGCTTCACAAATGTGAAGTGGTAGAACTTAAACAAGCAAGTGATAACACTACATCGATATTCGAAAAAGGAAAGATTTGTGATTTTGCTATTTTAACACTGCACGGAAAGACGGAGGTTATGTTTGGTGATGATAAATTTGTCACTGAGATAAGACCTTGGACTCTCGTTGGTGAACGTGCATTAACAAAGGAGACGTTTGTTCCTGATTTTGATGCTAGAGCAGGAATACCACCTTCCTCAAAATCCTCAGAAAAGATTATATTGATGCCATTTCTGAGTTTTCGTGGAGGATGAATCATTTTTCCTTCCCAAGGATATGGAATGGTTAAGTCCAATTTTGTCAAAGCTTGCCAAGAATACCACTTTTAAAACTGTTCCAAAGAATGATGAATTAACACCTGTTTCACAGAATGAGATATCTTTTGCCGACGCTGAAGAAAGTAATTACGGCTCTCGAGTCAAACCTAAAAAAGCCTTCAAGTATTCACACTTAGATGAGTAATAAACAGGCGAAAGTCAACATCAGTTTAAGTTGTAAATAAAATGGGACGTCCTAGATATTATCATCATTTTTGCTGACCAATCTGACAACGACAGGATTATGATCTGATATGAGTAAGGTGTTCTCTCTGAGGTCAATATAGCTCTCGCTTACCAATGTCTGCATCGCTTGACTGCAAAGTATGTAGTCAATCCTAGTGTGAAATCGAGAAGATGAAGTATTTGGTGTTCCATCAAATAGCTTGTCTTTGTTTTTTTGTCTCCATGGATCTATGATCGCTAATTGTTGGGCCAATTTGGACAAAATCTTGTGGTGTTTTTGAACCTGATTTCTTGTGTCAAACAAACAGTTCATAAGATCACTGCTCACAGGTTCCCACTTTCGCTTGTCTCTCATGTCTTGAAGAAACTTCCAGAAATCAGATGTATATTCTTTTCGATTCATTGCATTGAAATCTCCCATCAATACATATTTTGGAGCTTTTTGCGGGCTTGATAAATCAAATTGCATAAATTCAGCCATAAAGTTCATCACTTCTGCTAATTGTTGAATCCTCATCGTTTCCTGAATGTAATCCAAATGAGTGACAAATGCAAATTCGACGCACGAGTTTCCCTCAAATTGTACCCCAACGACAGTCCGAGGACCTCCAGGACCTCTTTTCAAATACTTTTTTTTGATTTTCTTGACTGGCAGCCATGTAATAATTGCGTTTCCCAAGTTACTCGAATTTACATAATAATATTTGTATGGTTTTGAAAATGATTGGTTAAAGCATTGCAAATATCAGCAAGAGGAGTCTTTTCGCCACCACGGAACGAACGTTTTTCATAGGCTTCGTTCATTCCGATGATATCATATTGATTTTCAATGAAATAATTCAATACCAATTGTCGGTTATCAACCTTGCCATCAGTTTTGAATGAATGAACATTGAAGGTACAACACGAAATTGAACATTCCTTGCTGTATGAGTGTGTGGCGATCGTGGTATTACTATTGGAAGAAGTGATCATTTTTTTTTTGTAATTTTCTTCGAGTAACGAGTTCCAGTATTTTCACGCAAGTTGGAGTTCAAGTTTGAGATGGAAGTGTTATGTCGTCGCTCGGTGACCACAGATAAGGCAACCCAACGTTAGGAAGAGACAGAGGCAGCGAGTGAAAAACGAATATTACAATAACTCGCTTGGTGGCAGGTCAAAAAGCAAAACAAGATACTCAACGTCCCTGCACCCTGTGGTCACTCATGGTTGTACAGTAAAGCGAACGTTCATCATTGACACTTTTTGGACTGTAAAGTGTTAATAGAATTGTACAATTAACTATTTTCTTAACTTTCCAAACAGGTCCAGTTTGGCATTGGATTCTCAATATGTCTCACAAAAAAAACCACATGCTGTGTGTCTCCGATATCTCTTTTGCGAACACTGTTTTCTCTGTCTCTCTAACAACACCACGACCAATCACACTCCGCACAATTATTTGAAGTCACACTTGCTTTGAAATCCATAGAAATGAATTCTGATTCATCATCACTGCATCTCGATTCACTTTTTGCCACCAACGTTTCAATTCGACCGGAGGAATCACGACGCCGCTTGGTCAAGTAACAGCCAATCTTGTCGTGGATGCAATTACCATCTTACTCACATTTATTTTTCTCATTCCATTATTGGTCGTTTATGTGAAACGGAATTGTTATTTGTATTTTAAATTTTTAGCTTTGGGGATTGTGAAATATCATTGTTTCACACGAGAACCTCTTCCTTCTTCGGGTGCATCAAGTAGTAGTGATTCATTTGAGAGCAAAACTAAATCTAAAGGAATATTCTTCTCGTTGATTCATTCGTTAGTATTATTTGTTGTGTTTCGAATGGGAGCGGAGGGTGTTTCCATCATTCAACACGTCTATGAATTGAATAGAGATCGACCGAATTATTTAACAACAGTCTCTGTAAGAAGAATATTGGATTATATCAGTATTTATTGGTATATTTTGAATTATTCCTTACTCATCCCAATTTGGTTAAAAGTGTGTTTGGCATGGATTCAGAAAAAAAAGAAAGAAAATTGCAACTGGAGTCATTTATACACTCCTCGCCCTTTCAAATCTAAGTGCATTATGTGGATTAATTCCTGTAGTTATTTTATCAATCATTGCATTGAGTGCATCCTCAGGAGAAAATGAATCCCTAAGAAGAACGTTAACATTTGCTGTTGGAGTTCCTTTGGTTGGAATTGGAACTGCCATTGTCTTTTTATTTGGAATTATTGCTGTTGTGGCCATTGTTCTCATGTTGAGATCTTCTGCAAAATATACTCCAAGTGATAGTGAAGTGTATCGATTACAATTACAAAGCATGATGAAATTAACAGTTGGAGTGGTGATTATGAGTTTAGGAGCAGTCTTGGAAGTGGTTGGAATTGTAACCAATTATTTAGAAATGCCCAATTTTATTGTTTATCCATTAGCGAAAGGAGTGCCTTATATTACATTTATGATTTGCATTTCATTAATATTTTGGCCTTATCGTTTACCGTTATTGAGTCATCCGATTCAATTTGTTACTCAAGAATTGAGATTTTCACCAAAAACAAAGGAAGAAACGTTGGTAGATGTTGCACAAGTAGAACATGAAATGAAATAACCGTATTTGTAATATTCATTGGAACCCTATATCGTGTTTGAATGATCATGGAACATCAAAGTTTGATTTACTCTCCGACACACACACACAGGTGTTGCATGGATACCAAATGAATTATTTTAAAAGACGCTAAAAATTCACAAGTGACAAACACAACTTGGGAAACTTGGGTGAACAATGGAACTCAATGGTTAACTTTTGAGAATGTTCACATGACAGATTTGGGTATGTATAAATTCGGTCCAGAGATGGAAGAAACTCTTGTCACGATCAAGTCCAGCTTTGTGAAGAACGTTCAAATCAAGCAAACTGAACAAGTGCAAATTGAACACTCAAATCTGGAACTCGTTGAGATTGGCAACGAGCAAACATTCATTTCCATTAGTAACTCTGTATTACGCTCAGTACGTGTCCACTTGCCAAATATTTGGAAGGACAAGAACGAGAAATTTCAAATTGTAAATAGTACTCTGTATCGAACACAATTTCAATTACAGAGAGTGAGAAATGTCGTTTTGGAAAATGTGAAATTGTTTGAACGAACTGCCATTCATGTTTCGAATACAGACATTTAAGACTTGTTGCAGTTCAAGCACTGGGAGGATCTTTTCAATTATTTGCTAGAAATGTGGTTCAGATTGGAATTGTTCACTCTCAATTCCATTCATTGCAATTACTAGACAGTGTATCGAATTATCTTATTGAAATTTATTCCAATTCTATGATGCATGTGACCAATTGCTCATTTATGATAATCAAGGAAATATTCTAGGATTGACTTTTTTAGAAACTGTGTATATGGATACGTTGACTTTTAAAAATAATATTGGAAGATGTATGGTTGTAGATTTACCAAAAAAACCAAAAAGTGGTTCCAATGTTGTGCTTTCTTCAAGTTCCTTCCATAACACAACATGTGAGAGAATGAAAACAAACAACAACAAAATTGGCAATTAGGATGTGTGCTCAATATACATGCAGGTGAAATGATTATTCAAAAAATGGAATGTTCTGGAACTCGAGGAGCATTGAATGGAGCATGTATCAATGCACTTGCTGAGAGTAGTTTTTGGGTTGCATATTCAACATTTTCAGACAATATGGCACACCAATTCGGAGGTGCCATTTATGTCGATGTGCCAATAGTCAGGCCCCCATTATTTGAAAACATTTCATGTATGAACAATGAGGCTGGATATGCTGGAGGATGTTTATATTTCCATACATCAAAACAATTAAGGTCTGCTGAATGGATTGGTAACAATATCTACTCTCAGAATATTGCACAATCTTATGGCAATGATATTGCATCTCCTCTGTATGGAGTGAAATATGATTTACAAATTCAATATCAGGATGGCAAAATGACCATTTTCAATGCATCCTCAAATTCCATTCCAAAACTAGAATTATATCCTGGACAAGTCATTTCATCCATGCAAGTATCGGTGTGGAATAATGGTCAAGAAAGAATTCACTTTTTAGATTCTGAAATTTCAACATTGAAATTTTCATTGAATGATTCTTCTTCATGAGAGTATCTCATCATTCTCTCACAACTAGTATCATGGATGATCCATTCACTCAAACCATGTCGTATTGCTATATGATCATAACCGAACCCATCCACTCATACTCCAAGATTTATCCATTCTCGTATACCAATTACCAACATCCTTTCCATTTTCCATCCAATCCATATTGAGCCTTAATGATGAAAATCCACTCTCTATTCAAATTCAGTTACAAGAATGTCCACAAGGGATGCGTTTACAGCTACAACAATATCCAACGAATTCGTATGCCTGTAGAGAACTTACTCGAATTGCTATGAGGTGATCATTCCTGTGGTTGCCATTGTGTCCATTCTCATCTTCTCATGTGTGGTGATTATATTCTATGTTGGATTTCGAATGTAAGGAATATTTATCGAAAATTGAAGAGATTAAAACAGAAAGAACTAGCAGAGAGGAGAATGGAATCGAAATTGTTAGAAAAGAGAATTATTTTCATGGATGATGAAGATGAATTGGTATTGGATGAAATGGACCACTCTTCACTTCTCAAGGATACAGGTGCAACAGAGATCAAAATGAATTACATTTCATCGACACGTTATGGTGCTGATATGAAGGATTCTCTGTTGATGAACGAAATGACACCTCAAAGAAGAAATCAGCACAAAGGAAGAAATGTAACAACATCATCCTCTCTTCATCAACATTGGATCATTTCCATTGAAGATGTTGAAATTGTAAAAAGAATTTCAGAAGGGCTAATGGCACTGTTTATTTAGGATTATGGAAAGGTACTCGTGTCGCTCTGAAAAGTTTGAAATCCAATTTCATGGATCATCCTCTCCATAGTTCACTCCACCACGAGGAGGAGGAGAACCGCCATCTGAAGAGAATGATGAATTTGAAAAAGAGGCATCTCTACTAGCCAGCATTCGTCATCCCAATATTGTTCAATTTTTTGGAGTCATTGTGAGTGGAAGTAGGAAATATATGGTGGTCGAGTTTATGGAAAAGAAAAGTCTTGACCTTGCCATTTACAATTCCAAAAATGGAATTGAGAAATTGAGCATTTTTAGAAAAATTGATATTTTATTAGGAGTTGCAAAAGGAATGCAATATTTACATGCCATGAAACCATTCGGAGGAATTATTCATAGAGATTTAAAACCTGGAAACATTTTACTTGACAAGAACTTTACAGCAAAAATTGCCGATTTTGGATTAAGTAAGCATTTGAGTACAAGGAATGCTTCTAATTTCTCAACATCGAATCAAGAATCCAATGCCACTGCCAATGTTGGTACTTTATTTTACATGTCGAATGTAAGTACGATAGTTGTACTTCATAATTTTACATGAACATCATTTTTAATGAAACAAACTCAAAATAGGAAATGATCAGTGGAACCAAATATAACCACAAAACGGATGTCTACAGTTTTGGAATTGTCATGTGGGAATTATTCTTTGAGGAAAATCCATATCTGAATGCACATTCTAAAAAATTGCACCACTTTACAACAAAGATTTACCAATAATAATTCCAATGAAAATTAACGGGCATGGTGAATCCAGGACTCTCAGACATTTACGGTTTTCAAGTTTTATCACAAGTCGTGAATGGCTTGCGACCGATCATTCCGTTTCAATCTCGTCAAGAAATGCGACAATGGCTTTCAGAATTCATGTTGGATGAAAGTCACAGAGAGACTTCTCCTAAGGATCATGGAGATGTTTCATCATTGGATGCATTGTGCAACATTTGTGAGGAATACATGTCCCTCATGAAAGCATGTTGGGATCCTGTGGCGAGTCAACGACCAGAATTTGTTGAGATTTGCCAAAGGCTGAATGGACTTTTAGAAGGGACTCGATAGAATATTGTTACTTTGAATTCTGTCTTAACCATTCCAAGGTTTGACACGTGCGTGCGTGGTGTGTGTGGAATTACTATAGTCGTCTACCAACAGCTGATTTTAGAGTCCCTTTACTCTCGACACAAATCTCTCAAACATTTAATCTCTCAACCGTAAAAAAATTGGCGCTTTGCGTTAACGTTAAAAATCCGATCATCCTCAACCTTCCCGAATCATTTAATTTTAATTCATTTGCCAAATAGAATGATGCAAATGCAAGCAACTGTTTCTCATAATGCACAAACGGAACGCAACTCACGATTTAAAGCAATTTGTAGAAATATTGAAACGACCGAACATGAAATACATGTCCATTCTCGGAAGTTGGATCGGCTCAAAAAAAAGCTGATGGTGGTAGGTTTGGATTTCAATTGACATTTTTCGTGTCCTTAACAACTACTAACAGGAAGAGAAAAAGAATGCAATCAATCTTTTAAAAAGCATGAGAATAGAGTCAGAACGAGGGACAGAAATCCCGTTCAGTAAACCAAGAAGTACGTGTATTACAATATTCTTTTACTTTGGAAGCATGATGGAACTTATATTTCAATAGAGAGAGGCTTACATCAAAGTTTATGTATGAAGAAGGACTAAAATCAGAAGATTTAGCAGATGAATATCTCATCCTTTGCATTTAAGGTACCCTGAAACAGGATGTAAGTTGTAATTAGAGTCACGTTGATAGAGCTATCACAACAGATGATTTTGAGATACGAGACGTAGAAGATATAAAGATTTTGCCAAAGACTCGAAATATTATGAACAAATGCACGAATTGATACATTCTCCACGAAACACAATCCCAGCCTTATTGAGAAAAAGGAGGAAGCGAGAAGAGGAAGAACGAAGGAGACGAGAAGAACAAGAGGCACACGTCAAACAAGAGCGAAAACAAAAGCTAAGAGCAAACTGAAAGCTTCAAGCAAATTAATCATGCTTTCTTCCCTGTCCTTTAAAAAATCATCGGCGTAAGTTTTTTGTCATCATTTCTCTATGGTATCATTGAAATCTATTTAAACAGCAAACTGTCAGCTGCTCAAAGTGACGACGTTGAATCAGTTGAAATCGAAGAGGACGTCTTTGAAAAGACAAGAAAAGAGCTCTTTGGTATTAAGAACAAAATCGATCCACCCCACAAGAAAATGTTGAAAAAAAGAAACCAGAAAAGAACAACTTGCTGCAACTGTTGGGAATATCAACCTCAGACTCGTCATCGAATCTTTCCATTGCTGGATCACAATCGAATTTAAGTCCACTTCCCACACAACAAGGAAGCACGTCCTCACGACGGTCCCATGTTTCTTTTTCAACTCTTGTGGATGCAAAGAGATCTGCCTCCGCATTGAGCTCAAGAAAGCATTAGAATGCAGTGAACGAGCCACACAATGTCATTGCTCACATTCTTTTAACACCCATTCATGGAAATAACTCGAATTACGCAGCGTTGTCGGAATACGGCGACACTCAAATGAATCAAAAACAAAATGTCTGCACGCAAACTCAAAGACTATTATGCCATTCTCAAAGTAGCTCGAAATGCTACACAGGCCGATATCAAAAAGGCCTATGTTCAATTAGCGAAAATTTATCATCCTGATTTACTGGAGAGTTCGGACCCTAAGAAAGCGTTTAAAGAGGCGACGTTCAAAGAAATAACCGAAGCCTATAGTATCTTGAATAATCCACGAAGAAGAAGTGAATACAATATGGAAATTTATGAAAACGACAAGACAGCTTCAAATAATCGGGATGATGATGCCACTCGTCCCCTCCTGATCCCATCACGTCGGAAGAAGAGAAACAAGCACTAGGACTTCAGTTAAAGAAAATCCGAAATAGAAAAATTAGACGCTTGTTCATTCTTATTTTTGTATTGTTTGGGATTGGATGGTACTTTAAATTGAAATATATATTTCTAAGATGTACAATAGAGATATAAACAATAAGGTCATTTTCAAGGATAAGGAAGGAGTAGACAGTGAAATGATTGAGGAGGTCAACAAGAAATTTGCTCAAGAACTTCAAAGGTGAGAGAAGAGCGAGAAAAGATGAATATATGAGACAACCAACCAAGAAGATGTCAACTTCTAAAAAACAAGAAAATATCGAAGAGTAATTCAAAAAATCCTAAGAATTTAAGACATTGCCATGTTAAATGACGTATCCAAAGTTCAAGAATGCATCGATTTATTGGCATCCCGAACGAAAATTCTTTCGGCCAATTCTCGACCTTGGAATGTACCTCCCTGTTCGTAGTGATAATCAGTAAATTCAATTTTGATTTGTTCATTGTATGTTGATGATGAATGTGGGGAATGACCACAGAATTGAAAAGTATAAAATGTTGAACTGCAACATCGAGCCACAATTAAAACTCACCTGCACGGTCCAGTAATTTCTTTGTTGCAACAATCGGAATCCTTTCTTCGACAGTAATTGAAAGAGAGTCCATGTGCCGGGTGTCATTGGTTGATACAAAGACAAGAAAGAATTCGAAGCTTGGTCATACAAGGTTTCGGAAGCCCATGATACAGTTAGTGAAGTTCCCTCGACATCGACTTTGGCGATAACTTGACCTGGTGTTGCATTTGTTGGGTAAGGCACGTTAAAAATGTCAGTAAAGGCTGGTTCGGAGCATTTGATGGCACTCCAAACTTCAGTGCTTTTATCATTCTTCGTAATCTTTTCAGTAACAACAACGAACTGCTGCGACATGTCTGACAATTTTTTTGACGTTTGAAGGCAACGTGAACGATCTTCTGCGAATCTGCAGGTGTACTTTAAGTGTTTCTCTTTCGATAAACATATCAACCTTTTTTATCAAGAAGCCGACATAGCTCAGTTGGGAGAGCGTAAGACTGAAGATCTTAAGGTCCCTGGTTCGATCCCTGGTGTCGGCAACTTTTTTGTTTGGAATGCTTAGCACTTTCTTGAAGAATTAAAACTTGATGGGAGTAGTTCGAGTGACAGTCGATAACAAAAGGAAGGGTGCAAGCAAAACTGTTTTGTTGACTTTTTAATTTATTGTAGTGTTAAAAAGGGTTACGAAATATCCTCACTATCCATCGAATCAGCAATTGGTTGTGATTCATTGTTCTTTTTTCTCGGAGAAGATGGATCCAAACCATTGTCATGCATTTTCATGTCTTCATCCACCTTTGTTAATTCTTGAATGTCCTCCGTAGTGATTTCTTGAACATACATGACAGCTCCCTCCAGACATGTCAAATAATAAACAACTTCACTGTTTCTAGATTGAGATGCAAACTTTGATAAAAAAGACAAAGCAGAATGAATGTTAGGAAGGTGAGAATGGACTACTACATAAACCAAAATTGGGAAAAACTCATCCGCTCCAAATGAGAAATCTTTTCCTCTTTGAGTACAATTATCTTTAGCGATAATGTGTATTTGTCTTGCGCAAGAATAGACACAGTGTAACATATCCATTGGAGACACATAATAATTCAGATAGCTGAGAGTGGTGACTGGGTCGTAAAATGGAGTTTGACTGATTTTGTGAATCATCTCCTTGATGGAATTCTGTTTTCCTGTAAACTTTACCCTTAATGGCAAAAATTTGTTAGCGACTCCTAGCTGATTTGGAGTCAGCTGCTTCAATAGGTTGGCCTGTTTTTGAAACTTGACATTTTCTGCAGAGTGAGCTTCAACTTCTATTTTTTGAAGCTTTACACCCAAGCCAAATTCATTGTAGATGAGTCTAGATAATAATCTCAGAAGCACTTGCTTTTCAACGTCTAACGTAATGGAATGCCTGGTACTCAAGTAATCTACAAAACTGGAAATATAATCAACAATTTCAGATGAAGATATCTTTTCTAGGCCAACATTGTTAAGTTCCTTAACAAACGTTCGCAGGGATTGACCTTCTTCTGTTCTTTGGTCTGCAATCAAATCAAAGAATTCTTGTTCAATCTCCAATCTTTGATCGTTTTCTATACAATGAATACAAGATTGCCAAGTCTGATCGTCCAAATTCGGATCTTTGGAGTTGTTAGACTCCGATAATAAATGAAAGTTGCATAATGGGAGAGCTGGCTCTTCAATGTATCGTTTCAAAATTGATTTAAGGTTGATTGTCACATCTTTCTTTTGAATGACTTTCTTAGAAATTCCACTTTCCTTCTTCATTTGTATGAACTTGTCTGATAATTCTTTAGAAAGCTGTTCTAACAGAGAGATCTCGTTCCATTGTGCACAAAGTACTTCATTTTCGCTTAAAATCTCGTCAACTTCTTTGTAAAAAGCTTCTTGTTTTACGAAATGAGGCAGCAAGTTATAGCACTTGATCGTAATATCTCCTTGTTCGACTTGGTGTTGTTTTAGATGCTGAGACTGTTGCAACAAAATGTCTCGGATGATATCAATCTTCTCCTTCAGGACCTTTTTACATCCTTTTTCAAGCTCTCTTCTATGTTTTAGACGTATTAGCTTACATCTAGCCAAGTCCTTGTATATTTGAAGTAACTTTGAATCATGACATCTTTGAATAAATGAATATTCTTGCTGAATTTTGTCATACTCCACTTCCTGGCGTTTTCTCAAATCTTTGATCACTTGCTTACTCTCTTTTAGATAGTTGCTAAGTCTTTGTTCGTACTTTACCAATTCATCCTTCCAATCATCCTCAGTGCGTTTCTTAGGATTTGATGTGAATAATTTCTTTAACAGATTGTCTCGCTTTGGTTGGAAGTGCTTCATTTCAGAGTTGTTAGTAAGAAATGTTTGCCTTCGTTGCTTTGTGGGCGACATGGGTTCAGTTGGAGTTGTTGGAGACTTTGGTCTTATTCTTTCCTCTGAAAATAAGGGCTTTGTAGACATGTCCGTTAGAGGGCTATGCATACTGTCTTTTCTAAATATGAATGATGTTGTCGAATGAACTTCGTTTGGCTCCTCTCTAAAAGAGCTCAAGCTTACATCAAATTCATTTGTGGCAAGTGTATCTATTAATCGTGAGTTAGAAACAAAGCTTTCAGAAATAGCAAAACCCTCAGATGGTTTGCTAATAGCTGCTTTGCTTTTGATAGAAACTGGTGGTGAAGATTTTTGTTTGCTTTCCTTATTCACAGGAGAATTAGACTCATTTCCCAAGAAGTACTTTTTTGAGCTTGAATCTTCTTCTTTTTCTTGGATAAACTGCTGCATGTGCTTTCTAATCTTGGTGTTCCTTTTTGAGCTTACACCAAACTCATCGCTCTCTTCAACGTCATCGTCTGTATCATTGACTGAGAATTTTAAAAAGTATTCCCTTTTCGATTCATCCATTGTGGTAATTTCGTCGTCCCAAGCGCTTCTTAGCTCTGCAACCCAGGAAGGAACAGCACCTGCATTTGGTAAAATGGTTTTCATCAGGTCCTCATCTGTTTTGGTGATGTTCTCTTCCTTCTTTTTAGTATTCGGTATAAAATAATTTGCCTAAAATATATATTTAACATGATCCCAATTGTCATGTGATACTTACTTTGATAACAGTGTCAGAGCTTGTGGTTGTTGTCGATATTGTAAAATCCTCATACTCTTTTACATTTTCTTTTAACTTTCTAATGTTTTCTTCAAGAGCTTCAAAGTTGTCTTGATTTAAAAATACAGGAGCTTCCGATGAGGCGTTCTTGATAACAATGGGTTCTTCAGTTATTGGAGGCTCGTCAGTGTCATGTGATATTTTTGCTTCGTTTCGAATGTTGTGTGAAGAAGAGCTCACAACAAAATCAGAGTTAATGCCACTCACGCCTGTTGGAGAAAATGCAGAGCTAAGAGAAGATACAATTAAATCGTCCCTTACTGACGACCTGTCAGAGGATGGGACTGAGCTATTGGGTACACTGCTCGGAGTTGAAAGCGAAGCTGGAATTCTTTGGAAACTTGAAGGAGGAGATGAGAAAGAAGATGAAAGGGAAATACATGTTTCAGTATCCAAAGGACAAGAAGAAGAGGAAGAAGCGCTTCCACCTATTTCTTGTACAGGCCGCTTCTCAATGACTACATAGTCATCTTCGGGATGTTCTACATCTGTTCCTTCTCCTTTAATCATGGTTGATAATTTGCTTGTACTTCCATGTTCCGCAATGTTGTTATTCCTCTTAATACCAATTAATAATTTTGAACATGGTTCAGTTTCTTCTTCAAAATTATTTGAGATCAAACATTCACTTGTTCCGCTCTCCTCTTTGACATTGGAAGAAGGCCTTTTAGACTCTTCTCTTGGTGATGATGAAAGTGTGGCCATCACGTGTGCGAGAAGAGTGTGCGATGGAACAATTATTTTTTAACGAGGGCCGCCGAGAAACGAATGACCTTTGAATTTTCGTGATTGATGGTCAATATGAGATGAATTGCCGTTGAAATGAAAGTATCTTTTTTGGATTCACACTTCAAAAGAGAATTGTTTATTGTTTGTTGATTCCATAAAGTTTGATGGTCCTCCTCGTTTGAGAGCCGAACAATATTGAAAGTACAGCAGCAAGAAGAAAAATGAGTGAATCAAAAACACTGACCGAAGTATTGGCCACTCTGCAGCGTGAAGGAGTGAAGGTTCCTCCACCTCCAATCGCACCATACAAATCTCATAAATTGGGATATCAATTCAAACAACCATCCACTCCAAGCGAAAAGTTTGTTAATAATTCTTTGTATTCTGGTAGGTTGAATTTTAAAGCACAACAACAAATAGTTTCGAAAATTTTAAATTGTTGTTGGTAATGGAAATTCATTGATGATACCATTGTCATCAACGATCATGATAACATCACCAAAATAATAACAATCCACCAATGATAATATTAATTGGATTTCGGATGAAATATGACGATATTAATGGATTTTTTAATAATGACGATGATGAAAATAATTATTCACAACAATGATATCGTGCAGCATTTTGGGGATTTGGAGCAGGAACCATTGTTGCTTGGTTCTATGACTACAAAAAAGTCACTCGTATGCCATACACAAAGGCTCTTGCCCTTCACGCTAAAACTATCCGAGGCCCATTCGCTTTAGTATCATCAATTGGAGTCACTCACTCAGCTGTTAGTTGCTTATTGGATGTTTATAACTCTGGAGGATACAACAGATTTGAAAAGGAACAAACTCTTGGACAAAAAACACTTTCAGCATTTGCAGCTGGTTCTGTGATTGGAGTATTCAAAGCCAGTCCTTCCACGGCAATTGGTTTCGGAACTTTATTCGCTGGAGTGTCGCTAGTTTTCAATTATTACACTGACAACTTCTTACCTGATGACAAAGCAAAAAGATCTCAATTGTTCAATGAAAGATTTGTCAAGTCAAATGAGCCAGCTCCAGACCATATGCGTCCTGAGAATATCAATGGAGACAAGCTTTTTGTGGGATCAGCCTTTTTTGAAGAATCAAAAGCAAGAAAGAAAAATACTTCTACAGTACAATTCGATGAGCAATAGGTATGATTGGATTTGTTAGGGATAAATAAATTATTCATTGTTGCTATTACTCATTTGATTTTTGATAAAGTTGTAAATGCTAGCTAGCTTCTTATATTCGTTCATTAAGTGCTCCAAATCACGAATACAAAGATCCTGCACTTGAACTTTTTCAAAGTTCAGCTTTTTCACAATTAACTTAGATGAAGCAAAGAGTGATCAAAAAACATACCTTAGGGAGATTCGTATTGTTGACAAAATACACAAGATGTTCCCACTTGTCTTCAGCATGGATACTGCTCTCAACAACTTTGGCTTGGTCCTCAGTTGGCAGATCACTGCTATTTACAATTTCTTGTTTTGAATTTGGCACAAATTCAGCCTTGAGCTCCGTGCTGCTTGCTGACTCATTGTTGAATGGAGATGGTTGCGCTGTGGTTGCCGTATCACTTGATGACACAGGGATTATTGTGTTCTCTTGCGTGTCAGCGAAAGACTTTTCAACTTCTTTCTTTTCCTTGTCATGTACTGCGTTATCGACTGAGGATTCTGCATTGTGATTTTGAGAGGAAGCACCTCCCTCGATCATATTTGGTGCCCTAAGTGCGTTTTCTTCTTGTTGTGTAGTAACATTATCCACTGTTTTAACATTACGGTCTCTCTTTTCATGTTCTTCCGTTGTAGAAATAGCTTTTCCAAAAACATCTTCAAAATTGATTACTTGCTGGAAGGTTGATTCGTCCATGTTGAGCTGAGTATGATCACATGAAAGCCAAAAGGCCATCGCTAATTCAAGTGAGGTCAAGAAATACCCTGTGTGCCCTTCTAAACTTTGTGGATTTCTGTATTCTTGAATATATCTGAGAACAGTAAGATTTCATTTGATCAAGAATACAATTATTGTTGCACTTACTTGATATTAGAGTGTAAATGAGGTACGTTGGATCTAAGAACAATAAAGATTAATAAAGGTACAAAATCATCAGCGCCAGGCGCATCTAATTCTTGCATTACTTTTTTCAAAAGATTCATGGTTAAATGGCAGCAGTTAGAAACACAAATTAGCTTATCTCTTGGTGTTTTGTAAAATGTGATCTTTTTGAGCTCTATGGAAAATCATATGAATATTAAAGCAGACTAATTCTGGTACAAACCTTCAACAGCTTTCACAAAAAGGGCGTCTTCTACTAGCTTGGGTGTGATATCAAGATTTTTTGGTGTTATCACTCTCTTAAACATGGAAATTCTTGAGGCAACTTGATTGTCAATCTCAATATCTTCCAATGTTGGAGAAAAAACTCTGTGCATGTCAGTACGAGAAATCATAACATGTAATACATACTTGGAAAATATTTTGGTCATGACATATTTCTCAATTCCTTCTCTTGCGTTCATCAGATCTTGTTCCGTAGCATTCTTCCATTGCTCATGCTGTGATATTTCTCGCATAATATCTGTCAAAAATGTTTGCACAATTTTCGGAGTATTGGGATTGTATTCCTTATTTGAAATCTCAAAAGTAAATGACTTGATTTTTCGTGTAAGCTGTACAACCGATTTGTCTTTAAGTTTTTGAAGAAAGGCCTTAAAATCAAATTTGTAATCTTTTTTCTCAGCATTAAAAGCAGAGGTTGTTTCTGTAGGATCTGATTTCTTTTGAAAAAGGTCATTTGAATTCCCATTATGTGAATCAATAAGTTGATTAATTTTGTTGTTGGTATTTACATTTCTTGGAGAGGCGAGAGTATTATTAGCATGATTTTTGTTTTTCATGTTTGCTGTTTTGATAAATAATGATTCAGATTCATCTGCAGGTAATTCCACATTATCTGTCATGAAATGATCTTCCATAGATGATGAATATGTTGGTACAGAGTTGGATAACCCAGATCCAGGCTTTTTTGATGGAATATCAATAGATCTTGTTTGGGGAGATCCGAGAGGAGAATTATTCTTGTCTACAGAAACAAAATCATTTTCGGAATCATCAAAGACCATGGAATAGGATCGAGTAAATTTTTTCTCATTGCCATTGTGTGAACTTAGTTTTTCGTCATCTGTCCATGAACATCCAGCATAGGTGATAGGATTAGATATTAGATAGAGTTTGACTTGTACTGAATCTAAATTCATAGATTTTTCTTCTAAATGAAGAGTTTTGTCTTTTTGAATTTCAGGCGATCCCACAATCCAATAATTTGAAGTGTTACTTGCTGGTTGTGACGGTGGACTCATGATGTTTTCTTCTAGATTGACTTCTCCCTTTCTTAATATTTGAATTTTTGCCTTAACGTCATAGGGAGGATCAAAGCAACACTTTCCAGTTTCACTATATTTTGTAATGAGCATGAGTACGAACTCAGAAATCAAGAGAATACTCACCTATTTTTGTAAGTAAATAAAGACTTTGGTTCTTGGAAAAAGCTAATACATTCTTCTCCAGTGGGTGGGCCTTGAAGTATTTGAATTGCTCCGAAATCTTCCGTAAATATTCCTCTTATTCCATTCATCGTAATAAATTGATGTGGATTGTGTTGATTGACAAACGCAATATGACTCTGCATGAAATCAATGTTCGGAGTAGTTGCACTGTTTGATGTCGATGATGGTTTACTAAACAGAGAATGATTTTTAATATTTGATAAACACGAGGCTACGCTCTGATCGTGAGGGAACAGTAACACAGCATCATTATCAATTATTGTTTTGACAATCGATGCAAACTGTTTGTTCTCCCGCAAAGTTCGAACCAGCCGATTATTCTGCTTTTCGTATTCAAAGAAATTAGAAGGCATTTTTGTTGTTTTTTTAGAATGAAAATTGGAACCATTTAGGATAACGTTCGAGCCTCAAACGATTTTTTCATGACAGGTTGACTTTGAATCTTTTAAGGTTTTTCACTAGTTGAGTATGAACTTTTTCAACTTCTTGTTTGACCAATGAAACAATTTTTGAAAAACAACTCGTGCAAGTTCAAAAAAAATGGCTCAAGGCGGTGTAAAATCAGCTTCGAAGGCAAAGATGCAAAAATCAAAAAGAGCTCCTCCTTCAAACGGAATTAAAAAGAAGAGCAAGACAAAACAAGAGGAAATTAAAAAACAAATTAAAAAGCAATGTACTGTAGCCACCGCTGCATATATTGAAGGTGAAATGTTAGCAAAATTGAAAAAAGATGGAAAACCGTTACATTTTTTGAAAGATGCTGCTACCACCAATACTGCAACTAGTGGAAAGGCATCAGCTTCTAATAAGAAGGATCAAAAGAAGAAAACCACAAACAAATAGATTATTATTACATCCCGAATACACCCGATGAAAATATTTCTCATCAACATATTTGCAACCAAGCTCGTAAAAATATTTGAAGTGGATGTATTCACGAATGCATCATTGGTGAACAGAGCATCAAAAAACACTTCGTAAACATGAAACAAGCGAGTGGAGTCATCACAATTGTTTGTAGATATTTTCTAGTTGAACGATGAGCTCAATTAAATAATATTTATGATGAAAAAGAAACTCGGTGTGCAAATTAAAAAATGCAGGTCGTTCCTTCTGCGTCTTCACTCGACCATTCACAAAACAATATCATCACCCACTCAAGCTCACAGATGTTATGTCAACAACAACAACAACCAATGATCATTGATGTTGAACACCTTTTTAAAGCTTTGGAATTTCATGACTGGAATCAGGGCACGGTATGAAGGCAAACGTCTATCAGACAGGGTCTCGGGTCTATGGAACTGCTCAACCCAACGCCGATTATGATTTTTTCGTAATTATTTCTGATGATGACTATCAACAATTGGACAATCATTACAGGAATAAGAGAAAAAACAGCAACGTATCATTGGACAAAACGACAACCTTGAGGCATAGTGCGTTCAACAATCAGTGGTACTATTCTGGAATAACTTTTGAAGAGGGACAATATGATGCAAGCAAAAACGAAGACTCCTTTTTCGGAGATGGATTTATTGAGGGCTATCAATGTCTTTTTCTGTCTTACCCAATCGCTAATGAAATTGCAGAGCTGAATGTAAATCTTTACAAGTATTCAACATTTAAAACCAAGCTAGATGAAAATTGGTTGCAAGCACTCATGTGTATTTATTTACCTCTACAACACGTGTGGAAATTAGACTTTCCGAACCTTCATACAGAAACTAAAATTTATTTTCGAAAATTGATTGTGTCTGTGGTAGGTGAGGCAGGAAAACATTTTCAAATGGCAAGAAGGAAATGGAATTCTTTTAACAATAGTGCACAGGATTCTCGTAACGATTCCAATATTTCTAATTATCAAGAACGAAAATACATTGCTCATACTTTTAGGGACCTATTATTTGGAAAACAAATTGCAACCTATTTGAAAATTATTGATTATACAGAAGCAAATGCAATCTATTACGAAATAATGTCGAGCTTTCCAAATGATACATCTTGGTCGACATTTGAAAAGAAATATTACCCAAGATATCAATTATTGAAAGATCAGTTTAACGCAATTACAAAAAAAGATGACATAGTCAGCGATGAAGAGTTTAAATTGAACGGATCTTTTACGCTAGCTTTGTTGAGAAAATTGAATGGAGATATTCCTACCTTTTTAGACCAGTTAAGACTTTACTTTTCAATCGAGTCACATACATGGATGGAGAATGGGGTATACTATGTCTATGTCAAAGGTGTGGATGAGTCACCAAGTTATTCAAAAATTGTTCAAGAGGTATTTCATGGTATGGTACTTTGCAAACAACAATCTGAGAATGTTTCGAATGAGATAGCTTGTCAAATTTTATGCAAACCACCCAACAAGATTATACCTTACAGCAATGCTTTCTCGTACAAAGTTTCGAATTGGAAAAGCTCTATCGTTTTTGAAAGGTATACAAACAGTGTGATGGTACATTTATTCTTTGATATATTCTCAAAGAAATGGATGATATGCTCTGAAAACAGTTTTAATGGCCAAGAAGAATTCAATGGGTGTAATGAATCAATACGGGACATATTTTGGAATTTTTTAAACAGGAATAACTCAAGAGCCTCATCTCACGAAAAACTTTCACACTTTCCAATATCAAGCTTCCAACAAAATTCTCCAACTAGCTTGACTTTTGACATTTCTCCAAATCTTTTCACTAATGGTTTGTGTAGCGACATCAACGAAAAGCCAATGCCAATAGTTACACTTTTGTCAAGTTACAACGATATAGCAAACCTGGCAAGTTATTTTACACCAGCCCAAACAGCCACGAGAAAGAGCTTTGTGTTTTCAAAAATAGTAGAAGACCATGATTTTATAGAATTCAGTTTTGACAACATTTCAGAGGTGAAAGCATATGCAAATACCTGCGACCCGTTTTATGTGAAAGAGTGCATAGTATGGGATGGAAATGGGTTTGAGTCAGTACCATGTCCTCAATATGAGTCTTTGGAATACCTTATTGAAAATATTCAGTTAATCAATGAAAAATCGCAACGCATTGATTCCAATGAAATTTCACAAACATCCGAACTCTTGCTAATTCACATGATTGAGATTTCAAGAGTTTGCATTCTCAGTGAATCCACCACTGAAAAAGTGCGAAAGCTAATTCAAGGATCAAAATTTGAAACGCTCTTTGAAAATGTTCTGCACAAGCTTTCGAGGTTTTGTGAATGTTTGACCGAAATTTATTGGAATGTTGAAAAAGCTAGCAATGGAGATTTAAAGAAATTTAACGAAAAATTGGCAGAAGTCAATTTTCAGGATTATTTCACAGACATTTCTGGTATCAACTTTGTCAAAAACTTGCTGCTTTCTCAGATTAAGAAAGTTAAGACAAACATGCCTAAAAGCTCACAAGCCATCCATTTAAGCCTTGCTGAAAGATTGAATCTAAGTCCTGCAAAACAGATGTTTAAATGCGTGTGCAGCTTCCGAAATCGATAACAACAGATTGGAGTGTACACTAGTTGTTGGGGAATAAAGGAGAGTACCAAGTTGCATAATTTAGATTTAATTCAATGGCTAGAACTTCCTATGTTTGTTCTTCTTGTAACTGCTTTTGTAATTATTGGAATTGTTGTGATAACTGTTGTCATGGCTTGATTCACCATAATTGCTCTCTTCGTTATTTTCTTCATAGTTGTCATAATTGTTGTAACTTCTTTGATTATAATTTCTACTGTTTTGATATTGATTAGCACCATTGTCGTACGAAGTTTCATTTTCATAGTTATAATTGCTTTTGCTTCGATAATTTTCTCTTCCTTGATAATTTCTACTGTATCTCGAAGATTGTTCCTCAGTTTGGTCATTATATTTGTGACCGTGGTCATTTTCAAAAAATTCAAAATTCTTTTTTTGATAAAATCCATCCTTGAACTTTTTTCTGTGAGGATTTAACATGTCAGCGCTTGCAATACCTCTCTTCAGAGAATCTACTTTCTGCTTATGTGAGCTGGCAATCGATCTCTTAATTTCAGCAGTCTTTTTCGGATTTATCAATGCATCCTCTGATGTTTGATAATATTATCTACTCCTAAGGTATTATTTGTTAGCTTGTTCATAAAGTTTTCAACTGGAGCAGCATTTTCAAGCCTCTCAATAGTTTGATCAACAAATGGTCTTTGGAAATGGAACAACGGATCTTTGGCCTTAATATCTTGTTGAATTTTTAGATTCACAAGAGTCTTTGATTCTGATGTTTTTATCCGTATCGATTTTCCTTTTGTATAAATGTCAGATTTGCTTCGAATTGTATCTCCCTTTGCCGTAATATTTGCAAGCAATCCAGCCTGCAAGAGAAATGGATCTTGTCGAACCATTCCTGGATTTGGTTCCTCAAATTCTACATTGAAAGGAGGTTCCATGTCATGCACCACTTCTTTTCCCATTGCAAGTCTCATTTGATTCGCAATCTCCATTTCAACAGCCTCTTTATATTTTTCTGTGAATGGCTTTGAGAAATGTTCTACAAGCAAAGTAGCTCTATATTCATTGTCAAAAACAATGTCGTAATCAATATTGGGATAAGGTTTCAACCCATCTTCAATACCATATTTGGATTCAATTTCGGTCTTCAATTTTTCCCAATCTGATTGATCCGCATAGGGTTGAACAAACGTTACTGAAACTCCAACATTTCCTGCTCTAGCTGTACGACCCACTCCATGAATATACTCAGTACAAGATTTGGGAAGATCAAAGTATATGACTGAGGCCACTCGTTTGTAGTCAATACCTCTCGAAAGGTGTGACACAGTAGTACTGTGCTTGGTCTTATCAAGACCTTTAGCACGTCGTTCCAAATGTGCAATCATTTCTGAAAATCTACTTGGAATGTAAAGCTCCTTTCCGCTTTCTTCATCCTCTTGAACCTCACTCTCAGGTTCCATAGTGCTGATGAGAACTTGATATTCGTTTGTGTTAAATCTCTTAATAATATCAATTTTAGCTAGCGTTGGATAAAAATAGGGAAGCATGACACAATTCACTCCAAAAGCTCGTAATCCAAAATAAACAAAGAACAGTTTGTTGGCTGGTACGTAAACAATCACACGTCCTCCATAGAATTTGTGACTTAGGAAATAGTGTAATAGTAAAATTGAATTCACTTTGAAGTTTGGTAGTTTAGCTTGCATCTGTTTCATATCGACGTAGTATTGATGTAACTTTCCTTCCAAACTCGAAGTTCTTCTGTCTAGCTGGATGACTACTGGTTCTTTCAATAATTGTTCTTTTAGAGAAATAGCTTGTTGAGCTTTTAACGTAGCACTCATGAGAATACATTGGAAAAGCCCTGGTAAATTTTTGCTCACTAACATGGTTATCAATTCCATCTGTCTTCTAATAATTTGATCTGCTTCATCAATAATTAACAGCTTTAAGGTTTCTTTAAGAGAAATTGAGGAATTAGAAAGAGCATATGCAAGTGATTCTGGTGTGGTAATTAAAATTGGATGCTGTAAATCACATAGATCCTTAATATCTTGTTGTAATTGATTCAATTCACTTCTAAAATAAATACAGTTACATTCTTCTTTACAAAATTGTGCCAATAATTTCCATTGTTGATGTACTTGGATGCATAATTCTTGTGAAGGGACAAGGTAGAGAACTCTCACACCTCTTTGTTGAATGGAATGCTGTTTGTTTTCATTAGTGCTATTACTGGTAGTGTGATGATGAGATCCAGTCATCAAACTTTCTGCAATGTTCTTTACCCTTTGTGTATCCTCTGCGATTTGACTCATTTTCCTTTCATGCAGAACCATTTGTATTGCTGGGATGAGAAAGGCTGCAGTTTTACCTGTACCAGTCGATGAGCTACAAACAATATCCTTGCCTGAAAGAGCAATTGGAATTGCAATTTGTTGAACTCGTGTTGGCTCGTGAAAGCCTTGTCTGAAAACGGCACTAATGATTCTTCGGTCTAATCCGAAGGACTTCCAACTTTCAATCACTGGAAATTCTGTACAATCTTTGATATCTTCTATCATTTGAATGGATTGTTGTTTGTTTCGTTGAATAACTTCAAAATTATGATCCAAACATTTAAATTGTTTTTTAGCTGATGATGATGCTAGAGTAGTGTTGTTTGGTGATGTTGAAGAGTCTTGTTGAATGGGTTCATCACTGCTCGAAATTTTATCGGAGGTTAATGTGTGTTCTTCTTGCTTGTTTCTTCGTGATGTTGAAGACTTTTCCGAATCGTTGTGGATGTTCAACATTTTTTTGTAATGCGTCAAAAGAAATTCACTTCGTTTTCGAAAATGGGCTTTCAAAACATTTTCGATTGCTGGAGTGTTGAGCTGGATAGAGAAGCGAATCATGTTTTGTCAAAGTTCGCGGCTAGCCGTGGCACAATCCCGCCTTTACAACTCAATTAAAAAAAATTGTAGTTGAAACCTATTGACCCTCATCAGAACGATCATCGGAACCAGTTTCTTTGATAATGTCGAGTTCAGCACTGTTAGGAGCTTCAATGACGGAAGCAGGAGGGGCCATGAGCGATGTGGCTCAATCAACCCGATCATCGTTGCTAGATGTCATTATGGCGCGACATAATAATTTAAAGGATCAAAAAACACATTCTCGGTTGTTGTACGTTGCAAAGAAGACACAAAAGGAATTTAGTGAAGGAAGTTTATCGGAAAGTAAGTGTGAATCATTGATTACTCATTACCAGTCTTCCATCATCGAAATGATTATTATTTTAGCATTTCATATGCAATTATTCCAGAAAACAGGACACAAAGAAGATGATTTCTATGGAATATTATTTGAAGTTCAAGAGTATTATGTACATATTTTGGAAGGAACAAAGGATTGTATATTTGACTTTTTACGAATGCTCAACCGAGCGAAAAACGAAGATGATTTTTTGAAAGAGATAGATTACAAAATTCTTTCTGTGAAAATTCTCTTGTACACTGACGACTCGGGCCCTCTAAGTTTTCCAAGATGGACCTGCAGAGAAATTGCTCCTGGCCTTGCTCTAGAGACTGACGATGATGATTTTACAAGTGGAGCACCTTTAACAAAAGAAGAAGAAAAAGCTGGCTTAATGTGGATCATTAAAATTCAAGAGATACATCAACAGCTCCTGGCATTGGGAAAAAAGGTAATGGGGCTTGGTATTCGGCAAATGTCACTATTTCTTGATGGCCTTAATCAGAATTTTCCTCAAATCATTCCAAGAGAAAGCCACATCAAAGAACTTTCTAACGATTGCGAAATTTGTTTAAACTTATCGGAATTCCTTGAAGTGTATGATCAACCCATTACATTAGATCTCTATGGTGAGAATGTTTGGTAAAACGAAAATCCGCTTTAAAGTTCTCGATTTGATAAAACACTTCATATTTACAAACCACAACCAGAAAAAATAACCTCCCTTTCAAAGATTCATCACCTCTCCCATCAAGGTAGACGAACGGGAATTGCCTGCATCTTGTGCTTGGATGTTTAGAGGAGAATACATACGAGCTTGAGGACTTGATCCTCTGCTAATCTCTCACCACCAAAATCTCCTGGGAAGGTCTGAGGTGTCGTCCACTCACGAGAAGTGGGGTTGGTAAAGCAGCAATGCTAACGTCCTGGAACCAGAAACGGGTATCTGGGTGGAAACACTCGGTTGAAACGGCCAGGATGACACCGCACGGAGAAAGATCAACAACAGGGTGCATGATGGAAAAAGAAGTGAAGAAAAAAATGCTTCAACAAGAGAACCAAAACCAGCTTGTTTCTTCTTTATCAACTATTCATCAGAATGAAGAGAAGAGTGAGCATCACAATCGGGAACATGCTCCGACTGCGGAAGAGGATATTCTATTGCATGGAGCTCCTCAACTCAAGAAGAGGAAAAGTAACAAAAAGAAGAAGGAGAGAAAGAATGAATGGAACCCAAAGAAAACTCCACAAAGAGATATTGAAAAAACCAACAAGATGTTCGAAGAATATTATTTCAAACAACAAAAGGTGGTAGAAACGGAGGAAGAGTTGAACGAAATGTTGAATGCATGCCGTTCTCCATTACCAATTACATTCCGAGTGAACCAATCAATCCCAAAGCAATACCAAGAAAAGTTGAAGCAAAAGATTAAACTTTTTTCTGAGAATATCAAGAATATTAGAATTGATAACTCTGCAACAGCCCAGTTTTTATACAAGTCGAGTACAGATTCGGAAAAGCCAAGCGAGCCTGAATATGCCTCGTTGGAACCTGTATCATTTATTGCCGATGAGTCTATTTGGCAAATGTCAGATGCAATCACAAAAGAATTGCTAAGAAAGCAACCTGAACTTGCTCAATTCAGAGACTTTCTGATGAGAGAAACTGAAAAAGGTAATCTAAGCAGACAAGAAGTTGTCAGTATGCTTCCACCATTGATGTTTACTAATTGGAAACCATCAGATAGAGTGTTAGATATGTGTGCTGCTCCTGGATCGAAAACTGCTCAGTTAGTTGAATTATTATACCAAAGCGGTGGTGGAGATTCAAAAAATATAACTGGATTTGTGATTGCAAACGATAATGATGTAAAACGAGCTTATTTATTGGTTCATCAACTTCAACGATTGAACTTTTTGTTCCCTCATGTGATTATTACAAACCATGATGCGACCAAGTTCCCTCAATTCCATACCGAACCCAAATTACAGTTTGACAAAATTTTATGTGACATCATGTGCAGTGGAGATGGTACCATTAGAAAGTCTCCAACAACATGGACGCAGTGGAAGGCTAATATGGGTCATGGTTTGCATAAGTTGCAAGTGGATTGTGTGCTGAGAGCTGTCGAGCTGTTAAAAGTTGGAGGAGAGATCGTATACAGCACATGTGCTCTAAATCCAGTTGAAGATGAGGCAGTTGTTGCTGAGGTAATACGAAGAACCAAAGGAAAGCTTGTATTACAGGACCTTTCTTCAAGATTTCCATCTTTAAAGTATAAGCCAGGTATGACTACATGGACAGTTGCTTCAAAGAAGGGTGTTACCATTCCAACTTACGAAGACGCCTTAAAATTAAATTTAGACAACAGGATTGTTGAAAGCGAATTTCCAAAGGAAGACGTAAAAAGCATGAACATACATTATACGATGAGAATTTTACCTCATCAAAACAATACTGGAGGTTTTTACATTGCTCATTTCAAGAAAGTTGGCGAGTTAGACGAGCCAGTCGTCCAACTTTGCTCAGATACACCTAATGAAAAGATCAAACAGTTCAAAGGAAGAAATGTTCAAAAAGATACAATCCAATCGATGGACCCAGAGAAACTTAACTCTATTTTAGATTTTTACGGCTTTAATAAGGACGCATTTACAAATGAACAATTTTGTTTGAGAATGTCAGAAAACTCAACTGGAACTGATGGAGTAAGAAAAGTCATGTACATCTCTCCATCTGTTAGAGAATTTGTGGAGCATAACGAAAAAGACAACCAAATATTTAATATTATTAATTGTGGCATTCGAGTTTTTGAGAAGAGCAAAGCGACTTTTTGAAATGTCCTTACAGAATCACACAGGAATCAGCATCACTGATTTGGAATAACACTAATGACACCAGAAAAGTGGAGCTGAACTTGGCCAACTTTATTAACTTTTTGGTTGAGTATCAAATTTCCACAGAATCCATCAGAGAAAATGATCAATCAGTTGAAGCGGAAAAGATTACATCCATGCAGCCAGGTGGTGTTTTGGTGAAATTGAAAGATTGTGAAGAGAGCAGTCATGACGACATTTTTGCGATCGGATTTAAGGGCGAACATACTCTTTCAAGACATGTTAAATTTGAGCACATACCAGTGCTTTTGAAATCCATTGGATGCACTCTCGAACCCAAAAAGAAAAAGGAAACAAAGGAAACAAGTTCATGTGATGTCCCTCCTGTCGATGAAGATGACACTGTAGACCCCAAAATTAAGGGTGATGATGAGTAAACACACTGTGGCATCCTTATTTGAAAATTTTAATTTGAGTGTAACTGCAAACAACAAATAATTCTCCTGTTAATTCATTCAAGCACAAGTGGGAAGGTGTTTTAACCTCAGATGTCCCTAACAGTTTCATGCCATCCATCGAAAACACTTTAAGCTGAGCATTGTGTTCATCACACAAAAAGATTCTGCCCGTGTAACTCTCTACACAAATTCCTTTTGGATTTTGAAAATCAATCTCAACAGTTTTCAATCGTCTTCGAATTGTATGATGTAAACGAAATGTTATATCTTTTGAGCCGTTTCCACAGGACTCCTTTTTTAGCATATGAACCCTGTTGACTATAGAGTCTGCAAACAATAATAGGCCATTATGGCAGTTCCATGCAATTCCTGTGACAGTTCTAAACGTAATACCAGCACAATTATCTGGATCGATGTGTCCAATTTGTTGTCCATTCGATGAGCTCACAATTGCAATGAAGTTAAAACAAACGACATAAATAATATTATTATTTGATGATGAGGTCGACTTGTTATACTCGATACACATCCCTCGATATGACTCAACATTTGACTTCCAAATTCTACTCGCAATTTCAAGCGTGTCATCGTCAGGATCTTTTAAAAGTGCTTGAATGAAATTTTGCAAATCAACTTTCTGCAGGGCTCGTGTGTATTTTGAAACTAATATCAAGGCATCTCTTCCAGTTTTGGTTTCCAAGTTATAATTTTCTTCTACAACCAAATATTCACAACTTCTCTCACCACCACTCTTTGCAATTAATTGTTTTGTTGAAAGATCATAAATTGTTAAAAACCGGTACTGAGAAACAAGAATGCAATGACAACCGTACGAAATTTTCACATCAATGGCTTGTGTTGTTTTAATATCTCCCACATGTTCAAATTTCATGGAAAACGGTTTTTGTGGAACAGCTTTTCGAAGTTTGTGCTGTAATTTGTTGAGGAGTGAGTGTGAAAATTCATCACTAACGTATGATGATCGTGTGTAGATCCCGTATGAAGAAGTGTCATTGTGTGATGATATTGACGGTGCCGATGATGTGGATGGATGAAAATCAACAAGCTGGATTCGTGACATTTTTTCATCTCTTTCAAAAACATGTCGTTGGTGAAGAGGATACTAGTGAAGAAGATGGTTGGTCTCATCGTTCATTTCCCATCTCAAAATTGAAGAGTCAGCACTACTAGAAGCAATAATGATATCACCAGCATTGAATAATAAACAATTCTGGAGACTGGGTGAACCTTTTCTGTTGAGCTTAATAGAGTTCACCATTTCGAGACGTAAGGACGGTGTTTTGAACACTCGAATGACGCACAAGTCCTTATCCTCTGGCACAATGATTAGAAATTCGTCCTTTTCCTTATTACTGAGCAAATCAAAGTTTCTTGAATTTATACTAGTCTTATCAAGAATTTCCACATGCGATAAATAATTCAATTGAATAGAATTTGTTTCGCTCGACCACAGTGAATATAACATCACTGAGTGAGCTGTCTTGATGACAAGTAATACATGATCTTGAAATATTATTTGTCGAGTAAAAAGAGAGCCATTTGTGTGGTCGCATACTTGTTCAAAAAGATTCTCCCTGCCATTGTGATCTATATGAACAGGATCTAGAGTAATGCTCTCACTTTCCACAGTTAAGAGTAGTACAGAACCATTGCATTGAAATATTAAAAACTTGTTGCATGAAAATACTGGACAGATATGTATAAATAATGCATCTTCATCTGTTACAGTGCAAACGCAAGAGTTTGTTTCCACATCCCAAACTTGAAGAGTTTTAAATTCGTTACAAATTAGAGCTATATAGTTTTGTCCTATTTCCGAAGTGAAATGTTCAAAAGAAGAGTACATTCTATTAATTCCAATGTTTTCATCATCATCACACATTTCATTGAAATTTGGGAATAGGTCAATCATGGTCTCTACTCGGGATTGCATGACTGAAATGATGAAAATTCTTCCTTTACAATCATGAAATCCAATATACTTCTCCGAAACCCAACAAACATCACCAATTTCATCATCATGTAAATAATGAGAAACTAAATCCAAATGGCTCTCACAATGATTATTATTATATAAATGAATTTGTTTTCCATTAGTACTTGCTGAGAGAAAGATGCCCTCCGTGGTTGGATGCCTTTTCAAATAATTAATTTCTTGTTTATGATTTTCCTTGATGACTTTTTTCTTTGTAAATAATGGAGAAGGATTATTAGTTGAAAGCCAGTTCTCCAGAAATGAAGCCTTTTTCATTTTTATACGATTTTTTATTAAATTGATTATTATGTAAACAATATCACAATGTTTTCTACCTGACCAAAATATTCATACAATTAATTAGAAATCCGAGTGATATGTTCATGTAGTAAATCATTATTTATTAATAATTATGATCAAGAATTAATTAAATGAAAATCGTCAAGTAATTAATTCAGCGTTATACTACAGAATTGTACAACATGAGTTTGGATTCTTATCCCAGTCTTGAGCTTTTCCTTGATTCAGGTTGTTTCCTGTTGTGTACTGAATGATTGTGTTAGAGGCTGGATTCAATACTCCATTCACTTCATATTGGCTAGGAATGTAGGGTTGTTGTTCTGGTACGACAAACCCACCCTTATTGTAGATCACAGCATTGTGTTGAGGTTGTTGTTGGTGTTCCGAGTATGGAGGAGGGAATTGATGGTTTACTGGTTGTTGGAAAGCATAAGAGGGAACTGAATTGTAATCTGATGATGGTGGTTGAAGACTATATTTACTCATACAAATATTAGCGTTCGCGTATGCACAAGTGAGAGAGACTCTGCGATGATCGGGTTGTTGTGTTAGTTTGAATCTATTTTTTTTAAATTGGAAGAAACTTTGATTGGGCAGTACTATTTTTACTGACTCCATGTCTACTACTTCATTGGCCTTAAAAACAAAAACGATTCGAACACCATTCATGTAGAACGTTTGGATTCATATGTGTTGGTTGATTCAATGCCATCACCCAGGACGCAGATGAAATAAAAAATGATACGATTAATGTTTAGCTCCCTCCCGATAGAAATAGTTCTCGAAGTGATGTACAATATGTCTTCTCTTGATTTAATATTTGTGATTGGTAGAGTTTGCAAAATATGGAGAGATAAAGTTGCAATGGTAGTGCTGTCGGAGCGTTTGAGTTCCTTGTGTTGTTCATTCAATTCTTCATGTAGAAAAATTTCAAACTTTGATAATTTACGAGGATCCAAAGAGGGAAGAACATTGGTGAGGTTTCTATTGAGAGAACGCACTAGAGAAATTGCCATGCAGATGGTACAATATACAGCAATGTCTTCACCATTGCCTGAATTTTCGTCAGTTTCAATACCTCCTTTGTCCGTGATGCAAGAAATACAAATATTGAAAACTTATTTTGAAGATTTTGTGAAAATGGAACCAACACAAAATTCAACACATGTTTCAAATCAAGGCAATGAAACAACTCCAACTACGGAGAACGGTGGAATATTTGCAAGTATTTTCAAACTGTTCGGTGGCTTATTCCACACATCTTCATGTAATTCTAATACCTCACCCTCGAGGAATGAGACATCCCAACAACTCCCTAATTCGTTGATAAACACAAAAATGGTTTCATATGGATGTTATGGAGTTGGAAAAACCGCATTCAAAGATTGCTTGATGGAAGAAAAGGTTGTCACTCCTAATATTAGCTCAGCTACAATTGGAGTAGAGTTTTCCTTTAAGAAAGTCTCTATTTGTTGTGAGAGAACTGCAGATACTAGAAATAAGAACAGTAATGAACTGTGTGAGTTATTTTCTAGCAAACTGCAATTGTGGGATCATAGAGGACTCGAATTTCGTCACTCACGATATTATTTTAAGAATTGTTCATTTCTATTTCTAATATTTGATACAACAAACTCTAGGTCATTCGACACACATAATTTCATAACCATCATGAAGAACATTGGTAAAGAACACAATACTGATTTTAAAAATACAGAGGTTATATTAATTGGAACAATGAACGATTTGACCACACACAGAAGAGTTTCAAAAGATCAAGCTCAAATGACGGCCTTTAACGAAATGTGCATTCTGTATTTTGATGTGACAAACACGTCACTACAAGACTCGACCACAATTTTGTGGTATTTAATGTTAATGAGATATTTTCTTACGGAAAGAGAAGTATCACAACCTTAATCTTGTCATTTTGCAAAAAGTTATCGATTTTTAAAGGCCTTCGAGAAATGGATGGAAAAACACATAATCAAGATTTTTATGGAAAATTGTGGTTGATTAAAATCAAAATCAATCCAAACACAAAATTTCAAACAATAAAAAAATCGAACATTCAAGAGATGCCATCAGCCAAAGATACCAAAAGAAAACGTAACGAATATGACTCACTGGAGGAGGATAGTTCCGATGAAGACGGCCAAGATCTTTCACCACAAACCAAACAAGTAAAAACCACTGCAAGTATCGGAACATGGAAAGAAGATGCCAATCAAGAGCTCTACTACTTCATCCATAACAAGTTTTCCGAAATGAAATTCCCCAACAATACTGTGGGTATTGCATCCTATGATTTTGACTCAACATTGGTTTTGACCAAGAGTGGAAAGCAATTTGCAACCAGTGCCGATGATTGGAAATTATTTCATAAGAATGTTTCAACGAAATTGAAAGAGGAAGTCAAAAAGAATAATCGTCTATTGGTGATTTTCACGAATCAAAATGGTATCAAGAAGGGAAAACTCACAAAGAAAGAACTTGAAAAAAGAATTGAAGGTTTCATTAGAGAAGCCATTGGAGAAGATACTCCCATTTTGGTTTTGGCTGCGATGGCTGAAAATTCTCAAAGAAAACCATGCACTGGAATGTGGACCTATCTCGAAGAACAGATTCTTCCAAAATATCACAAAGAATTGTCATTGGATAAATCAGACAGTCTCTATGTTGGTGATGCAGCTGGAAGACCTGAACGTAAAGATGCTTCGAACAAGAAAATTAAGAAAGATCACAGTTGTGGTGACAGGAAATTTGCAATGAATCTCGGTATCAAATTCCACACTCCCGAAAATTATTTCTTGGGAGAAGCTGAATATCCAACATGGTCACTCGATGGTTATGATATCAAGAAGAATTTTGAAAACTCGAAACTGACACCTTACAAAAAAGAAGATTTGATTAGTTCCAAGCAAGAAATTGTTATTTTCCAAGGTTGGCCAGCAAGTGGAAAGACAACTTTTGCTAAACGATATTTCATTCCAGCTGGTTATGTTCATGTAAATAGAGATACACTTTCAACTCCTGCCAAATGTATCAAAGCCACCAAAGAAGCAATTGCTCAAGGTAAATCTGTGGTTGTTGACAATACAAATCCAGACAGCGCCTCAAGACAGTCCTATATTGAAATTGCAGAAGAGAATGATATTCCTTGTAGATGTTTTGTTTTTGATGTTGAGAGAGAACTTGCAGAGCATTTGAATGTTCTCAGAGAGAATCGATCGAATGGTGCTCATCCTCATGTTCCTGGTGTTGCTTATAACACTTACAATAAGAAGTTTGAAGACGTGACCAAAGATGAAGGTTTCACAGAAGTGAGAAAAATCAAATTCATACCTGTATTTAATAATGATAAGGAGAAGGAAGAGTTTTTCATGTATACTTAAGTGGAATAGTAAAATTGTATCAATCATTCAACAACATTCATTACTTTCAAGTTGACATGATTGCAATCTTTTCCAATTTAAATTTCAAAAAAAATGTCATCATTGCAGCGACGTCACGGCTTCTCTCTCGCAACACAACGATTAACAATTCTCTTGGTGATTGTTGCGATTTTGAGTTTCACTTGTTACGCCCAATCTCTCGACGAGGAAACACCTGAATTCGATTTTGAGTCTAATTTCGATTATTATGCCGTTCTCGGAGTTTCACACAACGCCACTCAACAAGAAATCAAAGCTGCCTACAGAAAACTCACCATTAAATATCATCCCGATAGAAATCGAAGTAAAACAAAAGAAGAACAAGAAGCATTGAATGTCAAATATCAAAAAATTGCAAAAGCCTACGAAGTTCTCAGTGATGAAGAACAACGAAGGACCTATGACCAATATTTTGAATTTGGAGCTAATTTAGGTGCTAATTTAGGAATTGACGCCGAAACACTTGAATTTGTTTTGTATTTATTGGTTGGCTATGGTTATGCCATTCTTGCAATTTTAATCTTATTGGGAGTAGTATTGATTTTGATTTCGATCATGTGTTGTTTATGTATTTGTAAATGTTGTTGTAGTTTTTTCAGAGGAGGAGAGAAGAACAAATCCGTGTTGAGTAATAGTCATAGGAAAGAAAAAGCAGATTAATATTGTTGAAAATATTCTCCATTATTTATAAATTTATATTTTTCGAATATCAAGATGAAATTTATGGAATTTATAAATTTTCACACACACACATATCATACACAGACGCACTTATTTATTGGAGGACGACAAGTATTGAGTGGCAAGTTTTTTTGCAAGTTCTTGACCTTCTTTTTCAGAATTCACTTCAAACAAATTTTCATAAGGTCCTTCAAACTTTTGAGGTGGTTTAAAACCTTTTGAAAATTCATCAACAACCTTATCTGCATTTTCTGGTGGCAACGTGGGATGATTCTTTCGTTCTCGAATATTTGTTTTACATTGTTCGGGTGAGGTTGTGAACCATACTAGATCAATATGTTTGACACCTGACTTTTTAGCTTCTGTAATCCACATTTTTCGATCTTTGGGATGAATGTTGCATCGATCCAATATTACTGATTTGTGATGTTTGAATGATTTTTCCATTAATTTTTTACATTCTGCAGCATCACCTAAAGTGTCTTGATTAATTCGAACAAAACCATGTTTTTCACAGGTAGTGGCAAAGGTGGATTTTCCTGTGGTCAAAATTTCATTGTTGTTGTTGTCATTGGAAAATCGAAAAAGGAAATTCAAAAAAATTATTATGTTTTTTGTGTGTGAATGGTTCAAAAAAAGAAATTATTGTTGAAATTATTCGGAAATACTGATCGACCATATACCTACCTGATCCAGGAAATCCACATAACATGACGAGATAGGTCGGAGTACTAGTTGATGATGATGATGATGAACTTTTACTGGAAGAGGATTTACTTGATTTTTGTGTCATTTCTTTTTTGAGATTGGAATGTAGATGATTGCAATATTCTTTCAATTTTTTTTTTAAGTTTTGAATTTCAAAAAATCAATTCCGAATTTGAAACAAGTTCATCAAAAGAACTTGAGCTCATGTTCACACTTGAAATTGAACCAAAACTTTGTTTCTTTCCCCAAACGTGTCCATCATTTCTTCAAACCATCTCAATGTTCAGGAGTCCTAAACGTTCACATTCCCAACCATACCATCTTTGTCACTTGTTCACAAACTCCGTCAACACCTTTGGTCACCAAGAAGAAAAAATGGCCTCGAGCTGTGGACGACGAGAAATTCTCTTCAACAAGAACCATCATTTAACCTTCTCGGTCATCATCATTTCGAGTTGTATCCTTCTTTCATTTCTATTCTTTTCCTTGCATTCCATACAGACACGACATTTTCCACACCATGATGATGATTTTTCTCAGATGATGGTCCACCACGTGGTGCGAGCGGAATCATCGTCCTTGTCAGAAATCATGTCGACAATGTCCATTGAAAATCATGAAAATGACACTCTTCATCTCTATATCGACTCGGTGAATGGTTCTGATTTGAACCAAAATGATTGTTCTTTGAAAGATCGACCTTGTCAATCCATTCAAGCAATTCTTGAAAAAAATCGAGCATTGGAACGAAATATTCTTCCCATTGTGCAATTGAATGTGTTGAGTTCTTTACTTGAAATTCCAAGTTGGATCAATGGAACGTATTATTTACCTATTAAAAAAACTTTTAGAATTGTTGGAATGGGAATTCGAAATACGACTCTGTATCAAGATGTGAGTTTTCAAAAGTTGGATCTTCAGTTGTCGTTGTTGAGTGCGATGAGAGTGAAGGATGAAATGTTGGTGGTGGAATTTTCTGAAATGACAATCAAGACATTAAAGTTGGGAAATATGCCAGCTGTCACGATTTTTAATTGTTTATATGATACAATTTATTTGAGAAATGTGACGTAAGTGTTTCATGTTTGAACCAATGGTTATTGGTTTAATTCATTACTTGTTGATGTCGAATTTATTGCAACTCAGAATAATTAACATGGAATTTTGTGAAAGTATTGTCACACCCATTAATGAATCAAAAAAGCCATCCAATGGATCAACACTATTACTCAATATGTATACCAAACTAAGCTTTTCTAATATTCGACTAAATCCACAAAGTACTGTTTTTGGAAATGTTGACAAATCTTCAATCACCAATTTGGGTCTCATTAAGGCTACAGAAAGTATGATTTATTTCTTTCACGTCATTGTCTCCAATCCAGAAGAAAACAATACTCTAGTTGCTTATAACATTGCCATGGACAATTGTTTACTTCACATTACAGATTTTAACCAAATTATCATTGGAAATGCAATATTCACAGGAAATTTATATGCCTCTCGATACATGCAATATTTATCGTTTCTACAATCGGACGAAGAGCTTTTACAAAATAGGCCAATAGAAATATTAGCAAAAGATTTGATATTTTCACAATCTTCTGTGAATATTGTGGCACAAGCCAGAGCATCTGCGGGACTGGTCAATTGCATATTTACACAAGCTAAGCAAACAGGAGCTCTACATTTAGAAGGTGTTGGATTACTGACAAGTATCACTAATTCACAATTTTTGGACAATGAATCTGCAAGAGGTAAGTTTAAGAATTAAAATACCTGACAAATATATCCACATATAACGTTACTGATCATGAATACAAAACATTGATCATTCTCTTTGTATAGGAGGTGCTGCCATCATGATGCGAAGTGTCTATTTTACCTATGTTCAGAATTGTACCTTTGCACACAATAGACAAACATCTCCAAATTTCAATATTGGATTGCAAACCACTGGAGGAGGAGCTATTCATCAATATCAAAGGTAATTTATGACATTTCAACATTTTAATTGAATTACATTTCAACATTACAATATTTCAATGATTGATGAATCATGATTGTTCGAAAAATAACACAGTGTATTCTCTTCAAGTTTTTGCACCTATGTCAATAACACTGCCAAAACCTATGGAGGTGTTCTTTATTCCTATTTAGGTAATCGTGTGTGGCTCATTGGTGATAAATTTCACGAGAATATGGCAGCCATTGGTGGAGCTATTTACACTAAAAACACAATGTCTGTTCTTCCTTTCATCCTTGAAGATTGTGAATTTCGTAATAATTTTGCAGAAAAATTTGGAGGAGCTCTCTTCTCAATTCGTGCTGCCATGCAAATTTCTTCGTTTGCTTCTAAATTACCAGTGATTTCACAAAATACAGCTCGTGTGACTGGAGGAGGTTTATATCAATGTGAATCTACTGTCAATTGGTATGAAACTCGGGTGAATGAATTTACACAACGAACAGAAAAGGTGTTAATTTCTTCTGAATCGAGTGTGCAAGCTCAAGCATTGATTCCACAATTTATTAAGGGAAATACCGTACTCACACCATTTCATTTGCCAGATAAGACATCATTTCCAGGAGAGGCCTTTCTTAAACTACTTGTTAAAAGACCACAAAGGACTCGTTCTACAAGTTCACAAACCAATCATGATCAACACCAATTAATACCATTGTTGGGAACCAATTCGAGTGATCCCAATGTCTATTTTACAACTTATTTTGGAGAAGAATTGACGTTTGAATTATGGTTGAAAGATACCTTTGGACAAAACATTCCATACGATGGAACGTTGATGCTTATTGACACTGTGGATGATGAAATTGTTTATTCTGAAGTGAGGAGTAACATTTTTGAGAAGGACGAAGAAGGTAAACTTCCACTGTTCCATCCTGATGTGAAATTACTTTCCTACTCGTATCACGATCCATTTCCTCAGAATGCAACAGTGAAATTTTCACTGACCTTTCTTCAAGATTCAGTTGTAACGTTTTATTTTCATGTCCATTTTGTGTTTGAATCTTGTCCAACAATGCATTCTTCAGCGAGTAAGACTCATGCGATGGGAAAGAAAGTTTATTATTGTGAATTTAATGTAGCTTATTTATCACCTCTGATTATTGTGATTGGATTAGTGGTATTGATTACTGTGATTGTTATTACTGTATTTTCAGTTCGAAAATTGAAAAAGATGAAATTTAGTGTGAAATTATTGAAACAAAAAGAAAAGGCTGAAATTGAATTGACACAAAAGTTGTTGGATTTACAAACATTGTATGCAAGTGAATTGGAACATAGACATTCATTTAAGGATTGGTTAATTAAATTGGAAGATATTGAAATTATTTCAAAAATTGGAGAAGGAGGTCAGGTAAGTAATGGTATGACTTCTACCACATTTCAATACTAATATCATTCATTCAATGAACTAATTGAATCATTCAATAATGAATAGGGAGTAGTTTACAAGGCGAGGTAAGTTTTCAATATTATTGATTATGGATTAATCATGATTGTTTCATTTAAATATTCATTGAAAAACCAAACGGAATAGATGGAGAAATGCAGATGTTGCTCTCAAAAGTATCAAAATTGATGATTCTGACTTGGATAGTAATGAATTTGAAAACGAGGCATCTCTTCTCAGCTCCATTCGTCATCCCAATGTTGTTACCTTTTTTGGAGTTTGCCTCACAGAATCCAACAAGTTTATGGTGACCGAGTTTATGCATGGAGGATCTCTTGATTCACTCATTTATCAATGCAAGTTAAAAAAGAAATTCATTCCATTGGCTGATAAAATTCACATGTTGAGCGATATTGCAAGTGGAATGAGTTATTTACATCATGGAAGAGACAAGATGATCATTCACAGGTATGTAATTGAGTGAATTAGTGGTTCATTGAATGGAATTTGATCTCATGATGAATTGGGTTTTGGTTTTTTTGTCCAAATAGAGATTTGAAACCAGGAAATATTTTATTGAGCAATGACTTGACTTGTAAAGTGTGTGATTTTGGAATGTCTAAATTGTATCAGCAAGAGAGTGATAGAACCAAGACATGTCGCGTTGGAACATTGCTCTATATGGTAGGTTGATCGAGTTCGACACTTTTACTGATTTTTGGTCATTTACTCGCTATGAAATCCTTAACAGGCACCTGAGGTACTGTTAGGGGAGTATTACAATGAGACAGCAGATGTCTATAGCTTTGCTCTTATCATGTGGCAATTATGCTTTGATGAAAGTACTCTCTTTTCATCGTCCTTCTCTAAAGACGCGAAATTTACATCTTTTATGTCCAGTGAACAAATATCTCAATATAGTTCTCTTAATGACTCCATTGTAGTGTTACCAAAATTAGTGACGGATGGTTTGCGATTACCGATACCTTCTCTTCCTCTAGATGCTAGCTCTAACACATTAAGGACATGGATTGACGAATTCTTCTTAAGAAACTCGAATGGTATTGTTTCGCCAAAATCGTACGACACTCATATTTCAGTGCTCAACGATTTTTTCAACTTGTTGGTACAATGTTGGAGCAAGGACATTTCTGAGCGACCCTCATTTTCATTGATTTTCAATGATCTGTGTAAAATGGAAAAGAATTTACGAAGCACATATTGAAATGTTTACAAATTGTTTGGTTTTATTAAACCCGTTGTATTGTACAAACAGATTGGGTTCAACAACTTGTGACTGTTCTTCTTTCAGGTTTGGTTATTACTCTTGAGCAACTGGTGGTGGAGGTTGCATCTCATAATTCTTAATATCATCCATGGCTGCATTTCTGTCGTAAGCCTTATCAATGTTCTCAGCCTTCAAGAACCTACAAAGCTTCTTATCTGTAATACAAATGTGTGTAATCAGCCAGTCGCTCAAAAACATGAGAGCCTCCATAGCAAATCTAGAGTTGTGAGTTTCCTCAACCTTAGTTTTCAGTGAAAAGACCTTCGAGATGAATTTTCTGTGTGTTTCCTTATGGTTATCCTTTACACTTGCTTCATATGAAGTACATCTGTCCATCAAGCCTTCCTCTTCCTTAAAGTGGAAGTCTGTGTACATGGCCAATCTTTCAAACACTTCAAGAATTAGATCCATGTCTCCCATGTTGATAGCATGGTTCAATTTGTTGATTAGAATAACTAGCACCTTGTGCTGTTCGTCCACCATCCCTACACCTAGCTTGTATTCTTGATCGCTCCATGGAATGAGCACTTTGCCAGACAAAAACTCTTCTAAATAATATGATGATTTCAATTCAAATTATCCAGTTGAACATGTATGGCGGATAAATGTTGGTAGGTGCACGGCATGATGATCAGAAACAACGACCCGAACGAGTTCGCGATGGAATGTCATGAATACATGTTTCAAAGGCTACCAACAAAAATGTTGTACATACCATCAGTGTTGCCAGTTGGTCCTTTTCCTCCTTTAGAATTGTTCTTCTCTGTACTGTCGCTTCCCTCTTGCTTATTACCCATACACGATGCTGAGCCTCCCATTGTTGATACTGTGGATGTTGTAGTAATATTTTTTTCTTTAGCCTCCACCAAGCAAACGCGACAAGGCTGTAGTTTTGTCTCTTCCAAAACGATATTTGGCGGGAGTCGTTGCGATTTGGTTGTTGGTTTTTGGAACTTGACATTTGCGCGCACATAAAAACTTCTATAATTTACGTTCCTTCTCTCGCCTTATCCAACAACCTATAGGACGCCAATATGTGTATTTCTCATTGACAAGAGATAAACACTACATAATTGTCGTTTTCAACTACTAAATCAATGCAGTGTTCATCTGGATCATCTCTTGTCAACTCTAATGTAAGAATTCCAGCAAATCCCAAAAAGTACAATTTCAAGCACGTGCAATACTTTCAAATAGTTTCACGTGCTTGAAATTGTACTTTTTTGGATTAAACCGACCTACAAAAACTACAGTTCAGTTCTCTCTTGAGTCATGACCAGCAGGATCCGATCGAAATTATTAAGGTCCTTCTCCAGCTCCACTTTAAAATTGGATCCACTTTTGCTCTCGAACATATAGTCCTTGGCGTCCAATGCTTCAGTCGTGTTGGGAATATTCCTCCAATGGTTACCAAGTATTTGCTTCATGATGACAGGCGCTTGATCAAAACCGAGTTCCAATGCCATTAAGGAACTTGGGTGAAAACGATACTTTTCCATGGTTTCTTCCGATAAGAGGAATCGATAAAACATCAATCCGTCTTGGCCTCCATCGAGAGCTAGATGAGGCTCATAGAGAGAAACATCCTTATCCAACTCTTCAAGCACAACTTGAGAGGGAATGTAGGGAGGGTTCGAAATGAGAAGATGGGTGAAGGAATACGTAGTCTTCGAATCGTCATGAATATTGGTGTGTTTGTTACTGGTATTCGTCCTTAACAACTTTGAATCATCCGACAGCCATTCTTCGGGATTAAATTCATCATGTAACATGTCATGTTCCTTCAAAATCAACTTGTTACGTAGATGAGCTGGAAGTAAGAGTTGTGCATTCAATGAGGTAATTTGTAAAGCTTCACTACTCTTATCTAAGCCAATGGCTCTATTTACTTTGATATTGGCTTTTTCCAACTCGAGTAATAAGGTCAAAATTAAGCATCCACTCCCCACTCCCAATTCTACAATGTTAATACCGTCCTGATGAAGGGTTGGTGATGATGATGATTCTTTCAAAAACTCGTTCATTCTTTTCATAACTGCCTCAATCATCACTTCCGAATCCACTCTCGGTATAAGTACGTGCTTATTCACTTGAAATTGTCTTCCGAAAAAATTGACTCTTCCAGTAATGTATTCAATTGGTTCATATTGACACCGCCTCATGATGAAGGATTTGAAAGTGTCTAGTTGTTGAGATGTGAGATGATCTTTTCGAAGGGACAGAGACAGCCATCGTTTGTGCAAGTTTTCGATGGGTTCGTTCGGAAAGAGTGTGTTAAAAAGTAAGATACGTGACTCTCCTTCAGGATCATGCTCCACATGTTTGAAGGTGAGTGCATTTCGGAGCATGTTTTCTCCGTAATCAAGTGCCTCTCGTAGTGTTACTGTCGATGGTGTTGCATGGCCGAAACGATAATTAAACGTTCTTTTGATGAAATGGGAATTATAATTGTAATTACAATGATGAGAAGTCAAGAGTGATAATACATGTGTTGATGTAAACGGTAAAAATGATTTGTGGTTGGTGTGAAAAAAGAGACCTTGTCGGAAATAAAGGCAGGTGTGTTTGAATGAGAGCGATTGGCATAAACTCGGGGATTTCATTTTTTCAAAGTTGACAAATAAAAAAGCTGACAATAACATAAATTGAGGTTTCAGAAAAAAGGCTTTATCTCTTTTCTCCAAAGCTTGTATGACCTGTTTTCTTGGCATGTAGTGTGGCTTCTTTTTCTCCTTTCAAAAATTCTCCACACTGCAAACACTTTAAGGTAAAGCTGGCAGTGTCTGTAAATTGATGTTGGTCGTGTAACTGTTTGACAATCTCAAATGCCTTTTTGGAAGAAATTTCTTCATTAGCTGGTACAATGGTAATATCTAATTCCTCAGGTCCAGAAGGAACAGGATTGAAAGCAAGAGCGTCATAGTGAATACCATCATAAATTAGAAAGATTTTTGTGGTAATTGAAGTGTCTCCTTCACCATAGATATCTCTTCGATTGGCCGTGACATCAAAACTTTCAATCCTGATATTGTAGAACTGAGACAATATTAATAATTCAATAGATCCTCCCCAAGAATCATCTTTCATGATCCAGTCACAATATTCTTTTGTTGGTCTTCCCAATATTGCCTCGTTGAAATAAAAAGGATGTTTCATAATCCAATCTCTCACAACTCTTCTCAATGCTCGAGCTCTTTTGTTTTTTCTGGCGCTACTTCCTTCCAAACAATAAGCCAATGCATTAAACAAGCACGAATTGTCTGCTGGAATGACTCGTTTAATAGCAACACAGTCCGATAACAAAGTGGAGTCAAACGATTGCAAATCATGTGGTCGAGCTGGACAGTCCGAATATTGTTCTGGTTTTAATTGTACAGTAGTGGTTGAGTCGTTCGTAATATCAACAACATCATCGTGATTGTCCACCGATGCTAATGGATTGGAAATGACATGTTTTGCTTGGGAGTATTCATTGGTTTCTTCCACGATCAAACTTTCTCCTGATTTTAAACCAATATCCGAAAGCTTTTTTGAATTAAATAATTCTTGATCTGATTGCCCATTAACCTCTACAGGGGGAAATCCACATTTCAGTTTTTGCTTTAGAGGTGGGATTTTACTTTCATTTTGTATTTGCAATTTTAACCATTCGACTGTCGATGTTTGAAAGTCAACTCCCTTCAAATTCATTTGGCCGGAGGGCAATCGAATGCGCAGCATTTTTTATTGTTGTTGATACTCAATCCTAAATTGATATTGACGTTGATCAACCTAGAAGTTGTATTTATTTACAATACTATTTCATAGTACTCTTTCGCAATCCATTCCTTAATTCAAAGTTATCAATTTCCTCAAGCTGCTTAATTGGATCGTCATAGCGTTTATCTTGCTCCAAAATTTGTTCTATCTTTTGTTGCTCTTTCTCCTCTTGACGTATATCACTTTCGAAAATTCTCTGGTCGTACATATTTCTTAGAAGCCTTACAGAGCTTTTATGACTGGAACTGTTGCTAACCGTGCTGGTTAAGTAGGAAAATGCAACACTTCGAGATGCTGAAGAGGGTGTTTTTGAACCACTTCGACAACTGCTAGGTCTAGAGCTTGTTAATGAACGTGGCGTCGTCGTTGATAGAAGGGAGCTTGTCGACTTTGTGCTCACAAGCTTGTATTGTCTTGGTGTTCTTCTATAGGATTCAGTTCGCTGAAACGTTGGCGAACGTGGAGACAGTGGAGCTAATCGAACGGAGCTTAACGGCCTTGATTCTCTATGAATTTCTTTGGCACTTTCTACGCAATCGCTGAGCGAGAGAGGATGCTCACTACTTGGGTCAACCAAAGAGGTGTGGTATCGTTTGAAGTGTTTGTGTTTCAGATTATCATAATTTCGAAAAGACGAAAACGCAGGGGAGTAAAAACCTCCTTGTTTTTCTCTTGGAACATGCACAATTTTCTCAAGTTGATTCCTCCTGTTTTCAGAAAGAGTATTTAAATAAGCAGTAAATGTTTCAGATTGTTGGGTTGACTGGGCATAGAGTTGGGACGGTGAGACCGAACGTGGTACCGAATGGGAATATGTTCTCTTGTGGAAAACACTAGGATTCTTATCTATCAAACTTTGATACAGATTTGAAATGTTTGGCCCACACGAGTGGGAGATGTCTGTCTTTTGTCTGATGTTGATCGTGGGATCATATTCAAATCTTTTGTAGCTCAATGCAGAAGATTGAAGATTACGATTGAATGAATAAGTCTCTGCCACCATCGTCATGCTTAATTTTAGTGATGATGGAGATATCTAGAAGAGATAGATCGTGTTCAGTGAATATTCAAGGCCAACAATGATGAAGAAGGAGGGGAAGGGGTGTTGGAGTTACCAATTTTTTTTAACTTAAAAATATCAAAAACAACGGCTTTTAACGCTCCAACCGAAATTTTATTAAGGGACTGTGCGACAGATATTGCTGCGACTAAGATTCTTACAAAAAGCTTTTTTCAGCAGATGTTGAACCCAATGTAATTCTAATGATCAACACCACTAACAATGTTTGATGACCATAAAGTCATGTTGTTTTATATTGATACGGTCGTTGGAAAACGAAATTTTATATCAAAGTCATTAAAGTACACAATTCGATAATACTACCAAAATCGAAAGATTCACACCTGTTTCCTGATTTCAAAATCTCATTGTTTTTACAATATCATCATACTTTAAAATCTTCTTAATACTCTCATGTTCAAACTATGTGGATGAGGAGCACGGTATGGAGCATGATTCAACACGGCTCTTCGAACATGATATCCATGCGAATAGTGAGGATACATTTGAGGACTATGTTGTCCATACACGTTCACTCGTTGAGCCACTGGGACATGAGTTCTCATTTGAGAATAATCTGGAAGAGAGGAAGCCAATTCTTCAGCACCGTTGTTTGAATAAGTTGTGGCTGCCTCTGTGTGCTGTAACGCTCTCTTTTGCTGCTGAGGTGCTGGTTGTTGAGGTGCTCCTTGCTGTTGAGGAGGAGGTCCTTGCTGTTGTCCTTGTTGTTGTGGTGGAGGTCCTTGAGGTGGTTGCTGCTGCTGCTGTGGGACTGGTAATGGTTGTGCTTGTCCTCCCTCAATACAGAAAACTTCACTCTTCACCAAACAACGAACATTGTAAGGACCTACAAAGACTGGATTCACACAAATAAAGTAATTACAGCCAGGAGTGGTTCGTAAAGCTCCTCCCCACATGACTATGAATGGAATTTTACCTTGCCTTGGTGTGGGTACTTGCTGATTCACATTAATCAATCGAACATCATCCGAAATAAACTCCTTATTAGTTTCTCTTATTTGGAAAACACTAAGGGAGAATTGATCAAATTTCATAGTCTCGTTGAAATCTAAAAATTCAGTGGTGTTGAATTGCCACTTGGCATTGGCGAGTGGAGCATTGATGGTGAAATAGCCATCTGAGATGGAGAACATTCCTGATTTGGCAAAACAATTTCCTTCATCATCTCGGTTGGTTTGGTTGTTCAATGCATCAACTCCCACTTCATTGGAAACTAATTCAGCACAAATGTAATATCGATTATCAACGGCAGGGGTGGTGATTGAAGGAACAAAGAAATCGACTTCACCGTTAGGCTTACTCTTGTCGAGAGTGTACGTTTTTTTGGTTCCATCAATCATGACATCTTTCCCTTGTGCTCCGTTGTTTCTCCACAAACTGAGAGCAAGAGAGAAGGATCCTTGTGCACCATTCTGGACACCATTACCAAAGAATTGACTGTACACTACAGAGTAATTTCTATTGCTCAACCATTTGGTATATTGTTGAGGATAATCCAAGGTAACATAAGGACGTCTTGGAGGACCATTCGTGTTCACTGTACTTGGATTGAAAGCGCAATAAAAACCTCCAACGGCATAACATCTATAGGCATCATTGAAATCAACATTGGAAGAAGCAATTAGTGAAGAATTCACTGGATTTAAACAAACATAGTAGGAACATGAAGCAGTTGCATTGGTTGGAATGACCCATGGAACATAACCTGATGCAGCTGGAAGATGGACCTCAGTTTGCATGATCATTTCGTCAGGTTGAGTCTGTCTTTGTCGATACAAGGTAAGGGTTGCGTTTTGTCCACTCAGTACTCCACCTCCAATAAAGAGAAGAGGAATAACTTGATTCACTGGTAATACGGCTGTGTTATCTGGAATGACCACATACAACGAATGGACCAGTGCTATCAAGGCAGAAAGGAACGGAACAAGAAAGAGTAAAATTGTTGTGATTCTCATTGTTAGATTGCAGATTTTTTCATGCTATGAACAAGGATGATGCGTCGTGTGATCATGTTAAATATTATTTGTGGAGTTGATATTTAAAGTAAGGTAAGCTGGAATGGAACAAGTCAACTATTGCAGACGCTCCTAAAAAAGAGAACAAAAATATCTGGTGCAATTCTAAAAATTGCCAATGAACAATTTCAAAGATTTGAAATGGAGAGGAGTTATCATAATTTATCATTTACGAATTGATTATAAGTGTGGTCGGAACAAATTCTTTTCCTTTTTCAAATTGTACTACTCTGAACAAACCTATTTTTGCATTATTGACAAATACTATTCGGAAAGTTTCTTTAATATTGTTTCCAGTTGCTGGAAATTAATTGATAAATTATTCAAATCAAACGGAATAATTCTAGCATTGGACGTTAAATGACAAGGAATTGAGTTTTACATAATTTTTTCGACAGGAAGCCGTTGGATGGAGGAAGCGAACAGTGAAGCTCAACAAATGTTATCAAGCAATCCACCAACTATTTCCATACTTTGGGAGTGTTTATGGCTGTGGTGGGAGGCTTTTTTGAGACTGCTGGCTTGCTCTGCGTCGATTTACTGGAAACAGAGGAAGCTGATTGCAAACGCTTCTTTTTTGGTTGAGCTGGTATCCAATCCTTTGGCACTTCTCCAACTATTAAGTTTGGATGCTTTTGGAAAAACTCTTGTAGCCCTCCCGTCAGTACTACAATGTTATCAAAGCCCTTTTCAAATAACAAGTTGGCAACAGGGCAAGCTATTTTTTCATCTCTATCGTACACTACTATTTTCTTTTGAGGATGGTTTTTCTAACATATTGAGGCCTGTTATTCAGTATCATGCATTCACATGTTAAACTTACAAACGACAGCATTTCAAATGTGAAAGGATTCACCGTCCTGTTCACAGTCGCTGCTGGGTAACTATATGCGGTTTGTAAATGACACTTTGCAAAATCATCTGGATCCCTCACGTCCAGGACAAGTACTAAATTATCAGCATCTGAAACATCTTCTCGTAATCTTGATCTTATCAGAATTGGATCCGTTTGATGAACAGCAGTTTTTGCCTCGGAAATACAACTGAATGCTTGAGATGAATATACGGAATGTTTTGGCGAATCTGAGATTAGCTTTTCTTGATCCTCATGATCTTCCTTATTAATGTTCATTTTGAGCAAAATTAATTTCATTAACTCTGTAGATTTGATTCTTTTGAAATTTTCCACTTTTTTAAATAATTTACTGTCATCTGTAATGATGAAAGTCTCGATCGGAGCCTCAAAGAGAATTCAACGTACTTTCATCGGATTTTCTTTTTACCATTCCAGTGTCAATGGAAGATTTAACATCTTTGTATGAGACACTTTGAGGAGGTTTCTTGTCTAAAATCTATGAGAATTAAAAGACTGATGATTGAGCGTTCTATTTCAAAATACATACTTTTGGATCTCCAATGGGCTTGATGATCGACATGGAATTATTTTTTTGAAATATTTATTTCGTAATGAAAGGGCGCCAAAAACTTCCCAGTGTTATTCTTTGCAGATAGTACTCGTTGCCAGTGATACGGGAAATTACCCTCTCGGTTGCCTTGAAGGAGTATGAGTAATAACATAAATGATGTTCTACAAACCATGAAAACGCAATGAAAGTTTTGTTACTCTTACCATTACAAAAAAATGGATCCAAATTTCAGGCCATCTGCTGTGGGTGCCGGAGGCATGCCCATAATTGAAACACCACACCCTTTGAGCATCAAGCTGATGAGATTGAAAAAACCAGAATTTTCAATTTATGTTCCAATTCTTACGGAACGTAAAGATGCTCTCGGAGGTGATAAATTGTTTTATAAAACACCGAATCATGCCTCCGATGTGAAGAGTCTTTATGGAAGTGATTCAGTGGGATCAACAGCGAGTGGAATGAAAGAAGATAAATTGATCGAAATTCCAGGCGTGGATGACAACAGCAATGAGAAAAATCTATCACAATTATTGACAGACCGAACCTTGGTTTTTGACAGCTTGGGTTTTTATGACTCATGGTCTTTACCAAGTGCTCCAGGAGCCATCTATATTGGTGAGACACTGAAGTGTTACATCTCTTTGCACAACGAATCTTACAACATTATCAAGAATATTTCTGTTACTGCCCAACTGTACTACGGAAAAGGAAAAACCACCAACCACACGTTGTTGGATATCAGCTCGACGCCCATGGAGCAACTTGGATCCAAATCGAATAAGGTTGGTATTGATGTCTTGAATTTGATCATTTCATACTCTATATGGATAGGATTTTATTATTGAACAACCATTGAGCATTCCTGATAATATTAATGATGATGATGACAAAACTTTTCTTGTGTGTAATGTTGCATATTATGATCCTGAAGAAGGAAGAATGAGATCATTCCGAAAATTATTTCCTTTCAAAGTTTATGAACCTCTTGGAATGAAAGTGAAGGTCAATACTCTTGAAAATCATATCTTTGTACAATTAGATTTACAGAATTTAACACAAGCACCCTCCATGTATATTGAAAACGTAAAATTTGAATCCAGCTTTGGTTTTGATCTTATTGACCATTCAACTCATAATTATGGAGATCGATATTATGAGCATCCGCTATTGAGAGGAGAAACGAAAAGGCTACAGTTTGAATTGGTCCCCAATTTAAAACATTCAAAAGCAATTAACGCTCTTGGAAAAATCTCTCTTCAATGGAAAAACACATTAGGAGAGAGCGGTATGCTCATCACTAACCCAATTCAATATAAGGGAGTAACAAAACAAGACTTGGAAGTAACAATACTTGGTTTTTCCTCATCGTCTATGTCTGACGAGTTTCTCCTTGATACTGGAAGAGTTCAACTCAAACCTGAACAATTTTACTTGCATAAGCCATTCTACGCAGTGTGTGAAATTGTAAATAATTCGAAGGATGTTATGGACCTAACACTCCACCTTGAATCTGATAAACTGTACCCACTAGCAGTTTACGGATCTTCTTTGCACGTAATTGGAGAATTGCAACCCACCAAATCAAGAGTTGTCTACATACCACTCTTCCCATTACAGAGAGGCCTTCATGCAGTTGCTGGTAAAGGCATGTTTATCAAGGACAAGCATACAGGAAAAGTTTTAACTCTTCCTTCAAAGCCAGTTACCATTCATTAAATTTTAATTTATTATCCATTCATAGTAGTATTAGCTTCAGCAGGGTTTGTTGGTTCATCGAATTCGAACGATTTCTTTTTCAAAGCTTCTTCTCTATTTTTTCGATAGAATGACCAGTGACACATAATTTGTTGCTGCAGTAAATCTCGGAAAGGATTGAGCTTGCACTCTTCTCTAAATTGTGCGTCTGTGACAATTCTATCTAACATGAATAAACAATTTGGAAATCTAATAAATTTCGCGTATTCTGGTCGTTTCCAATATTGTAAATATTTTAGATATTCTATAAATGCAGGATCTTCAAAATATTTATATTGTGCTAAATACTGTAAATATGATGGATTTGATAATAATTGAATGAATTCCAATTCCATTTCAAATCTTAATTTCGTTTCATCCTCCGTTTCTTCATATTTCTTCTTTTGTATTATTATATGTTCATTTTGATTTTGTTGCTGATCATTGGCATTCGTATTATTTGAGAGAGAAATCATATCGTCATCATTTCCCGATGAAGAAGAAGGGGTCGAAGAAGAAGCCATGAATCACGAAGATCAAAATTTTTTTCATCCAAAAAATTCAACTCGGAGCCTCATCATCAATTCCACCAAGGACGTTGAATTATTGATAGGATCACCATCAGCATTTTGTTTGCTTTGCGGAAATTATTAGCCAGTTCTCAACAACAATAGCTTGTGTACTCAATTTTTAAATTAATTTTGGATATTGTCATTACATCGGACAAACCATGTTGTCTTCGGTGCTGTCTCCAATTGTTTCCAATGCACAGACCATGTCGTTAGTGGGTGGATCCATGAATACAGGTCAATCGTACATGGTATCTTGGAATCCAAATACAAGTAACTGGTTTTCAGTTATTGCTGGAAGAGATGTTTATTATTACAAAATTGATGAAAGAGTAGGTGTTTATGTGAGACAAGATGAATTTCATAATAATTATTGTTGCTATTTATTTATCATGATAACCAACTCCGATATTCAGGTATTGAGTAATGTCTTGGAACAAAAATCTACATATAACGGTTCTCAAGAATTCTCATCAATTTCTACAACATCGTTGCAATCAGAGGCATTGGTAGGTTGATATGATTATTGGTTGACATGATTATTGAAAAACATTATTGTTCTTTAATATTTATTGTGTACTTTGTAGTGCTACTCCTGGTCTCCTGAAAGCAAAGAAACATTTGCTGTTGGTCTTTCGAATGGATCAATTCTACTTGATGATATCCAAAGTGACCAACATGTTTTTGCAGAGTTTACCCGAACAGATCCAGCCAACAGAGGTAAAACATCTTCACCTCCATGTAGATGTATTGACTGGAATCCAATTGAAACTAATTATATTGCTGCTGGTTACGATAAAGTACCGAAACAAAATTGTGTGGCTATTTGGGATTTGTCAAGAGTAACATCAGGTGGATTTAGTGGAATAATTTCTGATACAGAAAGTACAATTAGTAGCGACTATGGAGGTCTCAGTTCATTACACCATGGAACATTTGTTTCAAACTCTGTGAAAAAGCAGTCCAATACTTTTCAATTACCCTCTAGATCATATTTTACAACTAAAATTGTGACAAAGCCTCTATACGAACTTTGCCCAGGAGAAGGAGCAACATCCATTTCCTGGATGCCAAACCAATCCAATATTTTCTTATTAGGAACAAGTTTGAAATATATTAGATTATTTGATCTTAGAGATTCCCTTGCAATGAAAAGTTGTAAACCTTCGAAAAGCTTTGCAGTCCACAACAAATCAGTTTTAGGAATTCACTTTAATCCATTCGATAGTAATCAATTTGCAACGTACTCTGAGGAAAGTGTTGTCCGAATTTGGGATCTGAGGAAAATGCCCAACCCTATCAAAGAGCTGAACGTGGCCTCATTATACCCTGCATCATCACAAAAAATTCCTCCTATTATATCACAAGTACAGTGGTCCACTTCTCACAAGAATGTACTTGGAGTTTTGACCAAGTAAGTGTTTGATAACATTTAAAACATATCTCACATGACATTTTTTCATAACAGAGATTCGAATTCTATCAAACTTTGCGATTTAGCTGAGCAAGCTAAGACTGTGAAATACAAGATATCTAATTATCAAACAGTTTTTTCATCAAACAACAGCTCAATTACTTCCTTTTCTTTCCATCCAAATATTCCCAAATGCATACTTTTGTCAACGTATTCAGGATTTGTTCAGTATACATTTTTGAAAGATTTTACAAAATTCTCAATATCTTGTCACGAGGAAATAATATCCGCTCATAACAACCAAATCATAGAAAACAGCTTCATGCAACCTAATGATATTGTTTCTGTTATGAAAGAAAGAGCAAAAAAAGCAATTGGACTTGATTTAAAACATAACATTGCCGTGTCAACCTCTTTAAAAGATATAGATGGAGTAATCATTTGGTCTTGGATACATAAGATGAGAGAGCTTAACAAAATGAACGGACGAAATCAATCTAACGAACAATTTTATATTGGAATTCAAACGATTCTGGATTCTTCGATACAGTTACAGAATTTGACAGGCCAAGACGATGGTGCATTTTTACCTTTCAAACCTCTTCCTGGAACCGTTTCTCATAATTTTAAGGGTCATACAATTTCTCCGCATTCTGAAATTGTCAAACACTCCTCTACAACTCGATATCACAGCCCTCAACGAAGTATTTGTCTAAATGTTTGTGGATGGGATCAAGAATATTTGAATGCACTAAAAAGCCCTCAAGTAGCTTCAGAGCATTTGAACGAGAGAAGTGTCGCCATAGCAATATTTAATATGGATATCAAGGCAGCAGCGAATATTCTTGGATTACTTAGTGACAATGACAAGAAAAGCAATTACATGTTTTTGGCATATGCACTTGGTGGATATTCAGACTCGAGACGAGAGGAATTTCACAATGTTTTCAACACTTTATATCCAAAGCTCAACGATCCATATTTATCAGCAGCATTTGGATTTTTAACATCAGATGAACCCAAAGACGTTGAATGTGTACTAGAACAAAAAGCTATTCCAGTGAGTGATCGCATTGCCTTTGCTTGTTACTACTTGAACGACTTTGATCTCGGTAAATATATTCTTTCTCTCAAAGAAAAAGGCTTGGCGACAGGAGATATCCAAGGCCTACTTCTAACAGGTTTGCAATCTAACGAAAGTTATCAATTAATGCAGAAATATGTAGATCGAACTGGTGACGTTCAAACAGCATGCTTAGTATTTAACAGAGCACTTACCAGCAAGAACAACAATAGCATTGCAGATATTTGGATGGAAAATTATAGAGATTTACTTGACCGCTGGAAGATGTGGGAAGAACGTGCCTTTTTAGATATTAGTATTCAACAAAGTTTGCGTGGAGAGTCTGTCATTAGTCACGAAGGTACAAATCCTACTCAGAACGCAGTCACTCCATTTTCGGGAACCACTCCAATTCTGCAAGCCAGCGTCTCTATCAAATGTGCCTTTTGCTCTCAATCACTCCATCACTCCAGTTTGCTATCAAGTAAGGGTGGAAGGCAAGCTCAACTAGCCAACAAACATGGTAATAGCCTATCCATGCCTAAAAGTACCAGTTGTCCTTCGTGTAGGAAACCACTCCCCAAGTGTGCCGTTTGTTTGATGGCTTTTGGCTCTCCTTCACATTCCATGGGTGGAAATAGCTCATCGGAAATGGACTTTTGTTTCTCATGGTGCACACGTTGCAAGCATGGAGGTCATGTGAAGCATTTGTTGGATTGGTTTGAGAACCACGAAGAGTGCCCAGTGAGCGATTGCAAATGCAAATGTTTTTCTTATCTTTAACAAACCAATTAATAACAAGTAACAAGTGGTTGTTAAATTGAATATTATTATTAATGTGTACCTTTTCTAGTTATGCCTTGCATAGCAATTCCAACAAGTTCTTAATGTTTGGCGGCCCTTGATCTATCAAAATCTTGCTTGGTCATCAGTTTTGCATGTACTGGTGACTTCGCTTTGGCTGGCATGAATTTCTCAATCATTTTCTCAATCTTATCCATTCCCTTGTTTGCTCCCTTTGAAGTATCAACTTCAGGTATTTTGAAATATCGTTTGATTGGTTTTCTTGACATTAGTAAGTAAAAAATAATTTGGAAAATGTTGGAAGGGATCCAATACATGAAAAGAGCAGCAGGAAGTCTGCCTGTAAAAGGTACAAGGGCAAACGAGAAAATGCCCATACCGACAGCAATCAAAGATTGAAGTCTTCCTGATCCAGCATTTCTAAGGAATGTGTTGACAAGAAATACAGCCATAAAGCAAGAGGCAGATAAAATTGGAAGAACATAAGTTGGATCTTTCACTGTCAGGTCAGTAAACCATAACATTCCTCCCCATTGGAACCCTTCAACTTCTCTTGCCATTCTATTCAAACAAAAGAAGAAAGCAATAAAAAGAGGGCTTTGAATTAAGGGCAAGAACATGTGGGACATTTTGAATCCTTCTTTCTTGGCCATTTCATCATAAGCACGTCTGGCATACTCTCGTTCTGTAGGACTCTTTTTAGGATCCACTTGATCTTTTTTCAATTGTGTAAAACTATTTCCGAGCTTGGACATTATAGTACTTGCTCTCATACTCATAATGTTGAGTGGAGACATCAACATACGAAGACCAAAACCAACAAGCGCAATACTGGACCACCATGGGCAGCCGGCATCGTGAAGAGCAACAATACAAGCTTCCAGAATCTTTGAAGGATTGATATAATCGGTAAATGAAGAAAAGAGCGAGCTCATTGACTCTGCTGCTTCCAACTGTTGTCCGGCAACATCATCTTCAAAATCATCCAAATTAAAGCTTTGTTTTTCGTGGAGTGGTTCTTCAAAAGCTACTGGTTTTTGTGGCACTGATTGTGTGGTCGTTGAAGTTGCTGTTGCGGTAGTGTTTGATGCTGGTGTTTCAACGGATTGTACCGTAGTGTTTGATGTTGTTGTGTGGGTGGTTCCTTCCGTGGTGGATGATGTTCCAACATTTCTCTTCACCAAATTAACAGAAAAACAACGACTGATGGATTCCTGAAAATCATGGTGAGAAAATCCCTTGAATGTTGTTGCGGTTCCGATCCACGAGGATGATGATGATGGCATTCTACGCGTAAGAGCGTTATTCAGCAAGAACATGGGTGAGCCTTGCTGCTTGGTGCAAACCTGTTGAAAGGCAGAACGAGAAAGCCTTTGCATTTTTAATTTCAAAAAAAACACCGTTTTAGTGTTCCCAAGGCAAACAAATTCTACGCCTTATTATTGTTCTTTGAGGAATGTAATCGATCTTAGGAACCCGACAACTAAAGAAAGGCTGTTGATAACTGCTCAAATTACTTACAGTTTGTAGGCGTTTTAGATCCTTTGATGTACAGTCAAACGTCCTTTTCTGCAACTCCTTCACTTTGCATTTCGAATGAGAAATGAAAACAATTGATTACTTTAGAAAATAATTACAAATCTTCCTTCACGATTGGTTGTCGAAAGAACTCGATAGTCAATCACGTTTTCCTCTTTTAATAGCTGTCAATGCTTCCTCAAGGAGTCGAACAAGAAAAAAAACAAACTTAACTAACAATCAACCATGCTTCTCGCTAACAACAGTAGCAGCTCTCGACAAGTAGAAGTTCCAATCCAAGGATCTTCCAATCAAGAGGCACTACTCTCCTTTTCCAAACCAACTGAAACCACTGTTCAATTCCATTTGAGAATACCAGATCAGGATCATCATAATTCTCAACTCTATGAATCCAAAATCATGCAAGATGATCTCGGACTGGGTGCCATCATTTTGGATCAAAATAATCTTTTAGTGGAAACTGTGGATGCGAAAGAGTCTTCATCCAAAGAAACTCGTCAAGTCAAATTACGATATGGTGGAGACAAGATCTTGGTGTTCAACAGTGTGAGTCAAGATAATGTGTTTTGGAGACAACTCACTCAAACTCTATTGGAACAAGTTCAACAGTTAAGACAAGACAATGAAGAAATTAAAAAACAAAATATCGACTTGATGAATTTAATCAAGGATGGTCTTTATAAACCATGGAAACAAGTGGGAGTGTTGAAAGATCTCGAAACTCTTTGGACCAAGTATTCACCATATGAGTATGAGTATGGAATCAAATTCAATACTTGCAATGTGACACCGGTGGTCATGCAAGAATGGAATCGAGGTAAAAGAGTCTTTTCTCAATATCCATACTCTCATGGGGATAATGCTGTAAATCTTCATGAAGGACGTTCCTTGTTTACCAAAGACACTGATGATCCAGAGAGCAAATCTTGTTGGTACCATCGATACATTAATTCAGAATTTAAAGTGTGTTGTGGAAGTAACAAGATTTTTGATAATTGGCCTGTGTTTGTGAGAAGAATGTAAATAGTTAAACCATCGTCATGACGCTGACCAAAGGAACTTGTTCCTTTTTTTGAATGAACTTGCCACTCCTTCAAATAATCATCTCTCATGACACCAGCGAATAAACAAGAACAACAAAAAATCATAATTGCGCAACAATAACACACCACGATCAAAAACACCAATTCAACAACAACAACATGTCGACACCACCTTTAAACAAACTTTCCGTCAAAGTGGATGGAAATCAACTCATCTTTTATAATCCCAATAATGAAATTGATGATAACATCGGAGTGACTTTCCACCGAACCCTTCGTATTCCAGACGATGGCAAGATCTATCCATTGCCACCATCCTTGGGTTCCTTTCCAGTGAAACGAGTCGATGATTACCTAGATCGAGTTCCTGAAGCATGGAAGAAACAAGGAGGAGTGTTCATTCCTCTCTATCAACGAGAAGCCATGTGGTTGGAATTTATGAATTTCAATACGGAATATCCTCATGCCATGAAAATTGCAGTTGGAAAAGTAAATGCATTATCGGGAGAGACCTGGGATGAGGAAATTAAACTGAGAAATGTACAAGGTAGGTTTAGAGTGAGTGAAATTGTGTATTTGATCTCATTCGCAGTTTGATTTATGAAATGACAATATATTTGTGCATCAAATTTTAATCATGAAACATTTGCTGCTGACCATACCAACAATTTTACAGACTATGTGGTTACACCATTGCAACCATGGTTGGATGGTATCAATGCTGGAGATGGTTATATTAAGCAATTTATTGCAATGCCTCTTGGAGGTGGATACACCGTTGAGGGTCAAGTGACTGGTGAAGAGAAAGTGGGTGGATGTCAAATTATTTGTTACGCACCAAATCATGAAAAACGTTTGAAACAATTTGCTCCAAAACCTGTCGTTCAGAGATCAAAGCAATGCGAGAAGAAATCATCATATGGAAGTGATTTACAATCGTTGAACTTGACTCCTTCATTTTCCATTCCTTCATCAAATGATTGTGTAAATAGCCTATTTGTCCCACCATCTGCATCTGGATCTTCATTTGGATATGTCATGCCTCAAGAAGAAATGTGTTATGAGTCTGCACCATCATCATCCTCATGTGTTCCTTCATTGATGGATCATACTATTCTTGAACAAGAATTGAGCAAATGTACATTGGACGATGATGAATGTGAAAATGACTTTCTCGATTATGAGGGAACTGAGGAAAGAAAAGTGAGTGGAGCTAAGGGTAAGTAGTCATGGAGGAAATTTCTGAATTAGGAAAATTTAACAATGTTTGATCGTGTGAAATTGGCTATAGAGCTTGGTCTTGCAGCTGGAGGTAAAATGAAGCAACAAATCATTGAAGATCCTTATGGCCCTTCATTCTGGGATGAAATGACAAAAGCTAGAATTTTCATTCACATTGTCAATAGTGAAATGTATGAACAAATAACTGGAGAGAAAGTTCCACCAACCCCCATTACTGCTCAAACATATGCTAGTTACAATTATCCATGGTTTGATTTTTATAATGAAGATACCGGAAGTGTTGGCAAGAGCAATATATTGTCACAAGTGAAATCGGTCAAAGAGGTAGATCAAGAAAAGTATGCTTGGCCTCAACAAAATGACTCGTCTGTTCAAATTAATAACGTAACTACTATTAAGGGTTCCTTTAATAAGAGTGATGTCAGAGATGGTGATTGGTAGAGATATTAAATCATAAGAGGCCATTGATAGATAATAAATGTATTTATCTTTCATGGAGGCTTCATCACACTACAGTAGCACCTTGGAACACCACTCGTTGACGCTAACAATAACAACAAACAAACGAGGAATAATGACCAGGTTTGGATTTGTTTTCGTTGGCTTCTAAAAACTCATCAAAAAAATGTCTAGAAGTGCAAGTTCTTCATCCTCTCTCGTCTCTCTCAACATCAGAGAGAAAGTAAGGAACACCCTGTTGAAGGTGGTTGATTCTATCGGAGAAAAGGATCAATGGAAAGTCATGATTGTAGATGAACATGCTCTCCAAGTGATTTCTTCGGCATGTAAAGTGAGCGATCTCTTGACAAAGAACGTTACAATCGTTGAAAATTTGGGAAAGAAGAGACAACCTTTCCCTACTCTTGATGCCGTTTATTTTGTAACACCAACGGCTGATTCTATTGATAAGATTATTGAAGATTATAACGTACCAAACAAACCAACATACGGAAACGCTCACTTGTTGTTTACTAGCAGTATGTATCAGTTACTTGTTTGATGATGCATTTATTATTCGTAATGTTTATTCTCTATTTGATGCACCGGTTCATCATCATCTCCATCATTGAAAATTTGTTATGATGGTTGATATTTGCGATTTACAACGTTGTATTTTCCTTCTTTAAAACAACACCATGACCATCACTCAATTTAAAATTCATCATCAAAATAATAACAACAGGAATTACGGAAGAGTTAATGGACAAGATTGCCAGATCTAGACTCCATACTCGCGTTAAAACGTTCCAAGATGTTAACATTGATTTTCTAGCAGTTGAAAGACCAATATTCACTTTTAAACAGCAGGACGATATTCAACAACTTTTGAATACGGACACCCGCTCAAGGGAGAAATATTCTACACTGGTTGCTGACCAACTCTATACATTCTTTTTGACATCAGGTTTCTCTCCATATATTCGTTATTCTTCCGATTCACCAATTTCCAAGACTGTTGCCAATAGAGTCTATGATTTACTAAACAAATCAAAAGAATCAAAGGGTCTTGTGAAGGATAAGTCAATTGCTTTGATTATAGATCGTACAGAAGATGCCAATGCTCCTCTCCTTCATGAGTTCACATATCAGGCAATGGCTTATGATTTATTGAATGTTTCTCCAAATGTAAGTCTTCTTTCATTGAAAATTAAGATTATTGATTGATGTTGTCATTGCCTAAATCAAATAGGATAACGTTTATGAATACTCATATACAACTGGAGACAATCAAAAGAAAACAAAGAAGGTGCTATTGGATGAACAGTATGATCCTGTATGGGAAAGATTTAGACATACACACTTTGCTGAGCTCGGAAAAGAATTGCAAAAGGAAATTGACCAATTTTTAAATGAACACCAAGACATTTCCAACACTCAAAAGAAGGAAGTTGGTAAAAAATTGGACTCGGCTGAAATGTCTGACATGATTAGAAAGCTTCCTCAATATCAAAAGAGTCTCTCCATGTATTCTATGCACAAGCAAATTAATAAGGAATTGTTGACAATTTTCCGTGAACAAAGCTTGAGCAAAATTGCAACTGAGGAGCAAAATATGGCAACTGGAGAAACTCCAGATGGAGACAAAGTTAACGCCAAAGAACTTATGACGACCATTGGAGCTATTTTGTCAAATTCCAACGTCTCGTCAGAAAGCAAAATGAGACTCATCATGCTGTACATTGTTTTCAATCAAGGAAAACTTGCAGATGACAAGAAAGATAAGCTCTTCAGAATGGCCAGACTGAACGACGAACAAATTGAAACTGTCAACAATCTATCCCTATTGATCAGACCAACTAAATCTGGTATTTCTACCAAACTTTCAAAACTCTTTGACACTTTCAAGAAATCAGGACAAAGTGATAAGGAAGTTGGTTATCAGCTCTCAAGATATACACCAAAAATTAAGGATCTTTCTGAAAGAACAATGGTTGGTAAATTGGAACCTGAGGCTTATCCATTCGTCAATGATCCACCAAACAATTTCAAGCTCTCTTCTAAGGATTCTGGAAAGACATCATCCGCAACATCATCCAAGAGCTCGTCATCCTCTTCAAGAAGTGATTCGACTACTACCGATTTGAGATCTAAGAAAAACGGTCCAACCTGGAACAAGAAGAAGACTGAAGACGACTCTGCATCTTCAAGCAGCAGTAGCTCAACATCTACGAAACTTGAGAGCAATATGAAGTTGTTCGTCTTTGTTATTGGAGGTATGACTTACAGCGAGACAAGAAGTTGCTACGAATTGATGCAAGAGCACGGTATTGATGTATTCTTTGGAAGTACCTCTCTCATTACTCCACATTCCTTCCTTGAAAAGCTCTCTTTAATTCGTACTACTGATTAAAAGCTCAAATTTCTGTAGTTGGTGTGATCTATCACATCTTCTTGTTGGACCTTTAACACATGTCAGCCATCAAAAATTCCAAATTGAAAAAATGTCTACTCCACACTACGCTCCTCTCTTTCCTCTGTCGAGTGGTCTCAACGAAAGTCTCCCTCTCTTCAACAAAATTATTCTCTTCCTCGATATTAAAACCATCACAAAAACATGTCTATTTATTTCGCAAGAGTGGAATCAAGCCATCAACAACCAAAAAACATTGTGGCAACTCCTCACCGAACGCGAATTAAAACTTCAATTCCTTCCCAATAACAACAACAACAACTCGCAACACACATTCCAAGTACCATCCTCACCAAACAAGTCCAACAATAACTCATCGGAATATGGCAATGAAGATTGGAAACAAATTTACATGTTATTAACTCGTTATTCGAGATGGCGTTGGCGTCGTGGAATTGAACGAAACAGTGATGTCGAGGAAAAAATGAGAAGAATGATGAATGTGAACGAGAATGAGGACGGAGATGCTTCTTCTTCAACAACACCACAAATTCTCATGTTTAACAATCCTGTGTATTTCTCGCCATTAATTCATAATCATCATTTTAAAGCAATGATTATCGGAGATAAGAAAGGTAAGTGTGAAATGGAAGTGTCATTGTCATGAACGAAATCATTGATGATGTGTAAATTCCTCTGTTTCGATTGAATTGCATAATCTTGTGGTTCATGAACTCGTGTGTGAAATTTGTTGAACGTGATTGTAATTACAAAATATATGGTCATCTGACCGATGCAGTTGGTAAAAGTAGTGTCATGCTTCGATTATTAACTAGACAAGCACCTAAGAAGGACATGATCAAAAAATTAATTAGTACGGACCACATGTCACATTTTTCTGCACTTATTCAAAACGTTCATGAACAAAATCATGCCATTCAATTACAAATTTACGACTCGAATATTGTGGACATTGGAAATTATGTTAAAGTCTGTCGAATGTATGGCACTTTTACACATTGTGCGATTATTGTCTTTAATGTGAGAAGCAAACGATCCTATTTCAATTCCATCAACAAATGGTTACCCATGATTCGAAAGCGTAATCCAACTCTACCTATTTTCCTTGTTGCCAACAAGTGTGACAATTTCCAAAAATATCATGGTTCGACTCGTTTTGAATTTTCCAACAATAAGGCCTCAGAAAATGATTCTGATTCGAAACGTGATGTTACAAGAGAAGAAGCAGAGGCTATGGCTCATGAAAAGAATATCATTTATCGAGAAGTGAGTGCAGCTACTGGAGAAGGAATTGATGAATTATGTGCAGATATTATTAATACCATTTATTGTAAAATTGTTCAAGTGGTGACCAAGGACATTTTGGATCAAGTGAATGACATTTGTGAAAAACTCTCTCAGAAATATCATGTCGTATTCAAGCAACGAGTGGTTGAGATTCCAAAATTCGTTCCTCCCATTCATGATCGAGATTATTATGAAAAGTTTACTGAAAGTGAAGTTTCTGGAGGAGAAGATTCAGAACGTGATGAATATGATCAAGACGATGAATTTGAAGAGTTTAGTACAACCAAATATGGTGGACATCATGCATACAATCGTGACCATGAATTTGAAGAAGAATCAGGTGCTCACATGCATGTCTCGAAATTAACACAAACAGAAGAAGAAAATGAATTGAAAGGAGTGGTCAAAATCATTAAGAAACACAAGTTAGGAGTTAAGGAACAAAACTCTCCACAGCACAATGACGATGCTAGCAGCAGTAGCAGTATCAGTGATATGGAAGAAGATGAAAAGATGAAACAATTGGTTGAAAAGAGTTTTGCAGAGGCTGATCAGGAATTACCTTATTTTAGAATCAATGTGAATACTTCATCTCAAGATAAGAGAAGTTCAAAATATTATGCCAATACGAAAGCATTGATGGAGGGTTTGACTGAGGAAAATATTAAGGAAATTGAACAGGTCATGCAAAAGTCACATGTCAGTATTGACGGAAAGACAGCCACGTCAGATGTGCAAGAATCAAGTACTGTCAATGATGTGACCACAACGACAGCTGCTCCTTCTTCTGGTCAGGAAGGAACCAATACTAGTGTAGCGACTTCAGAAGATCCCAACAAGAAGTGCCTCGTTCAATAATTATGTGAAAATTTCACACAAGTTGTATTTTACAATAAAAAAAAGTATGATCACCAGAGTCCACAACTATGGAATGATTATTTTACATGAACGATTCCGTACAAAAAAATTATTGTAATAAGAAACCTTGTTGCAACTCTGAAAACCACATGTCACTTGTTCCTTGATATTGCCAAACATCAATCTCAGTAATTCCTGCTTTCAAAATCATATCAATTCGTCTCCTCAACTCCTGAACGTCCACTCTCGCATCATACATCAATCCCAATCCCAACTTGCTTACTGGAATATACGAAAGTGCTCTTTGAAATGCACTATTGAACTCGTCTTGTTTCACTGCATAGGTATCCATGGTAATTACTCGATCGACTCGAGTTTGTGCAATTAATTTAATGTCCCAAAAGTAACTCCAACTTGCCACACAAACTGTTAATTTTCTTCCAATGGCATGTAAAGCATCTGCAAATCGATTCAAAAACACTGCAAAAGAAGGAGCTAAGCGTGTCGAAGCATCATTTCGATCTGGTTCAAAATCAATATTATATCCTGTGGCTTGAATTAATTTTTCATTTTGAATCGCTTGTTTTATGAATTTATCCATACTTGTCTCATTACTCAACAAGTCTGTCAAGTAGGGAATGTTCACAGTGGTGATCATGGGATAGAGTTCTTTCAATTGATTTGAAGATTTTAAAATTGGTAAAACATTATAGAAATGATTATCTACAAAGGATGAAGCAGGTCCCAAGTTATAAGCTTCATAACTAATTTGAGTGAGCTGACCTTGAGAGGATCTCTGTAACAGAGAGTTGAGATCTTGAGTGATGTTTTCATGAGTACGTTCGAGACCCATCCAGTAAAGAATTTGTTTGTTGCTCGATGAAGTAGTAGTCGTGGTAGTGATGGAAGAGGTTTTTAGAGAGAGGGCATTAATGACCGACAATGAACACAATGTTACGATGATGACAACAGCAGCCGAAAGTTGAACATGATGAAACGACATTTTTTTTGTGGAATTGATGTGAAACAACGATGGATTACAACACAAAATCAGGCAGCAATCAACAATGCCCCAAAAGAAAATTGAACAAACAACATTCGAATCAACAACTCTCTTGGTGTTTCGAGAATGTCTTCTTAAAAAAATAACGAGCAAAAATTTCTTTACATCTAACGGGGTTCGAACCCGCGACCCCCGGATTCGAAGTCCGGTGCTCTAATCCTCTGAGCTATAGATGCTTACACTACAATTTAAAATTTATAAATAGAATTTAATCTAATATTACTGTCGTTTCACGATGAAATCTTACAAGGTTTCAAAATGAACATTGCATCTTTAAAAATGGAATCAGCATTTCGAAAACTATGAAATCGTCGAAACTACTGTGGTATGAACTGTTCGAGAAACTTTAGGCATCTAAAAATAACTTGTCATATTTTGGTGGAAGATCGAAAACTTTTGCCTTGGTTGACAAAGTGATCACAGGTACGTTATCAATTCAAAACGATCGGTATTGAGCATTTCTGGAAGTTTGGTTGTTGATTATCAAGTGATCCAAACTCTTGACTTGGTAATGATTGAGAGGTGGCGAAGAGGTAAGCGTTGATCGCAACATTTTACCTCAGACCTTGGTGACGAAAATGAAAAAGAAATAAATTTCCAGTATTTTGGGGATATGCTGTTCATTGTATTTTTAGCATTGCGTTGTGAAGAAAAGGCTTGTTCAACGTGAAGCAAATGCATGAGTTCATTAAAAATAGTTGCAATGTTCATTTTGAAATTCTGTCTGATTTCATGGTGAAGTAACAGTATTAAGAGCTTTTTAAATAAAAATTGTTGCGAATAAGCTTTATTCTCTTTTGGAGTTGAGCTAAACTTGTCATGCAATGTCATGTATTGTAAACAGCTTGTCGGCAAATTGGTTGTGACCTTTCAATAATTTGTTTCTCTCCACCAGTCTCTCATTGGCTAGAAAGTGCTTCAATTTTTTGAAGAAAGCCTTGCCTAAATCGTTGATCAATCGAGGGAATCTTGGACTGGTTGGAGAAACTTCCACTTTCATTAATGTTTGTTCCCTTCAGCTGCTCACCAGGTAACTTGGGCGCAGACTTTTTTTTGCAAATTTGCAAAAAATAATGTCCCGTTTTTCAAGTTCATTGTAATCACTTGAAAATCATGTGCGAGATTTAAAAAAAATCTGTGTTCTTCTTCAATCAAACTCTCACAGCGGTTGAATTGGCGAACAACAACGCCATCGTCACAGTGATCATCGCTCTTGAAACTCATCATGCCTCCCACCTCATCCTCCCTCTATCATGGCTTGTTACCACAACAGCAGCAGCATGAGCAAAATACAACATCGAAATGTCCAGCATGTTGTTTTCTGAAAAAGGGAAAAGATCTCTCATGTGTGACCACACCAAACAATTGAAAGAAAAAGGCTACCATTTCATTCTGGATTATCCACAAATGATGATTTTTTTAGAAGAATTTAGAAAAGGAATGGATCTCCTTCCGATAGAAGATAGATTTCGTCTTGTCGGTTATTTACGCCAAGAATTTATGATCTTTGTCAGGGAGGGTGAGCCAGATAGAAAAAGCTTCGTAGGCAACCAGCCTATACCCAACCATTCTTGGCGACGTTGACGAACTCAAGTGTCATCACGAAAATAAACATCTCCAACCAAAAAAAATGCCTACAGCAAACAAAACGTTCTGGCAGAAGCTGAGTGATCAACACAACCACATCAGCAAGTTTCTTCACTTCAACAAAACAACACGCAAACCAGAGTAGGAAACAGAGAAAACAATTCATCGAACTGAACAAACCATCAGTGGAATTCCTAGTCGTCTATTGTTGTACATTCTGCTTTTCCGATGGCCTTCACAATTTCTTGATCGTTCCCAAACTTCGACAACAGCAAATCATACAACATAAGCACATCCACAACGGCATTATGTGCTATTCCGGGAAGAGAGCCACATACTTTTTCTCTAAAGTGGTTTTCTAATCCCTTTTTTCCAAGCAAGTTTTTTTGCATAGTAGAACAATAGTAAATTGTTGATCGGAGTTTAAGTGGTGCAATTGCAGCACTAAAGAAAGCCTTGTCCAAACCAGTTGAATGAACCAACAACATCACATCAGCAGTGTCATTCCTAGTCAAATAATTACAAATTTTAGGAATCATGTTTTGCAATGTTTCACTTTCATCCAAAATCTGAAATTTAGTTTCGTGCATTTGTAATGCAATAGAACTCCACACACCACTAGGGGATACAAATATGGAATGTAATTCATTACTAAATAATGATAACATTGCAAATTGAATTATGGAGTTGCATTTTGGAGAAAATCCTGTTGTTTCTAAATCTAGCACAAAGAAGTTCAATGGTCGTCTTGTCTCTTGATTGATACAGTGAGGCGTGGGAATTGATTTAAGAGGTGCAAAATTATATTGAATAGTCAACCTGTTTTTGAATTTTGAAATCAGGTAAGGTGGTTTGTGTTGTACAATAATATTCTCATTGTTTTTGCAACTTTGTTTCCTAAAAGCAACATCTTTTTCTAATTGAGCAGAAAATTGCAAACATTCTAATTGAGCAACTGTTGCTTCTGCTTCTTCGTCTGAAAATTGATGTTTAGCTTTCAAATGATTTGTAAAAGACCCTTTGATAATATATGGTTTTTGTTTTTTACATCCAGAAACAGGGCAGCATAAATATATACATTTAGGAGCACACACTTCAGCCCTCAACGTAGTTTTTCTTGAGTAAGTGGCTACGTTTTGATTAATAATTTGTAATTCTTTGCAAGTTTTTTTCTTGACATTTCTATCAAGTACAATTCGACCAGGAAGAGTTGGTAAAATCTTGATAACCAATTTCATACCAAAATAATGATCAGTTAATGGAATATCTGGGAGTGAGAACCCACGAACATCGTCAGTGGAATGTAATATTAAAAATATATAGAATGAAAATAGTGCGCTTTGGCAAAATTGTTTGGTTGTTGGCTTGGGAAACATTCCTCGAATTATTGAAAAGAGTAGCTCTTCATAATTTGTTGTAATGCAACTGGGTTTGAAATTTGGAAACCGAGACGCTAATGCAAGAAATCCTTCAAGTGTGTGAACACATATTTTCTTCGTTTTTTTGGGATAATTGGGTAATTTTTCGAAAATTGTTTTGCTTTCACTCAAAATATCAATTATATCCGGACTGTTATCATTAATGCAGTCATAAATATCACGAATTAATTCAAGGTAACCAGCAACACTATTTGCCTCTATAGTGCCAATTTTACGTAATTCTTGCAATACAGGTCGTTCTGTTAAATTTAGACATGATTTCAAATTCATAATATCCGTAGGATCAACTTCTTCTCTGTCGAGTAATCGATACAATGTCCTATGTTGTATCATGTAATAAATTATGGTCTGCATTGAGATTTTCTCGTGCAATATTGTTCCATTAAATAATACATTTCGTTGATTTTTGAAATTGTGAACGTAATCATTGACGAAAATGAAGTCTTTGTGTTTTTTTCTAACAATTGTTTGCACAGCATGTGCATCAATTTCTGCATCAGAACATCCACACACAATTGTTACAGATTCTTGGAGCAACTCTTTGAAATAAAGTATTTTGCTAGTGACAAATTCAAGTACGTCTGTTTCAGAACTAACTCCAAACCAACCCAGCGGTAAATGCCATGAATTATCGATGGCATTAATAGAAAATAAAATCATTTGGTCTATTAGATGTTTAACACCAAATTGTTTCACGTCTTCAACAGTGTAACAATATTTTTCACTTCCAACAATTTGATCTCCCAAAACATCAAAATGTTTAAACACTTTCATTCCATCAAACGAGATACATGTATCTTTACAAGAGTCAGGCAGTAACATGTTCTTTAGGGTAAGTGTGATGTCGGGAATCATACCATAACAACCAGCAGGTGTCCATTGTTTAACAGTATTCCAACTTGGTATAATTAGATTATATTTTAAATGATTAAAATTATTCCGTTCAATATTTTGATTGCGCTCTCCTCCCATTCTGATGAAAAATTGTTTTCCACAATAATATTTCATCACAACCCAATATCTTCTTTCAACCTCTGAATATTTGTGATGAAATGGATTCTTTGCATAATTTTGCAACTGATTGAATATAAAGGATCCAAAAAATGTCTCTAAGAATGGAGTAAAGCTTGACCTTGGAACCTTCAAAGCTTGTGTATCACGGTGTTCATTGTTCGTAATTTGTTTGTTGTTGTATTGTGTCGACAATGCTTCATTGTATGAAGTTTGAGCTTTTCTAAACACTGTTAAAAGTTTGTGTTCATCTTGGCTGACTGGTATAAATGGCACAAGTTTACACAATAACTCATACATCAATAATGGAAATGATATTAATTGCTTGGGTTGTGGTAAAATTCCTTTCAATAGCATTTCAAATATATCATGCCTATTTTCCATGATTGAAACTAGGTGTTTTTCCAATTCACTACATTGACGACACTGATTTTGAAAAATACTACAATATTTTGAACAACATGCTGATTCTAAGGTGAGTTCGTCTCGAATAACGCCAATTATGTCATAATCGCAATTATAAATTTGTTTTCCTGTTAATAATTTAGAATAATTGTTCCGATTTATACCTCTGCAAACGTATTTCAGTTCGGAATAGCACTCTTCATAACTAACATTAGTAGCTGGTGTAATATTTTCAACCATGAACGGTTGATCTTCAAAATAAACTCTTTTCTTTACTGACGGCATTATTGAAGCAGTTGAACGAATATCGGGAGCATTGTGGTTGTGTTGATCACTCAGCTTCTGCCAGAACGTTTTGTTTGCTGTAGGCATTTTTTTTGGTTGGAGATGTTTATTTTCGTGATGACACTTGAGTTCGTCAACGTCGCCAAGAATGGTTGGGTATAGGCTGGTTGCCTACGCTTTGGCTCACCCTCCCTGTTTGTTGAGAGGTTTTTGGAAAATCAACCCCAAGAAAGAAAAACAGGTTATGTACGGTCCGATTTTCTAATCGATGTTGGGTTATTTTATGCTGACTGCTTGGATTATGTGAATTCGAAATTGCAATATCGAGCATCAGTTAATCCACATGGATTGGGTGAAATGTTGAATCCTCCCTCGTTTACTTCTCGTGCACATCATCATGTCACTCAAGGGGTGGTGACTCATTCCAACCCAATGGTCACCCAAGCACTTGGAATGTGGCAACAACCACCTCTACACGATGAAAGAGAAAATGAAGTCGGTACTTCTTTCAACAATCCGATATTACTGTTGGAAGAGAGTGTTGAAGAGTTACAATATCAGGAACTATTTCAACAAACATCCAATGTAAGAAGATATAATGCAGTTGGTACTCGCTATAATCCAATAGCCATCGATGATGAACTTACACTTCCAACAAAAAAGTAATTGTCTGATTGTCTGTGTAAATACTATTTATATATAAAAGTATCAAAATTTTACAAATTATTTTGACCTGTTTTTTGTAAAAACAATTCATATTCTCGTTGAACTTCATCATTTAGATCATACCGATGCTCTTCATATCCATAAGCATTGGGAATAATTTCAATAACAGTGTGGAGAGGAATTGGAATTCTAGTACATGTTTCTGGTCTATTTCCAGTCAAGTACGAATAAAGAATTCGATTAACCGCTTGATGGCCTAATTTTTCCAAGTGCGGTTGAAATAGTCGACACACTTTCCTTAACAATAAACACGTCTACTTACCAATAATTAAGAGAGGGCACCGTTGTCTTTCTAACTCTGTAATTGCTGGTTCAATTCTATAAATCATGTCGAGATAGCTCTCCCCGTTTTGAGGTCTATATCTAAATCTATATGGAATAGTGCACATTGGTTTCTAAGGGTGCATCAAGAAAATACTTACTTGTCTGCTTCTCTTGCCAAATATTCATGAGGCATTTCTTCTTTAATCCGTTCATAGGTATAGCCTTCACAGACTCCAGCATCAAGCTCATTGAGGCATCTCCAACGAACAACTCTGAAATCGTCGTCTTTTTTGAAATGTTGAGATGTTTGTTGTGTTCTCTTCAATAAGGAGGTCCAAACCATCATATTGTCAAGAGGAGGCTTGTCAATCGAAATTTCTTGAGTTTTTCTTTCCTCTTGCTTTTTCTTGACAAATTCGTACAATACTTTTGAATAGCATAAACCTCTGTCGCTCAGGTTCGAGTCTCCTCCGAGTAATCCTTTAATATTATCCATACTCTCACCATGACGAGAGAGCCAAATAACTCGTGGAGTTAAGTGAATGTTCATGAGGCATTGATTTACCTTACCGGGGACGTAGCCTCCAATTCTGTTCAAAATAAACTTGTTTCCAACATTGATCATCTTAATGTAGCTCAATTTGCCTTCTTTTTCGTCACAGATAGTTTCGTAAACTTTCTCATAGGCCTTCATTCTTTGAATGAAATCTTTAATGGCTTCTTCTGAAGGTACTCCCTTGTAGTCAGCAGATTTTGTTTTTATGTCTCGAATATTGCCCTCAATTATTTCTTGTAAATCACAAATGGATTCCACAAATATGATATGACTCAACTCGAGAGGGTATTTGCGTTGTGTAGGATCTGTCAAGTATTTAATGATCATTTCTCTTCTCTCAATGGTCGTGTTGGTGGCATCGAAAATTCCACACTTAAGTTCTCGTTTAATATACTCCTCAGCATAATTACCACTGCCATATATTTGAGCTTTTGATTGTTCTGGTTCTTCTTGTTCGAGCCAGTCCGCAAGCTCATGTAGTGTAATCATACCAATCCTCTTTCTTTGCTCTTGGCCCTCTTTGTTGGCAGTATCCCAGAAAGAAGATGATTGACCCGATCCCAATAATTCTCTTCTCTTCTCTCCGGCATTGAACACCTTGCAGTCAATATTCAACCAATTCAAATATTTGGCTAATTGTCTTGCGATATAGGATTTACCTCTTGCAGGCAATCCAACCATCACAATCACATAATGTTTCGAAGGAGATTGGTTATTTTTTCTTCTCTGAATATTATGTTGTACATTATCGGAGCAAGACAGTGATGCAATTCCATCTTCCTCTTGATGGAGAGTGATCGGAGTAGAAGGAAGAATTTGTGGATTAGCAAGCTCATGATACGCAAAACTATCATTTCTTCGGAGAGGTGGGAGTGTCTTGTGAGGTGTGGATGCGTTCAAGGAGCCGTCTTGTGTTGGTGCGCCTTGTTCGCTCATTTTTTTTTGTTGTTTTTCTTGCGATCTCCTTTTTAGCCCCTGGCGGACCGATTAAGGTAGAGACGAGCGCAAGATTCTAAGGTGTAACATTTGTTATGCAGTGGGTGTGGATTGAATCTCTTTCCTGGGTAAGCTTTGATCACTGGGTGTTCGAACCAATTTATGAACTTCTCGCAATGGACTAAAAGATTTCCCATTGCCATTCCAACATTTAAAGATGTAGAATAATATTGGAACATTGGTCCACAAATCCACGAAAGATGAAAATGACACCTATAATAAAACTAAAAATTTTGAAGAGTAGCAATAAAGCCAAGAATTAACATTAAACTAAAAAGAGCAATTTGATTCCGTATCATTTTGGACCATGCAATTGATTACAAACAACGAACACAATGATGAAAGGACCCACTGTGGAAGCGACAATGATGTTATACGTTCCCAACACGGAGGAAGCTGTTGTGTTCGTCGATGGTGTTGTTGTTTGAGAGATGCTGAACTGCTTCGTTGGTACCAATTGCCGTCCATTGATCAGCAAAAAAAGAATGAGGTAGTTGTGTGCATTTCAAGAGCTGTTTTTTGTGAAGTGACAACATCAAAGCAAGAATCCTTGAACCAATAAATACTCACGCCATACACAAATTTGACAGGGTTCATGGCCCTTATAAATTTAATAGTCTTGCTCCTTTCTATGAAGGATAATGATAAATACAGTTAGGAAGTGAGATATCATCAACATCAAAATTAAAAATTCAAATAAACGTCACTGAATGGAACAATACTATTCGAATCGTCATTCGAACCTGTGCATCTGTGGCACATTTTCAGCAAATTTTTTTTGGTGAAGCTTCCAACTTTGTCAAAATCATAACCAATTAACAAGGCCACTATATCTGATCCAATAGAAACATCCAGTAACGTATCATCTAAGTTATCATAAAGACTTTGTTTGTCTAACGCTTTGGCAAACATTTCATCTATTAAATCTAATTTTGAAAATTCTTTCAAGTTTGAAGAACCACCTCCACCAATTAATTTACGGTGTTTCTTATCAAAAAATGTCAATGATGTATATGCTCCTGAAATATTAAAATCATTTCCAAGTTTTTCACGATCAATTGTGACATGATGACTGCCGTTTTGAGTAATTGCCCCAAAATTTAACATTTGCCTACCAAGATCACCAAAATATCCATAAACGTGAACAACTGTTGGAGTAACCCAACACGTGATATGACTCAAACGAATAGCTGTACAATCTAAAACATGGGTAAATGGTGGTATCAATTGAACTAGCGAGTCATGCACTTGGTGGTCAATATCCAAGAGTTGTTTATAACCATTCGTTCCAAGGCCATAGACAGTGCCATCCTTACACATAATGATCATGTGATCATAACCAGCAGAGATTCTCGAAACTTGTTTGTTGAATTGTAACCTTTCAAATTGGTTTGTGTTCTTTCCAAGTTTTCCATTTACATATACCTTGGTTTCATCTAGATACCAAAAAAACAAAACCATGTTAAAGGAACTTTTGTGAGCAGAGTAAACTTACCAGCAACCACTACGGTGGAATAGGTACCACACGCTGCATGTGTGATGGTTCCTTTGATCATGGCTGTATTGACTCGTCTCAAATAATTCCTGTCGCCCTCCTCCGCTTCAATAATCCCACCGACATAATTTTGATCTCCAGCTGCCGAATTGTTTTTGTTCAAGAGGATAGTTCATTATGAAAAATTGAGTGATCACCAATTCCTATATGAAACTCACCCGCATAAACTCGATTACTCTCCTTAATCACGATGAAATGATAAAATCCAGCAAGTAAAAACTGAGAATCAAAATGTTGGAAGGATGATGATGATTGTAATAAATCCTGATGATAAACATACTTTGATTTTAGTTGTATCCTCCTTAAACTCTTGGCAAGATTCAATGAGTTCGGGTTTTGTAGTTTTTGAACAAATGTAGACATGACCTTGAGCTTTTTAATTCCAATGAGATCATCATGGGATGAATCATAAAAATCATCGTTCCGATCGCATTTCATTGCACCATGAATCACACAATAATGACCTCATCATAAAAAATCATTAATAATTTACCTGTTGCACCAATAGCCGTAGTTCCTTCACAAACTAGTTTCGTGAAATGATCATTTGGATCTTGCAATATGGATTCAAAGACACGACCATCGTGCTTGACGTAGAGTCTCGTTTTGGATTGAGAAAACATTTTTTTGTCGCAACGCAATAATGAACTTGAACTCTTTGGAACTGAATAAGTTTGCAAGATACAGGCTCCATGTTGGCCACTGAAATAACAGTGTGGAATTTGACAGCGCTCGGAATGTGAAACCGTTGTCAACCAAACCTCATTGAGGTGCGCTACTAAAATCTGGTGTCCTGCGTTTGCGCTCATTATGGAATCTCCTTGACAATCTTCCAATTCATCATCTCCTATCTTCCACTACTTTCATAATTCATTCATAATCACCAAAAAAAAAATGAAATCCTTATTCCGCCAACACGAATTTCACACAAAAAGGGTCGATTCGAAACAACAACCACACCAACACTCTCCACCTTGAATCACACCCGTGTTGTTTTCGGTGTTACTACCTCACCTGATTGTCCACTTTTGAAAAAACAAAACTCAATTGGTCTCACATCACTCAATCTCATGAGGTCATCGTGGTCATCACTTGTTCTTCTCATGATGATGATGGTCGTCATGATGATGATGACTGCGGATTCGTATTCCCAACTTGTTCATGCACAACAAATTTATCCTGCACTCAATGATGCCACTTGTCAAATTTTGGGATCCTATTCAACAAACACTTCTGCGTATTCTTCTCGTTCTTGCAATGCCATCAAAATATTTAGTAACGAAGTCGGACTTGTAAATTTACAAGGAATTGACATTCTCTATGATCCAGTGGGTATTCCAATATGTAATCGTGAAAATTTCGACTCCCAATGCGATAAATTTCTAAATTCAAGTTATTTCGATCAATATGTGAAATCTGATTTCACAACCTTGAATCAGGCCCTTTACCAACGATACAACAATACTGGATTCGTTTGGAATGTGAAAATCATGTCCAAGCCATGGATACTTTCATTTTCTAATTTTTCAAGTGTCATTGCTTTTAAAGAATTGTTAGAGGCTTACAATTATTGTAATTTTTGTTCGCATTCGAGATTTGAAGCATTTCACACTTTGAAAAATAATAATCCAGCCTCTCTTGAATTTAAAACTTTGGAATTGGCCTATTCGAATAAGCATTGTGCGAATGGAATTCCAGTCATTGATGTTCCTGAATATTCTGCAACTGGAGATGGATATGATGTGAGTGTGACGATTCAATGTAATTGTAGAAATGGAGTGCTGTCAAATGTTTGTGACTTTTATTCGGATGTTATTTATCCACTCTTTTCAGGAAAGGAGATTTTGATTACTTCGATAGTTACCTATTCCTTACTATTTCTTGCCTCAGTTTTTCTCAATTTTATTCCAATTTTGGCAGGTGACGTGAGAAAATTCATTCGGTCTGACAAGTCCTTGAAAACATTTTTCTTTAGTTTTACTGACCTTCGATTGCAAGCTTCCTTTTTATTTACTCTTTCCATGATTTTGGCAATTATTTCAAGTTGTCTCGGAGTTGCTGGAAATCCATACGCAGTGTTGACCATGACATTGGCAGCATGTTTGGAATTTATTGCATACATTCCAATTTTATTTTGTTGGATTGATGTCATTTATAGAACTGAGATGAACATGACCAAGGCTTCTTGGATGATCAAGTAAGTTGTTCAAAAGAGTTGATTTGTTCAATGTTATTCTTAATTTTACTATTTTTGGTAAAATAGTTCGTTGGCCATTATTTTCTCGCTGACATTTGTGTTTGCACTAGCTCTTTATATGATTGGATACTTGATTTTGTCTGTCAGTTTTAATTATGCTGTATACATTGTAGTTCAGATTTTCCTCGTTGTGGTTATTATTGCTGCTGTGGTCATTGTTTTTATTTTAATTGTGACAGCTGGCAGATTATTATTGATTCTCTCCAAAACAAAGAAGATTAACATTTTGAGCTATCGATTTACAAGATTTTTAATTTATGTCACAATCTTTACTTGTCCTTATCTCATACAAGCTGCTTACTACATCATGACATCTGTTGAGCCGTAAGTGTCACCTTAATTTAGAAATTTTTTCGAAACTTTTATTCAATGAATGGCACACAATAGACGAATGGTATGCAGATTCTATGCTCTGTTTTCTTATTTCCTTTCCTCTCTCTGTGTTTCTCTCATTTCATTTGGATTTCTCTACATTTTATACAACACGGATGATTTGTTAAAGGCATATCCATGCTTGGATAAGATTGTAAACAAGATTGACATTAAGAAGAGTAACAAATAAGTACTTTGATCGTCCAAGATTGTCAAGAGTGAAAACCATTTTGTAACATATTAATAAATCGTATTCGGAATCGTTCCAAGTGATGGAAATTTCTGTTCCAATTCCAATTCGAACGAGTTGTTACATGAACTCGTTCGAACCACTCCGTTTGGAAGCCAGTCGTTAGATCTCATTGTCAAAGCTTTGTATGAACCCAATTGTGCACATAAATTAGAGTTTATTTCAACCATTCTTCTCTAAATCAAAAAAAACAAAGCAACATGAAACTTGTAACTTCTTGGATTGTTTTGCTCTTCGTTATAGTTGCATGCAGCACATGTGTTGCAAAGGCTGATCCTCAAGTACCTCGTTTGTCACTCTCGTTCATTGCTCCAAACGTTTCTGTGTCCTATGCCGATTACAATTTGATGTTTCGCAATGCAACCTATTATTATGATTATTATTCAAGAGCAGAAAGAATTGATTTGCTGGATATTGACAAGACTTATTTAACCAATAGAACCATTATCAATTTTTATGGTCCTCGTGTCCCTGATGGCAAGAAACAAGTTCCTGTCACAACCTACATCATTGAGTATCAACAAATGACCATTAACAACAAGTTGCTCACTTTTTACAACTGCACCAAGACAAATCGATATTGGCAATTTGGATATGGTATGAGTGATATGCCTTTCTGGAGCATCAAACTCAACGACCCTACTTATAAAGTTTCCTTTGTGAAATACCAACTTGAAGGTGCATTGAGATATGAATTATGGCAAGATCAATACAATGGAGAATCCCTAATCTATCATATCAGTACAGAGAGCAGATCTCTTGAGTTTGCTCAGTTATTGTTTGCTCGAGATTATATGGTTGCATTGGACGTTGCAGGAACTCAACTCACTACTGGATTGCATCGTGAATATTTCAACATTAAGAATTTTGGATGCGAATAAACTTTCAGACTCAGTTGTAATTTCCAAACGCAACCTGCGAACATAAAGGCCTTCATTTTGTTGAAAATCATGTCCGACCATAGGGAATCTTTACAAAAGGAACTCGACTCTCTGCATGAAGCTGTGAAAGAAACAAGTGAGAATACAATTAACTAAGTACAACGTGTTTTATAAGTTTTTGAGTTCTAAAGATCATAAGGAGGACATTAAGGGAACCCAAATCCCTTGAAAAGGGGCTTCCACTTAAAGAATTTTGGATTATCCAATCCATCTTCGTTGGATACGAATTCGAACGAGGTAACTCGGAGAACAACTCCGTTCGTTTTGGAAGCGAGTAGTGTCAAGCTTGGTATTGTGCACATAAATTGGAGTTTATTTCAACCTTTCTTTTTTCAAAACAAAACGCAACAACATGAAACTTGTAACCTCTTTGATTGTGTTGCTCAGCGTTGTAGTTGCATTAACAAACACTAGTATATGCATTGCAAAGGCAGATCCTCAAATACCTCGTTTGCCACTCTCGTTCATTGCTCCAAACGTTACTGTGTCCTATGCCGATCAAAATTTAGTGTTTGTTAATGCCACCTATTATTATGATTATTATTCAAGGGCAGAAAGAATTGATTTGTTGGATGTTGAAAAGACTTATTTAACCAATAGAACCATTATCAATTTTTATGGTCCTCGTGTCGATGATGCTGTCAAGCGTACTGTCAAGAGTTCCTTCAAACAAGTTCCTGTCTCCACCTACGTCATTGATTATCAACAATTGAAAATCAACAACAAGTTGCTCACTTTTTACAACTGCACCAAGACAAATCAATATTGGCAATTTGGATATGCCATGCGCGACATGCCTTTCTGGAGTGTCAAAGTCAACGACCCTACTTTTAAAGTTTCCTTTGTAAGGTATGAAATTGAAGGTGCATTGAGATATGAATTATGGCAAGATCAATACAATGGAGAATCTCAAATCTATCGTATCAGTACAGAGAGCAGAAGTCTTGAGTTTGCTCAATTGTTGAGCTCTCAAGATCATATGGTTGCTTTGGATATTAAGGGAACTCAAATCCCTTCCGGAGTTCGAAGTGACTATTTCAATGTGAAGAATTTTGGATGTGAATAATTATCCACCTTCATTGGATCGGTCGTACAGTTGAAATAAAACTATCAATTCTGAATTGAGTAGTGCGAATCATACAATGGACGTTTGTTGTTATCTTTGACAATTCATTGTTGACTGTTAATCACTTTCCCCGTCAGTACTTTCTTCGCTATTGTCCACAAATTTCTTGACTGCTCTATTTCTCAAAGTGAAAGTTGGAGATGAGTCCTTTGGATGAGAACTTTCATCATCGAATGGCTCTTCACAGTGATATTCGTTAATCGCTCTCATTTTGGGTTTTCTTCTCTCATATTTCACGCCAATAATGCTTCTGGAAAGACTCGTAGTCTGCTTTTCCACAGTCAGTGTCATTTTACTGAAATCAAACACTCTACCCGGAGGCATTTCGAATGTTGCGTTTTTCTTATTTGCCAAATACGAACGATATTGTTTTTCTAAGGTCACACTAATGTCATCAGAAAAAGGATTTGACACAGTTCTGTTCTTATATGATCTGTATACGGATGACCATTTGTATCGATATTTTGGCTTCTTAGATACTTGTGGATCACTGTAGGCATCAATAAAAAAGTTCTTCGTTGTTGGATGGAAACTTCCAATATATTGTCTCCCTGGTTTCTCGTTATCTCGAAATATCAAACCAGTCAATACTTACCGGGCTCAATAGTGATCCATTCAATGTGGGGAGGAAGATCGTTCTGTGGTTGTTTTGTGTTCAATATTTCATGAACATCATTCAATGAACACTCAAAAAATACTTTTGTTTCATGATAATCTAATAATACTTGAGCTCTTTCTTTAAGGCGTTGATATATAAAGCGCGCCGTAAGGAATTTATTCCACCTGCGCCTAGTAATCGATATTTGAGAATAATCATGGTTTTTTGAAGGGTTTACAAGTGACACTGATTTGTCAATGTTACTTCCTCCTCCAATTAACCTTAACGCCGTTTTCGTGTTTTTTGGATATTTGTAAGCTTGTCTTATAAGCAAAATTCGAGCAAGACCTGAAATGTCTTGAATGTTATGTTTAACTCGTCGAGAGGTCGAAAATAGTGATGATTTACCAAGTAGTTTGGGATTACATATTTTCTTTGGATCATAGCCTGACAATAGTGTGTGAAGGTAAAAGTTTCATGTGAATTAACAACAACATACCAGGAACACCAATTCGAAATCCTCTCAAGCTGGTATTAGAATAATTTGTAATTATCAATATACTAACCAGGATAACATACCTATATTTCACTAATCTGACCTCGTAACTGAATTTTAACCCAATTTGTTGGAAATGTCATGAATATTAAACCATCATGTCTCCCAAGTATTAATAAACACTTACGTCGTAGATTGGCGTTCAGGATCTACAATATTACATCTGGTGCTAATGGCTTGGATAGCTCTTGGTAAGCAATAAACTTGGGTACCATCAAACCCCACGACACCTCCTTACATATGTCAATACAAGTCGGAAAGTTGACGACTCTACATACCTGCACAAAACATGTTATCCCAACAACAATCTTTAAACAGACCGCTTGTAAATGAGTTGAATTGTTGGAAAAATTGTTCTCTGGATTCACAAATTTCTGGAACTGGGGGAGGTGATACAGTAGAATGGTCATGAATAAGCTCTTCCACCTCATCTGGGTCCTCAAAGTCAAAGAGCAGTGGAACAGCTGGAGGAGGCTCAACTATTGCAGTAAAAATTGTTCTGGTTTTGTTGTCTTTACCAAAAACAGGAACTAAATGAATAAGAGGATCATTCAAAAGAGGATTGTCACGATCGGTTGCAAACAATTTTCTAATAAAATCTTCCTCTTGCTTGATTTTGAGATTCTTCTCTCCAATTTCCTCGATAGGGAATCTTAATGGATTCAAATATTTGGTCAGTCCTTGCAATTTGAATTCTTTTGACTCTTTGTAGACCAATTTTCTCTTTGAAAAGTCTTTTGGCATAGATTTAAATATACCACTTTGAAGATATTCAAATATGACTGCAAATATTTCAGGGTCTCTATCGATAAAAATATCTTGGGAAAGGTCCTTCACTTGCTTTAGTAATTCGTAGAAAATGCTGCCTGTATAAATTAGCAGCTTGTTGATGCAAATGGAAAACTTCACTCCACGAACGTTAAAAGTTATTGTCGACTTGTCAATATTGTTATCTCTCTCTTTGATTTGTTCTTTCTCTTTGGCTAATTGTTCTTCCTTTTGCTGAACATACTTTTCAATGAATTCCTTTTCGTTTAGTGTCAAGCGTGCAAATTTTCCAACCCATTCTTCGTCCCTTTCTGTTTGATTAGATGCCATACATGATGATGGGTTAGATTGATTTTTCAAGGATTTTTTTTGCTTTGATAACTTTTCCAAGATTTCTTCATATTCTGTGATTAAGGTTTGAAGACGTGATTTGAGCTTGCTCGTTCCAAAAAAGTCTGCTTCTTCAAGCAACAGCTTGAGATGTTGGATCGATTCATTATTCACCTATTCCAAATATTAAAATAAGTTTGCCCGAATCGTGTGCTTACCTCTTCCCATAAGCCAATATAATTAGTAGAACCGGTACGAATATGTTCTAAAATAATTGGAAAATACTCTGGGTTTCGATCCAGTATGATACATCCATTTTCGTCTGTGTCTATTTTAAAACCAGAACTCAACATGGTTTTCAACATATTTTCTCTCTTATTGAGAGTACGGTGGGTAGTTACGAATAATTTTCCTCCTACCATCAACTTCACCAAATTGTTGCCATCATTGCCACTTCCGTTCATTGTCATCATGACTTCGTGAACCAATGAAGGTACATTGCTAGGTGTTGTGAAGGGTTTTCAGTGGGATGATAATCATCCAAGCGCATCTTTTAACACTGTTCCAAAACTTCTAATTCCATCTTACGCTTTTCATGAGCCTCTCTTTCTTGCTCCAACTTTAACAAGGCATCAATTCTGAAGGCTTCCAACTGAGTCCTATCTTTCAAATGTTGAGGAAGGCATTCATCATCATCATCGTTTGGAGAGTCAACCCGACCTTCCGGTGTGGAACTCGCTTGCGACTCTTCCTCATAGCGCTTTCTTTTGGGACTGGAAGGAATCATTTTTTCAGCTTTTTGTAATTCTGATAATCAGAATTTTACAAAATGATAAAATCAAAACACGATAGTGGGCACACTTCTGCAGGGGACGAGTGGAACAACGATCAAGGGAGTTCTCCCGAATCCACAAAATTCATTCAACTCACTCCTCAGGACCCCAAGTTTCACGAATTAAAACTCAAATTAATCCATTTATTTAATTTTACTGAAGATGATATTCATACCATTGAGATTTCTCATCAATCGGATCATGTCAAAATGAGTTTACATCCCCGTAAGCATATTGATAAAACTCTCCTCTTCGAACAACGTCCACAAGTTATTTTCTCTCGTTCCGAAACAGTCATCCCACGTAACCACAAAATAATTTCGTATTATGATGGATTTGAAATTGTGAGACGTGAATCACGTTTTGGAAAAACAACAGTCATGCCAAGTGCTCAAATTGCACTCATTGATTTTACCTTTCCAGACATGAATGATGTCACAGAAATTACTGGCTTGACCAATTACTCTGAAATTGATCGAGTTTTGCGTGAAAAGAGACGTGAGACTTTAGAACTTTGCAAAGCCTTAAAAGCTCTAGGTTGTAATGTTATTATATCACAACACTCACTTTACAAACATGAATTGGTTCAACGTTGTTTGGATAAACTTGGAATTTTGCTTGTCGAAGGACCATTCATGAATCAAGACATGAAACAAATGTCTATCGCACTAAATTGTCAAATTATTTCGAGCATTGCATCCGTCAGAAATTATTTGTTTGGTAGTGCAGAAAGAGTTGAAATTGTGACAAAAGACAATGACAAGATTTGTGTAAAAGTTTCTAACATTCCATGTATATATGATTGCTATCGACATGTAGGATTGATATTTAGAGGAGAACCGCAAGAGGGAAGTAATGATTATTGTCCTTTGGAAATTACTTGTTTGGTAGCGTCTTATTTAACTCTTAAAGAATTGCATCATGTGGCAATTAGTTGTAAATTCATGTACAGATCTCTGCTCGATGTTGTACATTTTAAGAATGATTCTGAAGCACCAAATGTAACACTTGTGCAAAATTTGGTGTGGAAACCATTAGTGTGTTTATTCTTTCCTAGATTTCAGAAATCCTTGAACGTGAAAAACTGGATGTTGGTTCTTAAACGAAGAGTGCAACACTTGCAAATCCATTCTCCACATCAACTGCCTCTGGTAAAAGAAAAGTCTTCATCAGATTCTCAGAATGTATTCTCCATTCCAAAACCAAACTTTATCAATTTTGTTGCGAGTCGAACAGGTGGCAACGAATTTGTTGAAAATTGTGAATGGATATATGAATGCCCATTGAAATATGATCAACTTAAAAAAAACGAAGAGGACATTACTGACAGCTCCAGATTTTGTGATCGCTGTAATAAGACTGTACATCTCGTTCACAACACCCAGACCTTTGAAGAACATGTTGAAAAAGGAAATTGTGTTGCATTCTCCACAGGTCGACACAGGGAGTTTCGACTTGGGTTTGTCACTAATTATAGGTAATTACTCTCGGTGAATTAGTAACTGTGATTGGCTCTAGTTCTTTAAGCTCTGAGGTGCTTGATGACTCGGTTACTTTTAGCTTTTTTTCAACAACTTTTTGCTCGGTAGGTTGAGAACAACATGTCAAAGTAGAGTTAGATGAAGTTCCAAACAACTCTTTCACGTCAATATTACAATATTGTTTGCAGTAGTCCATCCATACTCGAGCGAGATTGTTTTCTAGGGATGGAAATGGAAAACCTTCTTGTTGAGCTTGAGCTAAATGCCTCCTCATATTTGTGCAAATGCTTTTAGCAACTTTCTTGTTCACGAGTGGATTGTTGATTATTAAATTAGCATTAGCCATCCCACCAATGTTTCCACATCTCAGTTCAACACATCTCGTTCTATTTGTGTCAACTTTTGTAATGAATCTAAGGCCCATGTATTTCGGTTTGTTTTTCTTCTTTCTCTGTGCGTCTAAAGCAGGTATTTCACATGATCGATACATGAGCATATGTTCTGTAAGCTCATTTCCAACAAACGTTGTTTTTGAAGAGAGAACCATTTCAATAGGTCGCTTAGAGAAGAGTTGCTTCAAATTAAAAACACCAGATACGGTCGTTGAAGGATATTTTTGATGTGAATTCGAAAAATTGATAGGATTATAGTCGTAATATTTCACATCTTCAATCACATTCGAAAAATGATTGTCGCAACAAAAGGTCTTCACAACATCCTGAATGGGTAAATCATAATAGTCAATAACCTTTGCAGTTCTTAGTTGTTGCTTGTCGGTCGAATAGTCTTGTTTTGTCGACCATTGTATTACATTACCTCGTTTTTCTTGATAGGAAATGTACCAATCTGGAGAATATTCCTTGCTGAGATATCTCAAGAATTTCCAATCCTTGTCAATGATATTCGTGGACAAAAAATCTCTTGAATCAATGGTAAGCTGAGATTGCATGGTCTCATTATACTCCAATTTTTTTCTGTATACTTCAATGACATGAAGTGGTAAATGATCATTCTTCAATCCAATTTCTACCCAATGATGAACATAGTTCTGGTATTTTTCCTGGAACAACACAAACAAGTCCTCTAAATCATAGAAAAACATGTCACATAACATGTGGATTTCATCCAATAACCCAACAATCATCTGTTTAGGTTCAGGATATGCAGTTGTTTGTTGTTCTCGACTGTTTGAAAGACTTCTTGGGGACATTGTATTGGTGGTGGTCTCTGAGCTATCTTTAAGGTGAATTTCGTCGGATCTAAGCGGTGGGTATGAGTTTGTCAAGTTATTTTCATACCTGTTTTTGAGGAAGGTGGAAAATCGGTCATGGCAGAACCACGAATATCTCTTTGGAATAATTTTCTCAACGGTATATTTCAAATAAGGGTATGGTTCATCCGACTTTTCACTCGATGCATGCCACCCGTCAAAGTTAAAAACAATGTTGTGACAATATGTTTCCAAAGCATTCATCAGAGTAGGAACGTCCTTCAAATTTTTAGAAGGTTTTCTTAATGGACCGTCATACATATAGTCCAAAAACATTAGCTTGACTTCAAAATCAATATCCAAGTCTTGAGCTGGGCGCCTCTTGTTCTCTTTTCCTTGCATTTTCACAAAATCCAAATATCTATTTCTTAATGTCTCAACTGAACCAAACGTAGATTCTTCTTTTTCGAAATTTAGTTCCACCACATTCCTATTTGAGAGAGCTCCAAGTGATGAATGCCCTTTTAAAGGAGAGGGAATGTCATTGCCGCTCATCAGTGAGCCTATTTTATCATTTTCATTCAAGGAAGAACTGCTGCTGTCACTACTACTGTTCGATACACTGTTTGTTGTGATAGTATTAGAGAGATAACCATTGGATGCCAAACTATCTGAAATTCTAGAAATTCTATTGGACTGCCTCCATTTTGCCTCTAAATGCAACCTATGTTCTGATATCGAGTAACAACCCAACGTTGGGTTCGTTAAATTGAGAGACCACCTAAAACTATGTGAGGTTGATGCAGACCTATCTTGTTGGAGAAAATTTGTGAGAACAGGGGAGCGTTGTTCATACGAAGATAATCTCGGAGAGGAGTATTCTGCTCCATTCACCGATCGTGGCGAGGAGCTCTCTGGGTTATTCCAACCCGTAGCTGCAGTCACTGGGGAACAAGAATTCGTTGTTGTTGCTGTTGTAGTCGATGAGGGAAGAATCACACTATAATAACGAGCTGGTACTGGCAACAGCAATGCTGTGAGAGGAAGGCGAGTTTTATAATCTCCCACCTTATATTTGGATGACGACTGTTGTTGTTGAATGCTGCTAGACTTGAACGACATTTCAAAAGTGAGCTGAGACTGCTGTAGAAATGATAACCAATAATACTGCTGTAGAAAAGGATGGCAGTTAGAGATGTCGTTGTTGTTTTTGTTGCAATGTTTTTGATGTTGTTTTGAAAGGTTGACATCTTCGCCATGAATTTTCGTATGTTGGAGCACAGAGTCTCTCTTTCCAAATGGATCCGCGAGATACAATTTTTGGGATCAACTATTATGGGCAGGTTCTCATGCTGGCAAACAGTTCTACTCTATACCTTCCCGACAAGATTGTTTCGGATGCATCAGTCTCATATTTGGTTGTCATGATGAATTTCAGTAGAATGCATGATCGTCAAGTACGACCAAGAGAGAGATGGTTGATTCAACAACTCTCTACAGTTTTGAAAGTAACCTATTCAAGACATGAATTCAAAGTACCCTTAACGCTGTGCTGGGGTATTGCCAAGGTTCTGATCATCCGAAGGCTTCTTCTTCGGGAGAACTCAGGAATCAATTTCAGGCTCATTGCACCCCCAAGGAATGTATTGGACCTACTCCTACATCTAACAACAACAAAATATTGGAGTATACAAATCTGTGAAAGTACTTTCGATTTGTTTTGAGGAGAGAGCGTGTTGGTGAAGGCTCACCATTCAAAGATTACTCATCATCACCCAAAACAAAAAATGAAGTCTTTCATTTCTCGTTCCTCCTCTCAATTTGCCAAGAAGGGTAGGTTGTGTGTTTGAAATTTTATTGGGCTGATGAATATTTAACGATGTATTCTTGATGTTGCCGATACATGTTATTCGTACTCGTGTATTGCTTGCCTGATGCGTTGTTGATGATGACATTTTTCTTTTCTGATTGGATGATTGGATGCCATGATAATGACACACAATGATCACAACAACAAAAAATCATCATCATACTAACGATGATATGGAACAACCCATTACGATGATAATTGAATTTACGAATTACATTGTATTAATGATTTCATCGTACAAAAATCTTCTTCCTTTTGATGATAATTCGAAAAATTGATTTATTGCACTCACCTCATCATGACATGGATAATGTTAAACACTCTATCATCGTCATCATCACCAATTACAACTTGGTAATCATCAAATTCCTCTGATGTACCATGACTCATTTTCCAACATCATCAGTCAATCCACGTGCTAGCAACACTTGTGTTAACAACATCCAAAAGAGATTCCTCAACATTCACGAATATCAAGCCAAGGAACTCTTTAAACAATTCGATGTTCCACACCAAAGAGGTATTACCGTTGGCGACTTGAAGGATGTTAAAGGTACTTTGGCAGCTCTCAAAGAGCAAACAGGTACCAAGAACTTCATTGTCAAGTCTCAAGTCTTGGCTGGTGGTAGAGGAAAGGGTCACTTCCTTGAAAATGGATTCCAAGGTGGTGTTAAATTCACAAAGGATGAAAAAGCAGCAGAAGAGGTTGCCTCAAAGATGCTCTACAATACTCTTGTGACTAAACAAACTGGTGAAAAGGGTATCAAAGTGAACAAGATCTTCTTTGCTGAATGCTTGGACTTCAACAGAGAATTCTATTTTGCCATTCTTTTGGACAGAGCAGCTCAATGCCCAGTTTTTGTTGCCAGTTATGAAGGTGGTATGGACATTGAAGAAGTTGCCGAGAAAAAGCCAGAAGCAATCAAGACCTTGCTCATTAGAGATCTTGAGAACGGTCCATCTGATGCTGAGGCAATTCAATATGCTAAGGATCTTCAATTCAAGAAGCCAGAGGAAGCTGCTAAAGTTATGAAGAAACTCTACACAATGTTCCGTAAGACTGATGCTGCTCAATTGGAAATTAACCCTCTTGTAGAACTCGATAACACTGCTGATCTTTCATGTGTTGACTGTAAATTGAATATTGATGACAATGCTGCTTTCCGTCAACCAGAAATTTTCGCTATGCGTGACTGGGATGCAGAAGATCCAAGAGAAGTTGAAGCTGCCAAGGTTGAATTGAACTACATTGGTTTGGATGGTAACATTGGATGTTTGGTCAATGGAGCTGGTTTGGCAATGGCAACAATGGACATTATTCAACTTAACGGAGGTAAACCAGCTAACTTTTTGGATGTTGGTGGTGGTGCTACAACCAAGCAAGTCAAGGAGGCTTTCAAGATTATTTTGAAAGATGAAAGCGTCAAGTGTGTTTTGGTCAACATTTTTGGTGGTATTATGCGATGTGACGTTATTGCTGATGGTATTGTTCAAGCTGCTTCAGAGTTGGGCGTCAATGTTCCTATTGTCGTTCGTTTGGCAGGTACTAATGTTGATAAGGGTCTTCAAATTTTGGAAGATGCTGCAAAGAAGGGCACTTTGAAGGCCATCACTGCCAAAGATCTCGACGAAGCTGCAAAGAAGGCTGTTTCTCAATTGAAGTAAATTTTCCCCAAACGATAAATTTCACAAAAGAGTTTCATTTATTGAAATCACTACCTGTACTGATGATACCCATGAGGTTGATGACGAGGATTTGCTCACCTTTTTAAATCAGTCTTCGCCAAATCTAAACATTCCTTCGCATCCATTTCCATGTAGAGTTTTTCTTGTCCTTTGCTGACCGGGAAATGACTCAAACCTCTCGCTCAACCGTTCATTCGTTTTCAAATTTTCGAAAAAAACAAAATCCTCCTGGCTGATCCAACAAACACACAAAACGGAGGTAATTGCAACTGTCACGTTGTCATTCGTTCACACTCGAGACCCCTACTGTCATCTTTGGTCGTTTGTCAACAACAACACCACACCCTCCTCTTCAAAGTATCTTCATATCCTCCTGTTTCATGAAAATGTTCTCTTCACCCTCTAAAAACTCACTCAACAATCGACGATTACCAATTTCCGTATTATTCCATCATCCCACAAGTGTCTTGAATCATTCCCATTCGACATCAACAACTAGTAATAATAATAACAACAACAACAACTCGTCTTGTTCCTCTCCGACCTCACTCTATCCAACCTCTCCTTCTTCTCTTTTAATCACTTCTTCACCTTCATCCATTAATAATTCTCATCATCCACGTTCTCCATCCTTTACTTTGTGTCCAACTTTACCACAAAATTCTTCTTCTTCTAATCAATCTCTGCCAACAACGAATAACAACAATAACCATCATCATCATCATGGAAAAAGATCTTCCATCTTGTCCGTTTCCTCCTCTTCATCATCCACTGAAAAATCGAATGAAGAGATTTCGGTATCAACAACATCTTCGTTCCATGGAAATTCAAAACATACTCGTGAAAAAACTACTGTGGTTGTGATGGATTCTGTTGATGATCATGCAGCATCGTCGGATCCACTGGTGCCATCGAATGGTTCCATTTCTGATCCAGCCTCTCATTCAGAAAGACATGATCGAAAGGGAAGATCTCTTTCGAAAATTACCAAAGATTTGAAAGATAAGCAACAACAACAACTCTCTCATTCAACGAATCATGATTCTCTAGGGAATCTCGATGAGAATGGATCCGTTCTTTCAAAAACAATGGCGAATCATTCACACATGGTTTCAACAACACATTCGGAGCTCCTAAATTCCACTCAAAATCATCATCAGGAACAACAACAACAACTCCTTTCGACGACCATGACAGAAGATTCCTCCGAACAGCAACATCCAGAAAACTCTCACGAAAAACCAAGTCTCAAACGAAGAATGAGCTCCTTCCTGTTTCGGAAATCTCTCACTCATGAACCAAGTGAGGTCACTAAAAGTTTTAAATTGTCGACCAATGCTGCTCGAAAGTCATTGACAGGTGCTGTGACAGCTTCTTCCCCTCAATTGAATGGAGAAAATGCTCACATGCCTAAACAAACGTCGTCCTCCATTTCGAAATCTTCTCGACAAAGTTGGAGTAAGAGTTTCTTTTCTTCCAAAAACAAAGTTAAGGAAAATGTTCACTTGATGTCAAATGTCTCTTCTGCACAACAGCAAGGTCTGAAAAATTCCACACATCATCCTTCTCCTCAACCACAACATTCAAGATTCTCTTCTGGTTCTTCCAATAGCTCTGCAGCTTTAACCATTGTTCATTCGAATGGCTTTGGATTGAGTGAATCTCCAGACACCAGTAGTAGTTCCTTTGATTTTGCAACTTTGGACGCGAGTGTAGATAATGTAAGCACTGGAGGAGATTTGACCTATATTGAACCTACTTCTTCGAATAATTTTTCAAAAAAGAATATTCTCACAGAAGAATTTGCAAATGTTCAACATCAATTTGGAAGTATTGAATCATTGAGAGCGACGTTTTTACAATTTATTTCCAATCAGACTGGATTGAATTCATCAACGTCGAAAACTTATTCGAACACTCCTGTACGAATTTTAGAAAATGAGTTACTGATTGAGTTATATTTTATGGATTTCATGTATGGAAATAGCTCTGGAAAATTGTCTAGAAAACTCACAAATTCATCATCGATTTTGTCTCATTTAGATTCATTTTGTAAATTTTTACTTTCCAAGTTCGATCGCCAATCTCAATTGTGGAGAGACATTATCGAAGATCAGGCATCTCACTTGAAATACCCATTTTTAGAATGTATGGTAGTCGAAGCCATTGATAATGAAGATGAAAGTCAGCCATGGATGACTCATCAAAGACTTGGTCAATTCTTAAAGCATTCGCACGAGTATTATGTGAAGAGCGTGAGTGATCTACCCGAAGACTTTCAAGCAGGACAACTCAAAAAACAAATTCAAATGCTTTGTGACATGTTTTATGTTGAACTCGACGATTACTTTATGATCTTTCAAAGTAAGAATTACAAATATATGAAACAATGGATTAGTGAAGGTCTCAAACACAAAGTTCTTCCAAATCATGTCATTGAGTTGTACAGAAAAGATAAGGAATATCATGACAAGATGCAAAGCGATTTTAAAATCACACCAGAAGATTTCACAGTCGATCACGTCATTGACAGAGATTGGAAATTTATGAAGTATTTTTGTAATGATTTCTCAAGTCATTGGTTTTTGACATTTAGCCAAATTGGAAAAGTCACTTATTGGAACAGTTTTTCAGATTTCTCAACGGACAATCTTAGTTTAAGAATGAGTAAGGTTGTTGGATATTTTGATTATCCAATCGAACACGTCGCCAAAGCACTCGCTAACGATGATCATTTACAATACCAATTCAAGAATATGAAATGGTCGTCCTACAGCTCCATTAATGAGTCCAATTCATTACACAAATATCCTTCTGTGCTCATGTCTGGCTCCTTTGACTCTGGTTCCTTATTCCTTTCAAGATCCATTCAACTGGTATTTTCTACAAAATGTAATTTTTGTGAGGACGAACTCGTTGAAGTTCAAACGTTTTTCAAAACATGTGACGTTATGAAAGAAAAGTCAAAGAAGGATCTCATCAAAATTAAGATGCCTCTATTGGGAATGAGAATTTTAACAAAATTGGATAATCACAGAACGCGATTTGTTGAAGTGAGATTTAGCAATTTAGGAGGTTTGCTCAACTCGAAAATTGTTCTCTTCAATCCATTGACTTCGAAAAAAACATGCTTGGAAACTTATCAAGGTTTATTGGACGCGATTAAAAGAAGTGAACAGCAGGGATTTCCATTACCATCGTCTGAAACGAACAATTTAATGAGACTTTGGAAAGAATATTGCAAACATTATTTCAATATGGACATTGGTGAAAAGTATAAATGAGAGTGGTTTTGATTTACGCACACATGCCAATAACAGAGAAGATTTATCATGTCAAGCAAAATCCTTACCTTAATTTTGGAAATGGCGCCAAAAAATGACGAAAAGAATGCTCGGGTGGTGAAATTCATGAGGAACCAACAAGCCATAACGCCCTCATCTCAACTGCGAAAAAGAAAAGAAAGACTAGTATTAGATGGTGAGTTATGTTGTATCATGTTTACAATGTTGCGACCTATCGATATGATTGTGTAGTAAATTCGTAAATGAAAAAATAGCACAATCTGCCTTGGAAACCATCTTTGGGCCTACCCCTGAAAATCTTGAGAGGAGGCTTTCTCAAATGCTGAAAGATGGTCTTGGAAATTGGGGAAATTATTCCAAGACAAAGAACAAGGAAAATCTGTCTACTCTTGCTGCAAGATGTTCCATTCATGCCTTAAAGATATCGCTGCACCCAAATCAGACTTTAAATTGGAGTAATTGGGACAAAAATCTGCAAAAGATTCAAGTCTATTTGCAGAAATTTGCTGCAGAAAACAAATCACAGTTATCACATCATCTGGAACCTCTTTGCCGATTCTTAAAGCTGACAAATTCTCTTTCATCTCTGACCTTCCAGGAAGTATTGCGGAAAGCTTTATTTCCAGACAAGGTCATCAACGCCGAAGGGAATGCTTCAGAGCTCATGCTCACTCCATTGTACTTTGCTCCTTTATTTGATTTTACAAGTTTTTTCCAATTACACAATGACAAGAAATGCGTAGGTATTCATTGTTGATGTATTTGATGATTTGGATAGACATGCATTGGATTGTAGTAACACATGTATATCATCATATCTCTATACTGATACGTTAAGCGATCCTTTGAAGAAGGTAGTTTCAGATTTTAAGGCTGATGATATCATTTTCATGAAATACCACACTATCCTTCCAAATTTGATATTCATGATTAGAGAGGACAACAACGGAGACAATCCTATTCACCTTCATCATCCAGACCTTCCCAAATTGATTTTTGAACTGAAATTAGCTCACGCACATACAATGAGAGCACTAATTAGAGAAAGTATTGAAGATTGGCATGGAGATGTATATACTATTGGTATGACCACAGATTCCAAAAGGGCCAACCGTATGCCATTAATGGTGAAGCGAAGAAAGTTGGTGAATCTATATCCATCAATTACAAGTTGAGGTTTTTGGGGTCATTTTCGCATTGGGGGAAAGAGAAGACCGAAATGATATCAAAAATATTAACAATGATGTCCATTCCTTTCTTAGATAAAGTGGAAGAATATATGAACACTAATGCAATAAGGACAAGCTCTACAATTAATACAATAGAAAGGGTATCAAGACAAGAAGAGTACAGAAAAGTCCGAATAGACAGCAAGGTTTATGATGTTGCGCTTGACCCTTCCTTTAAGTATAAGGGTAAATCAAACAAGATGTTACAGAAAGGAACAATTTCTCGTGGAGGTGCTGGATCTCGTGAAATATTCGTCAAAACATGCGCCAGAGAAGTAGAACATTGTGAAATGATTCGACCGTTAATGAGAAATTTGGTAATCGGCCTTAATCCTATTCACAAAATGCTGTTTATGCCAGTGGGATCTCCTTGTGTCGGTCCGTTAAGCGAATATGAATTACAAAAACTCATTATTGATATTCTTGTTCAAATCCAAATTTTGAAACATGATGCCAGATTCATTCATAATGACATCAAACCCTCAAACATTGTGAAATATGAAAACCATTGGTATCTAATAGATTTTGAAATTGCTCACGTATTAGACACTATTAAGGATGACAAATGTTATGACTTGGATGACAATGTGGTAGTTAATAGGGAACGAACGAACGGATATATTGCTCCTGAAAAGCTGTCAGATGGCCACGTTTCACCTAAGAGCGACATTTATTCATTTGGTGTAATGCTTAATAAGATGTTCGAACATACTTTGGAGAGTTTACCAAAATTGAAGAAATTGGTCGATGAAATGATGATAAGAGATGTCAGGAAACGAGTATCTGTCGAAGATTGCTTGAAACACTTCTCTAATACGGAAGTTTCTTCTGCATTAACATTTTTCAGAATCATACCTAGGAATTTTGGAGAAGTGATAATCTCTTGAAGCATTGAAAAATTCAGGTGTTTCCAAATAGTAAAATCTTCAACGTATTGATTTAATAACCGATATACAGTGATTACTTGTATATTTGTATTCTATGATTGCCATAATCACAAACGTAAAGTTCTCCAGTCAGTTCATTTACACATATTCCATCAGGATTCAAAAATCCATTCTTATCTTTCTTATTGTATCCAAACATTTGACAGAAAGCACCATCCTCTGTAAAAACCTGTATCGTGTTACTTTCACAAATACTGACCAATAACCGTTTAGAGACATTATCAAAAACAAGACCTCTGGGAACGCTAAACAGGTCGTTTACATTGGAAATCTTATTCAAAGTTATCCATTTCCCATTTTCATAGGAATACCTTAATATTAAAATGTTGTTTTGTGACAAACCTTGGCTAATGAACACCAATCCTTCCATGCTAATATCAATGCCTAACGGGTGCTTAATATAAAATAGAGGAGAGTCTGATGTAAGTGCTGATATGAATTCTCCAGTGCTAGATTTAAATAAATAAATGACACTCTCGTCATAATCACACACGAAAACAATTCTATCGTGTATCGACCGAGTCTTTTTCCAAACAGCAATTCCAGCTGGGCAACTACATTTTGTCGATTTCCATAACTCGTGTGTTTCTACTTGTTCCATTGAATTAATAAGAAAGCTTTCGAGATCATATTTACTGATATATCTCGCTTCATCGATTTCATATTCAACGAATAGAGCTTCTCTATCATATCCATCATAATCGTGTTCAATATACAAGCTTGCTGGAGAATAAATTGTTGTCGAGAATTTTAGTGTTGTTTTGTATTCTTTTGAATTTGCACAAAACACTTGAATCCGATGGTTTCCATAATCCGAAATCACAATGCAATTATATTTTCTACTAAATCTAACATCCCATGGATGACTGAAACAATCGTTGGAGCAATCTTGCCGTTCATACACTCCTAACGATCCTACAGATTCAAAATTCAAAGAAAAGGCTTTTAACTCACATTTTCTCGTCCTCAATTTTTCTTTCAATTTTGAATACGGAGATGAATCACGTGATTCGGATAAAGATTCATCATCATCAACCTTCAAATCCAGTAAAATCATCTTTACTGATTCTGTCATTTTTTTTGACTTGTTAAATTTGTAAAAAGAACTTCAATTCTAAATTGTTTCAAAGGCAATGATGCCATTGAAAACACCAATCATACTCACAGTAGCTCAGTGGTTTCAATAAATATTTTGTAACGAGATCAACTCGCTGCATTTTCAAAAAAAATGAAACAAGTCCATCAGCACGTAAACGATGATTCCATAGTCATCATGGAATTGTTGGATTTACACTCTTCAAACACTTTTTATTATGAAAAATTAAAACAAAAATTACGAAATGATCGCAAATTACAAGCCTTTTCCATGAATTTTGAATCCGTTCAAATCTTTACAACAAATGATCAAGGACAGAAATTTAAAAATCCGTGTGATGTCAAGATTTCCTATGAATGTCAATGTATTTTGATTAGTGAGTTCAGCAATTCGAAAATTCATGTTTTTGATCTATATTCACGACAGTATAGAATGGCCATTACCACACCCGGAATGCCCATGTATTTAGCCATTGAAGAAAATTATGATAAATGTCATCATGATGCTCTTTATTTTGATTGTAATAGTTCGAAAATTGTGTACAAGTATCATTTACGTGCTCTGTTGGAAGGAGATGAACAAAATTCACTACTTTGGGAGTCTCTCCCATTGGAAAATCCAAGAGCCATTGCACTTTACAATTCAAAATTTGGTGATACAAACTCCGAGTTTAAAAATGTGTATGTGTGTAATTACGGAAAACAAGCAGTATCAATATTGAGTTCAGATTCTGGACAGATCATACAAAATATTGAACTGTATATTCGTTCTCCATATGGAATTACATGCATGAGTGAAAATGAAATTGTAGTGAGTGATTTCACAGAAAATTCTCTTCAAGTGTGGAGACGAGAGAGTGCTTTGAATTGGAAAGCAATTGCAACCATTGACAATTCTGGAAGCGAGGTAGAGATTAGTAAGATTCGCTTTCCTCAAGGTGTTGCGTTTGATCAAGTCTCAAAGAATATCATTCTGTGTGACAACGGAAATAGTCGAATTTTAATCTATTCCCAAAACGGGACACTGGTACGACAATATAATTTCCCAAGTACATTCTATTGTCCAGATGGGTTGTGTGTGAATAATAAGACTGGAGAGTTGATAGTGTGTGATTACAATGAGTGTATTGTACAAATTTTCAAATAATGTTGTTAACATTTTCTTGTTGAGCCATTGAGAAGAATCATTTTGAAGATTTATTGAATCCCATCACGTAAAAACAATCACTCAATGTCATTAATTCAATGGAAGTTGTTGGAATAATTTTGGATTTATCGATTATTAGCTCTGTGATTACGTCGAAAGTTACGTAAAATGACTGAAACTTATTGTTGTTGTTACCAGTAAAAATGTCTCAACATTCATTAACATCTTTGCCTCTTGAAATTCTCTCGGAAATTTTCAAATATTTACTACACAGTGATACAAGTAGGAATTTAATAAATTACAAGAATGATGTCTCGGAGTTATGTAAATTAGATTTATTATGCAAGCAATTTTCAAAGAATGAAAATTATAGAAATTATATGGATGAGAAATATTGGAAGAGTATTCTTTTGAGATTAGTCGGAATCAATCCGTGCCAATCCAATGATGATGTAAACAAGGAACATACGATTGAACCATCTGTATTGGATCAATTATCAAAAAGAACCTTTAAACAAAGCTTTGGATTGATGAACCATTATTTACATCAAACCAATGATGAACACCACAAACTCGATAGATCTTTGGTAAATATATTAATATACGGAGAAGGTGGTGTTGGTAAAACTTCAATTGCTCGAAGAGTTGTTGAGAATCGATTTTTGGAATTCTATGAACCAAACATGTATGAAGAATTTGAAAAACAAATCATCTTAGATGACGCTACTTCAGTTAGAGTTACATTGTGGGATACTGCTGAACACATGGAATTCAGTGCCATGAGAGACATGTATATTAGAAAATGTTCAAGTTATATCATTGTTTGTGATATTACGGATTTAAAAACACTTCAAGGAGTTGAAATTTGTGTCGAACAAATTATTCGATGTAATGATGATGAAAACTTTCCATTCCTATTCATGATTAATAAGGTGGATTTAATACAGAATCATCATTCTCAGAGTATAACAAAATCGATGGTTGAGAAAATATTGAAGCAACAATGGATTACTGATTTTGAAATTGTTGAAACGAGCGCAAAAGAAAATATCAATTTAGATGAACCATTGAAAACACTGGTTAGAAAACATTGTAATTTTCTTCCAACTCATGTCAAAAGACAAAGAAGATGGTTTTTGAAACAAATTGCAAAAAAGGGAGTCCGCGCTTTAAATCATAATAGTAAGAGCTCTTGTGGTTTAATGTAAATGAATCAGTAATATGTTTGACACCTTCATTGTCAATTATTTCTACCTATGTTCAAATATGTCAAATTGAGGTTAAACAAACGTTATATTAATGACTGAGTTTAATCTAGTTTTCAACAACTTGAAACTGTTGTGCACACTCCAAAACAAGCAAGCAGATGAACCTTGACTGGTTGTTAGAATGTCAAATGCTGACTTCAAAAATGATATCTCCCTTGAACCTTTTGAAACGTTAAAAACAACAACCACATTGCTCCTATGAAATTCTCAAGTGTTTATACTGAATTAAAATAATTGTCAAACTCATCATATTTATTCTCACAACCCTGTTTGTTATCAAAACACAACAACAAGAGTCGAAAGATTTCTTGTAACTCACAGTTCATACAGTCAAAGACTGTAGCGGGAGTGTCGCCATATTCCTGGCAGGCTTCCCGTCCATATTAAATATTCAAAGAGAAATGTCAACAAATATCAACTCTAGTACATGAGTAAATTCAGAAAGTCCATTTGCTGATTTTAAAAAGGATGACCTTTAATATTGCCTTATCTGCAATAATCGTTGTCAGTGGTGGAGTATCAATAATTTTCCAAACTCTTGTCCTCTTGAACTTTTTCATTTCCTTCTCCTTCAATTAGAGGATGGAAGAACAGTTTCAGAGTATCACTTGCAAAATAATTCAACCATTCATCTCGTGTTGAGATTGCATGGAGGAGTTTGGGAGAGAAATACGGCCATCATTTCAATAACATTCGATCATATATTATGTAAATTGTGAAATAAAATCCAATTGGATTCACTCAATGTCATTTGAGTTCTCTCTTTTCAAGAAGATAAAATTTTCATCCACAACAGCTGATGCGTTGCAAGGTCCTGAGACATGTACAAAACAATGTAGACACGAGGTAAAAAAGATGACATCCACTCACAACCTAGTTTCATGTCACCAAAAAAACAACAATGAATGAAAAAATTAGAAAGACCATTGAAACTAAATTAATAATGGTATTGATGGTGAGAGGAAATACCAAGTTCTCAGGACAATTTCTTGGTGGAACCACTATTGGAGGAATTCCATTACATCGACATACATCTGTGATTATTCTAACTGAAGAAGAGATTTCAGATTTTTTGGGAGACAAGAATCTTGAAGCACTTCAAAAACTATCAGGATTGAAAAAACAGGATTGATTTCTTAGGGTTTGGCGGTCTTTGTTGGGTTTTCGCAAAGGACTTTCTTGCTAATGTTTTTTCAGGTTTTTTCTTCGAAAGTTTTTCTGTCATTCCATGAATCCATTACTCACCAGTCCAAATCTTGAAATCTGCAAGCTGAACTTTGAATTTTTTGAAATGGTGAAGTACATGTGTTATTTCATATATCATTATTCCGCAACGGACTTTTTGAAAGATAGGTTTGAAAAACACTAGGTTCAGTCAATGATACTGGTATTGGAGGTACATTGTTATATTTTGCTCCATGAACGAATAACTATGTCATAACTGATTCACAGCTCTTAGCTGAACATGAGTATCTTGTTAATGGAACTCCTTGATCTTCAAACATTGAATCTACTCCTTCCCAAAATACTCCTTCCGGAAACTATTATCTATTTGGAAAGAATTATTATGAACAAAAAAAATTATTCGAGTGCCTTTGATTATTTGGAATATTCTGCCAATGAAGAACATGCAGAGGTACAATATCTGGATGAATGTATTGATATGGACGGGGAGTGACGCATAATTTACAAATTGCTCAACAATGAGAGGAAGAACTTCTCTCAATGAGATCCACCTTTATGGGAATGATGTATGGCGATAAAAGATCACATGTGAATTCAATAACAAGAACAACACTCAATCAACAAGTTCTGTATGCAAAGGAAAAGAATCAAGCACGACTGAGAAAAACGGCTCACAAAAATTCCTCTCAGCGATCCATTTCGAATTTAGTGAATGATATGGCATAATCCGAACAATCTGCAACCCAAACGATGAGTCAAACATCAGACCATAAGGCGCCGTTCGATAAGACACAATCGGACCCTAGTAACAATGGTCAAGCGAGGGCCCTTTCAAACCTTCAGCCACAGCAAACAGCCATTCAGCCAGGATAGTCCTCGCTGCCGAAATTATTTTCGGATGCAATCAACAGAATCCTTAGGCATCTGGTTGAAACAGGATTTTTGCGGCTGAGGTAGGATTTTGATCAGGTGATCAGTTTATTTTGCTGACTAAAAAACCGTTCTCCATAATGACGGTTCTTGGAAACGAAGTAAATTCCTCAAAATATTGCGTAAAATCTTTAGAAACGTCCATCCAGGCAAAGGTTTTTGTTCTTCTTATTCCTTTTTGTCCACTGTTTGATTTGCTTAATTTGGCAGATGTAGACATGATATTTTTCATCTAATTGGAGAACATAATCACCAATGCTTAAATATTCGGAATTGAGAGTCATTTGCTTCTGGTTTTTCAATTTGTTGTTTGTGATAGGTAATTCCTCCAATGGTGATATGTGCGTTGGATTGTTTGTTTTTGAAATTTTGCAGCATGTTGTGTGGTTGATGTGTTCTGTTCCATTGCTGCTCCAATTTATCAAATTCCACAATGTCATTATTCGAATATTGTTTCAATTTGAATTCTTTTGTAAGTAAAACTTCAATACCAGGTATATTCAAATTAAACAATAGAGTATGAATGGTTGGATTCATATTCAGTATCTGAAAGCATGGCAAAAGTGCGACATGCTCTTAGCCACAATATTGTCAAGCCACTCCATAAAAATTCTCGATCATATATTCTTGCAGTTGAAAAGGTAAAAATACTCTGTTGTTGGGTGATGATTGAACTCTATACATTGTCAAACACAAACCGATCATTAATAACAACAGTAATGGATAATGACAATTTATCTACCTTGAAGTCGAACTATAAATTGACTCATCATCATCTTCGATGTCAGTATTGTTATGATTTGTTTCTTTTTCTTTGAGGAAGATGCGAGCGATTCCACAAAGCTCTTTTGTTATGAACATTTGTTTGACATCATCTTCAGTCATAATCTTGTTTTTACGTGAAATCTTTGGTTTGGATTATCATTTTCGGGTTGCATTCGGAAAGAAATCACTGCTTTGATGATGGATTTTGGAAGTGCAAATGACATGATCTCTTCATCATCAAATAAAAGTTAGAACAAGCAATGCTTCTGATAGCATTTTCTTCAAAAATACGAATTACTGAATTGATGTCTGATGGTGTGAATTTTATATCGGTAAGATAGTCATAGAGAAGATGAAGATCAGAATTCGTTTCGTGGGTGTAAGTTGATGTGGATTGGTTGTCTAGCTCCACATTTGAATTCATTTCGTTCAAGGATAACATGCCAAGGCTTGTCCGTAATTGTTGTTGCTTTGCATTTTTATTTTTAACAATTTTTCTCGATTTAAAGCCAAAAACAACCACCAAAATCCACAAACATCCGGATTCTGGAGGATTCTGGATTTCCACAAAGTTTGGGAAGTCAGCAGGAGCTGGCAGCCGTCCTTTTCGGCTGTTTGCTGCGGTCAAGCGAGTAATATTTCAAAACGATCAACAACTAATAATACACAACTACAATCAAACAATAGTAGTTCACAACAACATTCAACCATGACAGTTGGCATTTATTTTATTCACAGGGT